GTATAGGGTATATATATTGCATCAACTAAATCAGATCGTCCATAGTCACTTTCTATCCAATCTACAGACATCCATTGATTACACTTTTTAGTTATGCCGGTAGAGAATGGTGGTGGATAAGATAGCCGTTGTGTTTCGTGTTCGGCTAAATACCTTTTTTTTGATATGCGCGCTTCACGAGAAAGGTCTAAAACTATTGTAACAGGTCAAAAGCAGCGATGGCAGGTTGAGACAATTGAACCGAAATAGTCGAATAAGACATTTGTAGCTACATAAACAGTAATAAACAACAGCAATATATAATTTATCTAAAAAGATAGATCAGAAAATATTGTAATCTATTGCCAAGTACACATATACTGTGGGTAGATTCTATATACGTTTAAACCATTAAAAAAACTTCCTAATCAGGTCTTAATCTTCAAGAAGCTTACTTTCCCAAGACTTGTAGAAAAGTGTGCTGGTGCTACTTCACTTTTATGCACATCCAAGATGTCATATGACACGTATGTAATCGCTAGCTTTCATGTACAATTGTACTACGACACTATATCTGAGTCTTATGTAATGCTGAGTAGGTTGAAAGACTGTAAAATACTGTTAATATATAGTATCGTACTATTATAAGATGAATGTAAGTTAAGTTCTAAAAGTGTTATAAAATAAATAAAGAAAGCGATGATTCAAGAGTTTAAATAACCCTGAATATTTTACGATCTCGTATAATTGAAACGTATCATTTAAAGCTATGTTGTGTGGCATCCTCTGGATAACTTTCTATTTTGTTGGATGAATAGCATTCAATATATTTGGCTGTGAACTAAAAGTCGTGTATTAACAATAGAAGCTGCAACTGATTAAAGAACGCTTCACTGATTAGCGAAATATCAGCACCTGTGTGCCAAACATTGTAATGTAATTTGTCAGAGAACAAGGAGGTGCTATGAATAGAAATACCATCGTTGGAAGCACAAAGAATGTGGGTAGTTGTGATCGCGTCATCGGTGGCAATCGGGGCCATGAAGTGATAATTGTTGTTAAGAGATTTAATGCTGCAGACCTAAGTAATATTAATATTGTGTTCAGTCTTCAGTGATATATAAATAGGGAAACCTCGAGTAGTCAGATGTAAGACTGTTTTTTGTACTTTTTTGATGCAATTACATTACACTACTGAAGAGCTACTTACTACTCTTCCCCCTTGAAACATATCAAACAAAACACCCTATCAGAATGGTAAATACTTTGAGTAATCATTCCATGCTTTGTACAATTTTTATCAAATCCGGCAACGTCCATATCAATTCCTTTGAAAGAACTGATATTAATGATAGACCATTCAAGGCACAATCCGTCATTATTCGAACGATAACACGACGTTACCGTCTTTGGCTCTTGGATTTCATGTAAAGATTTGTCAATATAGCCAAGTATCCAAAACTTTGCGAGAACAATTCCCGACTTGAAAGCCCCTTTCATCAACTTGGTAATGGCTGTACAAAACATTGGAGAAAGATCAAAAAGTTGGCACTTATTTACTACTTCAGTTTGGGCTTCATTATTTTTGATGAATTGAGTCTGACTTTGGCCGAGATAACTGATGTTTGAATTTGATACCGCAATAATTGCAAAATCTTGGTGGTGATCGACATGTGTGTAGATCAAAGATGAGAATAAGAATAAACAGGTGATAGCTGTTGTAATTGACCTCATTGTGGTTGATCAACCTTGTTACGAAAAGTTAAGCAAAGGGGTAAATATTATCCACAGAAATTAGAAAATTATATATAATGGGAAAATGGCAGCAACACTTCAACTCTGTGAAATTCCATCAACCCACCCTCTAATCGCCATCCTTTGAGCTAGCTGCATAGCTAATAATGCAACCCATATCATCATCATCGTGCTCGTGTGTCTGTATTCGCGATAGTGGATTACATACTCTAGACTCCCTCAGTTCCTCATTCCTTTCAAGTTTTGCAACCAACCACAAGGTTATATGAATACACAAAATCCTTATTCCTAATAACATCATAGGTTACTTATCCAGTCGTACCCTTTGATGACGACCCATCGTCGACTTTTCTCTTTTTATATTTTCTCTTCTTCGGCTTCCCATTCTCATCCAATTCAACAACTTTCTTCTTCTTTTTTCCCGATCCATCAGTTCCACCTCCTCCTTCACCTTCACCATCTCTTCCCTCACCTTCACCTTCACCGTCACCGTCACCATCATCCTCACCGTCGCCATCACCGTCATCATCTTCATCGTCATCATCGCCAATTTTGCCAAACGCACCACCCTTTTTATCCAGACTACCGCCTTGTTCTTCATCAAACAACTTCTTAGCCTTCTCTATCTTCTGACTCTGTTCCAATATGTACAACATTCGGCCCAACTTCAATGGATCATTACGCAACGCAAATGCCAAGTCATTCAACTTGATTCGATTGCGACCTTGCGATGCGGCATAATGGACCATTGTGTGGGAAAGTCGTGATATAAAATCAACCAAGATATCCTCTAATGCAGAGACAGTAGGGTCTAGTGAGTATGGCCTATCTCCCATGGCGTATAGTAGATTTTCTACGTCTTTGGTGAATAGTTGACGTTTACGTTTGCGTTTGGGGTATATGATTGGTGGGAGTGGCTGTTGCTGCTGCTCTGTGTGTGGTTCATTGGAAGGATTAGCTACATTGTTTGGGTTGCTGTTAGCTGCATCATCGATAGGGAGGTTATGTTGAATAGTCATAGTTTGAATGGTGAAAGAAAGAATCGATAATGTATGTGTGTCATCAATTGTGTGTGTTTTTTCCCAATCCAGATTGCGCTGGAAAAATAGGATTTGTCTTCACTACAATATCACCTCTACCTTAAATATAAAATTTCAATTAAATAAAAAACCAACTTTACACCTTACATATACTCTATTACATAACTTACAAAGTCTCTCTTCTTTTAAACTCAAGAATCAAATCATCCTTGGGGAAAATAGTAGCAAACACCTTAATCTCCTCACTCAATGCAGTCTTTGAGTGCACCAAGTCGGCACCCATAAGGAACTTACCAAGCATACCGGTAAACAACATCAAAACGTACTTTTGACCAAGACACACATGAGGTCCAACACCAAAAGGTAACCAGTTTCTTTTATCCATATCACCAGTGGGATTTTCCCAACGTTCAGGAATAAAGCTTTCGGCATCTTCAAACACCTCAGGGTCATGCAATGCTGGATACAATGTGGGGATAACCATGGAACCCTTTGGTGCTGTGTAGGAGTCAGTGATAGGGAAATTTTTCTTAACAACATAAGGAACCATCAAGACTGGTGGTCTGTATCTAAGAGTCTCTCTCACGGTATTGTTGGTGTACTTCATTTGTTGGATCAAATTCAAGTCCAATGGAACACTCATGTCACCATTACGAACTCTCAATTGTTCTTCTCTGATTTTGGCAACAATGTCTGGACGATCAGCAACAATTTGGAATAACCAACATGCTAATGAACTTGAAGCATCTTGACTGGCAAATAAAAAGGTAAAGATAGTTTCACTAATTTCACGATTGGAAAATTCTCTAATCAATAATTTGGATTCAGGATCATCCAAATGTTTGTCTTTGGCTTCCTTCATTAGGTAGATCCATTCATCCATAACACAAGTTGGCTTACCACCCTCACCAATATGGACCTTGGCCATGGCAGCACATTTTTCAAAAATCTTCATCGTATCATCGGCAATCTTTTTACCATACCAAGTCTTGGTGTAAGGGATAATAATGGGGAAATTGACCAATTCCAAAGCAGCAGTGATTCTGAAATAGTTGTCAGCAATTAATGCAATTTGATCTTCAGTGATGTAGTCACCACAAAATGTTCTCAATGACAAAGCACAAAGCAATTCTCTAAATTCAGGGAAAAATTCACGTGGTCCATCATAGTTTAAATACCTTTCGAGGTAAATATCCATATACTTTTCCTGAACCGGAATGTAAACCTCCAATGCCTTTTGCGAGAAAAGACCGTTCAAAGACCTACGGTAATCGGTGTGTTCTTTTCCATCGAGAAACACCCAATTGGTGGGTCTTAAAATCTTGATAGCCACATCAACAACACAAGGTTTGACGTATTTTGGCGATGACAAGATCTTTCTTGCCAAATCTCTTGTAGAAGCAATAACAACAAACTTGTGGAAAATTGAAACGCAACTCAAAGCACCACTGTCCCATTTAGACTTGTACTCTTCGAACTTAGGGTCCAAGGATTCCAAAAATGGGCCAATAATGGGCCAAACTTTAAACTTGGGCCCAGCTATAGAACCTTTATTCAATTGATACTTGACTTGGTCGTAGGATAATATCAACACAATAGATGCAACAACAATTTGTAACCAAGAAGCTGACAAATACAATTGGTAGAGATAGTTGATTTGTTTATTTGATGTTAGGTAGTGGTAAACCTGGTATGAGGGGCTAGTAGACCCAACCAAGTCCACAGTTTGATTGAAGCCATCCATGATAGTGACAATAAAAAGCGAAAGAAAGTGTATATGTGCAGATGAAAAGTCCCAGTAGGGTTTGTTGCAGTCTAGGGTAGTGTGATATCTGATGATGTTTTGAAGAGGAAATTAAAATAAAAATTTTACTATATAAAATAAAACAAAATAAAATAAAATTAAAAAATTACAAAGATGGGAGTGGTCGGGTAAAAAAATAAAAAAAAATAAAGAAAACTTTCTAAACGACGAGAAAGATATGAAACAAAACAAAAGTTAAGGAACGACGGAATTAAAAAGATGGACATTACGAAGATATTCACAAAAATGTGGAAACAATAAAAGAACAATATTCTATAGAGATAACTGAGACACGACCCACAGCAGATGTAAAGTGAGACCCTCTTCTTCAGCTACTACTACTACTACTACTACTACTACTACTACTTATGAATGCCTTACAAAGCATACGTTATAAAATTTTTGATCCGTTTCCCATAAAAAGGAGAATATTATTTTTATAGTTTTCGGCTATACAACACATACGGTCTGTGTACTGCCGGTGAAAATATATTAATTCTTTTATACGACACACTTACACGACACACTGATTTTGTCCCACTTTGAACACCACCATCGCGTGTTCTTTGTATACGACAATAGATAAACTAACAATAATGTCAAGCTTACCTCTATCATGCTGTAGCTCCTATCCACATCATATGATATAGTACCACGTTACTTAAGCATCACGTGTCACGAGAGTTATTCTTCCTGCAAAAGAAAAGAAGGACTAAGATAATCTGATGATTATTATACATTGTCAAAAAAACACTCAATCCAACTTTGTGTGTTTTGAAACAAATAAAACACGTCTTATGACATTGTCTTTTGTTTTTTGTTTGTCTGGCTCTCTGCGCGTTTCTTAACATCAACAAAAGATACTACTACCTACCTCTATACGAAAGCTCTTGTAACACAAGTTTAAACAGACAGACTGATAACAATCCCCCACAGTATAGAGTGTAATCCCATCAGTAGATTAATTTCGTTACACGTTGTTAAACCAGGGTTCAGTTTTTCCAGCCCCCTCTCCACTCCACAACGAATTGATTTAAAGTATAGGAGCATTATGTTGTCTGACTGACTGAAAATACCTCACTGTCTAGTGCATTTGTTGAGATTGCTTATTTGAAAAAAGTTTCATGGAAAAAGCGATTTGAAATGCAAGAGTGGTTGTTAAAAGATGTTGCAAAGACAGTTTTCACAATTATATAAAGTGGTAGCGCTCAACTTCTACCATACAAAAGCTATACCTAAACCAAAGCCTTTGTTACAGAAATGGCTCATAGAGTATTTAGTCTAAGTAACGTATATAATATGCCAAATCTAAGTACTGCTAGGTTTCCATGTCACCCCTTCATTACCTTATACGTACCCATAACACTTATCGCACTCATCACAGACTCATCGCCGTTTTGACTGAAGGAAAAAAAAAATTACTTCGCGACTAATCAAACCTCATCGCAACCAGACTACAACGACACCATGGGTAAGAGAAAGGTCAAGACACAAGATCTCGAGAGGAGAAAGAAAATAAAGCAATCCCAAGATGCTCAGCTATCAACTGGTTTGTTCAAGGGTGATATTGACGGAGTGGAGGAAGTAGAATATACCAATGGACATGATTGGGAGAATGAAGAACAGGACTATGAATTGAGGCCGAGAAAAATGAAGGAAAAACATCTTATTGAAGCGTCGTTACCTATCAAGAGAGAAGATGGAAGAGTGGAGAGGGTCTTGAGAGAAGCCGAGAAGAAGGAGGAGGAGAATGAGGAAGACGAGGATGAGGAGGAAGCAGAAGAAAAGGTGGTAGAGCAGAAGCAACAGGAGCAAGAAACACAAGAGGAAGAAGATGAAGACGCACACCTTTCGCCAAGGGAGAAATTGATTAAAACAAAAGAAGAGATTGCCGAACTTGGTTCAAAATTGATTGAAAATCCCGAAGAAAATATCGCCTGTTTAACACGATTGCGTAAAATGAGCGAATCGAAAAACTTTATGACTTCACAATTGGCTATAATGGCACTTTTACCCATTTTCAAATCATTGGCTCCGTCATATAGAATAAGAGCATTGACTGATGCCGAAAAGAGAGAAAAAGTGAGTCGAGACGTGGCCAAATTACGTCTGTACGAACAGACATTGGTTGTCAACTACAAAGCCTATCTTGATTTGCTTGCCACGTACTCAAAAATATCTTATTCCAATTCAGCAAACAATGATAAAATCACTACGGACCAATTGAAACGAGGTAATCTAGCTTTGAAAGCAGCCACTGAGCTATGCACGTCTTCTTTACGACATTTCAATTACCGCAAGGAACTATTCACGATATTGATTAAGAGACTCAATAGGAAACCGGCATATGAGCAAGACTTACCCGTGTTTATCAAATCGGTACGGGCATTAGAAACGTTGCTCAAAGACGATGAAGAACATGGCGACATCACGGTGGATATAATCACCGTCTTGACCAAAACCATCAGAGACAAGAAATATCGTGTTGATGAATCAGTTGTCAATATTCTCTTATCCGCATCATTGTTGGCTGACTACACGCCCAACGACGGAGACGACGATAAACCAAAGAAGGTGAAATTGAAAAAGAAGGATCGCGTCCATTTGTCAAAGAAGGAAAGAAAGAATAGAAAGGAACGCAAGGAGATTGAAGAGGAAATGCGCCAAGCTCAACAAGCAATCACGGTTGAACAACGTGAAAAGTTTCAAGCACAGGTATTGAAAATGATTCTCATGTGCTATTTACAAATTTTGAAGGCGAGTCAAGATGAGGATGATGATGACGATGAAGGCACACAAGAACGCCAAAATGCATCTCCATTAATCGGCAGTGCTTTGAGAGGACTATGCAAATTTGCCCACTTGATCAATGTCGATCTCGTCCCCGATGTGTTCCTCACCATTCGAGGCATCATGGTGGACATAATTGAAGATTTCAACACCAAAATGCTCGGCGACTGTATCCACGCGCTATTGAACACGGGAAACCGCAGAAAACAAACGGTCCTGGAACCGAGGGCTATACTGCAGTTGTTACAGTCGATGAAGTTGCACACCCCCGAAATCGCTACCGAAAGATTGATTTACGAGTTTATTGGTCGGTATGGTGATAAACGAGATGATGAAGCGTGGGAAGATGTCTTGATAGATAGACATTATAGTCCCATGGTTAAAGAATTGAAGAAAAAGAGGATATAAAAATGAAGTAACTATAATTTCCTCAAGATTTGAATATATTTAACCAGAAGAGCACAAATCACTTATCAACCTTCATTTTGGCTATGCTTGAAGTTTCAATAAATTCAACCAGCCCATACTCTTTTCCACGCTTTAGTCAAAATTTTAATAAAAAGGTCTTTTCTTTCATCTTTAGAGAAATCAAACTTGCTAATTCAAGTGAGATAAATTACACTCTATTTATATGGTAAAACTTTTGCTGACAAAACATGACTACCATATCGGGGTCTTTGTTATTTGCAACTCTAAAAAAAATGATTGTGGCGGCTATTTTGCCACCAGATTAGTGGCAAAAGAAAAAAAAGAGATCCAGATCCAGAAATTCAAGATGAGATGCAAATAAACTAAACCCACATACACACAACATTCTTTCTAAACTAAACAAGCAACCTCCTCCTTTCTACCAATGACAACTCCACTCAGGCTAAGTGTCATCAGCAACGACAACAGTAATAGCAACAAGAGCCTACCGCCATACTCCGATAAAGCCAACCTACCGCAATCCGTCCTTTCGGAACTAGTCAATACCGGTATAGAATTGCCGCACCCTTTGATTTTCCGAATCAGCAACGACTCAGATCCATTTATTTACACATACATTGGCGTCAAGGAATTCACGAGCAATTCTGGCGAAATTCAACTCCCATCATTCATCACGACAAAATTGCACCAGCCAACTGACGTCGTTATCGAACTACAACCAACCATCCCCAAGGCGACATCATTACGACTCAAGCCACGACTCTTTTACGCCAACATTACCAATTGGAAATTCTTTCTCGAAAATCGATTGACTCAGTATACTGTCGTGAATCAAGGTGATTGTCTAACAATTGAGGATGATGGATTGAAATATGAATTGGAAATTGAACAAATTAACGATTCTGATACTGTCACAGTGGCATCGATCATTGATACCGATACAGTGGTGGACATGGTGCCATTAAATGAGAGTGCTGCCGAGCAACAATTGGAATTTTACAAGGCTCACCACGATCAATTGAGCAGCATTCATGAATTGGAAATGGGCCAAGAGGTGGTAATTCGTGGTTTGAAATCGTTTATGCAGCCGCAGTTTATCCCTCAAATTTACAAAATAGATCTACTTAAATGGATTCGTGGTGGCGGCGGTGATGGTGGTGACATTATACGAATAGAATTGGAGATGGTGAAAACCAATGATGCTGCTCACTTGATCAATGCTGATTGCTTAGTAGGCCCCTCCAAATTCCTAACCATTGAAAATTTTGCATACAGTACATTAAATGAAGACGAAAATGTTGCTCAAATGGTGGTAAGCGGCTCACCTGCAAGTAAGTCAATCAGTATAGATTTGAATCGCGATGAATTGATTTTAAACAAATTGAACAGGTGTAAACGGGTTTCCAACGATGATGTTGTTGATGATGGAGAAAATGATGAGAGGTACTTGTACTTGATACCATTCACATGGCAAGGAGATGAAGATATGGTGTTGCGAGTAACTAGTGGGAACCAAAGCGAGGTTGCACAAGGCACAGAAACGGGTACCATTAATGATGACTCCATGAAGCAATGTCCAAACTGTTCAAAACTAATACCAAAGAAGAACTTCCTCCTTCATGAATCACGTTGTCGTCGACAAAATGTGGAACCAGTCGATGCAAAATTGATGCAATTTAAACACATGCAATTGTACGAGAAGAAATATCAATGCTGTTCCCAGGAATTTGATTCATTTTTTGACATGGTGACTCATAAATCCGTCACTTGCCCCAAGACGCTACATGAATGCCGTTTCTGCCACTTGATTGTCCCCCGCGAATTAGCCACGTATCAAGACAAGTTTGAGGACTTGACTCATCATGAGAATCTATGTGGTAACAAGACACAAGAATGTTTCAAGTGCGGCAAGATCATTCGAAGAAAAGATTTATCGAAACATATGAAAATGCACGAATTGGAAAAAGCTGAATATAGTCAAGCAATCACATTTCGGAAATGCTCCAATGTCAACTGCATCAATGAAGCTAGTGCTAATGCGTTGAATCTTTGTGATTTGTGTTTTGGTCCGTTGTATATAGCCCAGCATGATCCAAGCAACATCAAACTACAAAGCAGGATTGAACGGAAGTATATGCTTCAGTTATCCAAGGGATGCGGTCACAGTTGGTGTAATAATGAGTATTGCAAATCAGGTAACCACCGATTGAGTAACAATTCAATGAAGGAGAATATGCAGTTGATAAATGAGTTGTTTGCTTCAATTCATCAACCTCGTTTACCAATCAGTGAAAAGAATGGAGTTCCCAAAGATAGTGCAACTAGAGTATATTTTTGCGTTAACGAATCGGTCTCGAATAAAAATATTTGGTTTGATATATTGAAATCAGAAGGTGGTTACGCGGAAGAGGTTATTCTACAAGCATTGAAAGTGAACAACGACGAATTGCTGACACGTCAATGGTTGAAAGATAATGCAATAAGTAAAAGTTAATAGCCGTAATGTATATACTTTGATAGAAATCGCACACACATAATTACTCATTGCGGAGTGAACAAAATCTTAATGTGGTTGCCTTTGTTATACAACAACTCATTAAACCCCTTCTCGATCCCCTCCTCCAAAGGAATCTTGTCAGTAATCATCAACTTCAACTCATCAACCGAAATATTGCCCGCTTCAATACTGCGAACAACTTCAACGAAATCGTCCTTGACAAAGCAAATTGAACCCGTAACAATCTTTTCCAGCATTGTTGTATGCATCGGTGAATAAGGGATTTGCTTATGGGCCCAAACAGCGACGTTGGTGGCGGTACCCCTAATTCGAAGACACTTGATGCTGGTTTCAAACGTGGCGGGAACACCCGAACAGTCAAATGAATGATGAAATCCACGCCCACCGGGTGACATGTCCCTCAACTCCTCAATACACTGCTCTACCGGTTTGCCAGTTGGATCATACACTTGCACGTTTAACTTCTCGGCCAAAAGACGACGAGCAAGCGCGGGCTCACTAACGACAATACTGCCCACCTTGTGGCCCTTTAAGGCGAAAATTGTCGTGAGTCCAATTGGTCCACCACCCAATATCAATGCTGATTGACCCTCTTGAAATTTGGACACGCGAACGGCATGCCAAGATACGGCAAGAGGTTGGACCAACGCGGCCACATCAGAAGGTATTTTTGAAGCATCGTATTTGACTACTTTATCACCACTGGTGACAACGTATTCAGCACAACCACCATCGCTGAACCCAAGCCCAGTTAAGGCCAAGCTGTCACAAGCGTTGTAATAGCCATCAAAGCAAGCACCGCATAGAGGTTTGTTCCTTGACGGAGAATCATTAAACCGGTGCTTATCTTTGCACGTTCCAGTCACCTCAACAACAACTTTATCACCCACGGCCACATTATCGACATTGGCACCAATTGCCACTATTTCACCACTCATTTCATGTCCCATAACCATGGGATACTTTTTATTTGAAATTGGGTTGGTTGACCCCGGTTGATTGAAAAAAAATGGTCCACTGGTGATTTCTTTCAAGTCGGAGCCACAAATTCCACAATAAGCAATCTTGACTTTGACTTCATCTGGGTGGTTGATTTCAGGTTGTGGGTAATCAGCATGGAATTTAAGGTCCTCCTTACCGTGATACACAATTGCCTTCATTGAACTGGGGAGGCGGTTAAATTGTTGCTTTTTGAGGAGGTTTAAGGGTTGAGGCGATTGATGAATTCAAGGAATTTTGATGGTTGCTGATACATATTATAAGAAAGGTTTACGAAAGATAAAAGCGTCCATGACTCGAAAAACGTGCGGTGAGTTTTGTGTCACTTTTTGTAGATTTTGGAAATAGAGAGATCTCGGCGGCGCTTATTTAGTCAACCAAAAGAGTTTAGTCGTAATGGAGAGAAGTGTAGGGAAGCCGGACAGCTGGATACAAGTTGATGTGGACAAAGCTTTCTGTGCCTCGGAGTAGGATTTACCTCTATGTCTTTTCCGTTCTCAGTGTGTGCTCAAGCTTAAGTGAAGTTTAATCGAGAAATTAGATACGAAGATTGGTAGCAAATTAATACAAAACTTATTTTTTTTGCACCAAATTTACCAGAAAGACCACAAGGAACTGTTTTAAATATGAGAAGTGTGTAGCTTGTAGGGTGCATTTCTCCAACAGCCACGCTTTTCTTCCAGCACATAAGGCTATGCTGCAGTTGTAGATACGCATCTTTACATGTAAGGGAAGCGACGAAATATAAACAGATATACAATTTTTCCTCATGACTACACTCTAAGTCTCTTTAGGTGGATATTTTTGTATTTTGAGGAGAACTAAAGCTTTAAAAGTCGACGAATGCGTGTGATTTTGAACGCGTCGTTATTAATATTCTATACCACCTCAAACCCAATAGAAGCCAGACAGTCTCTCCCTAACGAGAGAAGCTGTATGATGAAAGATAAAACATGAAAATGGGGGAGATTTTACAGGGCATGTGTCTATGATAGAGGTTTTTGCCTCGGAATTTACAAATCGAATAAAGATAAGGTGTTCTGGATGACAGGAACTTTTAGTTATCTCTTATTGTTTTTTAGTTTTTGTTTTTGTTTGAAAGATAATAAAAACTGTGGTTTGTATAAATAACAAAACTGTGGTGGTGGTTACAATAAAGGTCGTGTACATGTGCCTATCTCTTAAAACCAAAGGTCGTGTGAGCAATACCAAGAACGAACATCGGAAAAGACTGATTAAAATGTCGTGTAACGTCATACGTCATTTTAGTAATGTGACATCAGCCAACAACGACATTTTGTAAGTACAACATGAGAGAACGACGACATTTTGTGAAGGAACATTTTTATTTTTATCTTATCAACACAACCAGCAGAAACTGACGCATTCACTTTCACTCCTTAAATTTCCTCCCCACCCGCCATCAAAATTATTTAAATACATTTACACACACACACAGAAAAAAAATACACTCTTATTCCACACTTTCTTTCTTCTCTTGACTTAAGAAACCATAACTACTACTACTACTACTAAAACTAAATTATGAAAACAAGCTTATTAACCATTATTGCTTTGGCACTCACTACCAACGCTCTCTTTCTTCCAAACTATAATGACATAATCGATGTCTTTAAAATTGATGCTGTTGAAAAGGCCCACCACCAGCAAGAGGCTACTATCAAACCGGTAGATGGTACTACTCTTGCGCCATTGGTTGTTCATGAACAAGGTATTGAGAACAAGTACATCGTTGTGCTTAAGTCTGATGTCTCGGCTGACGAGTTCAAGATTGAAGGTCTTATGGATGGTATTTTGGACCGTTTTAACATTGACGGATTCTTAGGATTTACTGGTCAATTTACCGAAGCTGCCGTCGAATTGTTGAGAAGAAACCCTTTGGTTGCATTTATTGAACAGGACAGTGTTGTCCACACCAATGAATTTGACGTTGAAAAGGGTGCCCCATGGGGATTGGCTAGAGTTTCCCATAGACAACCATTGTCATTATCGTCATTTGACCAATATTTGTACGACACTGAAGGTGGTGAAGGTGTTACTTCCTACGTTATTGACACTGGTATCAATGTCAAACACACTGAGTTTGATGGTAGAGCTGTTTGGGGTAAGACCATCCCTACCGGTGATGATGACTTGGATGGCAATGGACACGGTACCCATTGTGCTGGTACAATTGCATCCAAGGATTACGGTGTTGCTAAAAAGGCTGAAGTTGTTGCTATCAAGGTCTTGAGATCCAATGGATCAGGCTCAATGTCTGATGTTGTTAAAGGAATTGAATATGCTGCCAAGGCCCATCAAGATGCCGTCAAAAATGGCAAAAAGGGTTTCAAAGGCTCAACTGCCAATATGTCTCTTGGTGGTGGCAGATCTCAAGCTTTAGATTTGGCAGTCAATGCAGCAGTTAAAGCTGGTCTTCATTTTGCTGTTGCTGCCGGTAATGAAAACCAAGATGCCTGTAACACTTCACCAGCTGCCGCTGAGGGGGCCATCACTGTTGGTGCATCAACAATTTCCGACGAGAGAGCCTACTTTTCAAACTACGGTAAGTGTGTTGACATTTTTGCTCCTGGTTTGAATATCTTGTCCACTTACATTGGCTCTGACACTGCCACTGCATACTTGTCAGGTACTTCAATGGCCTCTCCACACGTTGCTGGTTTATTGTCCTACTACCTTTCCTTGCAACCAGGATCTGATTCCGAATTCTTTGTTGCTGCCGACGGAGTTACTCCAGCTCAATTGAAGAAGAATTTGATTTCATTTGGTACTGATGGTATTTTGGCTGATGTTCCTGAAGATACCCCAAATATTTTGGCCTTCAACGGTGCTGGCCATAATTTGACCGAGTTCTGGCACCACAAGTAAGTGTCACCTCACTCTAGCCTAACTTAGCTTTATACAGTTTTAAATTCTACAAAGTAGAGAGATAAACACCAGAAATGCGTAGACTTACTTTGCTAACCACTATTGGTAATATCTCTGTGTTCCTACTTCTACTCTCGATGGCAAAAATTAAAACGGAACGCGCGCGATTAAACGAAATCGAGAACCAAAAGCAGTTTTTTTTTATTTCTATTTTTTTCATTCAATTAAATACAAACCAATCACTTTTATATACATCCTACAACCAACCATGTCTACACCAGCCAAGAGAAGACTTATGCGAGATTTCAAAGTATGTATAGCCGATGTGAGCTATTTTCATCTCTTTTTATATGTCCACCTTTACTAACTCCTTACCCTTTTTCTTTTACAGCGCATGCAACAAGATCCCCCCAGTGGCGTCTCAGCGTCGCCCTTACCTGACAACGTCATGAAGTGGAACGCCGTAATAATCGGACCCTCAGAAACGCCCTTTGAAGACGGCACATTCCGACTCATTTTACAATTTGATGAACAATACCCCAACAAGCCGCCAGTTGTCAAATTCATTCTGGAGATGTTTCATCCTAATGTATATGCTCTGGGTGAATTATGTTTGGATATTTTGCAGAATCGATGGTCGCCTACTTATGATGTCAGTAGTATTTTGACGAGTATACAGAGTTTGCTTAATGATCCTAATATTTCGTCGCCGGCGAATGTGGAGGCGGCTAATTTGTACAAGGATCATAGAAGTCAGTATGTGAAGCGGGTGAAGGAGACGGTAGAGAAGTCATGGAATGATGAGAGTAGTGATGAAGAAGATGACGACGACGACGATGATGATGAGGAGGAAGAAGAAGAGTAGTGGCATATAGACTAAGGCTTTAGTAAATACATAAATCTATATACAGAGCTTATATACAAAAAGTTGAGCGTGTGTTTGTCTTTACTTTAACCAAAGATAATACCATTTTCGACCTTGTCTCTGTTTCTCCCTCTCTTGTTCCTCAATTTCTCGTTGTTGTTTCTCCTGAATCTCCTGTTGTCTCGCTACCTCATACTGGTCTTCAATCTTGACTTCAACCGGCCTACCAGCCTCACCTATATTCTTATCACGGTATATTGCAAGCATAGCAATAAACACAATCAAGTATATGCACACTTTACTAGCAGGATCCATCTTTTTATAATCAAATTGATTAATTCTCACCGGCGTTTCACTCAACTTGACCGGCTCCAATTTCATAACCATATCTGAGTCCTTCGGGTGCAAACTCTTTAACTTGCTCGGCACATGGAACGGTAAGTCCAACGGAGCTGAATCTGCTTTATTCCAATTGGAGAATTTTTCACGCACGCCCCAATCGCCATACGAGATGAAATACCCCAACAATTTGTCCTCTTTGCTCAACTTGTTCCAGTTCTTGTCGTACTTCAGCTGTAATTCATCAACGACTTGACCCTGATGCAAGAGAGATAATGCGGGAAAAAGTTGTGGATTGGCATAGATGGGTTTCGTATCTATTGGTTGGGTTGCATCGTCCGACGATGGCGATAAAAGAGAGCCGAAATCTTTGAGTGACTGGACGGCAAGTTGGGCTGCTTGGGCTTTCTTATCGGGCAGCGGTTGCGTCGAGGAGGCAAATCGTTTTAGAATGAGTGACATGGATGATGGAGGTATAGCCTTTTGTCGAAGTGAATGGTGATTTTATCAAAACAACTTTTTTTCAACAGATGCATGTTCCTGCATACTATCTACACCCATTTCAATTTCGCAACAATTTAACAAGTTTTCGGCCTCTGTTGTTAAGAAGAGAAGTTGTAATTTTTCATACAATTGGCAGTTTCAAATCATAGATATATATATCAACTAAATCTAAGGCATTGCTAGCTTCTTCCACATTGACTATTTAATAAACCTCAGGACTTTTCGACAATAATCAACAAGAAGTTCTTACTCTACACATTCCTTCATAATATAGACCCTTACAAATTATGTTTTTTTGAACTATTTACTTTCTCTTCTTCTTTTTATTTCCCTTCTTACCAGACTTTTTCTTCTTTTTATTACTGGCCTTGCTGTTCTTTGATTGTGTTGGGTTGGTAGAAGATCCTTCAGCACCTGGTGTCACATCTCGACTGCTTGGTTCGGTGGAGGTATCATTGGTAGCAGAGAGTTGTTCAGTTTGTGGAGCTTCAGATGCATTAGCAGAAGCTGAGGGTGGGGCCTCGACTATATTAGATTCACCCAGAGTGGGTACTGATTGGTTGGGCTCTTCCAAGCCACTCACTTCTGGATCGCTAGGCTTTGCTAAGGATAATTCCGGTTCTCTTTCTTCATGTGTAGTTTCTCCTTTGGCAGCCTCACTTGGCTCAGCTTTTGACAGTTTTTTACTGGTTTGTCCACTTGATCCATATTCAACACCACTCTCCGAAGCAAGCAATGGCACTGATTCCGACTGATTATCTTCCAGTACATCATTTTGGATATTTTGTTCATATATTCTCTCCCTTAAATCCATAACTTCCTCTGGCTCATTAGTCACATGTGTCCCATCAATACTCTTGACCTCATCATCTTCATCCTCATCATCATTGCCACCTCTTTTTGTTACTGGCTTCTCATTCATTCTCATATGCTGCGCACTCGATCCTACTCTAGTCACATCATTTGAGCTTCTACCAAAGAAATCCAATTCTTCTTCCAGATTATACCGAGGTGGCAACTCTTCACCCTTATCAAGTAATTTGTCATTATTATCTTTGAGGACCTTGTTATACTGAGGCAAGTTTGCTAATCCTCGTTCACCACCTAATTTCTTATAATCGCTAGTCGAAACAAATCCATATTTTCTTACATTAGCCTCAATCCAAACAAATCCACTTTGACCCAAGTTGACCTGGAATTTAGCATTGGTTGAAAAACATCCAACGGCAGGATACAAATCAACAAAACACCCCTTCATTACATCCAAAAGTTTCTTCCCATTACGGGTAATGAATAATGTACCTGTTGGGATGACATAACCAAACCCAACCACATCTGCTTCTTGCAAAGGCGGTAAAACTAATGCATTATATTGACTTTGTTCACCAAGGTGTTGTTGTAATGGAGTAGGAAAAGGTTTGTTAATCTTGAGATTACCTGTACTCTCATAAGCAATTGAGAATTTGTTATATCCTGGTAATCTGAATGATGTAGGGTATGGCTTTGTAATCAACCCAATGGAGAAATGCTGACTTGACAAATTGGGGTCTTGAATAAATTCAAAAACTTTTGTTTCAAAATAAATGGTATCAGAAAATACTCGATTTCTAACTGGTAATGGATAGTTGAGACTTGCCGTTGTAGTACAATAAGGCAAATCATTATTATTAAAGTTCAATTCTGTCTTATCAGCAACAATATAATGGGGATTCAACGTATCAGTCTCCATTTCAAAGGTAAACACATTGATTCCATACTCTTTAATCATTCGCTCATCCTCCAAGGAAAAAGTCTTGCCCCTCGTCTTTGTAAAATCAGGTGGGTTATTAACAGTAAATTCTTGGCCCTTGAGATACAGCTGTTGTTCTTCTGGCGATAGCCCCGTAAAATCAAAAGCCTCAGCCAAATGGGTTAAACTTTCCTCATCATTTAAAAACTCCCGTGGCACATCATTCAGATGTGATCCTAACAAATTATCAGTTATGGATGACGATAAACTTTGATATTCTCCATTGATTCGCAGTCTGCTAAAGAATATCCTGTAGGCGCAAAAGACAATGGCTAAGATGACTGTGATAGAGAAGGATACAATTATCGACAACACCAATGTCACATCATCGTATTCCCCCTCAACCATGATGAAAATATTTAGTACCTGCAAAAAAGTGTGGAAAGTACTTACCTTTTAATCAGGGAAGGAGAAGAGAAAAATAAATAAAAAAAAATTAGAATGAAAACAAAATCAGACAATTAAACGAAAACCAATCAACTGGTAGCACTTGGAATAATACCTCTACATCTTTAAAGGAACAACGACTTTTTAACAATAATTGCTCTTTAGTTGTCTATTTTAATAATGAGAGATGTATAAAATAGGCTGATGCACTTGAGACGTGGGGGTAATATAATCATTACAATCATGGCTTGGTTATCTAACACTAGTTTCAGAATATTCCATCCAGCATTCTATATTTCCTACGTTCGAACCCCAAGACCCACAAGTTTCCAAATAACCTAGGGATGGTATAATATTGGGAAATATATCATGAGGTAAGCGTACTTAAATAAGCGACTGTGGGAAGTTGAAACCTACTGCGGCGAAACCATACTCAAATATCGAGAAGTACAGTAACTTGGAACCAGGCTCAAAGGTTAAATTCTCAACTTCCGGTGACGGTCTTCAATTTTCAAACTCTTCAAGTCGGGTCTATAGATTTCAAGTGGAGCCTTTATAACCCAATTTGGTAATATGCATGTTGGCAAAACATCTTTATTGCTTTCAAGGTATAAACTTTTCAATTGAAGTGAGTTCCCCTCACATGTCTTTTGAAACGTCAGCCTATTTGATCACTGTAGCTTCCAGGTTTTGTGGTGTTGAAGAACTGATTTGGAAAAGCTCCGACACACATATTTTAGGGCCGTTGAGAAACAATTATTTCCAAAGTGGGAGGTAATTATGGCAATGGAGGGCATGATGCCATTTGCACTCCGGTCTGAAATATAGTTACAGCAAGAAAGCAAATAAATACTTGTCAAATACTGAGGAAGCTGGAATATATCAAAGGTTTGATCACATAAAGATCACTCGACTAAATTGGAGCAATTAGTTAAAGATTTGCTAAATTTGCAATCACCCATCTTCAAATACATACCTTCCAAAGCCTTTGCATTCGCATCAAGCTCGATGTTGTCCAACCCAACAACCGACAATTCAGTTACGCAATCTTTTATTTGGTTCAAACTGGCAAGAATCTGTGTACCACCTATGCAGCCCAGATTCATAAAGTCCAACTTGAAAGTTAGCTTGATGTTGTGACCGTGCTTCAACCTTACTAGTTGCATTGCAAAGATTATTTTGCAATGAATTCGGAGTTGCTCCTCCACGCATTGATTGGAAAAACCAGTATAAATGCTACATCACAAGTAGTAAAATCTGAGGTCTAGAAGTCAGTTTCTCTTCCTTGGTTTGCCCACGGCCATCGGTTCATAGCAGTCACATCCAAAAATGATGAGTGGATTGCTGAAATTGTATTTTGGCTTCTTTTGTATCACGTAATCAATCACAAGCTTTGAGTTCTTTGTTCTGAAGTAAAAGAGTCTTATTTGAAAGCAATTTCGTATTATTTGCCCCTTGCTTTTGAAACAAAGTCCTGTAATATGTCAACTACCGGCAAGTCCAATGTAAGTCTCGGTTCTAGTTACCTCCATTGAGGTCATGGAGGGATTCGGTATAATGTAAAGTAATAAGGCATGTATGTATAGTCAAGACACTTTCAACGTAAAATGAAAGGTTCGTCCTAAATTGGTTTATCATTCCGCGACGCGACCCGACGCGACATTGTTTTCTCAGTAAAGAGTAGCAGTTATTTTTGATGACACGGAATTTTTTCTTATCAATTTGTGAAAACAGAAAGCGGATAATTATTTATTGAATCGTTAATATCCGAAGCAACTCATCCAGAGTCTTTGTTGTCATTGTTTGTGAAATCTCAAAAATGTGTTCTTAGTACTTAAAGAGTTGAAATAATGTACCCTGAATAGCCGAAGGAACACGTCTGGGGTCTTTGTTGGCATTGTTTTACGAATTCTCGAAAATGTATCCCCGTATTTAAAGTGTCTAATACTTCAACTTTGGTCCTCGATTCAGGATTCTGTTATCCACCGCATCATGTCGATTCCCCACGTTTGGTTACTTTTACCGTTATATGCTTTGCTAGCAGTTGCTTCTCCATTCAAAGCAGAATGTTTAAGCGATTCAAAAGATTATTTGGTTTCACCATTGCCAGGCTGGGATGAGTTGCCTTCAGACTATGCCAAGCCCATTCAGTATGCCGGACAGTTGGAGCTCTTCCCCGAGAACAGCACAGAATATTTCTTTTGGAAAGTTGTTGATTCTGAAAAGGTTCCAGAAAACAAGAATCGTACAACCTTTTGGCTACAAGGTGGTCCAGGCTGCTCATCAATTGAAGGTGTCTTTCTCGAGCATGGTCCATTCAAATTGGATGACGAAGAGAAAATTGTGGTCAACGAAAATTCATGGCATAAACGCTCCGACATGGTATATGTTGATCAGCCAACTCAGGTAGGGTACAGTGATGGAGAATTAATTCACGAATTGAGCCAGGTGCAAGTTTACTTTTTGAAATTTTTAGAAAAGTACTTTGAGTTGTTTCCCGAAGATCTCAAAAATGAGATCTATGTTGCTGGAGAATCTTTTGGTGGGCAGTATGTTCCATATGTTGCCGATGCCATACTCAAAAGAAATGAAAACTTGACTGACGGGGGAGTGGAGTACAAGCTAAAGGGAATTATGATTGGCAATGGATATGTGTCACCAAACGAACAATTTCTATCCTACATTGATTATTTTAAAGATCACTTTTTAATTGATGACTCAAACCCCAATTGGGATACCATAAATGAATATCAAAGTGCTTGTCAGGAGGTAGTAGACGGAGAGGAGATTAGTTCTAATGAAAATAGGGCCCCAGTTTGTGAGGCCCTTTTGGGCCTCTTTTTGAATGCTACCAGAAACGAGTCAGCTCCAGCCGACCAACAATGCCTCAATGTATACGACTACAATTTGCACGACTCTTTTCCATCTTGTGGAGATTCGTATCCCCCATTGTCGGACGCCAACAGGTTTCTTAATCGTTGGGATGTGCAAGCCGATCTCAATGTTGAGAGTCCTGTCAACTATACTGTTTGCAATACAGTTGTCCAAGAAACATTCACAGCTCCCAACTCACCTCCCTCCAAATTGCTTTTGCCGGATATAGTGTCCCAAATTCCCATCGTTTTATACAATGGGGCCTCTGATATCCTCTGCAACACAGATGGAGTTTTGAAGTACTTGTCAAACATGACCTGGAACGGTGCAACTGGATTTAGTGATACCAACAATAGGGCTGATTGGATAGTCGAGGACAAAAAAGCTGGGTGGGTGCTTCAAGACAGAAATTTGACATTTATCAATATTTTCAACGCCAGTCACTATGTTCCATACAGCCAGCCAACAGTGGCAAAATTTTTGCTTGACTTTGTTACAGGTGAAACTACAGAAGACGCTGAAGGATTCGTTAGCCAGCCAAAGGAGCAACCTCGTTAAGAGATAAGTTGTACCTACGTCTTTTATACATAGTTTGTATAAAATTAAAATAAAAGAGTCACCCCTTGCCTTTATTTAAGCCTTGAACAAAGTAGTATTTTTAGTGTATTACTAACCAGGCGACTATGAAGGCTAATGAAGCCATTGTAGACAGGCAATTGCCAGAAATGGAAATAGGAGCTAATTATCTTGAAACTTTGCATCATATAGTATATAGAAAGATTGTTAAATTGTTGCAATTAGACCCTCACATAAATTCTTTGCAACCAAACACATTGTCATTGTTATTTATTGATTCCTAAACTACAGACAACACAGACAATATCTAACGCATAACAAATAACGCATAACATATATCATATGCAAAATACACGATCATATCTAACCTGTAAAAACCTAACAACTGTTAACTTAACTTTGCTGTAAAAGTAAAACAAGGACAGAAAGATGTACATGTTGAATCATAAAACTACAACCATGCCAGAAGAATCAGCAGTATCAGAAGTAACACATACACTTTATAACAATACTACTGAGATTCCTCAATCTATTACTGAGGTTATTATTGCAACATTTCAAAATGAATATACTTTTCCATGTCTTATTCTTATAATTATAACTCATACGTTTATCCTTTCATCAGTAAATATATTGTGCAGATTATCGCCTGTGTTTGGAATTACAACATCACGGAATATTTGGAATTACATGGGTAGTGTATGTCATGGAAGACACTTTGCTGGTGAGAGTAGAAGTCAATGTGATTTGGAGAAGAGTTTAGGTGGAGGTGAAGAGAATATGTTATATGAGCAACGATATGATCAACAGGAGAAGAAAAAGAAAAAGAAGGTGATGAGGGAAAAGACGAGGGACCAAACTGCTGTTAAAACTACCACAACAGCAGCTACAGCTTGTAGCCAACCTTCGAGATGTTTTTTAAAATTTGTGCTCAAGGGGTTACTCTTTTTGGCTTATATACCTGTTTACTGCGTAGGAACATTGTATTTGGTTTTTGATACTATCGATAAGGTAGAGAAACGTTTGGGACCTTCACAAGGTTGGGTTCTTTTGGTTAGTTATATCATTGTTTACATGATTGGACTCGTTGTCTTGGTATCTATCGAGGTGGATGACGAGACGGAGGAAATGTCCCATGAATAAAGAATGGCTATGATGTTGCTGGTGGTGATGATGAAAATGATGATTTTTGCAACAAGGATGAGAAATAACAGTTGTACTTCATAGCAATGTCACATAAGTATAGGAAGCATGGGGTCTTTTTAGATACGTATCTAATTTACTATATGGAAGTCGCCGTTTGTAGTTGCAGCATAAATGAAATAATGTTGAGTATGGGCATAACTATTGTGGTGTTACAAAATGTAAATCTAGTGGGTGATGGGATGTTATTATGTGAATAAAGGCTATGGTTCTATTTACTTCTAAGAGCTTGCAATTCTGTTGAAATGTTTTGTTGGTTTGTTTGTGTCTCTATTAATAGTCAAAGAGACAACTATAAACAAAGAGGAGCTTATATACAGTATTATAGTCCGTGTTTGTGGAATCTAAAAATATTCAAAATACAAACAAACACAAAACAGTTAGTGTATAAGTAAATATGTGTGTTTGGGTGCAAGATGCGCTTATACGGCGCACAGATCATCAATGTGCGGCGCAGATCCATTCTATGCAGAAATCAGACAAAAAAGGACTAAAAGAGCAAAGGCAAACAAAGAGATGAAACTTTCAAAGTTGAGAATGAGTAGTCTTAGTAAATTACTATTGGTTGCATGTGTATATATGTATAAGTGTCCCCTTAGAGAAAGGGCCACAAATGCTTTGTGCCCTGTTAAAATAACATCTATTTATTTTTGCGTTGTACCCCTTAAGTCGTGCAGTGGCTTGGGAAAACAGACAAAAAAGAAAAAGATTAAAACAGACAGACAAAAACAAAGAAAAAGAGACAAGAAAAAAAAAAAAAGAATTTAAAATTAAATTTACAACACACACAACAGACACAACACACACAACAGACGCATAAACAAAAATCCTTTTTATTTTTTATTTTTATTTTTATTTTTTTAATTTTTTTTTTTTTTTAACAACCAAACCAAACAAAACCAAACAAACCAAACCAAAAAAAAGATAACCCAAAATTTACACTAACAATTACAGTTCAAAGCCACCACAACTACATATACCACTAGTTACCAACCACGAGAAAGATAGAGAGAGAGAATAAGTCAACTGCAACTGCAACTGCAACTACACTCCACGGTACACTCAACACATCTCTCCTCACCCTATGTTTTTTCGAAGATTATCCCTACTGTATGTCCTATTGGGTGCGTTGGTGGTTGCTATTATCATATTCAATGTTCTGATACTATCTTCCAGCGACTCTTCCACCACTGTTGTTAGCTCAAAATATGGTGGTGCTAAATACTTTACTGGTGGCAAATCTTCCTTGCAAGCCCACGTTGAGAAAGTCGATAGTCAAGAATATGTTGACGAGGTAATGAAGGAATTAGAAGCAACCAAAAAGGAAGAAATTTTGGTTGAATTGAAAAAGTCAGTGGCTAAGACTGAAAAGCCAAAAATTGTACAAGAATTAAAGAATGAACTTCGAAGAAAATACATTGATGTTATCCAACAAACGTTGAAGGACGAAGTGAAGGAAGAACAAACCAGTGAGTTTTTCAAACATAACTCCATGTCCTATGCCTTATTTGAGCAGATGGTCAATACGTATGCTAAAGAACATCAAACTGAGTTTAAACCAGCGGCATTTTTAGAAGTTTTAAAGTCTGAAATCAAGGATTTCCCATCTGATTTTGAACAGAGAGTTACTAAAGCTTGTGATCGGTTCTTTGATCGAACAAAGTACTACCAACACTTGATCAAGGATATTCTAATTGCTAATAAACCAAATTGTGATCCATTAACTGATGAAGAACGGGGTACACAACTAGTCCCAACTGAACAAAAGGACCCACTCATAATCTCGGAGAAATTCCTTCGTGATTCTGGTATGAATATTCCCATACCTAAATTCAAATGCTTACAAGAATCTCATGATAATGTGGTGAAGCAATTGAAGTCATTACCTGAGCCACCAAGACAATTTGTTTCCGGTGCGGGTATAGTTATCAATGGTGGTGGTGGCATGATTGCTGCTGCGTTGACAGCTATTGCCAACTTACGTGACCGTGGATCTTCATTACCAGTTGAATTAGTCTTGGATACTCCTGAAGAATACGACAAACAAATTTGTGAAGACTTGCTCCCCAACAAACTAAATGGTAAATGTGTTGTTGTACAAAATATCATTGGTAAAGAAACCTTTGATATGGTTGGAGATAAGTTTGCCCGTAAAATGCTTGGTATAATCATATCATCTTTTGATGATACAATCGCATTAGATGCTGACAATTTCCCCGTTGGAGATATTGACAATTTACTTTATACTGAGCCCTATCTTTCAACAAAGATGATTTTGTGGCCTGACATTTGGGTTAAATTAACCAGTCCTTATTACTATAAAATAGCCCGAATCGAAAAGGGAGAACCAACCCGTCGTTTTGGTCTTGCTAATGACGCTAAATATTCCGATTACATACAAAAGGATAAACAAACTGAAATCCATTTCCATGATTTCGCCAATCTTCCAAGTGCAATCTCGGTTGAAACGGGGCAAATGGTATTTTCCAAGCGTGAGCATTTCCGAGCATTACTTTTGGCATTATACTACAATATAAACGCTAAAGGGTGGTATACCGCATTGCTTTATCAAGGTGCATATGGCCAAGGAGATCGTGAAACTATTGTTCCGGCATTACATGTAATGAATGAACGATATCATTTACAAAATCAAAAATTGCATCGTTGGGGATACACTGCCGGAAATGGGAAATTCACCGAGGGAACATTGGGTCAAACTGATCCTCGTGACAATCCCGAATTTTATTACGAGTGGCAGAAGTTCTTAAACTCAAGACAATTGGATACCAGATTAAACCCTTTCCAAGCCAGTTCCTTTACTGACAGTTTGATGCTGCAATTTAAAGAATACAAGAAAAAGATTATTGAGGATAAAAAGATTGAAGATGAAGATACTGCTCATCGATTAATCGAATACCAATTACCAAAGTTGTTATTCTTGCATTGTACCAACCCCAAAATTGACCCTGTGAAGAACGCACAGGAGGGAGAATTTGGACCTTATTCAAGAAGAAATATTGGACCCTTAGATGAAGTCAAACCATTTTTCGGTAAAAAGGATTGGGAATTACGATTCCATTCATTGGCAAGATGGGTTGCTTGTGATGCCATCAAGAGTCCTGATTATTGGACCAAAATGGCCAAGATTGATCAACAAACTGTATGTTTCAAGATTAACAAGTATATTAATTTCTTGAAAGAGGATTCATTCGATGCGTCATTTGAATTTACCCTGGAAGATGGACAGAAATTTATTAGCACCAACCGTAATAGTGCCAAGCTAGGTGGCGCCGATGGAGGTGGCACTGATGATGAAATTAAAGCTATTGCTAATCAACAAGCTCAAGAACAGGCGAAAGCTGAAGCTAATGCTAAAGCTAAAGGTGAAGTAGATGATCCATTGAAAGAGGATGTCAAAGAGGATGTTAAACCAGCACAGAAGGAAGAAGTACATCAACCACAGTAAATAAATAAAATTAGACAATTATTGTACAATGCTCGTATATATATATATATATATATATATATATATATAAAGTGACAAACTCTATTACTATTTATCTTATTCTTCATCACTTGCATCATCATCCTCATCACTCCCATCATCGCTCTCATCTTCACTCTCATCTTCACTCTCATCTTCAAATTCTTCCTCATCTAATCCATCAGTATTAACTTCCTCCACATTGATGTTATATCCCTCAGTTTGCAAAAACTTGCCCATCTCTTCAATTTTTTCCATCGGCAAACTAGTAAAAACAACCGATTTCCCACTATCAAACAAATTAACAAAATATTTCTTCAACACATAAACCACATCATTTACATTCAATTGATTCAATTGGTTCAAAAACAACTCGATGTAATTGGGTCCGCGCTGTTTGAACAAATTGTCACTCACTTTGGCAGTTGCTGCATCATAATTTGATTCTTGTGCATTGGCCAATTCATTAACAATCATGGCAATTGCATTTTCCAAACTCAATTCATCAATAACCAAATCTCCATTGGCATATTGTTTGACAATATCGCGCGACTTGATCCATGCTTGTTTGGCATCGGATGCGCGATAGAGATTAAAACTCAAATATCCAGTTTCGATATTTTGTTTCATTGATACGCCATAGGCTAGTCCTGATCCTCTTATTGATCGCCAAAATGGGCCTTCAACGGCACAGAGGAATTCGATAGCCAAGGCAATCCTGGGGATATCTTCATGTAAGTAATCAGTGGGGATGGGCGAAACGCTAACTAAATGGGTTGATTCGGTGGCACGCATATCGATGAGAAACGCTTCATAGTGGCAGCGTTGACCCAATGCCGATTGGAATTGAAATGATCGTGGTAATTGACTAAATGGAACAATGGATGATACAATTTCTTCTTTTTGGACCGGTGGAGATGATGACACAAATTTATCCCATGAGCTAACTGGCGTTTCCAAAGCTGACACATCTCCCAATATAATCACTTTGATGTTATCCAATTGGAATAAGCTCAGTTTAATCTCATCCAAGTCTCGTTTGATTTCATTGAATTTGCCCTCGTTGATCAATTGCAACAACTCTTTATAAAATGACTCAGTATTTATAGCATCCTGTTGTTTCCTCAATGATGAATCATTAAACAAGTTTCTAAACTGTGATGAATACATCATCAATTCTCCATTCCGTTTCTTATCCGGCAACGAACCCAATATCTTTTCAATAATGACTTTAATCCTCGCTTGTTCAAATTCAACAAAATTGACAATTTTATACAACCAATTGATTGCCGTTGTGTATTTTGATGCCTCACATTTAACCAGCATCGAAATCAAATCGAGAAACTGATAATTGAACCCATTATCTAATTGAAACTCAATCAAATCACGATTTAAATCAGCCACAACTTGCTCATAAGGTAAATAGTCACCATTGGGTAACTTGATTGACATGGAAAAAATCTCTTCAATGACCGACATGTATTTTAGTAAATGAGGTTTGATTTCAGTCGACGACATTACTAGTTGAATCGTGACAAATTGTGATTTAAAACTTTCAAAATGCATGAAAAGGGGGAAATTGGAAGGAGTATCTTGATTAAGCTTTGCATGAATTTCACCTGATTCAATGTATTGGTTAGTGTTTATATTGACAATTCCTTTATTGTATCCAGCTTTATATGAGTCTGTTTTGATAAAGGCGATTTTCGACGGATCGGGCTTTGCAAACGCAACAAGCAACTCCTCGGGTATTGGACGATCATTAAACTCATGGGAAGCAATCAATTTCTCCTCAGCTTGTTTCAACCCTTCCACTCCTAGCTTCGCTTTCACACTCTTGTTAAACTCGCGTTGTTGCTTTTTAAGTTCATCATTTAATTTCCTTGACGGAGTTCCCAACACAGTAGCGCTCTTATTGTCAACAAAGTACTCCTTGATCAAATTACACCATTGCTGAGATGTCCAGGTTAACAAATCATCATATTCAGCCAAGTTTTGCGCCCATTTCGGTAAATCACTACCATCAGGGTTTCCATAAATGAAATCAAGTATAGCAATGTTGGAAAATGCAACGGGTGATTTCTCAGTTTGAGATATGAATTTCAATCGTTGTTGATTGATAATTTGTCTCATATACAACAAGTTAAATTCTTCAGGATTAGTTTGGGATTTAATCAATTCCTTCAACTTCACCGCCAACTCCTCCAATTTCTCGGTTGGCACACCATTACAAATGAAATTCAATGCTGTTCTATAATAATCATCAGTGTGATACTCCACATCAGTAGCATACGGATTATCGATCTCAACAAGATGCTTATTAAACAAGGAAATGGCACTGTCTGTAAATGCAACTCCCACCATATCAACAGCGGTATTAATAATTGGGTCGTCACCCAATGGACCTATCCAAGACACCAACACTTCACCGGTTGACTCATCAGTCTCAGGAAACTCGACCACTTTAACAATGTCTTCCGTCAATGGCTCATCATGCTTTGAATCGACAAATGGTCTTTCATTAGCCACAGGAGGCAACTCCTCCAACTCAGCATCAAAATCAGTCATGATTTGCAACAATTCATCCTGATCAACTGACCCAGTGATAATCACACATAAATTATCAGGCCTATACATTGACTTATGGAACTCCTTTATTCTTTCATTAGTCAAATGGCGCAATTCAGCCATTAACCCACCAGTTTCAGAAGAGTAGCCCAGCCCAGGAGCATACAACAACTTTTGCAAATGATTAGAAGTCTCAAACCACGATTGTCCTTGAATCCCCTGCATTTCACTAAACACGACTCCCTTCTCTTTTCCCCTTCCATCAACATGATAAACCTCAGTTAAGCATGCTTCATCAGTTAAAGTTGGATTAAACAAATGATCTAAATAAATGGGCAACAACGTCTTAAACCCATCCCACCCTGCTGTAGTTAGCGTATACACTGTCTGATCAGTAGCTGTCCATGCATTTGTATTAGAATAAAGTCGATTACCCAAAGTATCCAATAACCCTTTATAAGGGTACTTTTTTGATCCCATAAAGATTAAATGTTCCAAAGTATGCGGCGAGCCCGAATCATCACTGATCTCAGTGGCAACGGCAAAGTATCCATTCACTACAGGAGATGGTTGGTTGATATAAGTTAATTGCAAACCTGTGCGTTGTGATCTCCATTTTGTGATGAATGCAGGAGCATATTCCACTTCAAATGACGTTTGTTTAACAAACGGTGAATTGAACCTTGTCATTATTGAGTTGAAAATACGTGTATAATATGAAATGATGATCTAAACTGGTCTTGTTACTGGATGAAACTTTAACGCCGGCCACTCTCTTTGCCTTTAGACGAAAAAGAATTTGAAAAAAGATGTAATACAAAACTTCCAAAAAGACGAAGAAGAAGAAAAAAATTATTCAACAATTGCGCTTTTCTAACATGACATAACTTACTTACTTTCCTACTTCATCTCCAGTTCAGCTTCTTTAAACATCTTAAACATATCACCAACATCCTTTTTCATAGTTCTTGTTAAATCCACTAGGTCCTCATCTGGCCTATTGTACATAATACAATTAGCAAACATTAGCATAACGTCTCTTTCAAGTTCCTTAATCAGCAGATACGCTGGAGGATCGTTCTTTGATTTAAGGGCTTTCAGTATACTTTTCAAGTCTTTTGGTTGGTATATCATTTCGTAATAGTTTGGCGCATCTTTTGGGTTAACTGCTTGTAAAAATGGCGATGAGAACCTGTGCTCTTGAATAGAGCTTATGAGATTAACAGCAATGTTTTGGAAACGCTTGTGATGTTGAGAAGGTGCAGGTGAGCGTGATCTGGGTCTCTTGCGTGATTGCACTTCAGATTTTGATTGCATTGTTGCTTCCGGTTCCAGTTGAATAATCTCGATTGTCTTTTCTTCAGAGGGTTCTTTGGACGCGGCTGGCTCAGGTGAGGCCGATTCATCAACTGCAGACTTATCTTGTTCAGCATCTTCATCTGATGTATTGCCTTCTTGCTCATCCTTTGGCTCGGCTATATCTTTAGTCTCTTTTATTTTAGATGAATCTTCAACATTGATTGAAGCTTCTTCTGCAGTAGATGGACTCTTTTCTTCAATTTGTGCGTCTGCATCCTTATTTATCTCGGTCACTGGTTCCACAAGCTCAAGCGGATCCTTACCTTCATTTTCATCTTCTGATTCTCGATCCTCATTTTCCTTGGTCGACACATCTTGCAGTTCTAAGATAGTTTTCAGTATATCGTCATCCTTTTCATCATTTTCGTCAAGTTTTTCTTTCGACTCGCCAGAGCCTGTTTGCTCTTTGTTCAGTTGACTCAGATCTTTGCTTTCCTTCTCTACAGACCCCATGTGTCCAGATGTGTTCCCTTCAACCTGTGACAATTCTTCAATCTCTGGGCTGGCCAATTCTACCTCTTCCACAAGTTCGGATTCTTTGCCCTCCCTTTCATTAGACTCATCTCGCACTTCCTCTTCTATATTGTCACCTTCACTTTCCTTTTCCGTTGACTGCTGTTGTGGCGATTCCACATCTCCTTCTGTTGGGACCTCCTCTGCATTTGCCTCGTATGTCGGTTCAGCATTTTCTTTCACTTCCTCGGTGGTCTCTATCACTTCTCCATTTCCATTTGCATCCTCTATCACGTCTTCACTTCCGTTTACACTTTCCTTCTCTAATTGGTACAACTGTTTAGCCCCATTAAGTAAGAATTTTGAATACCGAAACGTTGAAGTGGCGACGATATTCTTCAAATAATTCTCATACTTATCGCCCACTTCCACAACTACCTCATCATTCGTCACACTGACAAACTTAAAGTACAACGTCCTGTTTATGATGAATGATAGTAGTTTGATGTCTATTTGAGGAAAGTTTATTTCATCATTGGGAAAATCCCTTGTATATTTGTATGTGGTGTCGTTCAACTCAGTGATAAAGTTTTGAACGGGTATCGTGGCCCTATTGTCAGGCATGTCACCCTCATATTCACTTATGAACTTGTTTATTACAGACCCTACAAGGATGATCAGTAGGTCGGGGTTGATTTTCACCTGTTCAGACATTGTTGTAAAGTCGTGAATCAACAGTTGATGATAATTTTTTTTTGAACCTCACAATTTTTAGGATAACAATTCAAGGCAATCCAAACAAAAGAGGAATTATATGCGTATGTAAAAGATGTAGAGTATATCTTATCCACACGGGAGCTTGATCAATCAGATTAAATCCTACGTAAGTTAAATCTAATAAAAGTTTGTGGTAATTTATATATACAATATTTCCGTCTAGTTTAACGGCATCCAGGCCGATTTGCCCCTTGCTGTCCTAGCTAGACTATATTCCTCGAATGAATAACCGTCTTATTTTTGACCTTGTTGCATCAATAAGGCACTAGATTTAAATAGTTAGTATCATTTCATCTACCTCATCTCAGTTTACTATACATACTTCTGTTCTTGGAATCTTTGACCAATACGTTCACTATGCTTCAAGAACTTTTCGGAACATTTAGCAATACAGCTGGTCTCTTTTGATGTCAAGTTGTTGGAAGTAAAGTCGTTGACACAATCTTCAAAACATCTTGAGACCAAGTTTGAGTACAAGTTCATGAAATCCTTCATTTGTTTTTGTTCAACAATTTGTTGAAACTCTTGTTGCTCTTTGACATTTAACTGATCCATCTTGTAAATATGTTATTGAGTTGTTTGTGGTTTATGGCTAATGTGTTGATTCAATGGCGAAAAGAAGGTTTTAGCAATTTTTGCAAAGTTGAAAAATTTTTTGTCTGCTGTGTGTGGAGAGTATGTTACAAAGATTGTCCACTGTGTGTATATACAGTCTATATGTCAAACTACGCTTTACAAAGACCAGGAGCTCTTGGAAATGGAACCAAGTCTCTGATATTATCATGTCCTGACAAATAAGTCACAAATCGTTCCCAGCCCATACCAAAGCCACCATGTGGAATAGTACCGCATTTACGCAAATTAGTGTACCAGTCCATGTCTTCTAGATCCATATTGTTATTCAGCATCGATTCGACAAGTGTGTCATAATTATGCTCCCTCAAGGATCCACCAACTAGTTCTCCAAACTGAGGCAATAGTAAATCAAAACATGCAACTGTTGGTTTCTCTTGGTTATACTTTAATGACTTTGACATGTAGAATGGTTTCATCAATGCTGGGTAATCAGTAACAAAAACAGGACCCCTTTCAGCTAATACCCTTTCATGGTCCAAGTTTAACGAGTCGCCAAATCTCAAGTTCGCTCCTTTGCTGTTCAACTCATCGAGAGCTTCATTATAAGAGATGCGACGCCAGTCACCAAGAACATGTCTCCACCTAGACTCTATAACCTCTTTGTCCAAGTATGTCCCATCAAGATAGTCCTCCTTTCTTTCCACGAGCTTCCCTGTGGCATATTTGATCATCTCTTCAGTGAAGTTTAGCAAAGGCTCCAAATCATCCAAGTATGAGACCTCGGCTTCCAACATCCAAAATTCGCTTAAATGTCTATTAGTCTTGGAATCTTCCGCTCTAAAGCAAGGAGTCAATGTCCATGCCCTGTTAAGAGCCAACGCAATCGCTTCAAGATGCAACTGGGTAGAGACCGTCAAATATGCCTTTTTGTCAAAAAACTCCTCTGCCAGTTTTATCTCAAACGTTTCTCCAGCACCTTCACAGTCTGAACTTGTGATTAATGGAGGGCTCACTCTTGTAAAGCTATGGTTGTTGAAAAAACCCATCATTTGCGTTTCCAAAAAGGATCGTAGTCTATAAAACGACGCAATTGTTGAAGCTCTATGCTTCAATGATGGTAGAGTCCTTAAAAACGACATCGAAGTAGCCTTCTTTTGCAAGGGATAGTCCTCGGGTACTCGGCCAATGATTTCATACGTATGGTCAGGGTCATCGGGGTTGTATTTGAGCTCCTTATCTTGGCCCTTTCCCTTGCTTATATCCCATTCGCCCTTGACAATCACACTCTCTCCAACTTGAAATTTAGGCTGATTCTTACCAACAAGAACTACATTGATTATCTTTGATGTTGAACCGTCCGAAATGTCCAAGAATCCGACATTTTTCGAATTTCTTATACTTTTGACAAACCCACGCACTTCAAGAATTGAACCAACAGGTGGAGAAGCAAGTAACTGTTCTTTGATTGTTGGGGTAAGGGACGCACTAGTGCCTAAATATCGCACTATTCCGTACGGCTTCGATCTTGTTGGTATTGTTCTGATCATCCACTAGTTGTTTCCGATTTCCGCTATCGTGACAAATTAAGTAAACTTTTCCGCAGGTATAAAAAAATTCCAGACTAAATTGCCTCAGAGCACAAAGGGCTATAAAATGAGAAGAGGCTCCCCACGTTCTTGAACAAAAAAAGAAGTCTCACCAATATTCACAGGTGAATAGTTTTACCTAAGAGACTCACTCGGATGCATTCCCATCATTCACACAGTGGCGATTATATATCGCATGCGCATGATCCCTTAGAAGACATGGTCCAAAGCTACATCGACCGTGGTTTCGAAGTGCTTTGTCTTACAGAACACATGCCAAGACTCGACCAGTCATACTTGTATCCTGAGGAAAAGGAAAAGGGGTATGGAATAAAGGAGTTACTGGATGATTTCAATAAATATTTGGTGCATGCCAAGAAGGTACAATCGAAATATCTGGATAAAATAAAAATCATAATTGGGTTCGAGGTGGAAGGAATAGATAAATCGCATGTGGATTACTCCGCAGAAATACTTAAACACCCTCTGGTCCAAATGAGTGTGGGTTCAGTCCACTATGTGCATGGATTTCCAATAGATTTCTCAAAAGAACTTTGGAAGGAAGCAAAAGCAGCTAGCAAAAGCGGATTGTCCAGGTCGTTGTATAAAGACTACTTTGAATTAGTGTCTAATGTGATTGATTTAAAGCCACAAGTCATTGGCCATTTCGACTTGATTCGTCTATGTCAGCCTGATGACGACTTTGACGACACCACTAACAAGCTCACAAAGGATATAAGAATTAAAGAAGATTGGCCTGAGGTTTGGGATGTCATTATTTCCGCTATAAAAAAGGCAGGTAATTATGGTGCTATGTTTGAACTAAATTCCGCTGCCATTAGGAAAGGCTGGGACTGTCCTTACCCAAAAAGCGATCTCGTACAGGCGATTATCGAGTATGGCGGTGGTCGATTTTGTTTATCAGACGATGCCCATTCAATTGATCACATCGGTCTCAATTATAGAAAGACTTTACAATACCTCAGCGATAACGGGGTATCGAAGTTATATCACCTTGACGTGAATGATGGGGAAGTAGTGACTGTCGCTGATGATATAAAAGACATAGAGGCTTCTACATTTTGGAATTAGATATTTACATAGACATAAATTAAACAAACCTAATAAGATCTACCAAACATACAATACGTGACAGCCTTTCTATCACACTTGACACATTTTTGGCCAGCCTTCAAATCTGGTTGTTCGAATGGAATACATAATGACTTGGCTCCCATTGATGGGGCTTTTTCATCTACATCACCATCTTCACCATCATCATTCTTGGCTGAAGCATCTTTGATATCATCCTCACAATCAGCATCTCCACACCATGGAGCCAAAATGACATTCTTTTTGTTCAAAGTTGGGACAAAATCCTTCCAATCTTCAACCAATACTCTATGTTCATCGAAATCTTTCCTTGCTTTATCTAACAATGCCTTTTGCATTTCATCTAATAATTCTGGAATACGCTTCTCCAATTCGTCTAACTTGACAGTGTATTTTGCACCGTCATTTCTTCTAACAACAGTTACTTGTTTCGACTCCAAATCTTTTGGACCAAACTCTAATCGAAGTGGGACACCTTTCAATTCCCAGTCAGCAAACTTCCAACCTGGATTGTAAGAGTCTCTGTAATCACCGGTAACTCTAATACCAGCCTTTTTCAACCTTTGTTCAATTTCTTCGGCACCGCCATTGATTTGCTTCCTCTGGTCTTCGTTAGTCTTTGCTGTGACCCCAACTGGGATAACAACGGCTTGTGTCTGTGCTACTCTTGGAGGCAATACCAAACCTTTATTATCAGAATGGGTCATGACCATCACACCAATCACTCTAGTGGACAAACCCCACGAGTTTTGATAAGCATACAAACGTTCCTTATCAGCTCCATCTGGGTTCTCAACAGAGATGTTGAACATCTTGGAAAAGTTTTGTCCCAAATGGTGCGACGTACCACCTTGTATACCTCTACCAGTTGCAGCAATGAAACCCTCTACTGTGGTTGTGTAGTCACCACCAGCAAACTTCTCATTTTCTGTCTTTTTACCTTTGACAACAGGAACAGCCAACAATTCTTCATATATACCAGCATAAAAGTCCAAAATTTGCAACACTTCTTCGGCAGCTGATTCCTTGGTCAAATGGGCAGTGTGTCCCTCTTGCCACAAGAACTCTCTAGTTCTTAAAAATGGTTGTGGGTGCTTAAATTCCCAACGAACAACAGAGTTCCATTGGTTCAATCTCAATGGCAAATCACGGTGTGACCTGATCCATTTGGCATAGTATGGATACATAACAGTCTCGGATGTTGGTCTGATAGCTATGTGTTCGTCCAATTCAGAGTTACCAGCCTTGGTAACCCAAGCAACTTCCGGAGCAAAACCCTCAATGTGGTCCTTCTCCTTCTCCAAGACCCTTTGAGAGACAAACATGGGAAAGTAAGCATTTTGAACACCCAAGGATCTAATCTTTTGGTTGAACCAATCTTGGATCGTTTCCCAAACTGCATATGAGTTAGGTCTAAGGATGTAACAACCAGAGACGTCGTAATAGTCCAACATTTCACTCTTTACCACAACTTGAGTGTACCAGTTGGAGAAATCCTTTTCCTTGTCAATGGTGATACCAATCAATTTCGCATCTTCAATCTTTGCATCATCTTTCTTGGCAGGTGCTGGCTTCTTGTCCTTTGATGGAACAGTTGCAACAGGCTCAGCTGCAAAATCGGTTTCAACAGTCTCAATTCCTGTAGATTTCAAAAATTCCAAGACGGCCTTGGCAGGCAAGCAGGCAGCTTCCGATTCAGTTGTCAACTTTAAAGTCTCATCTTTTTCTGCAGTCTTAACAATGTTATCATCAAGTACGATTTTCACCTTTCCCGCTAAATCCTTAGACAAATTAGCGATTGACACTTCTTTGGCAGACACTTTGAAGAATTCTTGCACCAAATCGTCCTTTGCCAATCTAGGTTCCTTGACATTGGCTGACTTTGCAATGGTTGGAGTGGGTGTGACGGTAGACTGAAGTGCAAAGACCAATACTGGAACAGGAGTAGCTGTTTTTGCAGTCTTTGGCTTGAATACTAATGTCTTGGTTGGCAATGCATTAGCACTTTCGCCTGATACGGCTAAGGATAATGAAGCTAAGGACTGAGCTAAAGCCATGGTGGGAGATTCTTTAATGGGCTTTACTTGTAACGGAATTTGCAAATATTCGTAAGATTTTTTATTTTTTTATTTTTCTTTTTTTTTTTCACCTTTTTCATTTTCAATTTCAATTTGAAGAAGACAAAAAAAAAAAAATAAAATAAAAATCAAAATAAAAAATAAAAAAAAAAAGAAAAAAGAAAAGGAAGAAAAAAATTGAGTCAGAATTTTTACTCTTCAATTAACCCAGAAATATTCATTAAGGATTACTATGTCAACTACATACGTTAACGAAAAGACCGGAGTTGACTCTTCTGAGCACTCCGGAACAGAGGCACAACCATATGCAACCCCTGCTTATGCGTTATTTGTCAACCCCGATGCTAAAATCCTCGTTTATAAGGAAACAGAGGAAGATAAAACTAAATTTGCATACACTGAGATCTCGCCATCAGCGTTGAAAAAAGCCAAGAAGGGGGCTGAAGGATTGAAAAAGAAGGCGGAAAAGCAATCTAAACTCGAAGCGGAAAAAGAGTCATTACCTAAAGTTGCCGATTTGGATTTGACTTCAATTGAAGAGGACAAATCCTTGCCAGCTGCAAAGAAGATCAAATTGAGATCAATTCAGGATAGCATTGGCTCTAGAGTACAAGTCAACGGGTGGGTACACCGTTTGAGAGTACAAAAGGGCTTAGCCTTTATAACATTGAGAGATGGAACTGGATACTTGCAATGTGTATTGACAGGAGACTTGGCCAAGGCTAGACAGACCCAGGAATTGACAGTTGAATCTACGGTGCTGATCAAAGGTGTGATTTCAAAGTTACCCGAAGGTAAGACTGCTCCAGGTGGTGTCGAGCTAAAAGCTGATTACTACGAAATTGTCGGTTTGGCCCCAAGTGGTGAAGATGCATTTACAAACAAAATCCAGGAAGGTGCTGACCCTTCGTTGTTGTTAGACCAACGCCATTTAACTTTAAGAGGTGAAAGTATCTCCGCAGTGATGAGAGTCAGAGCAGCATTTTTGCACGCCATTAGAGACTTTTACAAAGAAGAAGGTTTGTTGGAAGTTACTCCACCATGTATGGTGCAGACGCAAGTTGAAGGTGGATCAACCTTGTTCAAGATGAACTATTACGGAGAAGAAGCTTATTTGACACAATCGTCACAATTGTACTTGGAAACCTGTTTGCCCGCATTAGGTGATGTGTACTGTATTCAAGAATCATTTAGAGCTGAAAAATCACATACCAGAAGACATTTGAGTGAGTATACCCATATCGAAGCAGAATTGGCATTCCTCACATTTGATGATTTATTGAACCATTTGGAAAAATTAATCTCAAAAACAGTGGAAAGTGTGTTGAAAGACCCTGTTGCTGGTGAATTGGTTAAGCAATTGAACCCTGGATTCCAAGTGCCAAAGTTGCCTTTCAAGAGAATGGAATACATTGAAGCATTGGAATGGTTGAACGAACGTGGTGTTTTGAACGACGAGGGTAAACCATACTCTTTTGGTGACGATATCGCTGAAGCTCAAGAAAGAAAAATGGTTGACACCATTAACGAACCTATCTTGTTGACCAGGTTCCCAGTGGAGATTAAATCCTTCTACATGCAAAAATGTCAAGATGATCCAAGGGTGACCGAATCGGTTGATGTCTTGATGCCAAATGTTGGTGAAATAACCGGGGGAAGTATGAGGACTGTTGACTACGATGAGTTACTAGCTGGATTCAAGAGAGAAAAAATTGATCCTTCCGCTTACTACTGGTTGTTGGACCAACGTCGTTATGGTACCTGTGAACACGGTGGTTATGGTCTTGGTACTGAAAGAATTTTGGCATGGCTCTGTGACAGGTTTACTGTTAGAGACTGTTCGTTGTACCCAAGATTCACGGGTAGATGTAAGCCATAAGCACGTGGTAGGAACTATACTTGTTTTTTTGTAAAGATTTGCTACAATGATAGAGAATATAGCGTAATAACCTTAATACACGTTGAAACAAATATTAACTAGATAATTTAAAACAAACCATTAACCAAATTTACTCAGCATGGACAATTTCGGCTTTTTCCTCAAACGTAGGGCTAATTGCTACTGATTTGTATAATGGAGGTAAAGGCTCGATGTCCTTGCGCATGACAAGGACTTGAAAATTTCTCCATAAATTCCTTGTCTGATACGCAGCATGTTTAGTTGCAGATACTGAAAACACATGATCCAATTCCTCCAACGTCAAACCTTTGGTTTCAGGTAGGAACCAAAGTACCATGAAGAATCCAACTACGTTCCATGCGGCGTAAAATCCAAACGCACCTGTGGGCGTGAATTGATTCTGCAAACGTGGCCATGTGAATGCCAATAAGAAATTGAAGAACCAACACGTTGAAGTGGCCCAGGCCATGCCCAAATCCCTGATATATAACGGGAAAGCTTCAGCTGAGTAGGTGAATGGAACCGGTCCTTCAGATGAGGAGTAGACACACGAAAATAGGTATATGCCTGTGGTAACCATGCCCAACTTGCCTCTGGTATCATCAATCAAGAATCCAAACCCTGCAATCAACAAAAATACTGACATTATCGGAAATGCAAAGAGCAACAAGTTTCTTCTTCCAAATTTATCAATCGTCAAGAATGCAGGAATTGCAAACAAGAAATTGATCATTCCGAACCCCCAGGATGCCAACATGGCTTTGATTTCACTCAAATTAGCTTCAATGAAAATCGAAGACGAATAATAAGCAATGACGTTGATACCACAGAATTGCTGCATAAACATGACGATCCAAGAAGCAATGGCACCATTTCTGTTTCTTCGAACGGTAAACATTTCGATGATTCTTTTCCAGGTGGGGATCTTGTAAGAGCCTTCCTCCTTCAACAAAACATACTGATAAAAGCAATCCCTTGCTGCTGAAATTTCGTCAAAACGCAATACTTTCAAGGACTCAAACGCTTCCTTGTGTCTTCCTTTCCCCATTAGCCAACGTGGCGACTCTGGCACGTAGGGAACTTGAAATAAAACAATGAAAGCCGGTATACAGGCACTTCCCAACATCAATCGCCAATTCAATCCGGTGCCAAAGCTTCTGTCAGGGACGTAGTAGAATGCCAAAGCAGCAACATAACCAAACATTATTCCAACTGCTGTAAAAAATTGCCACAACATGACCAACGCACCACGAATATGCTTTGGTGCACATTCTGCTGCATACGGAGGAACAGTTGCAGATTTGATACCAACACCGAATCCCAAAAAGAATCGAGAAATGAACAAGTGCCACCAATTGTTGACAAACCCTTGCCACACACACGTGATGGCAGATATGAAACACGTCCAAAATATAACCCATTTTCTTCCCAAATGTCTGTTCCAAAAGTCGGACATCCAACAAGCAATACAGGATGCACACAAGTAAGGTGCTCCATTGACCAATCCCTCAATCAAATCAGCATCTTTCATTTCAGTGACACCAAATGCACGTGGGTAGAATAGTGTTGCACCGTTGATAACAGTTTGGTCCATGCCTTGCACTGCAGCGGCCATTGACCCTAATGCAATAACTGCGACCAACTTTTTAGGAATGTGCCATTTCTTTGTCGCTTCGAGTTTAAGAGCCGCCTTCTCTTCGTCCGAAAGGAAAGCCATATCTAAGAACCCAGCAGGCGATCTTGCCAATGCAGCTGCATTGGCGAATAGTTCTGTATCCATATCATTCTCAGCTGCATAATTTCTACCCATCTGCATTACTTCATGTTCGGTGTATCTGGAAAGCACATTTCCATGCTCCGCTTCATGCGACTCTTTGGAAGTCAAATCATCTGAACTCTTGTTGTCATTGTTGAAAGATCCCGCCGAATGCTTCGAAACTGAATCAAATTCTTTGACTGACATTGTTAATAGTGCAGGATAGAAGCAGGGGTAGAAGGTCAGTTACTTTTGAGGTCAAGGGAAGTCTCTACACCTATTTATAGTTGAATTGAACCAGACAGGAATCCTGAAACTATAATTGATCTTCTATTCACTTTCCCCCTCACGCAACTGAGCATCAACTAAGACATTTAAGCACAATAGCAAACTCGAGGGTGGTTTTTGAAATAAAGTTTGTACGGCAACTTTGTACACAACAGAGCTAGATAGAACCTGAACAATGGAAAGGCTCCGTGTGGAGCTACAATACCAAGATTTTGTGTGAATGACCCCAGATATTGTTGCAAACAATAGAGAGTATGCTTATTTGTAGAGATATTATTGCAGCCAAAGAGAGAGAATAAACAAAAAATTGATAATTGCTTACCAAGAAATAATCCACTTCAACCAAGAAAAGTTTGACGTGTGTTCTTGGCTTGGAGAAATAAAAATGCCGTGCGAGTTCGTGTCGAGCTTCTGGGGAAATACTGATGGTGGGTGTAGACTCTTGATACACGTTCATGATTGGCTTAAAGGTAAGAACAAACTGTCTCGACGCTACTCTCTGCCTTTTATTGCGTGTTTATCTTATCCCTAAACTTCGGATTAAGCTTTTCCCCCGAATTTTCGGAAGAATACATAAAGGGACAAGAAAATTGTGAATTAAAATAGCAGCAGATATGACGTAATCTTGTAGAAGGGTACTCATGCTGTTTACTATAGCTGAATCCTCTTGGTGTGTCTCATTTTCTTGGTCAAATACTCCAAGTCAAGCATTTTGAGTACACGCCAAGATCAATTGACACGTGCACAAAATGAAAGTTTAATCGGACTTACTTTATACGAAACAGTACAACAATACACTGTATTAGAGGGGATCTCTTTCTCAAACTTTTTGGAATGCTTACACCATGGAGTTTGAGCGGTAACGCCCTCTGTCTATATTGATAAATGTAAAAATTGTTAAATGTGTAATTTTGAAGGTTTTGTTTCAACATACCGCAAACTCAGGGAGAAATTTCATTTGTGGGATTGTTTTGCTTTAATGCCTCCTGAATATTAAAAGCCGAAATGCTTACGGGTATAAACTCAACACAGTAAATTAATTGGAGTGATTGTACCTTTAGAAGAATGCAATATCTTCGCCACTACCTCCATTGGTCGTGCTAAAATCTCAAAATGACTCACAACTGAATTAGGAAATTAAAATTAGCCGCGATGAAATAAAACTTTTTTCATTTTAAAATTCCCACCAACTTAATACTCGACAAAACAACAAGCTGATAATGTCTGATCAAGTACAACCAAGCGAAAGTAAACTTTGGGGTGGAAGATTCACCGGAGCAACTGACCCATTGATGGATTTATACAATGCCAGTTTGCCCTATGATAAAATCATGTACGATGCTGATCTCACGGGAACTAAGGTGTACACTCAGGGTCTCAACAAGTTAGGATTGATCACCAGCGATGAATTGGCAAAAATTCATGAAGGGTTAGAGGTGATTCGTAGCGAATGGAAGGAGAACAAATTTGTTGAAAAACCAGGAGATGAAGATATTCACACAGCCAACGAGAGAAGATTGGGTGAAATTATTGGTAAAAACATTGCTGGTAAGGTGCACACCGGGAGGTCTAGAAACGATCAAGTTGCGACTGACATGAGAATATTTGTGCGTGAGTCCTTGAAGGATTTGAGCTTGAAGTTGAAAGTATTTATTGAAACTATTTTGACTAGATCTGAGAATGAGATTGATGTTTTGATGCCAGGATACACCCACTTGCAAAGAGCTCAGCCTATTAGGTGGGCACACTGGTTGAGTTCATATGCTACCTATTTCACCGAGGATTACAAGAGATTGCAACAAATTATCGAACGTGTCAATCAATCACCATTGGGCTCTGGTGCGTTGGCTGGACATCCATACGGCATTGATCGCTCCTTTTTAGCCAAAGGACTAGGCTTTGATGGTGTCATTGGAAACTCGTTGACAGCTGTGAGTGACCGTGATTTTGTTGTTGAGACATTGTTTTGGGGAACATTATTCATGAACCATATTTCACGTTTTGCTGAGGATTTGATTATTTACTCTAGTGCTGAGTTTGGATTCATTAAATTAGCAGATGCTTACTCTACCGGGTCTTCGTTGATGCCACAGAAGAAGAATCCAGATTCGTTGGAATTATTGCGTGGTAAAAGCGGAAGAATTTTTGGCGAATTATCAGGATTCTTGATGTCAATAAAGTCGATTCCATCCACGTACAATAAAGACATGCAAGAAGATAAAGAACCATTGTTTGACGCATTAACTACTGTCGAACACTCGATCTTGATTGCCACCGGTGTCATCAGTACTTTGAAAATTAACAAGTCCAATATGGAAGGTGCTTTGACTATGGACATGTTGGCTACCGATTTAGCTGACTATTTGGTGAGGAAAGGCGTTCCATTTAGAGAAACCCACCATATATCCGGTGAATGTGTTAGAAAGGCCGAAGATGAAAATTTGTCAGGCATCGATCAGTTGACATTTGAACAATTGAAGGAGATCGACGACAGGTTTGACAAGGATGTGATGGACACTTTTGATTTCGAAGTCAGTGTTGAGAGAAGAGATGCTATTGGAGGTACTGCAAAGTCGGCTGTATTGGCACAGTTGAAAAATTTGAAGGCTCAATTAAGCTGAGATAGCGCGGACTTTTTTTAATTATGATTAGGATCGTTATGGTAAGTCGTTTATAGATTATGTACTAGGACAGAATATAATGCCTTGAGCAACTCAACTCTTGTTTGATCTTGTACCTTTACAAAATTCTACAGTTGCCTGAAAGAGAACTTTCTGGAACCTCCTAACCGATTGTTCCATCGTGCCACAATAACACTTTCATTGTATTTCACTCGATATGCGTGGTGGCTAAACGATTGCAAACCATCTAAGACAAAATCAGAGCTACATACAGGCCCACCTCGAATCACCAAATTAAGCAAATAAATAAAATCCATAAATCAAGAACCTATATATGATTAACAGTATTAAAGGCATTCTCTGCGCTAACACTAACTTCAACGACTGCGTTCATCTCTATTAGATCCTGCTCTAAGTTTAACTAATGCTCTACTTGAATTTCTAAATCGACCCAATGCACGCCTCAATGCATTCTCCTTCAGTGTTGATGTGTCACAGCTGTCCAGTATATTATAATCAGAGTTGAATTTGTTCAATAGCATTTCCGATGTCTCCGGTAGATTCACACTCGATTTACCAGCCCGCCATTGGGTCTCAACAGGCATTTCCTTTAAAAAATTGCACCACTTGATCTCCGCCTCATTGAGTACCCGTTGCTGTCTTCTATACTCTTGAGTAATCCTGTCTAAGTCTATCATTTGTGATTCAGGAACCAAGTCTAAAGGTGATTGTAGTTGTTCTAATGATTGTCTTTGCTTTACAAAGTTGGGTCTATACTGGTTTTGGGGCGAGGTGGGTGGTGTATTTGTATTACTCGGAATAGAATGCTGCAATGAAAGCATTGATATTGTACTTCCACGTCTTCCAAAATCCACTGAATCTGACCTCCGATGATAGTTGCCATAATGATAATTTGGACTCGAGTTGCCTTGGCTTTGGCCGCTGGCAGCTCGTGTAGTTTCAAATTGTATATTGCGATCCATGTTTGTTTTGATAAAGTTGAATGAGGTTGAACTTGGTAGAAGGAAAAGAAGATTACTTTATACTTCGATTGCAAAGTTATTTTCTCACATAATGTGTTTGCCATAAGAACTCTCGTTTCTTTTGTCAATGAATTTTCCGAAACAGTTTGAGAATAAAGATTCCAAAGCACGTCTTTCGACAGTACCTGAAAGCACATATAAACAAGTCATGTTCCTTTTCATAGCAGACAGCAACTTCCTAACTTCTGGACGCCTTTGACTGTTGAAAGTTCTAGACCACTTTATTGCTACCGAGATATCCTTAAACTTGAGTATCAATGCGTTATCATGCGCTGAGTTGCTTTTTTTATATGAACAGTTAATTGAAGAATGAGCTTGCCTTTCGGATATATGACAGTAGCATAAAGTCACTTTGCGGACTCTCATTATTAACCGTTATCCAAGATCCATCGGAGGGAAATGGGGAAGTGAACATGAAAACTCTCGGAATATTCTCATAGGGTTCAAGCGGCCAATGTAGAAAGGTGTTAAATAGATTGCTTTCACCAGTCTCTTTCTCTTGATAAAGAAACCGTCTTTGCACAACTCCGAAGAAGATGATTATAATACTCGTGACGTATTTTTAACAACAATAATAACGCTTTATTTAGCAGGGTATATGTCCCTTCCAGTATGCTTCATCACCACATATCCAGGTGAAATGCACGGCCTAGGGTATATTCGAATTAAAGTATGACAAGTCACGTTGAATGCAATTGTAAAGCCTCCTGGTAATCGCTAGTTCAGCTCTTTATTTTTATTTTTATTTTCATTTTCATTTTTATTTTTATTTTTATATCTTTTGTTGAATTACTCACTTTTGATTACTCACTTTTGATTACACACCCAATATGCCTGCGTTCAAACAAGTTGACGTCTTCACTTCGCAGCCTTTCAAAGGCAACCCGGTAGCTGTTATTATGGATGCTAATGGGCTAACTACCCAACAGATGCAAGAAATTGCCAATTGGACCAATCTTTCTGAAACAACGTTTGTGCTCCCAACTACAACCAACAAGGCTGACTATCGCGTACGCATATTCACACCGAATAGCGAATTGCCATTTGCGGGCCACCCCACCATTGGTACTGCACATGCATTACTTGAAGCTGGTGTTGTCTTTGCTAAAGACGGAGCGCTTGTCCAAGAATGCGGTGCTGGATTAATTAAGTTAACAGTTGTTCCAGGGCTGTCTATCTCGTTTGAATTACCAGATCCAATTATTACGTCACTTGATGATGCTCAAATTGATTCGTTAGAGATCAGTTTGGGATGTGCCATTGATAGAAAGCAAAGACCTGCCCTTGTTGATGTGGGTCCTCGATGGATAGTGGCACATATTACTGATGCACAGACAGTTTTATCGGTCCAACCATCATTCTCTGAATTATCAAAACATAACAAGCAAATGGAGGCTACTGGAGTGAGTATTTATGGGGAATGGTCTGGTGAACACATCGAAGTTCGATCGTTTGCTCCAGTTTGTGGTGTGGACGAAGACCCAGTTTGTGGAAGTGGAAACGGTGCTGTTGCAGCATTTATTCGACACCACTCGGACTTGCTGCAAGTCCAGGTGTTGAATTCTTCGCAAGGTAGAGTTGTTAGTCGTGATGGTGCCATCAAGTTGACTATTGCCGAGGATAAAATTTTGGTAGGTGGTCACGCTATCACTTGTGTTGAAGGGACGATAAAAACCAATTAATTTCAATTTATTGGGTGCAGCATCCCCTATGAAGAGTCCATACCCTGCACAAAATTTTACCAGCGGTTTCAACCACGCTAAGATTGGTGAATTACACCGCACAGTAGATTCCGGAAGTGGCATTATTTACAGCTGAGTTGGTGTAGTACTCTCCAAAGATTGAAGACAGCAAGTTGAAGCACCCAAGTGCTCCCCTCGCATTATTTTAGGATGGGTATTACACATTTATACTGTGTATACAATCAATGTCATTTTTAGACCTTTTCCCGACATTTAAACTTTACACGCGACATTTGATTTTTTGTTGTGTCAATCTCTCCGAATTTTGTTGCAAAACCGATCCCACCACTGACACGTATGTGATTAACCACCAACTTTATCGCCACACAAGTGTAATGGGGGACTGAGATAATACAACAATAATTGATAAACAACACCAGACCAGTTGCATATTAGCTATTTCTTCTAGAAAAGTACCTTAACCAGAAAACCCCGAGTACCTTCAAGTGGAAGTGTCTCAAAACCATGACGACCGACACCGACGACCACCCCATAACTACAGGAAATAGAAGCTGGGTAGACATATTGCGTGAGAAATCTTCCGATGATAGTAGACAAGCAGGCACACCAAGTTACCACCAGCCCACATTGGCTCAATCTTTACAGTTTATATTGCAAACATTGGATCAAGGAAACACCCTTTTCAACAGTCAGTCGATAAGCAAGTTGCTTGCCAGCATTGAAGTGATTAACTCGTCACCAGAGTATGATGTCTACTCAAGCTACAATATACTCAAAACAAACACATCACTCGTCACAACCCTTCTTTACCTAAATTATTTGTTAAGTCATAATGTGAGTTTCCACTACATTGATTCCTTACCTAGTTCAATAAGCTCAAGGTTCAAAGTGTTTGCATTACCTCCTTTATCCAAACCTGAGGAGTTTATCACCACCCCATTGGATTTATTGAATGAAAGTCAAAAGTCAGAGAATTTGTACATGCTACAGCTCCAAGTATTAAAGCTCATAGATCACTATGTGGAAATGGAGTGTCAACACATCGACACAGGGAGCGGTCCTGTACAAGCAAAGTTGATACTCTCATTTTACGAGTTATTGCTTGCAAGTTTGCTATCCACCCGCATCTGTTGCAAAGATTATACTCAAACCAAGCGGTCTTGTATTGACCAGCAAACTAGTGCAATCCTTAATGAAGTCCTCAACTTGCAGTACAAAGCGGTGAACGCTTCACGACTTTGGGTGTGCTTGGTCAACTATGCCAATGACATTTGCTATAGTGATCTCAGATATATAAACACTTTTGTTGAACTATTCGAGGCCTTGATCCATCAGAATGGAAAAGTTTTAAAAGATGATCTTGTTCAAGGTGGGTTACAATTTTTTGTAGACACATTCAAGCCGGACCATGCTTGGTTCAAAGGGGTAGTGGTGGTGGATTCTGTGGCTGACTGTACTATAGAATCTTCTGAGTTTAGTTATTTGTACAGTGTATAATGAAAATGCGTTTTGGGTTAATTTTAATTTTTTTCTTCGCTTCTTCAAAGAAACGGGCTCATCTCAAGATTATTTGCAGAACTTGCAACTTTTATACAACCCAACAACCATGGTGCTCAAATCTACATCTGCTGGGAATGTTTCTATATACCAGGTCTCGGGATCTAACGTGTCCCGTTCGTTACCAGACTGGATAGCCAAAAAGCGGAAGAAGGCTTTGAAACAAGATATAGACTACTCCAATCGTATTGAGCTAATTCAAGATTTTGAGTTCAGTGAGGCCTCAAATAGGATCAAAGTCTCTCCTGATGGACAGTACTGTATGGCAACAGGCACATACAAACCCCAGATTCATGTTTACGATTTTGCCAACTTGTCACTCAAATTTGAACGTCATACCGATTGTGAAAATGTTGACTTTGTCTTCTTGAGCCAGGATTGGACCAAATCGGTCCACTTGCAGGTCGACAGAAGTATCGAGTTTCAAACCAAAGGAGGGATTTATTACAAGACTAGGATACCCAAGTTTGGTAGGAGCTTGTGTTATAATGAAGTAAACTGTGATTTACTTGTGGGTGCACTGGGAAACGAATTGTACAGGCTAAATTTGGAGCAAGGTAGGTTTTTAAACCCATTACAATTGGAAACAGATGGAGGAGTCAATATGGTGGCTATAAATAAAGTGCATGGTCTAATATCTGCTGGACTAGAAGATGGTACTGTTGAATTTTGGGATCCTAGATCGAAATCGCGAGCAGGAAAGTTATGGATCGATGAGCAATTGAATGAGTCTGGCATACAAGTATCGTCTGTCAGTTTCCGTCAAGATGGATTAAACTTTGCTTGTGGGACATCAAGCGGAAAGACTTTACTTTATGACCTACGTACCAACCAGCCATCAATTGTCAAAGATCAAGGTTACGGATTTGAAATCAAGAATATTGAGTGGTTGGAAAACACATTGAAGCCGGACACAGTTTTGACGAGTGACAAACGTATTGCAAAAATTTGGGATAGAAATACTGGGAAACCATTTGCCTCGATGGAGCCAACAGTCGATATAAATGATGTGTGCCATGTTTCCAATTCCGGTATGTTTTTCATGGCTAATGAAGGTATGCCAATGCACACGTATTACATTCCAAACTTGGGCCCTGCACCTTCATGGTGTTCATTCTTGGACAATGTGACTGAAGAGTTGGAGGAGAAGCCTTCAGATACTATTTACTCCAACTACCGATTTATCACCAAGGACGACGTACGTAAATTGAACTTGGGCCACTTGATTGGGTCAAAAGTTTTACGTTCGTATATGCATGGTTTCTTTATTGATACAGAGTTGTACGAAAAAGTCAATCTTATTGCCAACCCCAACTCATTACGCGATCAACGAGAACGGGATATCAGAAAGAAGATTGAAAAAGAGAGAGAGTCGAGAATCAGATCGACTGGGGCCATCACAAGCACAAAGATCAAGGTTAACAAGGATTTGGCAAGTAGGTTGCAAGAAAAAGTCGGAGGTGATGCAGCCGAGGGTGTCATCAATGATGACAGATTTAAGGAAATGTTTGAGAACCCTGATTTCCAAGTTGATGAAGAGTCGCATGAATATAAACAATTGAATCCGGTAAAGGCACCAGAAAAGGACATCACGAGATCAAGAGGATTGACAGCAGCAGAGGAGTCAGATGAAGAGAGGGCAGACGAAGGAGGCTCAGGGGATCATTCAGATGAGAGTGATGAATCCGAAAGTGAGGAAAGTGAAGATGAGGAGGTAAAGAAAGCAAACAAAGCCAAGCTTGATAAAGAGTTGGCCAAGTTGAGGAAAAAGAAGGAAGAAGAAAAGAGGTTCAAGAATGAAATGAAAGTTCTTGCCAAGGAAGCACCAAAGGAGTCCACCAAGGCAAAGGAGACATTTGCCTCCCAGGTCAAGAATTTGCATAAAAATAGAGTAAGCAAGCCAAGGGATGACTCGAGACTTCAAAGACATGCAAAGGGAGAGGCAGAGCTCACATTTGTTCCTAAAGGAAAAGAAAAGAAGTATAGGCCAAGAAAAGGTGACGAGAATGGTACTGATAAGGGAAGAACTAAACAGAGATTTGAAGGTCGTAGAACTGCTTCGAAGAACCAATTTAGAGGTATGTAGTTTTGTATAGAAGTAAATTGATAGTTGGAATTCATTGCACAAAAAAAAATATATATATATTGAGATGGAATGAAAGCGTCATCACCAACAGATGTCATTGAACAACTTTCAACAATACAAGAGTCGAGAATCAGGGGCCCTAGATTCTAATCCTCAGAATCGTCCAAAATACGTGCAGAAAGTTCAATCAATCCCACAAGCCGAAATATGGCGAAACATAGTGCTTGGAGAAATTTCTTCGAAGTTGACGCAGATTAATGATTCACAAACAAGTGATGCACGCCTTCGAGAGTTGAACGACGCTTTGAACCAATTATTTAAAGAAAAGCGAAGCTGGGAGTATCATATAAAGAACCTTGGGGGCAATGACTACATTCACAATGTCAAGGACATGATTAATTCTGGTGTCAACGTTGCAGGGTGGAGGTACTTTGGAAGAGCAAAAGAGTTGCACGATGTGAAAAAAATGATTGAGGAAAGGAAAAGGTTGGATAATAAGCAGAGTCGAGGCGAAAATACCAAGGATGTTGTGAAGAGATTGGATAATTATTATTATGGGAAAGAAAAGGATAGTCAACATCTTCTTGACTATGAATTAAAACGAAGCAAAGAATTAAAAAAGGATAACGAAATAACTAAGATGGTATCACTCAGTGAACTACCTAGTCAAGAGCAGATCACAGAATGGTTGTCGGCAAAAAGTGTCTGACTGTAAGGTGTTGTTATTATAGAAGCTAGGTAATCAATTTAGCTTTGAATGATATCCAGTATATCGTCAACAACAATCACGCCAGCATCTTTGTAAAGCTGTTCCGTTTTTGAATCATTCTCTGGCGATACACTTTTACTCAAGCTCTTTACCACATATGTTTTGAACAGTTTTGCAGAGTCAATGGCTGAATTTAATACACAGTAGTCAAAGGCAAGTCCCACAAACACAACTTCATCAATGGCATTGTCGAGTAGAACCTGCTTCATTTCTGTATGATGCAACCCCCACGTATCCTGGAAGCATGAGTAGTATTCCCGATCTTGCAAGTATCCTTTTTTCACGTTTGCTGTAGGAACGCCATCAATTTCTCCAAAAGCTTTCGAAAACTTCAGCTCCAACTCGGCACCTGTACTACCCTGAACACAGTGAATGGGCCACACAAATTGTTTCTTGACTCTTCCCGATTCGGGATGTTCAAAATCCAACTCGGTAAACGGCTCTACGCCATGTTGGGAAGCAAACGATGTATGGTTTGATGGATGCCAATCTTGCGTTGCAATTACCAATGACCATTGCTTCACATACGGATCACTGATTAGCTTTATGATGGGCTCAACAACCGACCTTCCATTGGCTATTGCTAGTGATCCACTTGGTGGTAGGAAATCCTCTTGTAAGTCAACAACAACTAGGGCCTTTTTAGTCATTGTTGAATGATTAATGCGCACAATCTCGAAAGAACGGAAAGTTCCCAAAGTTTTAAAATTGACAAGAGTCAATGTTGCAAAGAGAAGCATCAATTGTTTAATTGGTGATAGGGTATCACATCATTGCACACGTGTGTAAGACAATGCATTTTGAAAACTGAAGCCAACAGTATGAGGGAGACATTGTAATGCAAGACAAGGCGACCTCAAGCCTCTCCCCAAACAGGCCAACAAGATTACAAAGGTAGCGTTAATTTCGCTACAAACGCTAGGGAGATTTTTACCAAAATAGCCGTTAAGTTCTCAACGTGCTTGACGGTTGTCTCTATCTTACGCCGTGTGTGCTTGGAACTTATTTATCCTATACACGTGCTTTGAATTAAGGGTAATAAATTGCTGCTCTCAAACTTAGAGTAGGCTTCGAAAATACCAAATGGTGAAGTTCAAGAACGACTTTCCTTAAAAGTGTTTCCTTTTTAAAAAAAAAGGCAAAGAAAGCCAATGATGAGCTAATGATTTTTTTGTGTTATTCAAACTTAACCTTCAACATATCTTTTATTATTGCTACTTAGAAAGTATGGCATATCAGAATGATAGATGTTTTCTTCTTTTTATTTTCGACGACTTGATTGAAATAAATACCCCTTACCTTTTCTGTAATGATTGTTATCTATTTTAGTTACCACTTGCCAAAGGTAAAATGGGCAACTGTAAACCACTAAACAGCAAGTTAGAAGAACAAGTTTCCAAAATCATTCAAGAGCTGTCAAAACTGGCTGTCCAGGTGAGACAGCATATTCAAAGTTCAAAAATATTTTGGTCTTAATTATACTCGCTGAACACACCTAAATATAATTATACCTGGATGAAACCATAAATTCCGGGTCCTGCTTTGGACTCATTGGCTAGTTGACAACCTTTTACGACACAGATACAACTAGAAAATGTGGTTTTCTATAAAGGCACCTTATATTAAAGAGTGTCTGCATCAATTGATTTTGAACCATATCGTACCGATTTGAAAAAACTGAGCACAAATATTTTCTAAAACCTCTATACACCTCTATGAACAACCAACTTGTACAATCTCCTCTTCTAATCTTAGCTGCCCCTTTTTCAAACGTAATGAAATAACAGCAGCTGTCAACTTTCCTCCCTTGTCACACCCCGAATCCAAACCCTTTGTATATTCTTTCAACTTGAGCCCCCTGCCAGCATCATGCCCATAATAAACCACATAGTTTGCTGGCTTTTCCCCGTGCTTTGAGTTGTAAATTTTAGACCAGCTTTTGGCAAATGGGGTGTCAGGATAAGATGTAGTCTCATTGTAAAACGGACCAATCAAGGATCGCATCTCTAAATTATCAACCGGATCCTGTTCCCTTAATTCCAAGTCAGGTCGAAGACCAGCATGGACTGCAACCCCAGGTGCGACACCACCATCTTCCAAAGGTACCTTACCAAGCTTTTTAATCACCGAACAGCTGTTTATGTATCGCACGTGATGAGGTTGCAATTTTTTAGCAAGTAAGTATTCCGGGTCGTCATTGAATGCTCCACGTGTTCCAGCAAGGTTAGAAAACTGCGTGTTGTCCAGATGGAACCGAGGCAGTTCAAGACCATGAAAGCTTGAATAATATTGTAGAACATAAAATTCGTGATTGCCAAAAATACATTCAATCTCGTGGTCAACCAAGTAATCCAACACTTTAAATGAGTCTGGACCCTTGGTGATAAAGTCTCCCAACACTAATAGTTCATCTTTTGTTTTGCTATATTTGACCTTTTTCAATAGCTGTCTAAATTCATTGTAGTGACCGTGGATATCCCCAATCATTATAAGTCTGTTGATTTGTTTTCCAGCACTATCAGGTTCAAAAGTGGCCTTTAACTGGGAAATGTGGTTGATAGGCTTTAGCGGCACAGCCTCGGGGATATAATAACTAGGAAGGACCATGGTAAAGACCCAAAGGGTTATAAAGCCGAGAAGACCGGTGACTGTGTATAGAAGAATTTTTGTTCTCCTCTTGACACTGATTGATTCATAGGCGTCAAGCTCGTCACCCCTTTCATTAAGCAACGGCGTTGATTCTGTCATTTCGTTACCTGATTGCAATTAATTGTTGGAATGAATTGAATTCTTGCGGCTTCCTTTTTGATGAGCCGGCTTTTCATAACCTCTATGGTTTCCTGCATATAAAAAGAGATGTCTTTCCTTTTTTAATGTGGCGAGATTTGATTAGAACATCAACCAATCTCCATCATGTGCTGGCAGATGATTAGACCAGGGCATCGTCAGGGCAATCTCCAATGAGAAACTACTTTAAAAGATAGGGAGTACTCTAATGGCTTGTGGCTCTTGCATAGGGCCTATAGAGGATTATATAAATTAGGCACGTGGGCGGGACGAATTGCACCATTCTCCCCTCAAGTATAGCCCATTCCAGAATCAAATGGTCAGGCCACGAGTATCTGATATCATAGTATGACAATAGATAACGAATTTAAATTTTAAGCTACAAGAAAAGAAATTAATCATCTCACATTAAAACCTATTCAATCAACTATATAAGTCATACGGTCATACAACTTGTATAAAATCTCCGCCCGGACTAGCAACTTGTTCACATCCAAATGACCCAGCAAGTCATTAAAATACTTTAAAACTTCTTCAGGCTGCAGCACATTCTCGATAATGATTCTTTCATTATCAGACAAGACCGCCAAGGCAAAAAACAACTGAAAGTCATTGGTGTAATAGTCTGTCCAAATAACTTCCCACAACAGTAGTACCTGGTCCCAACGCAACTCTCTTTTGAAATGGAGTAGAATATGGCGAAAGAAAAAGTAGAGCCCTTCACTCTGACATTCAATAAGATGCTTGTACAAATTTGGCAAAGTGAGTTGAGTCATCTTCATAAGCTTGGTGAGCTGCAGTTTGATACCACTCAATTCAGGGTCAAAATTCCCTTCCAATCTATCCATCAAGTTAACAAATGCCCAAAATGATAATACCTCATCCTGGAGCACTACATATAGTGGCGAAAGTACATCATTCATCCCTTGTACATACCCAAGCTCGGTGTTGTACTCGTTGTAAGTCAACAAAATCTCACGCAAATTGCACAAATGGGGATTGGTTATGTTTGCCACGTCATACTCATCATCTGGCTCTCCTACTTCTTCGCCTTCACCATTTTTGAAAATTTCCAACTCACGGTCTGTACGATTCACGTCTTTTTCTATTTTGAATTTCTGATCTTTAAAGTACTCAGTGTTTCTCCTGTCAGCATCATCAACCCACTTGAGCTTCAATTCGTCATACCTTGAAGCATATGATTTCTTTAAAACCTCTCGCTCTTCACTGGATGAGTCCCACGGATACACTTTTAGCAAAAACAACCAAGCTTCGCTCCTTACCTCGTCCTCAAGTCCACCGTGGAATATTCTATCCTTCACCTCCTTCACTGTCACGCTCAATCTCCCAGTGTGGTCAAAAAAGCCTTCCCACTCTTGAACACTCACCGGTTTCATTCGAGAAGTGCGACTTATCTCCTCCTGCGTTAGCAACTTATTCGAATTTAATTCGCGACTGATTCGTTCGTAAATCTCGTCATCAGTAACATACTTTGACGACTCTGCATCCTGTTTCACCTGCTGGGCCCAGTTGGCAAGATACATTCTAGCTGAATCAAAGTCGTCACCAAGTTTTACCAACTGAGGCTGCTGCACCATCAATTGTTTGACCTGTACTGGCGCATTTTCCTCAATCAAATCAACCACTTGATTCTTTGTCTTGGCAGTGAAGGTTGCAACAGTTTCCAACACTTTCCACTTTGCAGTGTTGAACATTTTGTTAACATCAGGAAGTTGGAACCCATTTGGTGGTTCCTCCTTGACTTCTTTCTTTTTGAAGGGAGCAAAATTCCTCAAATCCTCGGATTGGGGGTTGACCAAGTACACACTTGGCTCAATAGTTGACTTTTCAATATTCACTAAGCTTTTCAACACATTCAAGAGATCAAGGGCACCCCAGTACAACTCTCCGTCGGCAAATGGATCAAACTGCTTATTTTGTAGCTTTTGATTCTTGATTGTTGATGGTGATTCGTCGTCGTGGAAAAACACAATTGGCAATTTCTCACCATCTTGTGTGTTGATAACTATGCTTCCATAGTAGTAACCATGGCTTGGGTTTCTAAACTGGATGCTATAGATATAGGAGAGTGTGGTTGTGAATGCATATGAGCTGAGGATGCTTGCACTTGGTTTTGACACAATCCTGTCACCTCTAGCTTTGCCATGCTTCTTGAATGCGCTCAAGTTGAGATCAACATCCTCCACGTCAACTTCATTGTAAACCTTAATCTCTTCTTTACTCAATTGTGATTCAGGGGTAAATGCTAAAATAATATCCAAATTAGTCGAGTTTGGGGGTCGCGAAAGTGACAAAAAGCCAGCAACATTGTCTCTCTTTGATGGCGTTGGGTGGAGATATGCCTTTGATTTAACAAAAAGGAGTTCAACCTCCCCTTGGTGTAAGATTCTCTTTGTCATGCTTGATTAGCAGAAAGAGCAAGAGAGTAAGTGCGCTTTAGTTACTGTTCTCTGACTTTATGATCCTAAATGGTAGCATTTACGCCACTTTTTATTTCTTATAAGTACAAAGATCCTGCTGAAACTATATCCCTGTGAACCAACTCCAATGACTTTTCCATCTTTTCCTGTAGTTCTACATTTCCAATAGCCTTTGCCGCAACCACCAATTGCCTTATCAACTCTTCCAACCTTCTAAACATTCTAATCAATGAACCTTCATAAACATCAGTCATTTTACAAATTTGGGTAAAAGAAGCTCCTTTGCACCAAGCAAAGACAACCTCCATCAACTCTGGCCTAAATGATTCAACATAGTCTTGTTCAGTTATGTCAATCTTGCACTCTTTGGACACTTTGGCGACTTTAGCAGCCATTTCTTGCATCAATTTCAAAGGCTCTGCCAACTCTGGCTTCAAGCGAGGCACCTCCTTTGCTCGTTCTTGGAATACAAAACATGATAACAATGCAGCTGATTGTTCACTAGAAAGATCGTTAAAGTTACCATTAAAGATCAACTCAGTAAGTAGTAATTCATCACCTGAGCTGATTTCACACGCAACTCTACCCTTGAGCTCAATTACATCATTCTGGGTTATAAATCCAAGTCGACGTAAAACCCTCTTTCTGTGTCTCAAATCATCCAACTGTATCACTGCTTCGGCTTCCAATATTTTTTCCTTCAATTCCTTAATCTTATTTTCAATATCAGCCTTGTGTGAGTATTTAGCATACAAATGTTGCAACCTGGCTGTATCATGCAATGGGTTGCTATATAACTTCGACTCGATAACATCAATCTTACGCAACAAAGTACGGAAATCTTCGTCACCAATCTTCATGCTCTCGATAGGATCCATCAACGGAATTCCATCCTTGAATCTTTTTGGTAATTCTTTCATAGTCTTTACCAATGTCCTTTTTGCTTGGGCACTTTTGTAATCATCTGGTACTCTCAACCTGACACTGCTCACCTTTTCTATCGAATCCAACGTAATTGAAATGTACTCAGCCCTCGACTTTTCTCCTGGCCTTGCTGGTCTAATACCTTCTGGTAACAATGGATTAAATGGCTTAATCAAATTGACTGGCGAATCAACAAACATTGTGTATACAAACACATTTACCACATAAGACTCGTGTGCGGTAAATTCTTGAGTCTGGAAACGACTGTTTTTCCTCTTGACAAATGATGTAACCATTCCCCAGCCATAGTCGTAATCGCCAACCTTGATCTTCACCACTCTTCCGTCTTGCAAGAAGGGCAAAATATGACCTGGGTGTGTAATGACTTTCCTCACGTCGGCTGTATACTTGTTGAGCTGTTGCAGAAAGTCGTAATACTCCTTTACAGTCGCTTCGTCGTCAATATGTACCCCTTCAATTTCGTTTTGCAACGACTGCATCTTCTGTTCCAAAGCTGGCACACTAGCAGCGTTCTGAAATTGATAAAACGAACTTTCCAACATAAACTCAGGAGATATACCCTCAACCCTCATCAAGTTCAAAATCATATTGTAGCCCAAATGGAATGCCGAATCTAATCTATCGGCTTGACCCTTGACCATTCCCTTGGCTACCTGTGGCTCCATTTTCTCATCAATCATCATAATGACTATACCTCTATCGTCCAATCCTCTTCTACCGGCACGGCCAGACATTTGAATATACTCACCACCGGAAACCCATCTAAATCCTACACCATCCCACTTACGAACTGAGGTGAAAACAACAGTCTTTGCCGGCATATTAAGACCAATGGAGAATGTTTCTGTAGCAAAAAGTACTTTTAAAAACCCCTCTTGGAAGAGAATTTCAATGATTTCTTTTAAAATTGGCAAAAGACCAGAGTGGTGGATACCAATACCTCGTTTCAACAAGGGTAAAATATTTTTGATTTGTGGAAGCTCCTTGTCGCTTTCGGGTAATAAACCAATAGCATTGTTGTAGATTTCAGTCAACGCTATTCTCTCTTCATCAGTATTGAAATCCAATTTGGACATTTGCAAGGCCAATTTCTCACAATCCTTTTTTGAAAATGAGAAAACAATGACGGGGTTGTATTTCTTCATGTAAATCATTTTAACAATCTTGTAAATATCGGTCTTGCTATCCTTGTTTCCACCTTTGAAACTCTGCCCCTTTCTTCCTCTTCCTTTGTCTGCGGAGGCTGGATCATCGCCAGTATTGTCGCCAATCGTAGTCATTGCTTTCTGGAAGTTCTCTTCCCTAAATGTACCCTTTTCGTCAACGACCAAGTGGATGCCATCACCCCCTGCAGGAAACAAGTAATGTTGCAATGGTGTTGGTCTAAAGTCGGTATACACAACATGACAAGGCTGGTTATGGATCTTGACAATCCATTCAGCAAACTCCATTGCATTAGGAATAGTGGCTGATAAGAATACATAGTGGACCTTATCGGGTAGCAAAATGATTGTTTCTTCCCAAACCACACCCCTTGCCTTGTCTCTCATATAATGTACCTCATCAAAAATGACCCAGGCAACTTCTCTCATCACCTCGGAGCCTCTATAAAGCATGCTTCGTAAAATCTCCGTGGTCATAACCAAACAACCAGCATCGGGGTTAATCGTGACATCACCGGTCATTAATCCTACATCCTGAAACTCAGCTTGCAATTCACGGTACTTTTGATTCGACAACGCTTTAATGGGGGAAGTGTAAATAACTCTTTGCTTATCCCTTAAAGATTGGGCAATAGCATACTCGGCGACAACGGTTTTACCAGCTGACGTATGAGCAGAAACCAAGACACTTTCATCACGGTCAATACATGAGATGGCAGTATCCTGAAAAGGGTCCAACGTGAATGGATATGCTCTGGCTTCTTTTTCACGCTTGTGCTCGCTTATGGGGACATAAGGGTACGATGGCGGAACTGCTACTTGGTGTCTAACTTGATGTCTCAATTTCAATTTGGAGTGGGGATCATCGGTGGTCTGCTGTAGTCCACCACTGGCATCAACCTCTCTCGATGCTTCAATCTCCACCGAGTCAAACACCACAGGCTTGACTTCTTGTTGTTGCTTGGCCTTCTTTGTGGGTGTTGACTTTTTCTTATCTTGTACTTCGTCATCGGAATGTGTTCTTTTCTTTTCGTTTCCGTTTGTCTCTTTGGCATATTCAGTTTCTTCAACCTCCTCTATCTTAGGAGGCACAGCTCCCGGAGCCTCATCGAATACATCAAACAAATCATCCATGGTGTTTTGCAGGGTGGAGTTTGGTTTTTAACTGATTTTCCACAAATGCGTTTGGTTTTAAAAAAGAAAATTGAAATCTCATCGGAAACGAGAAAAATTGAAAAATGAATGCAAGTTACGACATATCAGAGCGAATATTAACAAATAGACATCCTATGTATGAGCATACACTACAATTAGTTTGACAATTTGATGCATACTCTTCAGTATATCCTCTTATCGCTATACACATGATTTTTCTATGGTTTCCCCGTCTTTACACATCTTGATTGTCCGCCATTTTTCCCTATCATACTCCCCAATAGCTTGACTTGGTAGAGAACTGACTCTTGATCCGTCATTTGCCCCATCTGTCTCACCATTACCGTCATTGATCCTTGGCTCGCCATATGAGTGGCCTTCAGCTTCATCGTACGTAAAGTTTGTAGTTTGTATTTCCCACAAGTCTATTGGCTCGATGAGCTTGGTTGAATTGACAGAAAAGTATTCTGAATGCTGAGGAGAAGGAAGTGGCGAGTTTGACTGCTGTGATGGCGACAACTTGTTGATAGCAAAGTTTGGCACACTCAAACTATGCTTGTGAATCTTCAAGTACGATTTCAATTTTTTTGGTGATGACGATCTCGATCTAGAAGAGACACCCGACATCAAGGAGTATGAATTTGATGCAATTGAGCTTGAATGGTTGTGATGACGTTGGTGGAATGTAGTTGTACTCGAGCGGAAAATCTTTCTCGGGCTATCGGTTAGAAACTTTTTGATCGGTGAATTGTTTTTAGAGTGGGCCAGCAGTTCATTTGATGGAGGTGGGGTCGTGGGTTCTGGTAACGGATATGGCGAGATGGCCTGAGACTGTTCTTGATCTTTGCTGACATTGACACTCAGTTGAGTGATTTGGGAATTGGAACTTTCCTTTCTATAAGTGTGGAGGGAAGGTGCACACTCACTTTGATTTGATGGGTAACTAAAATCTCTATCTAGCGATGGTTTGTGGGTATCAATGTCACTCAAATCGTCGATATTCTCCACCGGACTTTCCTTTGGGGGCAATAAATGCACATCATTTGTGTCAATAGGCTTTTTGTACAAATTGGAATCACTAACAATGTGGTGCACACCAGGCACAACAGTATAGCCAGATATTTTTCTGGCGTTATTGTATTCCTCGAGGTTCCAATCGTCTAATGTCATCGTAGAACGCAACTTTCTTGGTTTAAATCCACTAATCTGCTCCAAGCCCTGCATGTCTCCGGCTCCATCTCCCTCATTATCTTCCGAGAGCCGCTTATTGTTCCTCAAAACAGGTGGGAGCAACGATTCATTAATATGAGACATGAATTGTCGCTCATCGTTGATCAGTTTCCATCGCTGCATACGTGTTTTCTGCTTGTCTATGGCATTCTCACCACGCATGGTCTCTCTCTTCGGTACGCTTAGCATGTCATAGTGATCTTCGACGTTTATGAGGGACGATGCATCGTTGGTTTTTTCGTTTCGGTTTTGTTGCAACTGAACCAGTTGAATGGTATTTGCCGACATGGAATAAGGTAAGGGGTGGGCGGCATCATGACTATCGGTTCCATATTTTTCTATCCAATTCTTGTCTAATGCATACTCATGATCAAATAGCGTTGCATCGGACGCCTTTTTGGAAACCGTATCAGCGACCTGGTCGTTGATTGTGTTGCTCTGTATATAAATCACCAATAATAACATGAAAAACGATAACGAAATGAATATAATATTGACTGTGAATAAAACCGTGATGGCAGTGTGATTCAAATGGATAATCAACAATATACCTGATATGATGTTGGTTAATGATATAATGAACTGAACTGCAATGGTGATGATGTGTGTGTAAACAACGGGTACGACGAAGTATGCCGCTAGGACAAAGCTTGACACCGAGTATAGTAGATGATACACATTGTGATGATTTTGAAGTATTGTTAAGACTCCCAGAACTATAGCCAATGCAAAAGATAGTAGTAGTGACGTAAGGTGTATATGCCGTATAATCATTGATGGGAAGGTATTATATTGTGGGTATCAAGAGGGATATTAAAGATAAGCGGTGGTTAGTTGTAGTAAGTTGTCTTATCCAAGCATGTGGTTAAACAAATAAAAGTGATATAAAAAGGGGGTTGCAGCTATTAGATGGAATTTAGGATCCAACCTGGGTTGAAATTTAGTTGTTGTAGATTGCTATGTGGTAACAAACTCTAGACCAAAACACAATCTGTTGGTACAATAAATTGATTGTTTTTTTCTTTTCTTTCTGTCACTTAATCGCTCATCTCCTTCCCATACGTCTCTCCTTGTCTTAAATCGCCTTTCAAACGTCTAAGGTTAATTCCATTCCATTAATTTTTGCTTCGCTATTTGTTTACATTGATGCCAAATCAGGAAGTTGTGTTGAATCTTTTTTTGTAAACATCCTTTTATTTGTGCGAAACGCAAAATTATAATTCCACACGCCACCACCAGGATAACCCAATCAATACACTATTACTTACTGTCATCGGTGACGATTCTTTTAATCATTCCTTACACAATGTTTGATAAGTCAATTTCTCTTCAATTGCTTTAGAAAGTTCTAAAACACTGCATTGACTTATTCTAGTGCATTTGCATTTATCTCATCCTGCATTGACGATGTGAAAAGGTTAAAATTCTAATTCAAAGAACGATCAAGATTGGCTATTGGGTTTACAAGCCCAGCCTTCAGTTGATTCGTCTTGTGTTGTAACCACTCGTAAGGCAACTTCCTCTACTTTTTACATCATTTCCACTGATTTTGCACATTTTAAGAAATTTTCGCACCAATTTTCGAACAAACTGTTTCAAACAAAAATAGAGTTAGTACGTTTTAAACCTCCCTCTACACTTTTGCTCGCTAATATCAAACATATCCTTTTATATTGTCTCTAACTACTTAAAATTTACGGTCTCCAGAAATCCATCTGTTGACCATGTCAAGAGCGTTTTCTGGCTGGTCGTATGGAACCATATGGCCACCACCAAAGACTCTCAAGAAAGTAAAATGTTCGTAGTTCTTGACGTCACCAGCATGTTTGCCGTCAATCTTCCACTTTCTCACTGGAGCCTTAGAGAAGCCCTTAGAGCCACTCCACTCCAACTTGTCAGTCCACGCTTCGTTACCTAACCAATTGCAAATGAAATCTTTGTCACCTGCGTAAATCAAAACTGGCAAGTCTTGTTGTAAAATGTCAATAACATTCTTGTGGTAAGGCTTCATCCAATCACCGGCAAATACAAAGTTTCTGTTAACATCGAAATTACACGACTCGTAGCTGGATACTTCGGCACCCAAAGCCTTCATAACTTCAGGCTTGTTCATATACGTGTCGATATACAGCAAACCTTCGTAGCACAAGTCTGATCCCTCACACATAGTTCTAATGTCATAAACGTTTCTACCAGTCTTTTGGTAAGGACCCATTTGGGCATTGTTGCAATAGACTGTTGCCGGAACACAGCTCCATACCGACTCCGATTCATAACATTGCTGGATCAACGATTGACACCTTGGAATGGAATCGGTCATTGACTGACACTCTTCTGGTTCCAACACACTTGGCTCACCACCTTCACCACAGGCCATTGGCTCGTAGTATTCGTATTGAGTTAATGGATCAGTCAAACCGTTACCAATCAAAACAGAACTCAACTTGAAAGAACGGTCTGGGTGGCTCAAAATTTCACTGGCAAACACAGGAATGTAGTGGCCAGCATAAGACTCACCTGCAATGTGGAAATCCAACTCGGCAAATTGTGGAAATTGCTTGAAAAACAACTCCAAGAAAGCGTAAACATCCTTACCAGCAGCAACAGTGTTTGAGACCGAGGATGACGAGTAGGAGTATCCAACATTGACAGGCTGGTCCAAGAAAATTACTGTGGCATTATTATTCCAGGAGTATGGGTTGTGCACTGCTTGGATGTCCTTGTTGATTGAGGATGGGCCTAGTTCAAAAAATAAACCTGTGGTTGACGAGCATCCTGGACCACCATTTAACCACAAGATGACTGGGTCCTTCTTTGGGTCGTTTCTACTCTCAAACGCCCAGAAGAAGAAATGCTTATCTTCATCTTCAACATCTAAATATCCCGAGTACTGCTTGACAGTATCGATCCCCAAGTCTTCAGGGGTGGATTTGACCCTCAACTGATGGTTAGGCACCTTTTGATCCTTGACATGGAAGTCAAAGTTTTGTTTAATAATCTTGCCGGCTTTTCCAGGGATAGTGAATCTCAAGTCGTTAAATTGCTTCGAATTCAAAATCATATCTGACCATAACTTCTTTGTTTCATGAGTCAATGATTCCAAAGGTTCGTTGAAGAAAGTTGAGACCTTGGAAAAGAAGTCGTTTTGCTTTTCCTCGTCAAACAACAAGTTGGACAATTGGGAGGCATACTTGTCGTAATTGAAATCCAATTGCAAAGGTTGTTGCCCATTGAATGGGTTCTGGATTGTTAAAGCGTCGACGGCAGTTACCGACAACAATGCCAACGCAGATGATACAGCTGTGGTTGTTGAGAGCTTCATATTTGGCGTTGATTGTGGAAGAAGAAGAAGAAGAAAAAGAAGAAGAAAGCAATGCAGAGGAACAGTTCGCTTTTTTTTTTTTTACGGGGGGTAAGGGAGGCTGCTAGTACTTGTCGGGGGCAACGATAAGGAGACAAAGCGGGCGACATTTTGTATGGTCTCCACTCTAGCTCAGATAGACGAATTAGACTTGCAAACGACATTTACATAACGACATAACCATTTTAGTAAACATTTTTGGTGCCGTTCTGTCACTAGAAATGGCTGGGCAGTAGGGGGTAGTGTTTGGTGTCAATTCTACTTTTGTCGCACAAAATGGAATAAATTAAGACTAATCGGGACATTTAATGTCCTAAAAGGGTATCACCCGACACACAGACACACACACACACACATTTACTTCTGCAGGGTGAGAGCTCACATGTAGAAGAAAAATATGAAAGTTCAGCCAATCGAGAGAAGGTGTTATTTTGAACTCCTTTTTGGTGGTAATGGCATGTTGGGACGAAATGTGTCAGCTTTAGTGGCACCAACCTTGCGCAAAAGCAGCCAATCAGTTTCCACAGAACACTGCTTCTTCGCATCGTAGGGGAAATCTTGCTGGATAGTCTGAACTGTCGTGCCGCCCAGCTGAGCTTTACCGTAATTATGTCTTACGAACGATTACACTGCTTTTACTGATCCCTTCTAATTCCGCATAAATCCGCTCACTATATGCAGGAGTTACTCACAAAAACTGTGGAATTTTAAATATTAGTCAGAGGGTTTAGATAAATGAACCAACGAACGATCTAAAACTTTCCACACTTTTCCCTCTTTTCCCTATTTTCCAGAAGCCAATTGACAATGACCCAGTCGAACTTACTATCAAAGACTTTCCGCACCAAGTCGGGAAAAGAGGTTTCCGTTGCTCTTGGAACGGGTACGAAATGGAAACAACAACAATCAATCAATGATATCAGCACCGAATTAGTTGATAACATTCTTTTAGCATTGAAATTGGGATTCAGACACATTGACACCGCTGAAGCTTACAACACCCAGAAGGAGGTTGGTGAGGCGCTCAAGAAAGCTGACATTCCCAGAGAAGACCTTTGGGTTACCACAAAGTATAGTCCTGGCTGGGGACCAATAAAGGCATATAGCAAGTCGCCAAAGGAATCGGTAGACAAAGCATTGAGTCAACTTGGTGTTGACTATATTGACTTATTCTTGATTCATTCCCCCTTTTTCACCACCGAACAAACCCACGGTTACACTTTGGAACAGATCTGGGAAGCTCTAATTGAGGCAAAGAAAGAGGGGAAAATTAGAGAAATTGGTATTTCAAATGCTCCCATTCCTCACTTAGAGAGGCTCTTTGCAGCTTCTCCAAGTCCCGAGTTCTATCCTGTTGTAAATCAAATTGAATTCCATCCGTTTTTGCAAAATCAATCAAAGAACATTGTTGAATACTGTCAAAACCACGGTATCTTGGTAGAAGCCTTTTCGCCATTGGCGCCATTGTCGAGGGTTGAATCAAATGCTCTTGCTGGGACTTTAAAGACATTAGCTGAAAAGTATAACAAGACCGAAGCTCAAGTATTGTTGAGGTACACTTTGCAAAGAGGAATTTTGCCCGTCACCACCTCTTCGAAGGAGAGCAGATTGAAAGAGTCTTTAGACTTGTTTGACTTTGAATTGACTGAAGAAGAGGTTGAGGAAATCAGCAAAATAGGTACGGCCAATCCGTATAGGGCATTCTTCAGTGAGCAATTCAAAGACTATTAGAGAGATGTAATTGTTCTTTTTAATTATATTTATAATAGATGTAATAACAGTTGACTTTTTGGTGCGCGATCTATCTTGGTGATAATTTGCGAACAAAAAAAATATTTTAGCTTAACTTCCGATGACTACGATAGATACAATACGCGTTCCGAAGATCTCCAAATTTGACAAGAGAGTTGCTGTGTTGGGAAAGGGAATATCAGGAGAAGTGGACTTATACCTGGCGAGGGGGAATATCAATTATGCAGTAAAAGTGTATCACACTCGAGAAAAGCACGAGACAAAGAAGGAATACCGAGATAGAATACTTCATGAATATCATATCCTCCTGAAATTACACCATTGCAATATCATTTCCGTTTATAAATACGATGTACTGCTTTTGGATTCGACTGTTAAATTATACATGATGGCAGGCACACCCCATTTACTCAAGCTTCTTGAACCAGTAAAGTTACCTATTTCAGACATTGTATGTTTTTGGAAACAGATTTGCCTGGGGATCTTATACCTACACAGTCGCAACATAAGCCATCGTGACTTGAAGATGGAGAATATCGTATTCGACAGTGAATACAAATTGTTGAAAATTATCGACTTTGCTACCGCCGATGAAAAGTCAGGTCCTTCAATTGGCTTGGTTGGATCGGAAAAGTACGCTGCTCCGGAAACTTATTCTAGTTTGAAATATGACGGAAAGGCACTGGACATCTGGTCCATGGGGATAATATTGTACTACTTATTGCACAGAAAGTTTCCCTGGAAACAAGCCCACCGCAATGATTTAGACTATGCCAGTTACTCCACTGCAACAACCTTGCAAAATCTATTGCACTTTAATGAGGGGTCAGAAATAACGAGTCAAATACTCGAGCCAGACGTAGCGAAAAGAGTCACCATTTTTCAACTAGAAGAGGATCCTTGGTTTAATTTGTTGCAGTTCTGTTCCGAGTCTAGTACCTGTGGGTTCACTCATAGTATACACCCCGCTGCCCTGAAACCATCCACTTTGACTCGGTGACAAGTTAGACCCCACTTTTCTTTTGACTCTGTAATAATTGACTCTGAATTGACATTGGTCACGTGCATATCTCCCTGATTTCGGAGAGCAGCCGCTTTCAGTTCTCGTTTTTTTTTTCTTCGCTTTTTTTCACTTGTCTTTGATACATAGTTAGTCATCTATACTAATACACCACAAATGATTTCCACATCCATTCGTGCATTGAGAGCACAGAGATTGACTATTCAAGCTGTAGCAAGGAGAAGCTATGCTGTTTCATCAAAAGCGCAAGCTTTGTTGTCAAAGCCGGTGCAGGAAGTCGATCCTGAAATGGCCGACATTTTGAACCAGGAGAAAGTCAGACAAAAGAACTCCATTACTTTAATTCCTTCAGAAAACTTCACCTCAAAGGCTGTAATGGACTTGTTGGGATCTGAAATGCAAAACAAGTACTCCGAGGGTTACCCCGGAGAAAGATATTACGGAGGTAACGAAATCATAGACAAGGCAGAATCTTTATGTCAAAAGAGAGCATTGGAAGCATTCAATTTGAACCCAGAAGAGTGGGGAGTCAATGTACAACCATTGTCTGGTGCACCAGCCAACTTGTATGCATACTCAGCAATTTTGGATGTTGGTGATAGGATCATGGGATTGGACTTGCCCCATGGAGGACACTTGTCTCACGGATACCAAACCAACACTACAAAAATTTCGTTTGTCTCGAAGTATTTCCAAACTATGCCATATAGGTTAGACGTGGAGACTGGGGTCATTGACTACGATACGTTGGAGAAGAACGCCGAGCTCTTTAGACCAAAAGTCATTGTAGCTGGAGCATCAGCTTATTCGAGAGTTATTGACTACAAGAGAATGAAGCAAATTGCCGACAAAGTTGGTGCTTACTTGTTGTCCGACATGGCCCACATATCTGGTCTTGTCTCTGCTGGTGTTACTGATTCACCATTCCCATATTCAGATATTGTGACAACCACCACCCACAAATCCTTGAGAGGTCCTAGAGGATCGATGATCTTTTTCAGAAAAGGTATTAGAAAGGTGACGAAAAAAGGTAAGGAAATTCCATACGATTTGGAAAGAAAGATTAACTTTTCTGTATTCCCAGGCCATCAAGGTGGTCCACACAATCATACCATTTCCGCTTTGGCCGTTGCATTGAAACAGTGTGCTGAGCCAGAGTACAAGCAGTACCAACAGGAAGTTGTTGATAACGCCAAGCACTTTGCTGAAGCATTGGAGTCGAAAGGATTCCAATTAGTTTCAGGTGGCACTGACACGCATTTGATCTTGCTCAATTTGAACTCAAAGAACATTGATGGCGCTAGACTTGAAGCGGTCTTGGAGAGAGCTAATATAGCAGCAAACAAAAACACCATTCCCGGCGACAAGAGTGCTCTTTTCCCATCAGGATTGAGAGTTGGTACTCCAGCAATGACTACTAGAGGATTTGGATTTGACGAATTCTCAAAAGTTGCCGATTTCGTTGAACAGGCGGTGGCTATTGCCGTTGATTTGAAGAGCAAAGAGCAAGGAAAGGTACCTAAAGAGTTGTTGGCTAGCTTCAAATATTTAGCAGATGAAAGCGAGGAAGTCAAAAAGTTGGGTGATGAAGTGGCCAAATGGGCTAGTCAATACCCAGTGCCAGGAGATTTATAGGTAAAGCTTTTAGTTTGTGTAATAAAAGTTTAAAATAATAAAAAAACTTATTTCTACGAAAAGTGCGAAAATAAAAATTGTAAGACAATACTGAATCCTATAGACACTGACAGACAGACGTCCATGAACAACGAATCAATAGTCAATGTGCATTTGGAGGATGTCCAAAAGACATCGTCGTTAATATCTTGGTCAAAGAATGGGCTCATTGTATATACCTCGCCCTGCAAACGAGCAAAACACAATTTACTATTAACTTACCTTGAAAGCATTGACGGACATTCGTGGAGGCTAGCTCCACCACAACCTGTCGAAGTTAAACTAGAAAACAACTTTCTTCCTGAAGTAACTTTGGTGTGCTGGAGTACGTTAAGCACAGATTTGGCAGTTTCAGACGTGTATGGTAATTTCTACATATTCCTCGCTGGTGTTGGAATGGTGGACACCAAAGACGAATTGCCAAGCTATGAATTGACTTCGTATAACCATATGGAGATGATTTACCGTGACGTGATAAATCAGGATATTAAATCTCCTATTAATCCAGGTGCATCTATTATTGCATTTAAATGGCTCAATATTGAAAAACCCCAGATTTTGAACAAGCCAGCGAGCTTAGTTAATTTGGAACAATCCTATCTCTACACATACGGCGTGAACCAATTTGCATCACATGGAGTACTGCATCCAATTCCAACTAAACAAGCTTGCTTGGCACTACGAAGAAATGGAATACTCATGTTGTATTACCAAGGGGAGCACAAGGTGGAATACCACAAAATTTCCATCAACCTTAGTGAGAGTCCACTAATGATTGGAAATGCATCAATTGGATTCACCAATGAGAAGCAAGTTATAATAACTGCCCATGACAGTTTATCCGATGACATAGTCACCTACTCGGTAAATATCGAATGGGGCTTTCTTGTGGAATCAGCCAGGAGACAGAAAACTGATCCTCACTATCATACACCCAAAGACAACCAGAATATTCCCAGCATGCGCCTTGAAAAAATACACGAAATGAAGCCAATAGCTGAGTACAGAGAAAATTCACTTGCCCCATTATCATCGATTGATATCGTGTCAGCAACGGCCGAAAAGAATTCAAAGTTGAGTATTTTAATCAGCTATGGAGCAGTGGCAATATATAGATACGAGGTTGTCAGCACTAGTGATATACTTCCTGACGCATTTGCTGAATTGGGTGTTAAGAAAAACACCCTTGAGGAGAATTTGCCATTGCAAACAATTGAGCTAAGGGACAAGATATCAAGGGACGGAAAAGTACAAGCCATAGTGAATGGACCATCTGACTTACACAGCTTGATCTTGTATAAAGATGGACATATAGATGTCTTAGATACAAAGACTTGGAAAATCATCAACATACCGAATGAACAATTTCCACCACCTACAATTTCAACAGTGTTTGACGTTGGATTTGAATTACCTGATATAAAACATAATAATCCATTGATAATGGCGGTATCACCAAATATGACCTCGGTGGTGTACACAGAAGTGTATAGCGAAACCAGCTTTTTGACCTTAAAGCCGGTGGAAAAAGTTCGTAATACGGGCTTCCAACCGAGAGAGCTATTTGCCACATCTGTCGCATTGGCGTATAGACACGCGTATGCCTGTTACACAAACACATTTACTGATGATTTGATTATATTGATACAATCGGAGGTGGAAAGACTCCGCTCATTGTTGTTGAAGCAGATGCCGGAAAAGACTGAGAATATCCAGTTGGTGATTAGAAAATTCCTCGAGTCTATAATCAGCGAGGCGCATAAATCGATCAATTTTCAACTAGATGCATTTAGCAAAGAGTCAGTAGATAAGTTATTATCGAACCCTCCATTGCAAAAACTACTTTCATTACAGTTGATTTTAGGGGAGGCGCAGGGTAACTCGGTAATGTCGGATATCGCATGGATTGTTTTGAATTTGAGGAGCACAAATTTTGGCATCATGTTTTCTCTTTCCAGTGTCTATCGCCAAATCTCAAAGAAAAAACCAAGCGAGGATAGTTTGCAAGACTCAACAACTAGAGGTGAATGTATCATTTCATTGATTGGAAATATAAAATGGCTCATTGATCTAATGGCGTATTTCAACCAAGAATTGCTCCAACTTTCGTATTTCAGAAATGATTCTGAAAATAGCAAACTCAACTTCAACAATTCAGTGGTGTTACCTGTCATCTTGAGCAAAGTGCCAAGACTATTTCTCATGTATGCAATTTCATCCATGGGCAAGACTCACGAAATATTGAAAAAGTTGCACAAGGACTTGGCTGAGAGTAATAAACTATTCACACCTATGAAGGAGGCGTTGAATCGGTATTTTACTATATGCTCGAGTGCTCCATTGACTTTAAGTTTGTTTGAACATTATCTACGCGAGTCTGATGCATTGATTGCCAAGGAATTAGCTACTAGGTTAGCAAATAAGGATAAGGGCCATTCGTTAAAAATTGAGCAAAAATTGGTTTGTCATGGCGAAATTACCGATGATGTCAAAGACATTGCCCGCATGTTAGTCAATAGATATGCGCAGAACATCAGTCGGGAGTTGAAAGTGTCCGAGTTGTACTTTTACAATACTGAGTGGTTAAATGTTGGATTCAGCAAGCCGACTCGACTGATTCATGATTCATCGGCCATTGTGTATGATCAAGCATCGAACAAGGAGGTGGTTCCAAGATTGAAATTTGGTTCTCAGAATATTGACGCGTTGAGGAAAATATACATCTACGATGGGAATGTTAGAAGGTGCACTAGATGCAGATCGGTCTCGTTGGTGTCAGACCCGTTTGTTTTCGAATCTAGCACAACCGTGGGGTTGTGGACTATGGTTTTCCAGAGGACTTGTATTTGCGGTAACACCTGGGTCAACATTTAATAGCAGGTGATTTAACAAATCGAATAGAGTTTTCCATGCATTTAGATAAACACTTGTAGACAGAATTCCTTACATTTCATTCAAAATTACTATTACTTGCTTTGTGTGCCAACATATACTCTCATTTCTCTCTTTCTCACCCGCCTGCTTGCATCGCTTGCTTTGCATCGGCTTCTTTCTTTTTCTTTGCAAGAAACTTCAACATAAACGGCATAACAACATTGCTTGCCACAATCCACGCCAACAACACTCCTATATTTCTTCCCATATGACCTTTGTAAGCATCAAAATATGCAACATGCAACAACTCGTAAGCATTTCTTGAAGGCACAGCATACCCGTAATAATAAAAGGGCGGCGTCAAAACGGGCGGACTGATGATGGGAGCTAAATTGATTACCGCCGTGAACAACAAGACAAATCCAATCAACTGCGGTTTTATCAGAAACATGATAATAACAATTACCTCAATTATACTACCCAACGATGCCATCAATAGATAGCAAAACATCCAAATTACCAAAAACCCCGAGTATCCAAATACGGTATTGAAAGGTAGTTGAAATGCCGTGTTTAAAACAACCATACCTAATGAAATTGCCATGTAAGCTACTTGAGATGACAAAATACGGAAGAATATATAGCTCCAACCTTTGATCTTTGTCGCCAAATACATGTGGATTTTAACGGTAAAGATAAACTGGAAAAACCCAAATACAACAAGATAAATTAAACCAATTTGAAATGGTGCTTGAAATACAGGGTTCGTAACCGGGTGTAAATCATTGATTCGGAATGTGGGGATAGTTGATACTAACTGTGGAGCTTGTGACATCACATTTAATGCTTGTGTTTGATTAACAGTTTGGAGCATATTGGCAACGATCTCGCTCTGAGTGGCGAAATTGGGATATGATCGCACAATTTGTTGAATAATGGTGATAATGTAGTTCAGTACGGCATTGAAGTCTCTCCCCGTTTCATAAACCACCTCCATGAGAGAATGCGTTGGATCAAATTGTGTCGATGCCGAAGATAATGCTTGGTTCCACATTAGAGTGGCATTTTCATAAACGTAAAATGCCGCCCACACTTTTGCATGATGCACCTGCTGATAAACCTCCTGCGTGATGTTGTGTCCATGCTCAGCTGCTAGTGAGGAGACTTTGTCATAATCCCATATTTCAAATTTACCCAATTGTTGCAAAGTTGGTACATCAGTGAAGTAGGACTCTATAGTTTTTCCAACAATGTTTGGCAACTGTCCTACTTGACGATCAGCAATCACAATTGCCATTTTCAAGTGCTTGTACCTCGTGCTCCGTTGGTAGTAAGATGCCCAGTAAAACAACAATGCACCGGCAAATCCTATGAGTAAGAATACGTAGTTGGATAATAGTTTGAGCCCGATTTGTATACGGTCGGCTCTGAACTCCTCGTCCCATAGCTTATATTTGCGAGGCTTTTGTGGTTGTGATGCAATTCGTGTGGCTTTTGGTTCTGTCGTCTCCTCTTGTGGCTCTGAATATAACTCTGGCTGGTACAGATGGACCGACTCTAACTCTTTCGACCTTGGGATCACATCCTCGTCACCGCGCTTCTTCTCATCATCATATTCTTCGTCTTCTTGAAAATCATGAGGACTGTCTGCACCTAAAACGTAGTGTGTGTCGTTGGCATTGAAATAGTCGTTTGCAACATCCTGTATCAAAGATTCATCCTCCTTTCTACTCACATCATCAACATTCCCAACGTTATCATCACGCTCATTGCCGAATGTAAATATATTGGAAGCAGCGCTTGACAATCGCCTTGACAACGGCTGTCTTAACCTTGGTGGGTTGGTTGTTGTGCCCGCATACGATTGGGGTTGGTTCTCATCCAGTGAGTTGTTGGACAGTAGGGAATTTAGTGATGAGTTATTGGAAACCATACCTCTATTATAGGCTGACTTTTGGTATGGAAAAGAATAGAAAGGTGGTGCCTTTTTGGAATGAGCAAGTGAATATAATGGAGAAGTTTGGTATTTGTTGACTATGAAAACAAAACGTCAATGTGGTACAAAAGTGTTTGAAAACAATGTTTGAAATTCGTGATAATGCGGCGGCTAACTGCATTGCAGCAATAAAAGGCTTCAGATTGAGTATTCTGCTTCGTTTAGGGGGTGCATGTATAGGTTGTCTATTTAGCAATATTAAAACAGAATAGAGGCAGGAATATAGTGCAATAGCAATTGCTATCTTATATTGCTCGGAAGTTAACATCAGGTAGGTTCTATCCAAGTGCAATTCATCTCGGACATTTTTCTGGAACAATTGTGTCACAAAACCTCAATTTGTTTATTTTTCTACGCAAGAGAAGCCAAGGTTTAATTGGGAGCATGTATGTATGTATGGATGTAGAGTTTTTGTTCAATTACGAAGAAGTGTATATACCAAAGCATTAATTCCCTACTCTACTACAAACTTCTTTACCAACCATTGCAACCACCAGAGAAATAGATTTCTTGCATCTTTAACTACATCCCTCATGTCGACATCGACAGATTCCATTGACCCATTGGAGGTGCAAGACAAGTCCAACAACAGTACGTCCGATTTGGATGTACAACCAATTACAGACTACCACGATCGAGATGTTGACGATATTCCAGCAAACTCGGGTGGCTTTACTGGAGCAGCTCTAGCAAAAGAGCAAACAGTCAGACCAGATTCGGTCAGACGAGATTCAGCCAAACAACGTCAGCTGGTGGGTTCTATTCGACTTACGTATAAAGAACGTTTGAGAGAGTATATAAAGGTTGCACCAAAGTTTATATGGGCCTATGTTCAAGTGTTTTGCATATACGTCGGATTTCTTAGCATCTACTGGGGGACATTATACAAGCGAGAAGAACGGTTCCAGAATGTGGAGATGTTGGTAGTTAATGATGATACTTCGTTCATGAGCAATGGAACGGAAATTCAACCATATATCTCTGATGCATTTATTGAGCTACTCCAGGAGCCACAAGTGAGATATTTGGCCAATTTCAAAGTTATCAACACGACAGATTTTCGTGATTTGGCCGAATCTCACAATAACACTCTTTACGAAGAAGTTGTTCGACAAATTCATCACCAGAAGTACTGGGCTGGTTTTTACATAAAGCCACAAGCAACTCAGCTCATTTACGACAGCTTTGCTTCAGGAAATGCAACTTACATGACGCTGGGACAAATTAACCAAACAGTCACGGTGGTGTATGAGACCGGTCGTCATTTTTCAGCGTTGAACCAGTACCTTATTAGAAACTTGAACACGGTAGCATTTGACTGGAACACCCACCTTAGTCGGAATGTCTATCCCGAGATTATCCAATCTCTATCACTGACGCAGCAAGAGAACCTTCTTCAAAACACGTCCATCCCAATATTCACAACATTTCCTATTCTTAGTTTTGTTGACAACAGATCATCGTCAAACTCGGCGATTCTAGGACCTTCAGAGTTAGGTCTCATTTATGCTCTATTGTTTTCATTTAACCAATTCAACTTCTCAGTGGAGATCTACCGAATCATGAGAGAGAGGTTGAAATATCGCTCATATTTGTTTTACCGACTTATAGTATCACAATTAAATGCATTGTTATTGGCATTAGTTTATGGATTGATGACAATTGCATTGAAGATTCCTACCGAAACTGCATTTGGCCATGCTGGATTTGTTGTGCTCTGGATGTTTATGTACCTCTTCCTAAGCGCCGTGGGAGTTGTTAATGAGATCGTGATGCTGATTATTATGGCCTTCAACCAACAACTATTAATAGCCCCATGGATGATTTTCAACATTGTCTCCAACATTTCTGCCACATTTGCTCCATTTGTCTTGATGCCTGGATTTTACAAGTACGGTTACGCTATGCCTATGTATAATATTTATGAAGCATTGAAGGTCGTATTTTTCAACACTTGGAAGGGACACTTGGGACGGAACTTGGGGGTATTGATAATCTGGATAGTTGTGGGTAATGTATTGTTGGTTCTTGTATCGAACTGGGCAGTTAAACGAGCCAGACGAATGCAAGCGGCAGCAAAAGAGTAGCAGTGTTTAGGATCGTTTTAGCATAGACGTATTTAGATCTCTAAAAAGAGACTCATAATGTAATTGAACGATGGGTTCGAGGATGATATACTAGCAACTTACTCGACTATACTCTAGAGACTATTGTTGAGCTATACTGTCTGGTTTCCCTTCTAAGCAGTATCATCAATAACTTCAACTTTAGGTTGGACATGTTTATAGCTCTGGCCAAATTTCATCAAATTGTAGCTTTCTTCAATCTTGTTCTCCCAAATGCCAAACCCAGAAACTTCTTCGCTGTGTTTCAAGTTTTCAAGAATCTGTAGTTTCAACTTCCAAATATCATTGTTTCTTATATCTGACTCAATAACTTCATTGTTCATTATATTTGGCAAGTTGTTGAAAAGATATTCCTTTGTGTGCTTGTACTTTGACATGCTCAATAGCAACAGAAACAATTTGTCTTTCGACAAAGATTCAAGTTGCTCATTAGTCAATTTCAATTTCAACGACATCCAAGCTTGAGGTGATGCAAGGAAATTGAGCAAAATGGGAAGATATATGTGATCAAACAAAGGTAGATTTTTCAAAACATCATCGTATATAGATGGGTTAAGACTGTACATCACGCCAGGGTTGGACTTGGATAGAAGCTTTATTTCCACTTCATCTTTGTCAAACACTTTGATCAAGTTGTAAGTTTTGAATATCTCAAAATCGGACAATAATGACTTGTAACCGTGGTATGTCATTTTTGCTACAAGATCAGCAACCTCGGAGTTGACAATGTCGTCTAATTCACCTTTTTTGTACAAGGTCATCACTGCTGTGATTGACCCTTCGATAGTGAGATTCGTCCCTATTGCTTTAATGTAAAACTGGATCAAAAGGATTAAAAAAAGTGGGTCATCACTAAATGTGAGAATTTCCCTTTCATTAAAATTGTACAATTTTGGATCCAAATTCAGCAGTTTGTCAACCAAAATCAAAAGGAGGTCCAATAACCGAGCCAAAAGCACGGCATTGGTCAGTTTTCTAACCGAGTAGAGTCGATCCTGTCCTCTATCTAACAAATGTATCTCCAGCGAATATAAAGCAGCAACAAGTGTTTCAATCAGGCTCAACACCAGAATCTGCGTGTTTTCATCAAAAAACACCTTCAATAATCTAGCCACAACATTGTTGCTAGACAAAAACTCCTGCGTCTCCAATTGATGCACATTTAAAGTCAATATTTTCAAACACAAGATGCTGATTGACGATACAGAGAACAAATTCTCCAAAATAAAGTCCGTTGGATAAAAGGCGACGATTTGTTGGAAATTGAGGTATGATAGGACCTTCTCTAGAAGCTTGATAAGTGCTCCTGTTGGATCAATTGTGGGGTAAGCGTTATCAAGCAATGTTTGATTCACAAGAGGAATGACCTTTTGAAAGTATGAAGGCTGTTCAACAGTAGCCAAATCCAAAGCGAGGATGTAGTTGTCAATCAACTTTTCATCAATGGCTGTTTTTGATTCATAGCTGGAGGATATTTCGGAGATAACGTTATTCGTAATACCGTCAAACATGGGGTTGAGTGATGCTAGTAGTCAGAAGGTATGTCTAAATTTTGTGGCAATTTTTTTATGCGTTTCCGCGACAGCTTGTCGAAGCATTTTGGGATAGTTCCTTCATCTACTTCGGTGAACAATTGAACACGAAATACCTTCTATTCATCTTTAATTTTATAGTTAACAGAGTTTATGTGGTACTGTTATACAATTTTCCACCAATCTACTTTCATTATCTAGGGTTATCTTTGATTTCGCATCTTATCTCTATTCGCAATTGATTGCCCAAAATGGCAGGTGGTACGAATACTTATCAAAGTCAGTCTTATCATCTGCCATTGACGAGAGAAAGAAAAGAAACACTGAAAATCTCCGAAAGCCTTTGTTCCCGTAAATTGTAGGATCTCTTTTCAACGAATCACAGGTAGGGTAGGCTGGAGCATAATGCTATATACTACTCAACATTTTTGCTGTAAAACCAGATAAAACCATTTAAATTATTTCATGAAGTTTGATGAAATGCTTATTGATATAAACTATGTTTCGCAAATGTACAATACAAAGAATTGACCTAGTGAGGACATGTTCATGTAAGAGAAGTCTGATTGGTCAACTGTGACAGTCAAATAGTAGTTCACCCTCTTATTCTGGCTCACCCCCACAATGTAAATCATTTTGAAACGTGGGTTGATATGGCTTGCCCACCCCCTATTTTGAAGGAATTTCATTTACCGTTGGTGGGGTGGAACCTCCACGAAATTATAAAAGTATAAAATGAATTGATCAACAATTTACCAAGCTTGATTCAAAGAACTCTCTGGGTAAGACGTGGGGTGTAATTTCGTTGGAAGGAACTTTATCTTGCATTGTGGGGTTTTTTTATCACACATCACCTTCATACACATGAATGGGTATTGTGCTATACAAACCAAGCTAGCGTGTTTGCAATTATTTTCTTAAAGATCTTACAGGTTAGCTTGGCACAATCGCACTTTTGTTGAGGGATTTTATTTTTCCATATATCCTTATGCCCCACATAACGGCCCGATTATGGATACTCCAAGGGCAACATCAACCTGGCTATCCGTGCAAGAAAATCACGCACCCAAGACTGTGCTTGGTTATCTCCACAAGATTGAATAATACCACGCATTGTTGTAGTGTCACAAAAGGAGCAATCGAAGAACGATAGTAACTCCATTGTTTACCAAGCGACGCAACGTTTTTCTTTGTAACCCAATGGAGTTACAACCAACGCCAATTTTTGCGATAAGCATATTTTATAAATACCTTGGAAGATTCTGCTCAATAAGGCATCTCACTATGTAAACAGCAAAAGTCGCGAATTTTTAGCAACACGCAATCATGTCTCCATCAGTTTCATATGAGTCCTTTTTAGTCACCGAATCTTTTGCAGGGTTCGAGGATCCTGAAAAATTCAAGAAATATGTTCCAAAATTGGAAAAATACAAGAAAGAATTAGAGGAAAGCATTTTGGATGAATACAAAGTCGACATGACTAAGCCAATTGAGGAATTGGTCAAAAACCAGCTTGACGCTGTTGATTATTTGTACACGGAAAAGTTATTGACGCCAGAAGAATTTGAAATAACCGATTCAACTGCTTCGAAAATCGTTAAAAACATTGCAGACGGTAAGTGGACTGCTGTTCAAGTTCTTAAAGCCTTTTCCCACCGTGGAACTATTGCTCATCAATTCACCAACTGTGCACTTCAAATATTTGTTGATGAGGGTATCAAACGTGCTGAAGAGTTGGATGAATATCAAAAGAAGAATGGTAAATTGGTGGGACCCTTGCACGGCGTTCCTGTTTCATTGAAGGAGCACTTCAACTATGCAGGTAAGGTGACCCATTCAGGTTACGTTGCATTGATTGATAACTTGACTGAGGAATTTGGTGTCACACCTCAAATCTTGCACGACTTGGGAGCTGTCTTTTACATTAGAACCACTCAACCACAAACACTTATGCACTTGTGTTCTGAGAGCAACTACTCCGATGTAACCAAGTGTCCTTACAACATTTCTTTGTCAAGTGGTGGATCTTCATCAGGTGAGGGCGCTGTCGTTACATTTGGTGGTTCTGTGTTTGGTATTGGCTCCGATATTGGTGGTTCAATCAGATCACCAGCGGCATTTTCTGGTTGCTTTGGACTCAGACCAACTACGCACAGAGTATCATTGGAAGGTAGTACCTCATCATTAGGCGGACAAGAAACTATCCAAGCAGTTTTTGGTCCATTAGCTCGAACAGTGGAAGACATTGAGACGATGATGAAGTCATACCTTAATGAGGGTAAACCTTGGAATTCAGATGCTTCTTTAATTTCTATGCCATGGAGAGAAGTCGAAAAGCCTAGTGCGCAGGATTTGACTATTGCAGTTATTAGAGACGATGGCTTGGTTAGGCCTTCTCCACCAATTAGACGTGGTGTTGACACTGTGGTTGAGAAGTTGAAGGAAGCGGGTGTCAATATCATCGAATTTACACCTCCAAATACCAAGCTCGCGTATGAAACAATCAACAAGATGTACAACTGTGATGGTAATGAGACTAACCGTAAAATGTTGGGTGAAAGTGGTGAGCCATTGACTCAATTAACCAAATGGTCGTTGAATTATGGTGATGGATCAAGGATGTTTTCCGTACCTGAAGTTCGTCAATTGCACATGACCAGGAATGAATTGAGAAACGAATACAACAAATTTATGGTTGACAACAACGTCGATTTTATCTTATCACCAGCATACAACAATGTTGCCCCTCATCCACGTGAAGTGTTCAATTGGTCCTACACTGCTTTGTTCAACATTTTAGATCTCCCAACATTGGTATTCCAAACTGGATTGAAACAAGATCCAGAAATTGATGTATGGACCGAAGAGGATAAGAAGCACCAATATAGATCTAAGTTGGAGCAATTAGAGAATGAAATGTACAAGCCAGAAGAGTTTAATCACGCTCCAATTGCTTTACAATTGAGTGGACGCAGATACCGCGATGAAGAAGTTATTGCTGCTGGAAAAGTCATTGTGGATGATATTTTGAAGGTCAATTTGCTCAAGCATTAAAACAGTTGCCGCTGAAACTTTATTAAACTATTATTACACTGTATATGAATGAACTACAGACACTTTTTGTTGACCCTGTTAAGTGGCGTATCGTATTTCTCCACTATAAAGGTAGCGCTCGACCCGCTTAAGGCGGGGTCAAATTACAGTACTCCCCGTCACCATCTGGAAACAAACCCTTGCTTACTCAGCAAAGGGTATTCCTTCTTAGTACACCCTCAAGTGTATATATTAGTAGTCGTCTTTATCAAAAGAAGTGTTTTGTCTTATGCAAGGTTAAGCACAAGAGTAATGCCGTGTAAAGCGTGTGTGTGTGTGTGTGTGTTGTGTGTGTATGTAATAAATTATATCTATTGATAAGATAAAAATAAATTTATTGCCGGGTAGATTTATTTTCCTGTGGCTTTTGCCCCACCACCAATACAACTTAATTAGGCAAAAATCAAATGCGCTAAATTACGAATCAGACACAAACGAAATGTAATGCCAATCGGTGGTCTCAAATCGGGTACATATAAAGGACCAATATAATCCTCATCTAAGCATACCTTCTTATTCGAATCATTAATCATTACCTTTTTCTTTTATTTTTTCAACACTTGAATACCATGACGGAACACCCGCATATAGAGGATGTTTTATTTGAATCACTTTTAACCTACGAAACATTTGAGGGGTACGAGGATCCTGAAAAATTCCAAGAGTATATTCCAAAATTGGAAAAGTACAAGAAAGCATTGCAAGATGCAATCTTGGATGAATACAAGGTTCAATTATCAAAACCCATTGACGACTTGGTTGGTGAACAACTTGACGCCGTTGATTATTTGTACAAAGCCAAGTTACTCACTCCTGAGGAATTTGAAATAACTGATTCATCAACCACCGATATTGTAAAGAATATTGGAGATGGGAAATGGACAGCAGTACAAGTTCTCAAAGCATTTGCACATAGAGGAACCATAGCCCAACAATTCACAAACTGTGCACATCAATTGTTTGTCGATGAAGGGTTGAAACATGCTCAAAAATTGGATGATTACCAGAAAAAGACTGGAAAGCTTATTGGTCCATTGCATGGGGTTCCTATATCGTTGAAAGAGCAATCAGGGTACAAGGATAAAATCACACATGCGGGGTATGTGGGATTGATCGATAACATTCCATCAAAGCATGCTGCCACCACCCAGATCCTTTCAGACTTGGGGGCCGTGTTTTATGTCAGAACCACGCAACCACAAACCCTTATGCATTTGTGTTCAGGAAACAATTTTTCAGAAAAGACTAAGTGCCCTTTCAATATTGCGTTGTCAAGTGGTGGTTCTTCGTCTGGAGAAGGTGCAATAGTTTCTTTTGGTGGTTCTGCCATTGGTATTGGATCAGACATTGGGGGATCTGTAAGATCACCCGCTGCATTTTCTGGGTGCCATGGATTGAGACCAACAACAAGGAGATTGTCAACATTAGGTGGTGTTTCATCAGGAGGTGGTCAAGAATCAGTTCCTGCAGTGTACGGTCCATTGACTAGAACTATTGGTGATATCGACTACATGATGAAGACGTATTTAAATCAAGGACGGCCATGGGACAAAGATGCGTGGTGCTTGTACATGCCATGGAGAGAGGTTTCCAAGCCTAATGCCAAGGACTTGACAATAGCTGTTATTAGAGACGATGGGTTGGTTAGACCATCGCCTCCGATCAGACGTGGTGTTGACACTGTTGTGAACAAGTTGAAAGAAGCAGGTGTCAATGTTGTAGAATTTATTCCACCAAATACTGAATTGGCGTATGAAACCATCAACAAGATGTACTGCTGCGACGGTAATGAAAAGCAGCGCGAGTTATTGGCAAAGAGCGGTGAACCCTTGCAGAAACTCACCAAGTGGAGCTTAAACTACGGGGAAGGTGCCAAAAATTACACAATACAAGAAAATCGTAAATTGAATATGATCAGAGATGCGTTGAGGAACGAGTACAATGATTTCATGGTGCAGAACAAGGTTGATTTCATCTTGTCCCCTACGTACAACAATGTTGCACCTCGTCCAGGCCGTATCTATAACTGGTCGTACACTACTTTATTTAATATCTTGGACTTTCCAACCTTGGCCTTCCAAACTGGATTGAAACAGGACCCAGAAATAGATGTGTGGACCGAGGAGGACAAAAAGTATATCTATAGATCTAAATTGGAAAAGTTGGAGAACGAGAATTATAAGCCAGAGGAATTCAAACATGCTCCAATTGCCTTGCAATTGAGTGGAAGAAGATATCGTGACGAGGAAGTTGTAGCTGCTGGTAAACTCATTGTTGATGATGTCTTGAAGGTCAACTTGTTGCATTAGATTAGATAGTAATAAACAACGTATGAAGGATGTCTTTATCTCGTATGCTGAAGGTTCAGCAGTTGCGCAATTCTCTATCAGTGACAATCAGATTGTACGGATAGTAAGTTGATGCCATTTAGAAGTTTGGGAAGGGGTGGAGATACCCGTGCGGTAGGTCTTCATGTTAACAAACTGCTCTCAGTGTGGCTATGAAACCCCCAAACCCCGTTTGGTGGACATTTCTAAAAGGGAAGAAAATTCCGCGCTGAAAGAGGAAAGTGTCAAAGCACAGGCGCCTGTATCCCGAAAAAAAGAGATAACGGCCCCACAACTGAGAATTTCACCACTTTGTGATATATAATTAGCCGATGGTATTGACAAAGCAAACGTTGGATCACACTTGCAATTAAGCCATATCATAGTAACTACAATGACAATTGATCCATCCCTTGACAAACTCTTCTACTCCTTGTTAACCAAAGATGATTTTTCTGGGTATGAGGATCCTGACAAGTTTAAAAAGTGGATTCCAAAAATTGAAGCATATCGTCAAAAGCTAGATGATTCGGTTCCCCCAGAACTCAAAGTGGAGTTGCCAGACTCAATTGACAGCTTGAAAGCAAATCAATTCAATGCAATGCAATATTTATACGACGAAAAGTTGTTGTCGCCTCATGATTTTGCGATTACGGATTCCCTGGGAACTCTGATTGCTTATAAAATAGCTTCTGGTGAGTGGACTGCTGTTGAGGTGTTTAAAGCTTTTACCAAGAGAGCCGTTTTAGCTCATCAGTTTACCAATTGTGCCGTTGAATTCTTTGTTGACGAAGGTCTTGCAAGGGCTAAAGAATTGGATGAATATTACACAGCACATGGTAAGACAGTTGGTCCATTACATGGATTGCCGATATCTCTAAAAGAGCATATATCATTAAAAGGCAGGATTGGACATTCGGGCATTGTGTCGTTGCTAGACAACATAGCTGACAAAGATGCCGTAACTGCAACAATTTTGTACAATTTAGGTGCTGTTTTCTACGTTAGAACTAACGAACCCCATGCTTTGTTGCCGTTAGACTCTGGAAATAATATAACTGGGTTTACAAAATGTCCCTTCAATCTACTTTTATCAAGCGGTGGTTCATCATCTGGTGAAGGAGCAAATATTGCCTATGGCGGAAGTGTTATTGGTGTTGGCTCGGATATTGGTGGTTCCATTAGATCTCCAGCAGCCTTTTCAGGGTGCCATGGATTGAGACCATCGTCAAGGAGAATCTCTTGTAGAGGGTTAGTTGGGGGAGAAGGTGGCCAAGAGAGTGTGGTAGGGGTGCTTGGGCCATTGTCACGAACAATTGAGGACATTAACTTGTTCATGAAGCTGTACATAAATGACGGCAAACCCTGGCTTCGTGATCCGTGGAGTTTGCCAATGGAATGGAGAGAAGTTCCTGTCCCCGAATTGTCCAAATTGAAAATTGCCGTTGTTAGGGACGATGGTGTTTGCAGGGCAACGCCACCTATTCGCCGTGGATTGAACCAAGTAGTCGAAAAGTTGAAACTGGCTGGTGTTGAGTTAGTAGAGTTTGTGCCAAAGAATGGACGATTGGCGTATGATGTAGCTGCGAAGCTATCCACCTGTGATGGTAATAGAGAATTGCGTGAGTTATTCTCAGCATCGGGAGAGCCATTACCAAGATTGACAAAATGGTACTTGAACATAGGTGAAGGGAGAAGGGAGTTAACCGTTCATGAGAATCGTGAACTTAACTCAAAAAGGGATAGATTGAGGGAGGAATATAGTGACTATCTTATTGAAAATAAAATTGATTTCTTCCTTGGTCCTGCCTACGATAACGTTGCTCCAAAGGAAGAAGAGGTATACAACGAATCCTACACTTTGATTTACAACTTGTTAGATTTCCCAAGTTTAGTTTTTCAAACAGGGTTATTTCAGGATCCCAAAATTGATGTGTGGCAAAAGGAGGACTTGGATTATAAATACAGAAGTGGCATGGAGGAATTAGAGAATAGAAGTTATGACCCTAAACAATTTGTAGGGGCACCAATTGCTCTACAACTAAGCGGAAGGAGGTATTTTGATGAGGAAGTCGTGGCTGCGTCTAAAGCGATTGTAGATTTTCTTGGTGTCGATTTGTTAAAAAGACAGTAAGGCTGAATATGTTTGTAGTTGAATATATGATAATTGATTTAATCTTTGGCAAATGTTGAGCTGTCTAAACAACTGAAAGCTACCTCTAACTAAATGACAAGTACTGCACAGTTTCAAAAGATCAAGTTCTGTTTCATCTGTACCATTTGTGGAAGGTATAACTGATAGTGAGATCTAAACAATGAATCCATCAGTATACACTTTACAAACTGAAGCTCCATGATTTTCTTTGTCGCGAACCCTACTTTAATGTGTCTTGAAAAATTCTCAGACTTAAAACGTGCAATCTTTGTCAAAAACACAGCTCAAAGAGGATATCCTTCCACCACACATAGACAAAGATGGACTATGACGAAGATGAACTACACTACGACTCACAAGAAGAGTTAGAACAATTTGATGAGGACAAATTAACCAATGAAGAATACGATTTATTACACGATCTTTTACCACAGTTGAAAACAAAACTAAAGTCTTATAATGATGAAATCCCTGATTTAGCGTTAAAAGAGGCCCTCTATTTCAACTACTTTGAGCTCGAGCCATCAATCGAAGAATTGAAATCGAATTTTAAGAGTATGTATCTGCTTTATACTAACCTTCCAATCGTCTTCTTAACCAAAGCAATGCTAACGAGAGAGAGAAAAAAAATATCCATGAGAAATTAAACACTTCTATTGCAAACCATAAGATCTACCATCAGTCATGTCCAAACTAGCCCAATTGGCAAAACTACGAGCTCAGAAAAGAGAACAAGAACTTAGTGAAAGCCTGGGGGATGTGCAAGTGCCGACGGAGGCTCCACCTCACACGTCATCAAAGTTGTCGCGATTGGCGAAAGCAAGATCAGGGTACTCGTCAAGTTCGATCTTGGATCAGTTTACATCTAATGCATCAGCAGGCAAAGATGAATCCACACTGCTGCCGCCTCCAACTTTACTAAGAAAGAAACTTGAGAGGACGCAGACACCACCACGAGAGAATGTTGCCACCCTCAAACTTCCTGCACAATATAATGACTCAAAGGAGCCGCCGATTTCTTTTGACATTGCTTTGGATGACTCAGTTATTCTAAATACCCCTAGGGATGACATATCCATATTCTGGTTCCAAGACCAACCTACAAGCTACGAGAATAGTTTGAAGCGAAGACGATTGAATGATGCTATTTTTCACCTGATTACTAACATCGATGTTCCTATAGAAAAAATCAACAAGGCACAAAATAACTTTAATAAGCCATCACCAGATGACGAGATATTAAATGCACAGAAGCAAGCATTTGAAGGAGTTGGCAATTTAAAGATTGATGAGGCACCAAAGGAGAAAAGCGCACCAACAAAAGTCAAAGAGACAAAACCGTTTAAGAAGCTCGATATTGACAATGAGCTTACAAGTAACCCACAATTCAGCAAGCCTCATAAATCTTTTGTTGTTATCGGGCACGTCGATGCTGGAAAGTCGACTCTCATGGGAAGATTATTGTTCGATTATGGCATAGTCGACGCCAAAACCGTCAACAAGCTTGTTAAGGAAAGTGAAAAAATCGGCAAAGGCTCATTTGCTTTGGCGTGGATAATGGACCAAACTGAAGAAGAGAGAAGTCATGGAGTCACTGTTGACATATGTGCCACTGACTTCGAAGTTGAGTCCAATAAATTCACTGCTATTGATGCTCCCGGTCACAGAGACTTCGTGCCACAGTTGATTGGTGGAGTTTCAAATGCTGATTTTGCCTTGTTGGTGGTTGATTCTATAACGGGTGAATTTGAAGCCGGGTTTGCCTTGGATGGACAAACCAAGGAACACACAATATTGGCAAAGAATTTGGGTATCGAAAACATTTGTGTTGTTGTAAACAAAATGGACAAGGAGGACTGGAGTGAAAATAGATTTGAGACAATAAAGACCCAATTATTGGAGTTTTTGACAAGCTCGGATGTGGATTTCAAGCCAAAACAAATTGATTTTGTGCCAATTTCAGGGTTGACTGGTAATAACGTGGTAAAGAGGGACCCATCTATCGAGTCATTTAAATGGTATAACGGCCCAACATTAGCGCAGTATATTGAAAATGTTCCATTGTCGAAAGATGGGAGGAATACCGTGTCTCGTGAGCCATTCTACCTCTCGGTTCATGACGTGTACAAAGATAAAGGTGATTTGAAAGTCATTGGTAAAATAAATAGCGGGTTTATACAGTCAGGAGAGACGGTTGTATTCCATCCCAGCGATGAGAGCTTGCAAGTTCTGTCATTGCAAGTATCTCAAAAGACAGTTGATTTTGCTATTGGGGGTCAATTGGCTACGTTGTTATTCAAGAGTAGTCAAGTTTCAAATGAGTCAGCAGATGTGGTGAGAATCGGAGATGTAGTTACAAAAGTGCTATCATCGATCAGGACAGTTAAAAAGTTTACTGCATCTGTCCATTTGTTCAATATGGATAAACCGCTTCTTGTGGGTATGCCATTTGTGCTCTTCAGAAACAGTAGTCAAGTTCCAGCAAGGATCACCAATATTTTAGAAATCACAAACTCAAATAAAAAGAAGAAGAAAAAAATCTTGCATTTGACTTCAAAGCAGGATGCACTAATCGAGATTGAGGTTGACGGTGGTGCGTCATTGCCGTTGACTACTTATGAGGGCAATTCGAAATTGGGCAGGATTGTTCTTCGAAGAGAAGGGCAAACAATAGGGGCAGGAAAAGTTACCGAAATCTGATACGGTTGTGGCCCTGTCATTATATAGAATATACAAAGTTGTATCAACTGTGAGGTGCCATCGTGATGATAATGTAGAGTGCATACCTCAAATTGGAATTCTTCTGTTTACAATTACTCCCCACGCTATATAAACTTTAAAAAGTCTATAATCACCAAAAGACAGCCTAATAGAATGCAAATAGAAACTAGATAATTTGCTCCTCTTTTGTTCTTTCTTGTTGCCTTGTTCAAGGTTCGATTACCTTCCTTGACCTCAAACTCCACTTCCGAGTGTGTGTCCATTAGATTATTTATCTGATCGCCTTGTTCTTGTAGTTTGAAACTCAATTCATTTTGGATATTTACTATATCAAGTATAGATTGTTGAATATTATCCACTTGTTTTAATTGAGTTGTTTTCAAATTGAGCAATTCTTTATTCTCAGATTCCAATTCTTGAATCTGTTCCTGACTCAATTCGAATTGCGGTATTTCCTCCTTCTTTTCGATATCCTGTTGTATTTGGTCTAGACTAGTGAACATTTTCGAATTATCTAAATCCTTCTCCAACTCGTCATTGATGTTTTGAAAATTTAATGAATTTAGTTGTTTTTCACGTTGGATTCGTTTACGTTGCATCTTTTCATACGTTTTGGATAAATTAACGAGCGACTCCATCAAGAACCGCAAGACCTGGTGTCTGTGGCTTGCCTCAGTCTCGAAATATAAATCTTGTTCGCCGTTATCTTGGAAAAACCACCGCTTCAGCAACGTTGCCTTGACCATTTGCTGTCGCTTTGTCTCGTACGACTCCAAGGCTCCGAGTTTTTTAAAACATTGCTGTACTCTGGTATTGAACTCTTCGTCAATTTTGTCCTTGGAGGCGGAGTTGGAAGCATTATCTGATACAGCGAGATACTCGGCTCTTATTTCCGTAATGAACTGACACAAGCTGCTTAAAACGTGGTAAAATTCAACGCATTCTTTATTAAAGCTGTCCTTAATTAGATACAAAGGTTTCTCTTGGGGATGTAGTTGTTTCTTGGGTTTAAGTTCAGTTTGAACAATGTTCACACATTGTGTAAATAGTGGGGTCAAGTCTGTCATTTGGTGTGTGATGTTGGTTGGAAAAGAGAGTGACGAGGTTTCAGCGCAGTATATAAATTTTTGTTTTGGATACTTCTGATTTCCTATATCAAACTACACACAAAATTTATCAAAACATTTATATACTCATCCAGAGAGATAGTCAGTGCATTTAGTAATCTCAATAGCATCTACACGGCCACCAGGGTACTCGACTTTGACAGTATCAGTGTCGTACAAGATATTCCATCTTCCCAAAAACTCATCACCATTAGGGTTTGGATTCTTTTCGTTATATTCCTTCTTTTCTTCTGGAGATAACCTGACATACTTGACATATTCGGGAGCACCGGGCATCAAAATGTTGTCGGCAGTAATCACAGTACCCGGTGCAATAAAGTTGAGAGACTCCAACTCTCTCAAATCAGGCACATATAGATCCTTCCAATGGTCAATGAATATGAAATCTAACGCTTTAAACAGACCATTCTTGTTGAATCTCTCTTTGAAGTCCACCAATGTGTAGGCGGCTTTTCCAACAATGATTTCGATTTTCTTGGACAATCCAGCCAAGCGGATGACATCGGTGGCAATTTTGGCGAATTCTGGATTCACCTCGAAGCTATAGTACTTGGCTTCGGGATCTTTAATCAATTCATTGGCGAACAAGACTGCTGAGTAGCCCAAGTACCCACCCAACTCGATCATAACTTTAGGTTTCTTTTCTCTGATCTCCGCAGTGATTAACTCGCCCTTTTGACGGCCAATGTCCATAAAGCGTTCGGGATAGTCGTCGATTACTTTCAACACCTCCAATGGCTTTCCTTTGATGGCGTCAACTTTGTCTTGGGGCAAGCTCAATATGTATTCATGGAATTTTTGCTCCTTCGTTTTCTCAGTAGTGTTGGTTGAAGACATGATACAATTGACTATGAATGTATGATAAAGCAAATGACGTGTTGTGTGTGTCTGTGCTTGAAAAAAGTAATTGCTGCAACCTATTTAGCATTTAGCAATTGGGAATATGTGATCTCTTATATACGGATAATCCTTCGAGGCACTTCAGAGACAATTAGCCAACACTTAAAGTAAGGGATTCCACACTCTACACAAGAATAATTTTAGTTTAAGCCCCTCACCCCCTCTGAATGATCACAGCAAAACCCGAATTGCTGGAAGGCACGAAAAATTTCGATCCGTTCACTCGTTCCGCGTTTCGGCTTTTACGTGCTTGTTATCTTTTCAATCAGTATTTTACAAGAGGCACGGGGTTAGTACGGCAGAAGCTTAACATTTGATAATTGCTTCATTTGCGAAAACGGAAAAGCCACAGATTGATTTAGGTACAAAAAAGGGATGGAACTTTTACTTTGTCCTCTGTATTATACATGAGGCAGAGAGTATGAGTTCGTATCAGTTCAACGGTAAAGATGGTATCTCGTCATAAGTTGAAGGTAAGAACGTTTCCACTGAAGGGTATCTAAGTATAACAGACTTCTGTAAGCAAGGTGTAAGCCCACAACTATCGTAGAAACAAGGGATGCTTCTCAAATTCAATTAGTATACCATTGAAGAGGTTACTAGGCTGAGAAGTCCCCAGTCAGCTGTTCCTTCTTGTTGTTACCCCTTTTATATAAGGTGACAATTCAAGCAGCACAGGGGGTAAAACAGTTCTCGATAGAGGGTTTCGAAGGTTTTTAGTGTGCATTTTTTTAACAAGGGCATCTGAAAAAGACACTCAAAATTCTGCGCACGCTAATAAGACACAAACTATAAGCAATCATTTGCAACGACACACTGACAGTTATACAATGCCCGAAACCGCAGTCTCAGCTTCACCGCAGTCTCTACAGTCACTTTTAACTAAATTTGCGCAACTCAAATCTAAACGACTGGAATCAGTCAAGCTCAACAAAGCAGGTGTGGCTCAAGAAACGAGGAAGCAAAAGCTCACATCCATTCAAGCTAAATCGCAACATAGGCATGAAACTGACCCCCGGAAGAGCTTGAGTGAAAATGAACGAGCCATGGAGTATACTATAGAGGAATGTGAAGCTTGGGAACAAAGGCGACAGAGAAGACTAAATACTGGTATTAAAGACCAAGATAAATTAGCAGAAGCATCATACTATAAAGAGATTAAAGATTTGAAAGTAGACAAAGATGCTTATTCCAAACTCGGCAAGGAAGACACTGACGTGGGTACCACCGATAAGAAAGTAAAGGAAGAGGTCAGCACCAAGATCAAGGAGTCCAAGGATAGAAAGTTTAACAAAAAGAGAGGTCGTACAGACGATGAGGCCGGAAACTACATCAGTGAGAAGAACAGGCAGTTTAACATGAAATTGAATCGGCAATATAACTAACTGTAGTCTTGTAGTTGAAAGCGGGGAAGGTTTTCAATTTTGTATTGTGACAGCGAGGGACCCCTTGTATAAATAAAAACCAGAGAATAGCACAACTTCACTTCTAGTAATGACGCCGAAATGTAATGACATAGCTATGTATATGTAGTAATCATCTAAAACTCTTTGTTTTCTCAATACGCGATGTTACTACCTAAATTCTTACCTAATCGGTAATTCTTTGTCAGGCGAAAAATTTATTTGGAAAAATATTTGGTTGAACCAGGTGTTGAACAGGACCAGATCAGTCTACAATCAATCTCATACTTCACCTAACAAACGAGTAACAGCTGTTATACGAGGCACTAGGAAGTAATTAGTTTTGCTTTGCTCGTAATCCATTTGTACCACTCAACTAGATTTATATATATATATATATTGTGATCTCGACGAAATGTCCGACGAAGAAAACGAAATTGTCAATCACGAAGAAGACCAAGGAGGATCAGAAGGAGAAGGAGATGATGTTACCAGAGACTCAGTAACTGACTCTTCTGAAGAGGATGATGATGACGACAACGAAGAGGAGATTCAGAAAGTACGTGAAGGATTCATAGTTGATGATGAGGATGAAGAAATAGAATCGAAAAAGAAAAGAAGGCACAAGAAAAGAAAGAGAGAAAGAGAACGTCAAGAAGAAAACGATGCATTAGACGAAGATGACCTTGAGTTACTTTTGGAAAATTCGGGAGCCAAACCCCGTGGCCAAGGAAATAAACTCAAAAGGTTGAAAAGGAAAACTTCGGAAGATGAAAAAGAAGGCTTACAAGGCGATGCTTCAAGAGAGCACGAGCGCCAGTCAAGGACATCTTCAGCAGTACCAGATATTTTTGCTGATGATGATGATGATGAAGAGGAGGAAGGATTGGGAGAGGGTTTTATTGACAACGATAATGAGGCAAGGGAAGCTATCCCCCGCGATAGATCCAACATTTTGGATGAATTTGAAGACTTTATCGAAGAAGATGAACTCTCGGATGAGGATGAAGAAACAAGGAAGCAAAGACAACTTGAAAGACAAAGAGTGAAACAAAGGGGCCCAAAGCTTGACACATCTAAATTGTCCAATGTCGATCGTAAAAGTTTACAAGAATTGTTTGAAGTGTTTGGCGATGGCCGTGAATATGAATGGGCATTAGATGCGCAGGAGGATGAAGACGAAGGTGCGGCAGGTAATGAAGACCCTACTTCTTTGGACGAAGTGTTTGAACATGCAGAGTTGAAGGAACGTATGTTGACCGAAGAAGATAACTTGATTCGTATTATCGATATACCAGAGCGGTACCAGAAGTATCGTTCCTCGTTAACCTATGTTGAACTCGATGGCGACGAGTTGGAACTTGAAAAGGAGTGGGTTGCCGATGCTATGTTGCGAGAGAGAAAAGCCTTTCAGGGTGGAATTTTAGAGCAGCCGTTTAAGGAAGCTGTTGGGAAAGTGGTGGAGTATGTCTCCAAAGAATCGTATGAAGTGCCGTTCATTTGGTCTCACAGAAGAGATACCTTGTTATATTCCGATGACGTGGGAGGTACAGGGGTGCATAAATTATTGTTTGAAGATGATTTATGGAGAATCGTCAAGTTGGATATTGAATACCATTCCCTTTATGAAAAACGATTGAATATGGAAAGATTGATTGAGTCTTTGGGCATTGACGATGACTTAGCCATGGATATAAAATCCCTAAACACAATGGTGGCCGTTCAAGACACTCAAGACTATATCAACTTCAATTATGCTAAGGAAATCCAAAACTTGTCAAACAGGGTGATTCAAGAAGGAGGAGAGCAAGAAACAGATGAAGGAAAAAGTGGCGACGCCGAAACTAGGGCTAGAAACATAAGCAAGGGTAAAAAACACTCCAAATATGCCCTTTTTGATAGGATCAAGTCAAATATCTTGTATGATGGAGTTAGAGCTTATGGTATTACCGCCAAACAATTTGGAGAAAATGTACAAGACCAAAGCTCCCAAGGGTTCAATGTGACCTATAGGATTCATGCAACTGATGACTCTGATGAATCTCCCGATTTTGTTATTGATAAGTTGGTTGATGATGATGAAGCTTTGTTTAGAGACGAAAAGACGGCCAAAGACGCTATAAGGCGTACCTTTGCAGAAGAGATGTTCCACAATCCAAAGATCAGACACGAAGTGAGGTCTACTTTTGCATCTTTTGCCTCAATTAGTGTTTCCATCACTGAAAAGGGAAGAAACTCTATTGACAACTATAGTCCTTATGCTGATATCAAGTATGCCATTAATCGTTATCCATCGGAACTTGTCCAAACTCCCGATGTGTTCTTGAGGATGTTGGAAGCAGAAAAATTGGGCTTGGCTGTAGTAACTGTTGAGCCTAGAAATTTTGAAAATTGGTTTCAAAGTATATTCAATTGTTTGAAATCCGATGGGTCTTCTGAAGTTTCAGACCAATGGAACAAGGAAAGAGAGATTGTCTTGAGGTTGGCCTTTAAAAAGTTGTGTGCCATGGTTGCATTGAATACAAAAGAGGATTTGCGCCGGGAATGTGAGCGATTGATTGCTCTGGAAGTGCGAACTAAGTTTGTAGCCAAGCTTGATCAAGCTCCTTATACTCCATTTGGATACGACAAGGGAACAAAACCAAACGTTTTGGCTTTGACGTTTGGTAAAGGAGATTATGATAGTGCTGTTGTTGGTGTCTTTGTTAAAGATTCAGGCAAAGTTCAAGACTTTTTCAAATCCGACACCAATCCAATTAGAGGGCCTGAGAGTGAGGAAGCTTTCAATGGACAGTTGAAGGAGTATTTCGATAAGAACTTGAAATATGACAAGCCAGACGTGTTGGTGATTTCGGGTTTCAATGCCAATAGTAAAAGATTATACGACATTTTGACAAACTTTGTTCAATCCAATGCCATTCACGTCAATGCCGAAGAGATCACCAATCTTGAACAGGTGCCATTGGTAAACGTTATCTGGGGTCCCGATGAGACAGCTCGGTTATTCCAAAATTCAGAGAGAGCCAAATCAGAGTTCCCCGATAAGTCTCAGCTTGTCAGGTATTCCGTTGGGGTTGCTAGATATGTGCAAAACCCTCTCATGGAGTACATTGCATTGGGAGAAGATATCTTGTCGCTTTCTTTCCACGAGCATCAAAAACTTATTCCTACCGATTTGGTTAATGAGGCTTTGGAGTCTGCATTTGTTGATCTTGTTAACGTGACAGGAGTCGACGTCAATATTGCTGTGCGTGACTCGTATGTCGCCCAATCTTTGCAATATATTGCCGGTTTTGGTCCTCGTAAAGCCTCGGGATTGATCAGAAACATCACCAACAACTTGAATTCGACTCTAGCTGCCAGAAGTGAGTTGATTGAAAGCGAGTTGACTACGGCTAATATCTTTATCAACTGTGCTTCCTTCTTGTATATCCCGGTTGATACTCAAGCTGACTCTCTTTCAACGCTGGTTGAGTTGTTAGATGCCACCAGAATCCATCCGGAAGATTACGAACTAGCCAGGAAAGTTGCTGCAGATGCTATTGATATGGATGAAGAGGACTTTGCCGAGGATAATTCCGTTGCCATTCAAAAATTGTACAGCGAGGATGTAACTAAAGTTAATCAATTGGACCTTGTTGAGTATGGAAAGGAGTTGCAGGACAAACTTGGTAAGAAGAAGTTTGCTACTTTGTTGATAATTAAAGATGAATTGATCAATAATTACGAAGAATTAAGAAGAAAATTCAGAACTATGGATGATGTTGAAGTGTTTACGATGTTGACGGGAGAAACGCGTGGCTCGTTCGGACGTGGCCTGGTTGTACCACTCACCATTGTTAAAGTGGGTAAAAACTACCGTGACCCTACAGCAAGAATTAAATACGCCAAAGGTGTCACATCATCTATGGTCCAGGCTAACATTGAAGAAGACAAGATTCCAAGTGATCTCGATCTTGTTCAGGGCCAGGTGGTGCAAGCGGTGGTGCTTGAGGCTTTCTATGACTCATTCACGTCGGTAATGAGTTTGTTGAGGGATGATATCAAACGAGCATCGAAGCCTAGGATTGTCAAGGACAGCAACAAATGGAATTTCAGAGCCGAAGAAGATGATTGGCAGAAGGAAAGGGAAAAAGAAAAGGCTCAACTCGCCAAGACAAGAAATATTCAACATCCATTGTATCGAAACTTTAATTACAAGCAAGCCGAGGAGTTTTTGGCGCCTCAGAGTTTGGGAGATTGTGTTATACGTCCATCGTCCAAGGGCCCCAAATATCTTACAATAACTTGGAAAGTGGGCAATAACTTGTTTCAGCATCTCTCGGTTGAAGAACGTACCAGGGGTAAATTTAAGGAATATGTTGTAGATGGAAAGACGTACTCCGACTTGGATCAATTAATTTTCCAACACATTCAAGCTATTTCGAGAAATGTCGATCAAATGGTGCGTCATCCTAAATTCAGAGCAGGTACAATGGCAGAAGTTACCGAATGGTTGGAGTCGTACACAAAGGCCAATCCTAAAAACTCAGCCTACATATTCTGCTATGATCACAAGAATCCCGGTTACTTTTTACTATTGTTCAAGGTGAATATTGACACCCCCATCAAGACTTGGCATGTGCGTACCGAAACGGATGGTTATGCATTAAAGAACTTTTTGTATACCTCAATGACGAAACTATGCAATGGATTCAAGCAAGTGTTCAAGTCGTACTCTAATCCCCTGAAGCAAGTGGCCCCGTCAACGACTGGCTATGGCTACAATGGTTATTAGACATTGACTCTCTTTTATATTTGTTTCAGAAAATAAATAACTCTTTTATTGTATTATTTAAATTTACGATATCCTATACGTAATTTCGAACGTAAACTATCACCATCTACATAAGTGCCCATCAACCACCTATCGCCTCCATTGGAATCAGAAAACTCATTTCTCGAATGCAATACACGACGATTTTCGAAAAACACACACGTGCCTTCCTTCAACTTAACCTCGTAATGATTGGTAGGATCATTGATGAATTTTTCAAACAACTGGAACCCACGAATGAAGTCGTCAAACATTTCATAAGCTGGATCTTGTTTTGTTATTCCAATTTCAAAGGGTCCCTGGAAAGGTGGTGAGTAATTCAAGGCGCAAATTTTGGGAAAATCGCCAGTGATTTCTGGGTCTTCAATTATAAGCGGTCTCTTATAGTAATAATACTCGTTGTTATTATCGTAATGGAACGTAATTGGAATTTTTGTAAGCGCCGTGTAAGCTTTGGGGTCAACTTGACGAACATGTTCAGCAGCCAAGAATGAGTCGCAAAAGATATTTTCGCCGCCCAAGGTCGAGTTGTCAATTGCGTGTAGCATTTGCACACCAGGAGGTGATTCATAATACAACAAGTCCATATGTAACGGCAAGAATGTGTTTGTATAGGCCAAGTTTTTGGCTTCACTCTTCAAGTTTTTCACATCAAATAATGATCCGTAAAATGTTTTGCGGATGTATCCAAACCTCTCAGCTAATTTGGCCACGGGCCATTGAGTCACATTTGACTCATTCATGTTCTCCAACTTGGGTCGTGGGATGTTGTCGATAAAGCACAATCCATACTTGTTCATATTATATACAGCGTCGAAAAACGTTTTGTCGTCGTTCAAGTAGGCATTGTAATCATGGTGTAAGGAGTCCAAATTGGCCATCAACTCTTTATGGTCCCACAATTTCCGATCACTGTCAAAAAACAAATCCTTTCTCGGCCCCTCGGGTGTTGAATACTCGGTCAAGAATGAAGCTGAGTAAGTTGAGTTGAGAAGTTTTCCATTGTTACTCCATTGAATATTGAGTTTGTTATTGACAACAGATGGCTCTTTTGCTATAGAAAGATCAGCAGCTGCTTGGGCTGTAGTAAACAATTTCTGACTTGTCGAGGCATCTACAGATTCTGGGGAAGTGCATGCATCACGTAGGAATGTAGTTTTGAATGTTACTGGCTTCCCATCTAAAGTGATTGATATTTCCTTATTGTTAAAGCCAACTAAAGACAATGTCGACTGAAATCTAAAATGGGTTAATTGAGATCTTCCTATTCGGCTTAACATTGTGGATGTAACTCTTGGAGTTATATGTGTAAAAAGGTGTTAAAATTAGTTTCAAAAAAATCTGGTGATTTTTTTTGTTTTTCAATACTTTTGTTTTTTGTCAATTGGTAAATCCGGGGTGTCTGCAAACAAAAGCGATAATTTAACCGAGAACTATATGAAGCGGGAAAAAAATGGTTGCAAATTAAGCCCAACAAAAGTCAATGTAAGTTGATGTAAGTACTTGGTGGTCACTTTACTCTAAGTTGCATTGAGAGGAGAGGGAGAAAAAGTGATGCTGTTATTGTATATAAATACCAAATGAGGTCAAAGATGAGTTTTCAAAATATTTGCTTTGGAATTTTGGGGAATAGTTGTGCTTGATGTTTTTGGTTACAGTAACTATACTGTTTATTCTTTCAATAGATTCTTCTCTTGCCAACAAGAAAGAGTTTTCTATAAGGGAGTTGAAGAGTGATGACTCGGATTGTAACGATTGCACACAAGGAAGATTAATTCTTGAATCCCAGTGTGGGTTGACACCTGACATATTCCATCATGCGGGTTTACCTCAAAATGAGCAGGACTTGCGACGTGTATATTGTGATTTAGCTGATAGTTATTCTTCAATTTTGAGTGGTCATACTGAAGAAGAACATGAGTCCTGGCCAACTAATGGGTTGTTTGGTGTGCTGATTACCAGCGGCCACGAACAACGTACCAACGGCCATTACTACACTTCTATTGGATTGGTTGCTACAAATTCAGAGGGTGCTACTATTTTGTCAAAGGGTATAGTGGTGGAAACGGCCAGCAACACCCGATCACTCATTGGGGGAGCAAAAGCAAGTGGTGCCATCACATATTCAAGCTTGTTACTAGGACTTGTTTTTACTTTAGTTGGTTTAGTAACTTAAGAAGGGGTCAGACTAGGGGAGAAAGAACCTGTGCCATAGGAAGGTATATGTATAGTGGAGTTATTGTATGGTTTATGTCTATGATTGAGTATGTAGGTTAAGGTATATATGTATTTAATTTGTGTAGTATACCGTATATGGGTATCATTTTGTTACTGATTTGATTGTTTGGTTGTTAGGTTGTTTGGTTGTTTGGTTAGTGTTTTGTTTTGCTTGTTTTGTTGATGGAATTTTTTTTTTTTTTCGCGTAATTTTTTTAAAACAACAACCAACCACCACAATTGTTTTATATTCCTATTGCTTTTCAATACAATACAATACAATCAGAGTTCCCATAATATTCTTTCAACAATTACATCACAACATACCCTTTTTGAACTGCATTACACTCTGTCAAATTATGGATAGCACAGGACTTAATGATACCAAAGACTCTGGGTCTAATCATGATGTCTTTAAAAAGAAATTTACATCGCTATCGCGACCCAGACAGCCATTGAGAGAAGCCAATGCTAATCTACCCACACTTCCATTCAAGTGGAATAAAAAGCACTCGCTGTCATATTCACCACCAAAGGGCAAAGAGGATAAGAAATTGTCACCCAATAAACCTGCCAATGACACCAGTGTTGTTTCTCCAATCGCAAATAAAACAAGGGGGAACGAATTGCTATACCAACTTATAAATGAACGGGAAACAGAGTTACACCTCGATGCTAATAAGCCAATTGAAGTTAACAGCCAAGTTCCTTCTCAAGAGCTCAAGAAGAATGAGCAAGATAAAGTCTTCGTAGACGAAACAAAATTCTCTGCATCTGAGAATCACGACAACACGGCCAGCTTAAGAAAGCGAGAAAGGGGTGTTGAGAAACAAGAAGAAATAGAGCAGAATAGGTCGACTGCTATACGGAGAAAGCTTTCCAATACGGACAAGGCTTACCATCAGATTGCTGCTCCCCTAGAACAAAAAGATAACGATACTTCTCGAAACCAACAGAAGTATAGCAGTTCTACAGAAGTCAAAACTAAGGCACAAATGAAGGCAACACTTATTGAACACAAAGAGTCTTCGAGTGCTGCTTCTGAATCAACCAACATCGTCAAAGCAAAGGATCACCTCGTTCAAGCTCGCATAAACGACCAGGACCAAGCAGGTGCTGGTATAGAATCCAAGAAGAAACAGCATCAGTCTACTGAAATACCAACAGGCCAGGAGAAAACTAGGAGCTTGATTGACTCGCATAACAGCACAGCAAAAAGCAGCAATATCCATTCCAAGAATTCAGATATGAAAGCACCTCTTCAAGTGATTGATTCCAATAAACCCGATCGTAAGCTGCAGGATAGAGCAGATAAAGCCAAACTTGCACAACTGAATACACAGCACCAGAAAGGAAATTCGAGGTTATCAGGGGAGGAGTTGTATCAATGGCAACAATCATGGAAGAAAATCATGAGAGAATCTGTTGTGTTTTTTGAAGGAACACACGACTTCCAACTGTCTGAATACAAAAAGGCAGTCAAATATTTAAAATATGTCGGCTCTGAGATTGCTCCATTTTATCGCACAAATGTCACCATAATAATATCCAAGCGTACCTACGATGACAGGGTGGAATACCCATCCAATGATATATTCTCCAATGTGCCAAAATTCAAGACAAAGGTGTGGAGTTATGAAAAGCTCTTTAGATTTATGAAAAACTTGGGATTGGCTAGTATTTCCGATGATCAACTTTCAACTGGTGCTAATGCAGCTGCCGCAACAGCAGCTACCAACAACTTGTACAATTTGCTAAAGGAAGAAAAGTTGTATGGAGTGGCCGATAGAGACCCAAGTGCAAGACGCGACGACTTCCATTATTTTGGCAAGAATTATTTGTACGTTTACGACTTAAGTCAAACCGTACGGCCAATTGCTATCAGAGAATGGGGCAGTGACCACCCTGTATTGCATCTAACTTTAGACGGAAAATGCCCCTTTATAGATGATCTGTCCGATCAGAACCTGGAGAGGAAGCGATTGAAAAGATTTAGAAAGTTTGAAGCCACAAAGGCTCACCGCCAAGCTCTTCGAGCCGCCACTGATAGAGTCATTAGTGGTATATCGCTTTCAACTGGCCGCTTTAATGGAACCAGTACAAGCACTGATAAGGTTGAGGAGTCATCGAATGGCGAAGTGGAGTTTAGACAACCATTGACAAGAAACTCTTCCTGTATTCAATCTAAAGCAGTGGACACAATGGCGTCTGGCTTCAATGGCGCATCCAACGCAGTGCAATTCTCAATGGATTCGAACTTGAATAGCACTGCCGTAGCTGCAGGAAATGGGTTGGGTCCATTCCTATCGCAAGTGCAGTCTAAAAATTTAAACAACCTCAAGCGCAGGATCTTTTTAAAACGGAAGACGTCTGAAAGAAGGGATAAGGAATCCACCCCCGGTTATTGTGAGAATTGTCGTTGCAAATATGACAATTTTGAAGACCACATTTACAGCAACAGACATCGCAATTTTGCGTGTGATGATCGCAACTTTGTTGATATTGATGAATTAATAGCTACTTTGAAGGAGAGCAACTCCATGGGTAACATCACCTCCAATGGTGATTACATATAGGCATATATTTCTCTAAATCTTTTAATAAATTTTGCATACAGTAATAGTTGTCGCGTTAAAATGGCGTACAAAAACGGAACAGTGTCAATAATCGGTTGAAAATTTTTAGTCCTTCACACTTCCTGGTAACAAGTAGTTGGAAACAAACATAATATGTTCAACCAGTTAATACACAGACATCTCGGGAACAGGCGACTACTAACTCGATCGTATGCCGATATAATTAATGAGATTCGAAAGAGATCGACGGAGTCTGCGCCGAAAGTGAACCGGTTTGCGCAGCAGTATTCGCAACCAAAACCCGATCAAAAACCAAGTCATCAAGGTGTCCGAGGCAGAAACAATGGTCAAAAGAGAAGCGGGGTCCAACATGGGGGCATCAGTGGTACCAAAAAGCCTCTTCACAAAGGACCACGATCCGCGTCAAACACGAAGGTGCCACCACCACGTGCAGTTGGTAGATCCAACTCTTCAAACTCCAATGGGATGAGAGATTTCGACAAGCAATTTGCATCAACAGCCCCACGGCTCACAAAAGAAGAGATTGAAAGGCAAAAGATGTTCAAGTATGAAGAACTTCGTAAAGACTTGGCTAGACAAGAGCAACAAGAGAAGTACCAACGCGACGAAACTGTCCAGTTTCAGCAGTTGAAGAAACGTAAAGTGAGAAAACTTAAAGAGCAAAGGAAACCATTGGTTAAAATCCAACTCCCTCCATTCATCAGCGTATCAAATTTGGCAACAATCATGCAAGTTCCATTAAATGACGTATTTAAAAAATTGGAAGGATTGGGGTTTGAGGATATTCGACATTCATACATTTTGGATAAAGAGAATGCCGCCATGATTGCTGATGAATACGATATAGAGGTTGAAACTGTGGCCCAGTCTGATGACGACCTATTTCCTGAACCAGTCAAGGAAGAGTTGCTAAAAGAGAGACCCCCTGTGGTTACTATAATGGGCCATGTTGATCATGGCAAAACCACCATTCTTGACCACTTGAGGAAATCATCAATTGTATCGGGTGAATTTGGAGGGATCACACAACATATTGGTGCGTTTTCGGTGATTACACCAAAGTCACGCAAAAAGATTACATTTTTGGACACGCCAGGACATGCAGCTTTTCTCAAGATGAGAGAACGCGGGGCAATAATTACCGATATTGTTATTCTTGTTGTAGCTGCTGATGATTCGGTTATGCCGCAAACCATCGAGGCCATAAAGCACGCCAAAAAAGCAGGTGTGCCTATGATCATTGCATTAAACAAATGTGACAAACCGGGTATCAATGTCGATAAAGTACTTGGCGATCTAGCGGCGCAAGATATTGACATCGAGGATTATGGTGGAGAAACTCAAACGGTGCAAGTCTCGGGGAAAACTGGTTTGAATATGGACAAATTGGAGGAGGCAATTATAACATTGAGTGAATTGAATGACTTTAAAGCAGAGGAAAAGGGAGTTGCTGCCGAGGGTTGGGTTATTGAATCGAAGCTAGTTAAAGGTATGGGGAATGTTGCTACTGTTTTAGTGCGTCGTGGATCGTTAAAGAATGGCGATGTTATTGTTGCTGGCGAAACATTTGGTAAAATCAGAGGAATGAAGGATGAGAAAGGGAAAGTTGTAAAAGTAGCTGGTCCTTCAACTCCGGTGCAAATATGGGGATGGAAGGAATTGCCGGATAGTGGTGATCATATAATTCAGGCAAAACTGGAACAAGTTGCTAAAAAAGTGATTGAACACCGTATCGCTCGGGCACAGCAGATCCAAGCATCTAGAGACATTGAAGACATTAATTTCAAACGGGCTGAGGAGATTAAGGAAGCTGAACGGTTGGAGAAGATTGCCGAGTTGAAGAAAGCTGGCTTAGATTCGAGTCAATTGGAAAAAGAAGCGCAAGATACAAAAGTAACAAAGTGTAATTACATTATCAAGTCGGATGTATTCGGCTCAGCTGAGGCTATTAAGGAGAGTATTCACGAGTTAGGTAACGACGAGGTTCAATCTTGTGTAATATCACACTCTGCCGGAGCTCCAACTGATAGTGATCTCGACATGGCCAAGACCTTCAATGCAACCATATTTTGCTTCAACATTAAACCACCAAAACAAATTCTCCAAAGAGCGGAAAGAGAAAAAGTCAAGATTGTTGAGCACAATATCATTTATAGATTGATTGAGCAAGTTACTGACGAACTTAGTTCACATTTGAGGCCTAGGATTGAGACAAAAATTCTTGGCGAGGTGGATATAAAGGACATTTTCACCATCACTCAAGGAAAATCAAAGGTTAAAGTTGCTGGTTGTAAGGTATCAACTGGCGTTATTAAGCGTTCATCGGATGTCAAAGTTAAGAGAGGCGATAAGGAAGTGTTCAAGGGAACATTGTCTTCTTTGAAACATGTGAAGGATGACATAAGCGAGGCTCGTAAGGGGAATGAATGTGGATTGGGATTCCACAATTGGAGTGGGTTTGAAGCGGGGGATAAGATCTTGGTGTATGAGGAAATTGAACATAAGAGGTACTTGTAAATAGTGACTGCTTTGAATATATATATAAAGCATGAGTATTTTATGTTGCTCTGGAATTGTAGTTATACGGGTCGTTATTTGTTTCATCAATTGTCAAAGTAAAGATAAAATAGTGGCAATCACAAAAACCTTCTTCTATATTTTACTTTTAGGAAAGAGACACAACTTGACAATTCACATAACTCAAATGTTTTTGTCAAAACTATATAAGGAAGATAAACCATGTCTAAGCCACATGACAGCCAAATGACTTTGTGGAGTGTGAAAAGCGCATTTTTCATATTTTTATTTTCTGTTGCCGAGGAATTTTGATTTTTCTTGAGCGGCATCAATCAAAGTGACAAGCGAGGTTTCTAAAATTGGACAACAAAAGTTTTTGATTGACGACTTTTTCCTTGTTCTCAAAAGTATCATTGATAATTCGTACATTTATATCATGAGTAACACTTACCATAGACTTGACGAGCTAAACCCCAAAGCACACAGCTCGTTGGGCGATGACCAAAGTCCTAATTATGCTGAAGTACCACCTCCATTTCCACACGCTGAGTCCTCCATTTCAGGGAAAGGAACATCATCATTACAAGAAGATTTGGAGGAAGGGACCAGCCAATCATCACCTCAGAATGATCAACCTCCTGATGATGTTAGTAGGATTTTGTTTTGTTTGATTATTGGGTTCTTGTTAATGGCTTTTGGAGTAACGTTAGTGTTTCAGGGAGATTTAACTTCTAAAATGTTTGGTATATTGATGGTAAATATTTCAGTATGTTTGGCATGTATTGCTGGAGCCATTGTATTTGGCGTTGAAAGAATTACCGGAGAAAGAGCATTCTTGAAAGGCATTGGTTATGGAATTGGATTCACCCTCGTGTTCCTGGCAATTTGTATGATTATTAAGTGGAAAATAAGCTAAAGCAATATTGGATACTACCAATTCTCTAAGGTTGATTAATACGCCCTTAGGGGTGGGTATATTTGATTGAATTATAGAGACAAAGACTTTCTCTTTTGAGAACAACGATACTGTTTTGGGCTCGAAATGTTTAGTGAAATTATATATGTTGGATCAGCTTCAATTGGATTTATCTTCAAATATCGTGGTCTGTAATCAGTAAGTAGATCCCTTTTGAGTAGTTTTCGACTGAAGTTCATATTTGTAGTCCCGGTCATCTTACCTTATCATAATTATGAACATATGTGCATTAACTTTTAACACAGGCATGGAAGTATACTCAAAAGTGGGCTTTATGTAATTGGCATCAAAGAGGTATTGTCGTCATCCCTTGGCGCCAATTTTAAATTGCATTCAACATTGAGGAACGTCAAGGGATACCTAAGCTATGTCGCTACCATGAATAATAGTTGGATCTTCATATAATTAGTATAATCGCGAGACTAAGTGAAAGTCTCACACACGCTCACCACTCCAACTACCCACAGCTCTATGTCCAACAACTACGAACCAGTTGATTCCTTTCACACTAAGTGCCCTTCTTATCCGCAAGAAGATGAAAGCGCCGATTATAGTGAACCACCTCCACTATTTGTACATCCATCAACTTCACAACAAACGCCCTCATCATTACCTGATGACATGGAACGCCTAGTTATAACTTCACCGGAAAACAAAAGAGAATGTCCAGAGCACTGCGGGAAGATTGTCTTCACCAGTCTGGTTTCAGCAGTCTTATTCTTGGCGTCGTTATTTATGCTTAATGAAGGGGGACCATTGCTTCAGCTGTTTGGTATTTTGATAATAAATTTCTCAATTTATTTCTTATTACTCAGTAGTGCCATGATGTTTAACGCTATGGAAGTACTTGGTGAGGAGAGGTTCTTCAATCGGTTCATTGGTGGTTGTTTTTTGACAACTGTCCTTCTGATATTTTGTGTTGTCGTATATGCCTCGTTTCGTTTCGGCTGATCCAAATTCGAAGTAATTACGGCTCGTGAACAAGTTGATAAGTATCAAAAACTATTCAATATAGTATCTCAATGTAACTCAGCTATCTGGCTCTTACAAAAGTAGAACACGTATGCGTCTTCAACCCAGTATTAGACCCAGGTATCACACAAATCCTTCCTAGCTCCATACATAGTATGCGACATTGAATGTAGCTTCACTGTGGAGCTCAAGCGGGAAATAACATGTTATGTTGCTTTCGTCTTAAACAAGAAGGAACAAAACCAACAGAATAAATATTTTGCACCCATTTCATTTTAAGGACAGCACAGATCAGCTTCTATGCGACGTATAAAAGGTGCTATAATCTCTTCTTCTCTGATAGACTTATGGAATCAAGAAGCATTTGTCTTACTTTAAATACATAACCCGTATGAGAAAATATTGGAAACCAAAGTTCGGCTAAAAACAACACGTTTGAGGCTGTGATCTAGAATCAGCGCCACCTTCTTTCCAGTCTTATAACGGTCACGAGAATTCAAAAAAGGCTAGGCAGAATGTTGCGCAATAATAGCCACAGGTTCAACCCCAACCCAAGCCAAAGCCAAAAAATGTGCCTATAAATCCCGAAGCGGACCATGATGGCAAGGCTACTTATTGTACTGTAGTTGCAGCATGTTTATTTTTTGCTTCACTGTTTATGCTCAAATTCGGTGGTTTGCTGGTTAAAATGGTTGGTACGATCTATATGGGGTTTGCTATATACTGTGTCCTTCTCTTGGGGGCAATTGTTTTTAATATTATTGAAATAGTGAGAAACATTTTATTTAGTTGGCTTTTGAGAGTAGAACTCTTCATAACCATTTCGGTCCTGACTGGTTTGATGTTTTTTCAGTGGAGTGCTTCCCATTCAAAGACTTCACTCTAATTTGGCTCAAACACAATTCAGAGTCCTTATTTCTTTTACACTTAGGTTTACACTTGCATAGGTATAACCTTATTTTCAATTGTGGGGTTAAATTTGTAGAGATTATTCAGCTCTTGGTTTGAATTGCTCATTGGATTGTTTATGAGGTGGTTTGTTCCTACAGTCAAGCTTGAGAGCTGTACTCCAAGGCAGGAACAAAAAATAACAAAAAACCCGAAGCAAAAGATTTTGAAGTGAAAACTGTTTTTGCACCCACTGTTCTTCAAGGAAAGCAAAAATATGGACGCTTTTAAAATGACGTATAAAAAAGATATTTGTGGTTGCCTTTTCTTGGGGACCCTTTCAGAAAGTTATGTTTTACAATTATCTGACTCAGCTCATGCTTGGGAAAAGTGGAAAGCCAATCCTCGCTTGTTAACGAAGCCAACAACACTGAGAAAAATCGAGGAACAGACTCTCCTCCTCCTCCTTTTCACCAAGCTAAAAATTCCTTGTCAACAGACTTAGAATTGCAGCCACAGCCACAGTCACAACCTAAAATTCAACCTCAACCACAACCAACAACACTATCCTCCACTCGTAAAGCCAGTCGTACAGAGAAGCTATGCTATAGGAGTTTGGCGTCAAGCGGTTTGTTCATCGCTTCACTGTTTTTGCTTGGGCTCGGGACCTTACCCGTTAGAATGTTTGGTATACATGATTTGAATCTAGCTATATTTTTGTTACTTGCTGCTGGAGAAGTCGCATTTGACGTAATCGACACACTCGGGGCTGTTCTATTTAACTGGTGTTTATTGAGCGGCTTTTTGCTTGACTGCGTGCTTCTGGCTGTTTTTATGTTTTTCACTGGAAAAATTCTGCTCCAGACAGTTAGTCGAGCGAAGGTTGAAGTAAAGTAGCGGTATAGTTTATTTTGTTTCTGTAAAAGAATTGACCTGGTATATTATTTAGATTTGTATGGGTATGATTTGTTTTCGCTGATGGCGCTAATGTAGAAAACACTCATCCCCCTAAGAAAACATCTCTTTTGGGTGCCATTTTCTTATAAAGATGAAGCAAAATTGCACTTCAATATAAATAAAAGCTTTCCCCAGTTGAAAAAATCTTTTGAGATAGTACACTTTTGAATTGTTTCCGAAAAGCAAGCAGGTCTTGGCCACAGTATTAGAGAGTGATTGATTATAGAACAATCTTCACGACAAAGTGCAAATATGATACGGTAGCGCATTTCTGGAAGAACAAATACAAATGCAGATCTCGATGAGGAAGAAAATTAGAACTTCATCACCAAGTACATCTTCATCATGTCATCATCGTCACAAGAAGAATACTCGTCAGATGACGAAAGTATTTATGAGTCCAATGCCAGTCACAAATCACAAGTTCTTTTAGGCTTTGTAGATGGACCAGTGACGCAAGATGATCAACCAACTATCGAAGATACATTTATTGGTGGTCAACCAATTTGGCTCCATCCAGATTCCAAACCCCAAGAAAGTTATTTAATCTGTGATCACTGTGGGAAAAAGCTAGCATTGTTGCTACAAGCGTTTTCACCACTTGATGGTGCGTTGTATGATCGAGTGTTGTACATATTTGGATGTAAAGATGTTCAGTGCTCGAAACAAAAGGGAAGCGTTAAGGTGATCAGAGGTATCAGCAAGGATGATGAGGTTGTAAAGAGGATACAAGAGGAACTAAATGGAATTAAAATGAAGGAAATGGAAGATAAGTTGAAACTGGAACAACTGAAGAAATTGAATGAGGAGTTGACAAAGAACCTTTTCAAGAACGACAAGTCTAGTGACAATCCATTTGGAGGGTCGAACCCATTTGCCAAGAATGATAATCCTTTTGCTGGAGGCCAGTCTAACCCTTTTGTGAAGAGTGAATTGAAATCCACCGAGAAAAATGAATCACCACAAACGAATGTCAAGCACCAGCTGTATGCAGACGCGGCAAAGGCAGCACCCAAACAACCGAAGAAGGAAGAAAAGAGGTTGCAAGGTGGTCTACCTCAATACAATGCCAGTTTTGTATACGTTGATCTGGAGAGATTCCACAAGGACAAAGATGCAGATGCAGAATTAGCCAAATACAAGCATTTGATTGACCAAAATGAAGATCCAGAGGAAGGTCCCTCATCATCATCAAGCAAAAATAGACGAGGTTCGTCTTCTTCAGCAGTGTTGGATCCACACACAACTAAAATATCCAATATGCTAGATGACAAGTATTTTGAAAACTTTTCATCCACAGTCAAACATAACCCAGGTCAAGTATTGCGATACGATTTAAACGGTAAACCATTGCTTTACAATGGTAAAGATGAAGTTGCCAAAATATTTTTAAACGCAAACAACCAAGCCAGTATCCCTCGTCCTAGTTACAACCCCAGTAGTGAACGCAGGTTTGAACTACAATTGATGCCAAAGGCAATCATGGATCTTGAAGGCTTGGATGGGGATAATATTGATATCAAGGATATATTGAATGGAATGTCATGGGGTACAATAATTGTCGGTACAGATGTTGAAGATTATATACCAGATGAGAACTTTGATGAGAATAAAGTTGGATATATACAAGAGTGGTGTGGTGTCCAATGGGAAGAAAGTGCTTGATAGAGAGGAAACAAGTCGAAGAACATCTACAAGTGTCGATGCTGAAATATAATGTGTCTTTTTGGGTGACTTGTACACCTATAGCAATAGTCCATAGAAAAATAAAGATGCTAATTCGATATCGCATAGTAGTAAGTAGAGTTGTCTCTGTTGGTGCTGAGTTGGAAGGAGGGGGGCCAGAGCAATATAAGATAGCTCGAGCCGGGAGAACTGTAACACCTGCATAATCTAAAATAAATCGCGTGAAAACCTTTTGCTACCAAACCAAAGACCAAAAAGTAACTTGAAACTGAAATGACATAATGTTACTTTTTTTTTGCCTTTTTTGCCCTTTTTGATTTTGCGCGCCTCCTTTCAAAATGATACACAAAGTTGGTTGCGAAAAGGAAAAAAAAAAGAAATTTTTCATACCTTCTGTCACTGAATCGGAGCTAAGCGCTTAAATTGGACTGTTGTTCAAGTCACATCAGTATTGTCAAAGCATAATGGGGGCATCACTATCACATTGATCGCGAGGCAATCATTGTAGTTCCTGATTGTATAACTCAAAATCTACATGTTTGCTCTTCGCAAGTGCCTCAGCTGAAAAAATAATTGATTGGTTGCTCTCATTTTCACAAGCCCATTTTAGAACCATGGAGATCAAAGTGGAGTCAAATGGCACAATTACGTCCTCACTTTGGTACATCTACGTCCTATTTTTGTACAAGAATGTTTGTAGTTAATGAACCCAAGGCTTTTTTTGTAACTAGCTTGTGTACTGTATGTGATTGGCATTGTCTTTTCTTTTACCAAAAATAGAGAGTTTTACAATAGAATTTCTGAATCTAGGCCAAAAAAAGAAAAAATGATTGCTCAGACGTGTTTGGTTGTTTTGCTTTGACTGGAAGTAGTTGTATACACTAGCAGCAGGTGATAGTATAAACTCAGCTCAAGACCTTATGAGTTTTAAAAAATGAAAAGCAAATGAGTATAGTTTCCTTCATATATGATGATATGTAAATAAAGCAGCTCATGATGTAATTGTTTGCTTTGATTCTTTGTTCTCTAACCCTTTCAAAGGAATCACAAACAAGAAATGAAACAAAAAAAGAATTGACGGAATTTCTACAAAAAATAAAACCCGAAAGAAAGAGACCTTCTTCTTACTAATTAAACGCTTTAATATAGGCAACCCACCAACTAACCCCCAAGGAGTACAAAAGACGACTAACAAAGGGATACATAACTTTCGACAAATTCACAAAACAGTAGAAGATAGTATAAAGAGAATTTAATATCCTTACTTCATTCAACAGAACATCACACTCGCTTCATCTTCATTTACATCTTCATCGTCAATAAGATCGATCATCCTTTGAACTGACACAACACCTAGCCCGCAGCATATCATATTCACATATTTAAAATATGTCCCACGACTATTCATCGTCTAGTGATGATGAAAACTTTAACCCAAGTGCTCAAAATCGGTTTCATATCCAAATACCACAACAGCAACTAAATTTGAATGAGGTCCGTAAACAGAATCAAAAGAAGGATAAGTCAAAGTTTACCAAGCAAACATCATCAAATTTCAATAAAGTTGCCAACAAGTTTAATAATAAAAAGAGCAGCCTGAAAAAGTATCCCGATTCGTATATTCCTCGTGACCCGAGGGCTTCTTTAAATGCGTCAAGGCTGTCGCATGCGTCTTTTGAAGAAGAAGGTGGTGGAAGTGGAGATAGTGACTCTAATTCTGACGATGAGTTTAACCCTGCTTCTTCTGCATCAGGAAATCAGAACTTGCCTCATTTTAAATTTGATGCCAATGATATAAGAAAAAGTCAAGGTCCAGTTGATAGCGATGACGATGATTCTGATGATGGTAGTTATCAAGATCAAACGCATACTGACTTTACACATCTTCAACAGGCGCCTCATGAACAATTCTACCAAACTGATTCATCAGACGAGGAGGACCCAAGAAGAAAAGATGAGCATCGTCCTGAATCACTTCATCAGGACCATTTACAAAGGTCGAAATCAAGTGCATCAAGAAAATCATCAGATGACCATACCGCAGCTCATACTGCATCGTCATCGTCATCGTCATCACGACAAAATCGTAAACCTTCAATCCACTCAATGCGTTCACATGAAACTAACCGCAGTTCGTCCAAAAGGAGTATCACTAGTGGATCCAAGGACTCTAATGGAGGTTTAAGAGGCATTCTTCGCAAAATGTCGTTAGCTGATCGTATTCCTTCCGAAGATCATGACATTAGTCGTAGTGATACGTTTCTAGGAAGAGTCCTTGGTGGAGGTCATCAAGGGTTGAGTGGAGGCGGATTAGCTCCCGGTGCAAGTAGGGCATCTAGAGATAACAATGCTAATGCCGATGAAGAGAAACGTGTTGGGTTTGCCGAAAACGAAAATGATCGTGGTGATCATCATGATATTGAATTACAACCATTATCGAAATATGATGATTTAAGTGATGAAGTTAAGGCTTTGGTTGATCAACATATTCCCGATGCGGCATTGCATTCAACAAATGCAAGTACCAATACAAGTGCTGATGTGACACCAACGCGTAGCACTGATGATTTGCTCAATGAAAAGACTAAAGATGATGAGAACAAAGAAGAGCGCAAAAAGTCATCCGATAAAGATGAAGATCAAAATAAAGATAATCCATTTTATGCCCCCAATCCCGATCTTTTCCTTCGTGGACATAACAATTCAGAATCGAATGAATTAGCTGGCGTTGATGGTAATTACATCGAGCCTCCAAAACACGTTCAAGCCGGTGTCTTGTCTTCATTATTGCGTTTGTATCAACAACCAGCCGAGAATAAATCAGCAAGTTCATTGAGTAATGTTGACACCAATGACTCAACTGTTGATAGTTTTGAGGACCACAGAAAACCTACCCTGCATTTAGACTTGACCAAGTTTGGAACTGAAGTTGGCGCGGGAGTTAAATATGGGATGAAGTCAGCACAGCAGAGTGCTAGTAAGGGGTACCTGGGTATTAAAGCTTCAGGAAAAGCTATTGGAAAAGCTGCTAATAGAATGAGACGTTTTGACGGCAGCAAGGGAGCTGGAGCTGATGATCAACGGTTACACGACGCAAGCGACGACGACGACGACGACGACGATGATGATGATGGTCACAATGGTGGTGGCGATGGTAAAGGCAAATATGACGCTGGTGGCTTGCCATCTTTCCAAAACGCAAAGCCAAAAATACCTAAAAAGAAGGTGACTGACCCAGCTGCCAAGTTGAAGAAATTGAAGCGTAACAAAAAAGCAGAAAGATTGCGTATCACTGTCCATATAGCTGATGTCTTGCAGCGACAACGGTTTATCGTCAACATGTGTCGTGCATTGATGTTGTATGGAGCACCAACGCATAGATTGGAAGAATATATGGTTATGACATCGCGAGTGTTGGAGATTGATGGCCAATTCATTTATTTTCCTGGATGTATGTTGGTATCTTTTGGTGATGCAGCCACAAGGACTTCCGAAGTTCATCTTGTGCGATGTGCTCAAGGAATCAACTTGGGTAAACTATCTGACGCTCATAAGCTTTATAAAGCGGTGACACATGATTTAATCGGGGTTGAAGAAGCCTCCAAAAAGTTGGATGATTTATTAAAGGAAAAAAACAAGTTCTCACCTTGGTTATGTATATTCTTTTATGGGCTTGGGTCATTGGCAGTCACACCTTTTGCCTTTGATGGTGGATGGATCGATTTGCCTATAAGTTTTGGTATTGGATTATGTGTGGGATTTTTGCAATTTTACGTGTCAACATTGTCAAACTTGTACTCGAATGTGTTTGAAGTATCATCAGCCATTGTTGTTTCCTTTATAGCTAGAGGTATTGGATCCATACGTGGTGGAGATTTGTTTTGTTTCAGTGCTATTGCTCAAGGTTCATTGGCCATTATCTTGCCTGGTTACATTATCTTATCAGGATCATTGGAGTTGCAATCGAGAAATATTGTTGCTGGATCAGTGAGAATGTTCTATGCCATTATATATTCCTTGTTTCTTGGGTTCGGAATCACGTTGGGATCAGCGTTATTTGGATGGGTATATCATGATGCAACGTCAGAAAACAGTTGTTCCGCGGGGCATACTATTGATGATAAATGGAGAATCTTGTTTGTGCCCCTTTTCGCCACATGTCTAGGATTACTTAATCAAGCCAAATGGCGTCAATTGCCAATCATGATCATCATTGCTAGTGTCGGTTATATTGGAACCTATTTCGCGGGTAAACATTTCTCCAACGTTACTGAATTCACCGCTTGTATTGGTGCTTTTATTGTTGGTATCTGTGGTAATTTGTATTCACGTATTTGGAAGGGGGTCGCGGTATCAGCCATGTTGCCGGCCATTTTCGTCCAAGTTCCCTCTGGTATTGCATCCAAGAGTTCATTGATTTCTGGTTTACAAACGGCCGATCAAATTACGAATCGAAATGGAACGGAAACTACTACAACTACCGATACCACTAGTTCTTTAAGTTTTGGTGCGACAATGGTTGAAGTTTCAATTGGTATTAGTGTTGGGTTATTTGCTGCTGCATTGTTTGTGTATCCATTTGGTAAAAAGGGCACTGGGTTGTTTACCTTGTAAATGGAGTGGTGAGAAAGTGGTTTTTGCGAAACAGGAAGGCTATTTTGGGGTTGTTAGGTTTTGCAACAGTATATTTTAAGTTATAGAAAAAGGGGACATATATAGAGTTGGAATTAGATATTTAAGTTTAATTAAAATTAGACAGTTTTAGAAGATAATCTTTGGTGTAGATGTACTTGTGAAGATCAAGGAATGTGTGAATAACCACTTGTTAGCACCATTTTAATCCTTCTTCTGTGAAGTGACGACGCAAAAAAAAAACATATGTTGAACAAAAGTTCACCAGACATTCGCAAGACTAAAAGGTCCATAAACTTAAACCAACCTGGTTATCTAACGCCCACAGAATATTCAATTACCCTCGACGCCTTCTACTTAATGTTGCAACAAAATCAAATATCAAACTTGCTCAAATCAGCACTACTGTCTCCATCATCATCATCATCATCTAACACATCTATACCCAAGTTCCGTTCCATTTCAATCTCCTTGTTATCTAACCATGGTAACCCATTGATTTCACTTAGTACCAAGTCGCAACTGCCTCAGCTGCAGGTTAAGGGAGATAACTACCGACTGCAATCACACCTGCAGCTTCAATCGTTGCACAGTTCTAAAGCGGGAACACCAACAACAGGTGGAGACGAATACGAACAAAGTTTCAATATTGGTACAAATCCATCGTTTTCCCAAGTCAGTGCCAGTGAAGAAGGGCAAAATAATGAAATCACATCGGATCAATTGAAAATATACTCCCTAATTGCCTACAATTCAACTATTGAATCAAGTGATTCCAATGAAGCAAATGATGAACAAGATTGGTCAATTGTTGATTTTGGTAACGTGAGATGTATAATATCAAAAGTTGATCTTGATCATACCACATCAAAACAACATAATACTGGTGGAACTCATGGTCGGAACGAGAATGGACAAGCAATCAAACGCAAAGTTGGTAGTAATACAATAGATATTACCGAAAATGCTACCAAAGTAGAAGTAGAGGCAGAAGCAGGTGATAACGATGATGTAAGTGATTACGATAGAGACGATTCAGGTACCTTATTTAATGGATACTTTGTCGTATTATTCTATCAAAAGTCAACACCGACTGCAACTTCAAATGAGGCAAATAAGTCAACTGAACTTGAACTGCAAGGTGAAGTTGAAGTAGATGCTATTGCCAAAGTTAAGATAGATTCGGTGGTGGATGCATTAACTCAAGGATTAAGAGGATATCATGAGATGACTGCATATTAACTAATCAAACTACAAGAAAGGATTGTGTGTGTTTCTATTTTGTGAAAAACAATGTAGCTGGGTCATTAGTTGAAGCAATGTTATCTCACATGTGTATACGCTTAGCTACACTATTGTAATAAACCCAACAATACAATTCAAAGAGTTGTATTAAGCTTGCTCAAACCAAGTGAAAGCTAAACAACAACGAATACAGTAGCAAATTACATTAACAATAAACCAATTAGTATATATGATATAATAATATTGTATAAAAATATACGGAGGTATAAAAAAAAAAGATAATTAAAAATTATGCTAAAAAGGTGTAGTAAAAGAGAAAAGGAAAAAGAAGAAGAAAGAACATTGATCATGATGATTCGTTTCAAAATAGATGGTGGTGATGTAGTTGGGAGAACGTTAGTTAGATTCTTGGCCTAGCTTAAAAAGGCAATTGCAATTGATTGATTAAATGATTCACTCTTTGTTTGACGTGAAATATAGGAAGTTGTAATCCTTCTAATAGGCAATTTGAAAATAGAACACCAAAAAATGTCACCTAAAAGTGTGTGTGTGTGTGTGTGTGTGTGTGTGTGTTTATTTTTATTTGGCAATCATTTCTTCATCTTCCTCCTCTTCCTCTTCTTCTTCGTCATCTTCTTCATCACCTTCATTTTCATCCATCAAGCTTTCTTCATCAAAACTCTCTTCTTCTTCACTTTCATACCAGAAATCCTCGTCTACTGGATCATCAATCAACTCTCGGTTCTTAACTCCCAGACTATTACTGTAAGCAACTGAAGAATCATCAGGCATGATGAAATCCTCAGGAATATCCTTCTTTGACCGTTCAACCTCCTTCAATACTTTTTTCTTGTACTCGGCAAAATTCTTTCTAAATTCAACTGAAGCGTCAATATTTGCTGGTGAGTTGCCATTAGGATCATCCAAAAGGGAAATAATGGAGATTAATACACTTTCCACAGTTTGTGCTGGTGACCAAGTCTCACTTTCGGGTTCGTCGCTGGTGGGGTCACCACCTTGATGCAAGATACTTATACATAACCGCCCATCACGATAAATGTTGGGGTGGTAAATGGCAGGTGTGAAGCGGAATGAGGGTGGACTAAAGGGGAAATCCTGGGGGAATCTCATTTGTCCTTTAAAGTAGCCTCCATGGTATAATGAATCGGGGTTGAGTACCATAACACCAATATTCCACAAGAAAATGTTGTCATCATCTAATTCGATGTGGAATGAAGGGATCCTCTTTTTGGGGTCAGTTAAGTCTTTAAATTGTCGTTGTAATATGGCAGCAGCTGATTTTGAACTCATCTTTTGGTTGTTACTCTGTGGATGTGTGGTTGTTTCTGCGATTGTGTAGTTGTGATTGTTTTTGTAGTGAAAGTGTTTACAATCTAATGATGTGTCTGTTTAAAGTAGAAACTAGTAGTGTGTGTTTGAAGATAAAGTGTTGATGTGATATGATGTGATGTGATTTGTTCTGATGTATATGATAAAGTAGTGGTAGTAGTCTCTCTATGTATGTGTATGTGTGTGGTTGTGGTAATCTAATGTATTTGTGAGAGTGAGTTGTGGTGTATTGTGAGTTGTTGTTGTTGTGAGTTGTTGTTGTTGTGAGTTATTGTAAGTTGTTGTTGTTGTTGTTGTGGTGGTGGTGGTGGTGTTGAGTGATTGTTTAAAATTTTGTTGTTTGTTGTTTTGTTCTGGTGGTGTGTGTGTTGTGTGTCTGCCTGTTGTGAGTAAGAATTTCTTTTTCCTCTTTCCTACTTCCTACTTTTCCTTTTGTTTTTTTTGTTTTTTATTTTTAATTTCTTTTTTTGTTGTTTTTTTGCTTCATTCGCATTTCCACATTTAACATTTCTTTTTATTCTTTCTATTTATTTTGTTACGCTACCAGCTGTTATCAAAAAAAAAAATAAGTCATCCACTACAGTCAGTCGTCATACACCACTAACTAAAGTAGTTATTTTGGTGTCTTTTAATAAGCTTTACAAACTAATATAGAAGATGACTACTTTACACTAGCTTAGATACCCCTTAACCTACAAGATCTTTCCTAAGTATCTGGTACAGAATAGATATAGCAAGAGTTACACACACACACACACACATACACAGTTCAAAGATATTGATATGTTTACCATTGTAGTGACTAGATACTTGTTACTTCATCTCAAATTATAGAATAACTACTTCCTACTATTCTAACTTTTTGATTGCAAAAAAGCAAGTTGCTCATCAGAATGGGATATGTCCTAAAACTTTAACACACGACATTAAATCATTTACAGCACAGTGAAAATCTAGACCTCCCTCTGAGTTAGCAATTACAATTTACACAGTGCAATCAACTGAAAGTTATAACTGCTCGTTATAGACGATTATGTCTACTCATTGGAAAAAGTAGTATACTTCTTCTCTGCTCGTCTAGTAGCAACAGTACATACGTATCTTATGTGGCTCTACCAACTAATCGTTTATTTCTATTTGGTGACGCTTTTTGATAAATTCCGATAATCGCACACACAACATATATTTCACACTTTTGCATCTTACACTACAGCCATCAAACATACAGATCGATAACAGATTCAACGATCAAGAGAACCCACTACTCACGTCACTAAATACACTACAAACCCCACACTAATATATATATATTCTATTTCTATCCAAAGAAAATCAACATTGCTGTCGTGTCCTCCTCCCCCATTATGATATATCAATCAATTCGACTATTTGCCACTTCCTCGTCCCCATCTTCCTTTGCTAATCAAAACTACTACCAACTACTAGAACTACCCACAAATGCCACAATCAAAGAAATCAAACTACAATTCAAGAAACTATCCAAGAAATACCATCCTGATTTAAACCAGCACTTGGATGCAGAAGCCAAGCAAGAGAATAATTCAAAATACGTAGCCATGGTTAATGCTTACGATACACTTAAAGATATCAAAAAGAAACGAGCCTATGATCAATCATCAAGCACCGGAGGTGGTTTCTCCTCCTCTAACTCCAACCGCCGATCAAATGAATACAACAAATACTACGGTGAAGCCAAATATTATTCCCGTAGTGGAAAATCAACATATTCAGCCTCGGGGTTAAACACTAAACGACATAAAGTCAAATACCAACATAGTGGATCAACAGGTGCAAACCAACTGCGGTTTTCCGGTGAGCATATAAACCATGGTGATAAGTATGATGTACCTCATTTCGATTATGATAAGCATTTAAATCGAAATTTGCGATTTGAACAACGCATTATTGATAAATATATGGATCCAGCTACGAGAGATCGGATTTTGAGTCAATTGCAAAGTTCAGGCGAACATATTTCTGAAGAATTGAAAACTAAACATTTGTTACGTCATGTGAAGATGATTAAACCGGGGTATGAGTCAGGCGGTAATGGAGAGGTACCTAGTAGTGGTGGTTATGGTAGTGCTAGTGCTGGTAGTGCTGGTAGTGCTGGTACCAATGGGGGACCCACCTCTAGCAGCACCGGAGGACCAAATGCTAGTGGATATAGAACCAACTATGGTGCTCCTAAATATACCCATAACGTCAAGTACGGTCAAAGTACAAATTATCAAGGTGCAGCCACATATCAAAACTTGTATCAGAAACCCAAAACATCAAACTATGGATACAATTCCACCAATGATAATGACGATCAAGGTGGAGTTGCCAAATTATTTACTGCCTTGGGCGCTGGTACTTCATTATATATTCTTTATAAAATCATATTCTAGATACCTTACAATACATATATATTCCTTGGTCTCTTTTTATTTTTTTTATTACTGTACATTATACACCAACTTCACTCCTCATCTATCTCCTTCCCCGCTTTAGTTCTTATCTAACGATCAACTTCACCAAACACTAAATCCATAGTACCAATAATAGCCACGGCATCAGCTAAAAGATTACCTCTAGCAATGTGATCAAATGCACCCAAGTGAGCAAATCCAGGAGCTCTGATCTTACATCTGTATGGTCTTTCACTTCCATCACTAACGACATAAACGGCCATTTCTCCCTTTGGTGCTTCAATAGCAGTATAAGTTTCACCTTGAGGTACAGCATACCCCTTCGTAAACAAAAGGAAATGATGAATCAAAGCTTCCATATCTTCCTTCATTAAGCTTCTTGGTGGTGGCGACACATTATAATCTTCAACTTTAACTGGTCCTTGAGGCATATCATTTATACATTGGAAAATGATTCTCAATGATTGACGAAATTCCGACATACGGATTAAATAACGATCATAACAATCACCATTTAACCCAACGGCAATGTCAAAGTCAACCAAATCGTAAGCATCATATGGTTGTGATTTACGTACATCAAAGGGGATTCCTGAACCTCGCAACATTACTCCTGAACAAGAATAATTCAAGGCATCGTCAGCAGTAACGGTACCAACATTTATAGTACGTTCCTTCCAAATACGGTTATCAGTACACAATTCTTCAATTTCATCAATACGATCTCCAAATTGAGTGGCCCACATGTATATATCATCCAACAACCCAGCAGGTAAATCTTGTGACACACCTCCTGGTCTCACATAGGCACTATGCAATCTAGCACCCGAAACACGTTCATAAAACTCCATCAACTTTTCACGCTCTTCGAACCCCCACAAGAATGGAGTTAATCCACCAACATCCATAATATGGGTCAATACTGACATACAATGGTTTAAAACTCTCGTGATTTCTCCAAACAAGGTACGAATATACTTGGCTCTTAATGGAACTTCAAGATTCAACAATTTTTCAACTGCCAATGCAAACACTTGTTCATTAGTCATCATGGAAACATAATCCAATCTATCGAAATAGGGCAATGCTTGCATATAAGTCTTTGTTTCAATTAATTTTTCAGTGCCTCGGTGCAATAATCCAACGTGAGGATCACTACGAATAATTTCTTCACCATGCAATTCCAAAATCAAACGCAACACACCGTGAGCTGCTGGATGTTGAGGACCAAAATTTATAGTGAAATGACGAATCTTGGTGTTTTGTTTCGAAATTTGATCAGGATCATCGGATTTATCCCACATCATATTGGTCTCATCCATAACTTCAGTAAATGTGGTCTTGCCAAACATTCCTGGTGGATCAGAGTATTTCTGGACTTTTCTTCCCAATGGAGTAACGGCATTGGCAGTGGTTGGCTGCTTGTTGGGAGTGTTGGTAGGTAATGGCGTTGGTGTTTGGGCATAGTACCTTATACATGATAGCGACTGCTTGACTTGTTTGATGGAGTTGGATACTCTTGATGCCCTCAACATGATTGTGAATAGTGTGCTATGTTTAGGTATGAATGATGCGAGGGGTGGAATATGTGGTGTGATGCAATAAATATAAAGCTAATCCAAGAGGCGAGTATATATACCTTTGCTGCTGCTACTATTGTTGTTGTTGCCAAATGGTCAATCTCCTAATTGAATAATTTTCGTTTCTTTGTTAAAAAAATGGCCCTTCGTTAAAAAGAGATATATCACTACCAATTGAATCATAAAAAAAAATTTGTGTGTGTTTACTAAATAAATTTATTTTATTGGCTACACTTCTTTTTAAGCATAGTAATAATAAATTGGGTGAATATACACGACTTAATGAAGTCATGTGACTTGTGTGTCGTATAAATTAATATGTCGCAACTATTTACGACACTCCGCGAAGAAAAAGAAATTAAACGCTACCGACTGGAATTAATCTAGACCTTTGTAGTTGGTTTTTAAAAGGTAATAATAGCCAGTATACATTATATGCAGTACATGGCTGATAAAAAAAAAAGACAGAAGACAAGACAAAAACTTGAAATTTCTTTAACCACTTCTTGCGCGAGAGATTCTTTCCAAAATTCTCTCTTCCCTTTCTTCTTTTTTTTTTTCACAACCAAAAGCACCTTAAAGCAGAACCCCATTTTCTTTTATTTTTGGCATATACATCACAAGTAATGAACTTCCCTACTAGTACTACCACAACTGAAATAACGCCACCTCCACAGCCACAATCTTTCCCACAACAACTCCAGCCCGACTCCCAGCACAATAAACGAAGAAATGACGACTTTGAAGTTAATCAACAACGATTCAAGAATATGACGCAAGAAGAAGCCATAAATTCCACTACTGAATGGCCTCAATTCATCCACCCAGATGGGGGCATAGTTAAAATATCGCCATGGGGGTCGATACGAGAATACACTGATCCTAAAACTAACGAAACTATAACTAAATTTGAAGATTGTAATTTTGAAGAGTATTCGTTCAAGTCGGAAACGGTGGAGAAGTTGTATCAAACACCCGATACGCCACAGTCGTTATACCATCGAAATACCAATCAGTCACATGATCACAACAATCCTGCTACTACAGCCAATTCGTCATCACGGTTTACCTTGAGCCCGAGTAATGAAGTTGAAGGATATGTCGTTGATGGATACGGTCGTCACCAAAACGATGATGCTGTATCATTTTCAAGTGCCAATGATATGACTCATCAATACCCAGTTGAGCAGGAGAATTACTTTGGTATTGGTGGTGAACAAATGGAGGAATTTGATTGTAGTTACAATGAAGATGAAGATGAAAAGATGATTTAGGTTTTCTTTTGTTTTTTTAAACTTTTTCTAGGTGGATTTATTTGTAATATTATTTTATTCAGTTCAATAAGACTCTGCTGTAGATCCTAGTAAAGAAGAAGGTGAAGGTGGCAGCTTTACTCAACTGCAGTGAAATTGACTTTTCAAATTTGTTCTCCACATCACTCGTTCATGTTGTAATTTAAAAACTTGGTGTCATTGCCACTGTAGTTACAATATACAGTTCTCTCGAGTTCTTCAATCATCAATTGAGCCGTGATCTGAAAAGAGTTACCTATGTTTCTCCTCATGATCAACATAAACTGATTACACTGTTCAATATATTCAACGCGCGTCCAATTGAGACGCGACGCAATTTTTGCTTTACCAAATTTCCACAATTCTTCTCTGGTTTTGCTTCTGGGTAGCCTAGAACGCAACAACAGCACATATCAGTTAGTAAAGCCTATACTTGTGTATTTGGGGGCTGTCTACACACATGATAATTTGTGTCTCAATGCATTTTTACATGGAGCTTTTGTTCTAAATATGATGTGGTTGCATAAACAAAAAGATAGTTGCAAATAACTAAAGCAACAGCAAACACGAAAAGTCTAGGTTTGAATCATTTAGCACAGCTTGAATCTAACGGCATGGTTTGACTATTTTGACTCTATGTTTCAATTGAAGCAATTTGATTTTTACTTTCAATTTATTATACTGATGACCACCTGGTGCAAAATAGGCGATACATTTTGCACAACTTTAGAAGCAAATACTTGAACAATAATAGTCCAAGTCATTAACTTTGTAGCACTTGGAATTATAACTACCTATCTAAGTTAAACGAATACTGCTATTTGAACGGCGGTGGTGTATTGTCGAAGTACATAGCCAGTTCGTTACTCCTTTGTTATTTCCTAGTTTGAAGATATAGATACCCAAAACTCTTGCCCACACAAAAAGAGATTGAAGTGTGGTAGAAATTTCCCTCTATGTAACATAGTAACCAAAGCTCGCCCAATAACGTACACTTTGAAGTTGAAGTAATTATTACCCGCATAATGCATCTCAGCGATTTACCATTTGAAGTTTTAAGGAAAATAGTTTCATTGGCCGAATATAGCTTGTTCAAGCTACCTCCATTAAAAAAAGCCTACCAGGTTACTTGCCAGTTAGGTAAATATCAGTATTTTAAAAGTGTGTATGAAGATCTGGTATATATCAATGCTGGCAACAAACTTGACTCCAAGTTTTACACGAAATATATAATCATCGACTTGAAAGACCTTAAACTTGTAATTAATCATCATTTGAAATGCAAATTTGGGAAGTGCTCTCAACTTTATTCTTATTATGATTCAGAAATAACAACATTTCTTACTGGTTACAAGTTGTTGAAGTACTGGACGGGGAAGTTTGATAAAATGCACTATTTGCAGTTTCCAGATATCGGTTTTATGCCAGGGTATTCGAGACTTAAAAAAGCAGCTCTAATTGATCTTCCCTATGGAGCATATAGAGAAGACCCATATCAAGGAATAAAAAGATTGAATACGCAACTATACTGGAAATCAGAATCTGATTACGATTTGGTCAGAAACTTGTATAGTATTACCATTAGTTTAACTGTAGGTCAATATCTTCAGTTTACAAAGAATATGAGGGATTTTAAAGGCGGGTTAAAGCTTTCACCTACCATTTTACATATTTATCTAAGATTTGCACCTCAGAATATTGACGGGAAAATCCACTCCATTCCCTGGCCGTATCCAAAAGCATTTCCTAAAGCATGGATAGATTATTTGTTCGACTTTTCAAGGCTTCAAGTTTTTGCTTTGCGTTACTTTGCCCCAGAAACAACCTTGGTATCTGTGCATCGCCCTATCTCCGCAATACAAGAGCAAAGGCACAGATCAAAGTATGAATGGAATGCTACAATCGCATTAAGTATCGTTATCATCGTGGTGTATGGCAGGTAGATCTTGAAAATGATGGAGCTATATTTGTTAACAGACGATTTGTTTAAGGATAGCCAACACTCAATATAAAGAAAACAAGGCTGTGACAATATTTTCGTAATAGTATTACCACACCACTCTCTGTTTTACGAGAAAAGGTGACCACGCAGTTATCCAAATATTCTTACACTGTCGATTGATTTAACGCTCTGACAAGGATCGGAGTGTATAATTCTAGTTGTAGAGTTCCACACTGTGGTAGGTAGACTTTTTTGTCACAATATCGCTTTGTCCCTCTTCTCCTGACACTTGCATTATCTTGCGTCATTTCAATATATAACCTTTGTTGAGATCTCCAAAAATTTGCTGTTAAATATAGATAGGATCAGAATAAATATAAAGAAAGAGGGGAAAGTTGTGGAGAGTTTAGGTTTTAAGCACTTGATATTTTTTTCCCCTCAAATGTAGATACGTTTCCCAATCAGCGGAGAGATAATTATAATCTCTCTGCTGACTAATCCACTAAAGTTCAGATTGAAATAAGGATGGCGAAGAAGAAGAAGATGGACAAGAACAGGAATATGAAACGTTTCATCAAATTAACAATAAAAATAGTAAAAGAAGTTCATTATGGTGGTGGTGGTGGCAGGTTTTTGAAATGTGGAGAAAAAAGCAAAAAGCAAAAAAGACAACAAACACAAACAATTGAACAAACAATTGAACAAACAATTGCTTAAAACGCTTTGTTTGCTTTGCTTTGCTTTGCTCTATATTTCTCTTTCTCCGCTCTTATATATTTATAACTTTATCACCTTATCACAAATGACTGATTCTCCTATAATCGTGAATGTTACTGATCTTATTGACATTCAGTCATCATGAAAGATAAGTCACTCCAGCTTCAAGACTTGCCACTAGAGCTACTCCTTCGTGTACTTCCCATTGATGAGTGTCTACTAAACCAACCTTTGGAAATATCTATACCATGGCTCAACTTTATGGAGCCTAAAAGGCGATTTCGATTGTTGGCGGAGAGTGGCATAGGAAATGCTCGATGTGGGCATAAATTTGATTTGGAATTAAAGTATGGCAAGTTGATATACGTCAACTTTGGCACGCCAGTTGACTCAAAGTACCTCAAAGATTACATCATATTCGATCACAATACTATTGAAGACACCATATACGAGTATCCTGATTTTGTCAGATGTTTAAAGATTTGGACTGGCGATTTGGACCACGATGAATACTTGTGGTTTGCATTTGCCAAAGTTCAAAGCTGTCATTCGAGACATTTGCAAGATGTTGTGTTTACAGATGGAATCGAGTTGGACCCTTGCACTGAAATTCAATTAAATTGCTTGATATTGGGCTCATTTTGTCTACCTATGCAAAAATCCAGGAAACTTTTTCACCATTTGAGGGAGGAATTTGTGTCCAACTTGAAGCACGTTGAGTTTGACATGACTGTACAAAACTTTCTCAAACTCAAAGATGTGTTGAAGGAAATCACTGGCGAATGTCATAAAATTGCCCCCACCACACTACATATATACTTGAATTTGGAAAATAATCGCACCTATCCCCAAAAATTCCCTATTGAATGGATCACTAGCATTTTCAATTTACAACTGGTGGAGGAGTTTTCTCTCCATTATTACAACAAAAGTACTTCTATTGGCTACTTGAATGATTGGATTGAGAAGATGCCGCATTTAAAGTCATTGAACTTGGGGTTTGGAAACTTGAACTTTAGTCATCTCCCACGACAACTCGAAAATAGCAAGGCTAATATCCAAATCAAGGTAGATAAAAAATACTTCAACTCAATTCAACACAAGTATAATCGTTGCTATTGGCGGGAAAAGAAGTTTAGAGATTGTGTCATTGTTTGTAGGCCAGGACATTAGATATTGTTACTAAATCTTATATATGTCACTAGATTATTTATTTTCAAGACTGACCCTCTTTTGGATTAGGTAAATCTGAATTTTGTAGCTTGGATAATTGGGTTCTTTGCATTGAGTTAGGTATTTATCCAAATTTTGCAACCAAAGTTTCACACACATGAAATTGTAAATTCTCAGAGATATAACCAACTTGAATGGCTCAAGTCATGCAACTCTTTTATACTGTAGTTACCATATACTACTCCCAGGAATTACTATGGACAGTAATAATGGTGTGTATTCAGAATTCATACACGTGACTAACTCACACCCTGACCTAATGTACACGACTGAAGAAGGCTGTATTTTTGTGTGTCACTTCGGACCACTTCTCAGTATACATCCCTCTCATCAAACGATATCGCTAACAGTTGGGTAACAACGCCATTTGCTCACTAGATCAACCAAAGCAGAAGGAATTTCTAGTTTTTCCATAGGAAGCGCTAAGGTTTAAAAAATGAAGAGGCATGAGCTTAGCCAGTGAGTTACATCAAGTGCGATCCATCGATAGTGGAGATGAAGCCAACAGTGCCACCAATACATTTTCCGACTCCACGCCGGGTTTATTACGTAGAATATCATCACCCATTATATCTGACTTGCCGAGCATATTCAGTCACTTAAGGTCCAATGATAGTGAGCCTATGATCAAGAGTGTCAGTGGTAAGAATATAATCAAACGCGTTTTAAGTGGCAACAAGTCAAACGATAGTATTGGTTCGTCTAATTCAATATCATCAGTTGCAAATCCCGTAATAGCAAAAGAACCCCTGAGTGAACCCCCAATTGTAGCAAATGAAGACGACGCGAAAACTTTCGAGTCAGAGTCAAACATATCAAAATCAATCGATCAGTTGAGGATACCCAGTATATTCCATACCGATGGTCTACCGTTATTAAAAGTGTCACACAAATCGAAAAAGAGGATCCTACTATTTATTGATTTAGTGAATTTCTCCTTCCTATGGAAATTGGCTCCTAACCCAACCACTCTGGGCAATAAACGATTATCAATACACGGATCAAATCAGCGAGTTCACGATTTTACAGTTGACGATATTAAATTTGTATACACACATGAAAAGGGTTCAAATTATCGCGAGGAGCTACGAATCTCAAAGGAGTTTGAAACTAGGTGGATAACGTTGGTGTACTTTAATCGCAAAAAGGGCAATTTAAAAATGCTACATTTGATTGCTGATACAGAGCACAATTTTAAACGGTTGAACATGGCCATCACCACTATGAAAGATTTGCGACATCACCTTGCCACTGAGTTTTTAGTTGACTTGAACGAATTGGATGAGGCGCATATGAAGATGATTCTAAATCGAGAAATCCATGTGCAGCAGAAACAACTCACCAAGGAGTACCTCACTTTTAATGATATTTTAAAGTATGCAAGAAGGTTGGGTATCAGTATCAATAAGCTGCATTTGGAGAATATATTCAATAGCGTGTTTGAAGCATATGGTGATTTGGCGGTGGATCTGAAAGAAAAGGGTCTCAACTTTGAGCAATTCAAGGAATTTATATCCATACTAAAGAAAAGAGATGACGTTTTAGCAATCTGGAAGCATTGTTGCATAGATGTTTCGCAAGGAATGAGCAGATTGGATTTTGAAAGGTTCTACTTGGCAGTCCAGCGTGAAAAACAGGATAGAAGCCAAATCAATTTCATTTTTGAGCAGTTCTTGACCAATGGTGGGCATTGGTCTGCCGATGACCTTAATGCTTACCTCATGTCAAGCTTTGCAAATCCAATATTGAATATTGAGACAGACAATTACTATACATATCCTTTGACGGATTATTACATTTCCTCATCTCATAACACCTACTTGACTGGCAGACAAGTGGGAGGCGATTCATCAATAGACGGCTACGTGAGAGCGTTGCAGAGAGGCTGCCGATGTATCGAGATTGATATTTGGGATGGTCCGAATGAAGAAGATTCTAATGCTACTGACCAGGAGCCAATAGTGAACCATGGCAGGACATTCACCAAACCAATAAAGTTTGCCAATGTGGTAAAGACAGTTCAAAAGTTTGCTTTTATCACATCGCCGTATCCGTTGATTCTCAGTTTGGAAATAAACTGCTCTGCCCTGAGTCAGATGAAGGTTGTTAGGATCTTAAAAGACACTTTGGGTGATAGTATGGTGACATCTACTATTGATGATACTTCTACTTTGCCATCGCCAGAAAGACTCAAGTACAAGTTTTTAATCAAGGCGAAAAAGACAAGTCCGTTTAAGCATTTGATTGAAACTGATGAAGGCAGCTTCACAACGTCTACAACCACAACTTCGTTTTCCGAAGACAACGGTGCAAACAAGCTGACTGGGAAAACGTTCAGTTTAAGAAGGAAACCAAAAGCGCCCAAAGTGATTGATCAAGTTAGTGAGTTGGGGGTGTACTTGCAAGGTATCAAGTTTCGTAACTTTTCATTGCCAGAGTCAAAGATATACAATCACTGCTTTTCCCTTAGTGAAAAGGCAATCAACAAGATGATGAAGGATGAGATAAAGAAAACATCGTTGGATAAACACAATAGAAAGTATTTTGTGCGTGTTTATCCATCAGGATACAGAGTCACATCTACGAATTTCAACCCCATAAAGTATTGGCAACATGGGGTCCAAATGGTGGCTACAAATTGGCAAACATATGACCTTGGCCAACAACTAAATGAGGCAACGTTTGAAGGTGTCGATAAAAAAGGTTATGTTTTAAAGCCAGCACATTTACGGAAACCGATAATTAAGAGTTCGAAATTTTTCAAAATGTTCCAGCCTGCTTCCAAGACAATCAGATTTAGTATAAGCATAATCAGTGCCCATCAATTGCTGAAGCCAAAAGACACTGATGATATCATTAGTCCCTTTGTGACGTGTGAAATTATCGGCGCTGATAAAGTCAATTGGGACTCGCCGTCGATGGAACTTGGAAGGACCAAGGCTATCGCCGATAATGGATTTAATCCTATATGGAATGAAACGTTTAGTGGATCCATTACGGGGTCTCTCGATTTGGTTTTTGTTAAATTTGTGGTCAATTCGGTGCCCAATGTAGACAAAATGGACGATGTTGCACCGTTAGGTTTACTAGTTGCCAAATTGAGCTACTTGAAGCAAGGCTATAGGTATTTGTACCTCAACGATTTACTTGGTGAACAGTTGGTGTACTCATCCTTGTTTGTCAAGATTTCGTATGATTCGTGATGTATATGCAATAATGTACGATGAGATGATGATATTTTTTTTTTCTTTTTCTTTTGTAAAAGTAAACCGTCAGACCATAGAGACATCACCTAGCCAAGTTTACGCAAGAGATGGGGAAAATATCCGCTAATGACAAGCTCAAGCAACGTCACAATCCTCTTTTGAAAGATATCTCCTCTCAAGGAGGTAATTTAAGGACAACACCTAGATCAGCAGTTGCAAAGAAAAGAAAGTCCACCACCAATGAAGCCAAAGACAACGATGAGGAAGGGTACTTGGATGCGGTTAGTTCGAGAAAGATCTTGCAGTTGGCAAAAGAGCAACAGGATGAATTAAGAGATGAAGAAGAAGCGCAGGTACCAAGTTTTGCCCAAGCATTCAAACAGCAAGAAGATGCGAGTAGCGATGAGGAAGAGGAGGATGATCAGCAATACTCCGATTTCGAAGAGGAAGGAGAAGAGGAGGAAGTCATTTATGACGAGGAAGAGATTGAAGTTGATGAAAAAGATGCTGAACTATTCAATAAATACTTTCAAAACAATGGGCCATCTGCAAACGGACAGAGTATAAACTTGGCCGATAAGATTCTTGCCAAGATCCAAGAAAAAGAACTGCAACAGCACCAGCACCAGCAACACCATCCACAAGGGGGAGAAAGACCCGAAGATGCCGTTTTACTACCCCCAAAAGTCATTATGGCGTATGAGAAAATTGGTCAGATATTATCAACATACACACACGGAAAGTTGCCCAAATTATTCAAAATCTTGCCCAGTTTGAAAAATTGGCAGGATGTGTTGTACGTGACTAATCCCGAAAAATGGACTCCTCATGCTACTTATGAAGCAACCAAGTTATTTGTGTCCAATTTAACCGCCAATGAGGCGCAAAAATTTGTCGAATCGGTGCTTTTGGAGAAATTTAGAACATCGATTGAGGACTCGGATGATCATTCATTGAACTATCACATTTATCGTGCATTGAAAAAATCATTGTATAAACCAGGTGCATTCTTCAAAGGGTTTTTATTGCCATTAGTGGATGGATATTGTTCAGTTCGTGAAGCAACCATTGCGGCTTCGGTGTTGACAAAAGTTTCCGTGCCTGTGTTGCACTCTTCAGTTGCATTAGCTCAGTTGCTACAAAGGGATTTCAGTCCGGCTACTACAGTATTCATTAGAGTGTTGATTGAAAAGAAGTACGCTCTCCCATATCAAACTTTGGATGAGTTGGTTTTCTATTTTATGCGATTTAGAAATGCAGCACAAGACCAAATGCAAATCGATGAAACTTCGGAGGATAAGAAAGGACCGCAGTTGCCGGTTGTGTGGCATAAGGCGTTCCTATCCTTTGCACAACGTTACAAGAACGACATTACTGATGATCAAAGAGATTTCTTGCTTGAAACAGTTAGGCAGAGATTCCATCACGCTATAGGGCCCGAAATAAGAAGAGAATTGTTAGCAGGTAAGCCAAGAGCAACTGCTGGCGATGTACCAAAGAAAGATGGGTTAATGGTGGATGCATTTTAGTTTGTATATTTAGTCTATAGAAATAAAGTTAAACCTCTTGTGCTGATGTTCTCTTTCTTGCCTCTTCACATAGGTGGTTAAAGTTTGCTGCCAAAGCATAGTAACTTTGCACCACACCAATGATTGTTAATGCAACTGTACTTCCAATCCACAACCCATTCAATGACCCTTTCCATGGGGAATAGAATGAAAGATATATTGACAAGGGGAGACCAACAACATAGTACGAAACCAAATTGACAATACCCCCAATTTTGGTCTGTCCCTGTCCTCTTAAGCAACCAGCCGAATTTGCATTCATGGCATCGGAGATCTGCATCAATGCGATAAGCCACATGACGTTGAGAACAATGTTAATAACATCCTGGTCTTTAGTAAAGGCTTCAGCGATTGGTCTTTGGAAACAGTATAAAGCAAGGAAATTTAATAACGAAATTACCAATCCAAATGAGAGTGACACTTTAGTGGTAACTTTGGCAGATTCAGCTAATCCGGCTCCTAAAAAGTTGGCAATTCTTGATGACGATGCAATTCCAATAGCAAAAGGCACTTGGTAGGTTAATGACGCCATTGTTGTTCCGATAGATTGCGCCGCCAAGGACTTGGTATCGATGTACGATGCCAACAATGTTAATATTTCAAATGCGAGAAATTCTGCCTCCAACATGACAAGACCGGGAATAGCTAACGAGATCAATCTCCCCCATCCTTTGAAAGCTTTCTTGATATCGAGTCCACCCCAACACCTCAATGGATGGAAGCCATTGGGGGTGTCTTCTGCTTTGATGTAAAATACAGTCAAAACATACAATCCGATTGCCATTAACCAATAGTTTATTGCCACTGAAATAGGAGCACCAACGTATCCAATCTTCTTGACCAAGTACCAGTTCATGAACAAGTTTGACGGAGCGGCTACGAGTAACACATAAGCCCCAATATTATAAATCCCCTGTGCCTGTAAAAACCTCTTTCCACATTCAAATGAGATGTATCCTGGAATACCAAAGGAGACGTATTGTAGATATACTGCAGCAAATTTTGCTGTCTCCTTGTCTGGTACTATAAGACAAATTAGATCGTAGCCAAAAAACACCCAGGCAATCAAAACTGGAAGCATGACAACTACTATCAATGCGGTACATTTTTGAAAATACTCTCCAACCATGGTGTATTTCCTGGCACCAAATGCCTGTGGACATAATGTATCTAACGCAGTGGCTATACCTTGTATAGTAGCATATCCTGTGATATTGGCTGTCATGGCACCCATCGATACAGCTGCCAACTCAGTCGCACCGATATGGCCAACACAGAAAACGGAAACAGTTGAAAGTGAACATTGCAATAGGAATGTAACTACTGACGGTATGGATGAGCTGATTAACGTTTTCAATTCGATTAGCGGAGTAGTGACTTCGATTTGTTTGTTTTGCACGGCATCTTCAAATGCATCTCTAACGTCATCATCACTTTTTAAGTCGTCGACTGGGATATGGCTTTCGTGCAACAATTCCCGTTCCTGTTCTAACAACTCTCTAGCAACCGTGCTCAGTTTTCGCCTGTTTTTAAAAGGATTTGGAGTAGGCTCCACTAGAGCAGCCTGTGGACCCTGCACGTCAAGCAAAGGTGCATTTTCGTCTGCTAAACTATCTTCTTGTAGATGATGGGTTTTATTCGATGACGATCCAATAAAGTCTGAAGGAATGTAAAGACCACCTTTCCCAATTGAACCGTACACAACAGACGCCCTTCTTTTTGAGCTTGAATGAGTGAATTGATGACTTCTGTCTGGTTGTGACATGATTAAATTGTAGTGGAAGCAGATACTACGACTGAAAATAAAAGATTATCCAAAAGTCGTTTTGGTATATGGATGATGAAAGATGAGTAAAAAGAGCTATGAGCCACAAAATGCAAAAAACAAATTAAAATCAAAATTTTAATAAAGAGAAATTTCTTTTTTTTTTTGTTTTTCCAGAAAAGCGCATCAAGAATTTCTTAAAGAAGTCAACGCTACCAAGAAACTGATAAAGCCCATTGACATCTGAGCTACTGGCTATATTTTATGCTTCAACCACCAACTAGACTATCGCTGCATTATCTACAGGCTGCTTTAGTTGAGCTAAACACTCCTTAATACAGCTTTATACTGAAAGTGAGTCAGAGACATACATTATCATCAACTTAACTATTAAAATATAGAAGATACACAACGAGCATCTGCTTAGGGTATAAACGTCTATGCTACTTCGAACGAAGATTTTCCAAAATCTGGGGTTCCACCCAATGTCCCATAAATGTCCCCTTGATAATTCTTTGCTGAATATTTATGTCCCTTTTCGTACACAGACTCCCAATTGTGTAAAATGTCTTGCAAGATAGGAGTACCGGCAATGACCAAGTTATCCAAACTTGATTGTATTCCACCATCGGTTCTATTGAAAAAGTATTCATATGCACTCATGGATGCAGGTGGTCTTGAGAAATCGGAAATCGTTCTCATAACCATTACTCTTTCAAAATCAAGCAATCCGTATTTGTCCAACCTCGTCAACACTTCCAATGTAGCATTGTCTTCTTGCGCAGTTGAACAGTAAGTAGCAGAGCCATTGGTCAATAATTTAGTCAAGTTTCCGAAATAATCATTCAATACTTTACCAGTGAAATAGTTGTCACTGGTTAAGACATCACATTTGACAACTTTGGCATCACCACGGGCAGCAGTCTCATTGTATAGTTTTCTGAATTTCTTGTTTAGTTCATTGCCGTTTTTTAAAGTAGCGTTTGAAGCTAATGCAACCGCCCTGTCTCTCAAGTTAGCATTTATTTCAAATACTTCAGTTCCGTAAACGCTGCCTGGATACTCAAGTGGCGATTTGGCGCCGTATGGAACGTAACCGGAAGTCCAGTTAGAATTTGTTTGGTGATAGTCTTCATAGGCAAGTTGGTATTCCAACCCAACTTGAACTGCATATTTTGCAAATGTAACACCTCCCAAAGTTGTATATTCCGGTTCACCTCCAGCAATACCAGCAACTAAAAAGTATGTCTTGGTGAAATCAAATAATGGGTTTAACGTCAAAGCAGTGATGGAACTAGCAGCATTAATTTCTCCTTCACCTGTGGTCACTTGACAAATGGTGTAATTGGTAGTACAGTGAATCGTTGGGTATACAGGGGACAAACCTGGGATTGTAATGTTGTGAACAAAATCCATTGCTTTCAACCATGGGTCTCTCTCAAGTTCAAACATGGAGATGATGAAAGCTTTTGGTTGATATACGGCAAAGGGTTTGCCATAGGCGGTTTGAATGTTATTGTTGGATGTGTCAGGGACATCTTCCTGTAATGCTGTTGAGTTGATTTCTCGTTTGAGAATGGGGGTTGAGAAAGCGGTTGCTATTAAAGAAGCGAGGGAAACACAATGGGAAAACTTCATTGCGTCTGTGGGTAAAGTGGTGTGTAATCAACGGATACCCATGTTTTGGACAGGATTTTTGCTTCAACTTTATATCCAGTCAGTCTGTTTAACCTTCTCTACGCACGGCAAATTTCACTTCTTTCCTGCTTGAGTTGTGTCTATTGTTTATCACTTTCTTTGAGATGAGATTTACATCTTTTGCCTCTTTGAATGATTTCTGTGTGTATTGACTTTGCCCAATTGAGCGATTTTGTAAATAAACTGTCAATATGTTTTGTGGCATTGTAATTAACGGCCCAATTAGTATTTTGAGATAAGAAACCAATCTTGAATACCGACAGTTGAAATGTTCTTTTCATAAGTTGAGGTTATCAGTTAATTAATTATAAGCTTCTATGTGCTACACAAGCTTAGGTTTGTTGAAATTTTGAACCTTATTTAACAAATTCTTTGAGTAAACAAAATTTGTAATAATTTGGCATGAAGTTTAATGTAAAATGGGAGATTGTACAAGAAAAGTCTGCGTCAATTTGGTTATAAGACGCATATTGCACACTTATCTACCTTGCAATGTCAAAAGCTTACCGCACCTTCTTGGACACAATACAGCACAACTGCAATATACCGTACGGTGATAGAATAAACACATGCCAAATTAGCATTTTTGTGTCAGAATTTCTTAGTGTTTCCTTAAATTGGACTTAGACGGACAATAAATACCGAGCCTCTAGGATGTGTGCTATAACTTGCCAAGTAGCTCTCCTCTGTCCTTAATGCCTCTTTCTAACTTACCAATTGAGCTTCTTGTTAGAATTATTTCCATAGAGGATATTTTCTAGACTTGTCCAGTGAGATCATTATTCCTTGGTTAAATTTGTTGCCCCAGGTAGAACTGCTTAGAATTTTGGACGAAAGAGGATTTGGGTGTGGGCTCAACATTGACTGCAGGATAGCGAAAGTAACTTTATCAGGTAAAATTTGCACCAAGTACCGATATTGATGGGAAACAACAGAAGTTTGCCTTCAAAAAGTGTTTGTTAAATTTGAGAACAAAATATTTATCTAAGCTGGGCATTTTGCTGAAGCCAAGCACTACAAAAATATATCATATTTGACTTTAAAGCGGTTAAACATTTGATAACTGAATACTACTTCTGTACTATTTACGGCTTTGGACAGGTTGTTGAACTACGGAATTATTTTTTAGAGTGAGATATTTTTGATGGTGAAGAGAAGGTGAGAATTTTGCACCCTTCAGGGTTTCAAGGGGAGACAGAAATAATAAAGTTTTTCGATTCTTGGTTTAAGGAAAATGAGATATTGAGTTCATGTATAATGGAGAACAGTAAAATCCGGTTGTCTGAGATTGCATCCTTGGAGCTAGTTATGTCTGCTGACGAATTTGTGGAGATGAAAAGTCAATTTCCACCCGTGGACGGCTACTTACAACCCAGAGAGTTGAGAATACATTTGAATTTGGTTCAAAACAGTGTAGGAAAGGCTGTTGACACAAAATACCCAAGCGATTTCCCCATCGGATGGGTAACCGACTTATTCGTTCCAAAGAAGGTTCAGCTATTCAGTTTGCATTACTATTCTTCCAATACCACAGCTGGTAATCTTGGTGCTTTGCTCCAAAAAATGCTTTCCCTTTTAGAAATCGATCTTAGCTCTTGACTTAGGGAAAGTTGCAAGAGTAGTGCCATTTAAAAGGAATGGCTGTCACATTCATGTCAAGGTTGACAAATACTTCTTTGACGCGTTTCAGTTCAAGTATAATAAATCAGTTCGGAGGCTGGCTCTTCATGATACTTTTGTTGAGTCTAGTTATATCAAGAGGGAAATTGTATAGGACTCCACTGCACAGCCTTTAACGTTTGCATAGTGTATTGGTACTTGGTTCAAGTATCAAAGGTGGAAAAGGAGAAAGCGAAGACATCAATTAGTGGAAAAAAGTAAAGGTGATAGAAATTTAAAGAAATAGAGTAAAGGTAGAACTAGATTAATGAGATGTAGATCTTTATCATATAGACAATAAGCCAGCATATAACAAGCTATTAAACATATCACATAACGGGGAGTTATAAAGCAATCAACAAGATCCCCCCTGGGCTAGAAATAAAGATGCAACCCATACTCTCACTACATTTAACCTTTTGTATTTTCATTGCCACTGTGCCCCTCTTCGAAATAAGCATGAACTAAAACCAATATTCCCAAAAAACCATAGAAAACAAGTAACACCCCTATCAGAATATGGAGATGGCTGAAACAATCTTGAGACAAATTCCAAAAGAGCTTGCCAACTTTCCGACCTCCCTTTTTCATTAATGGCAACATTTTTTGACAATGTTCCCGAACATCCTTACATAATGACCTGAATGTATTACTGATACATTTCATTCTTTTCTGATTTCTTGTTAACTCTGTGGTATCAGTACTTATTCTGGGCCATTGCCCTAAAAGATTCAACATGCTTTTCAATTTACCATCATTAGTGGTGACTAACTTATCGAGCTGATTACCGATGAAAAACTTGGAGTTTTCAGGCTTTAAACACGTATATGCATTACTTCAATCCCCTAGAATCAACATATAGTATGTGCTATACCACTCACTTATGCTAACTCCCTTGTTAGCTCTTGCATTACTTCACTGGTCAGTTTACCTTTCCTCAATTGAAAATGGTTCTGTCCAGCTAAATAGAATCCAATGTCTTCACCCGCACCTCCATTAGCACCAAGTTCCCCCTTTAGCTTCTTATAAGCATCATATGCATACCCATAAGGTGGTAAATCCAGCAACGGGAATTGATTTTTTTGAACGACATCATCAATAAAAGGCGTCCTTACACATCTAGCTGGTTTACCAGATACTAAAGCCGTCATTACGGTGGATTCTTCACCCAGATATTTAGTGAAAAACTTGGATGATGATGATTCGGGGGTTGCTAAAAACGCAGTACCAATTTGAACTGCATCGGCACCTTGATTTAGATAATATTTGACTGAATTGGGAGACGTGATTCCTCCGGCAGGCACCAAATAGATGCCATCATTTGCTAGGCTTTGTTTAACTTTGTGGAAGAGTGCCTGTGTTGAAAGATCTTCATCTAGATGTGGTTGGAAAGTATCAATGAATTGACCACGATGGCCACCCGCCTCTATTCCTTGAAGAATGATTCCATCAATACCATTACTTTTCAAGTGACGTGCTTCTTGTAGCGATGTAGCAGTGGCAAAAACCAACGCAATCTTTTTCAATTCATCAATGATATTGTTGGACGGGATACCAAAATGGAAACTGATGATTGATGGTTTGATTGATTTCAATTTGTCAACTAATTTTGCCAACTTATCTTGATCCCTCTCTATTTCCTTGAATGATATGTTACCATTGGCAAACTTTGTAGAGTCAATCACTTGTTTGAATTTTGCATCAGCAATGACATTGCGGTACAATGCTTTCCAGTTGTCTGCTTGTACTTGACTTGGTGGCAGTTCAACCTCATGACAAAAGAAATTCAAATTGACGGCATTGGTCCCAGTCGCTTCCACTAGTTTATCCAATTTCTCAAAAGCTGTAACACTATCTTGGGTAAAATCCAATGTTGCGAGGGGAAGTGCACCCAATCCACCAGCCGCAGCCACAGCCGACGCCATTTCTGGAGTCGACACACCTGCCATTGGCGACTGGAAAATGGGGTATTTGAGGTTAAGTTTTTTCAAAAGTGATGGCTTTGACATTGCAATAGGTTATGTTGGCTGTTTTATCAAATGTGTAGTTGTTCCAATGTTTGCAGACTCTTGAGGTTGCGAATTCGAGGTCTCGAATGGAGCGAGTCGTCGCATAGCAAGCCGAAAAAAACACCAATCCAGCGGAGTTAGCCACTCCCCACCGGTGTTTTGACGTCGCTACCAAATTCATATCAGAAACAAAAGCTAATAATGCCTGAGTGATTTTCACCATCGAACCAGCTTCAGCAAGGGATATTTTGGAAATTCCATCATACCAGTCACGTCAAAGCTTAATTGAAATTAATTGGTGTGCTTGTATGTATGTGTCATGATTTAGCTTATGCTTTGGCTTCCTAAATGAAGAAAAGGCGGCTCAAATTAGCATAGGTCAAAGACACTTTACAGTGTAGCACTCATACGCTGGCCTTTAACAATTGCAGTCTCGCATATTATGAAAATCTCAGGTGGAGTTTAGGTGCGGCCGTTCTGCTCTGAGTAACATGTGTCGCGCTAATTTTAAATTCTTTCGCGAGAAACAAAAAGATAAGCAAACATGCTGTCATACTTACATTCGCTTTGGAACAGCTTTGCCCTACAGGACAAGGATTAGGGTCAAAAAAAGTACTGATATCAACCTCCCTATCAATGATTGTTTCCTTAAAGAAGCAGTCTACAAAATACAAGAAAGACTACGCGTATATCTTAATGTTTCCGATTTGCAATCGGAGAGTTTCCTTCTTTTTTTCTTTCTTTTATTTTTGTTCTGGGTGAGACATACAAAGTAAGCATAATTTTGTTGAGTATTATTGGACGTTAAAATGTCACACGCAGTTTTGAGACGTAAAAAGAAAAGTGACAACATCGACTAGCAACACTCTACGTCTGTCCTACACTCCAAATCATCACTATTTGTAAATGTGTGTTGTGTGTATATTAAAATAAATTAAAAAAGGCAGGCTCCATCATTGTTGGGGGGAAATCAGAAGTTAGTCTTGTAGTAGTACGCACCTGCAATGGCCAAGAACAATACAACGGCAACCAAAGGCACATTAACACCTGAACTTTCTTGAGCATATGACTCTCTAGCTTTATGTTCAACAATCTTACCTCCTTTCAATATACCTATCTGTAAACGTTCCAAGATTTCATGTGCTTCATCTGAATGTCCAATATCTTCAAACGCTTCAGTAGCATCAGTTCCAGCAACATCCAAAATGACTTCTTCTCCACCAGGGTGTTCGTCTATGTAGCTGGAGACGTTGTAGACTTTACCGTTGATAACTACCCAGACATCATCATGGGTGGTGTGTTTGGAAATTTCATCTAATTCGTAAACCTTAGCTGATTCAGTGTCTGACATATTTTCTAGTTGGTTGTAGTTTAGCAGCTTCTATTATACAAGTACCTTGAGGGTCAAATGAACGTTTGTGGTCTATAATATACTATTGACAATCGTCGTTGCAAAGTTTTGTTGTCTTCTAAGAAAGAAAGATTCGATAAAAAGTAAATGGAATTTTTTATATCAAAACTTTGAATTCTCCTCGTTTAGCCCCAACAAGAGTAAAAAAAAAAAGAAATTAGTAAAGAACTTGGTAGCATTTGTATGACAATCTGGTGGTTAATTATTGGAAGATTTTCCTTTTTCAATCATATAGAAAGGCAATTTAATTATTATATTTCCACTCATAACCATATGTGACCTATTTTTGCTCTGTTTTCTTCTAAATTGAATGTGGCCTGATAATGACAGGTTTTCTCTTGCCTTTACCCTTCGCATCTCGTATATTATCACAAGCGTTTTTCTCTGTTAGCGCAGAAGCAAAAGCAAAAGAAAAAAAAATCACAGTGGTAACAACACAACACTACACTACACTACACAGACACCACTTTTGAGCATTTCTCATTCTTCCCCTCATTTGTGCCGCATGAATTGTCTCTAAAGTCCGCTCCTTAAATGTGATAAAATATACAGTACATACAATAGGCCATATGTACGCCCCAAGGAGTTAATACTCTCTATCTCAGCGTAGATTGTTTCATACACTTCTTTGCGCGTTAAACCAAAGTGGGGACGGATATTTTTACCCAATTTGGATCAAAAGAGAAATTTATGAACCTTACTTATTATTATTATCTTCAGAATCCCTGCTAAAAGGATATTTATTCTTGAATTATCCAACATATCCACATACTTTTTCCACATACTTTTTCCACACCCAGTTCACGCTAACAATGCACTTAAATCATAATCAATCCCCTTACTTTTCAATTCTTCCACCTTGTTTCTTTTTGATTCTTCAAATTTCTTTACTATAATATCCCATTCTTGTTTAGTTTTAGGTTTATCGTGTTTATCTTTAACAATCTTGTGAATTGGAACAACCTTAAATTTACGATTAGCATTTTTAAAAACATCCTTGTGGGGGTTTTCAACATATTCACATTTGATCAAATGTCCAAATAATAAGTAATTATTCATTGTTTCGGCGGCTATTTTAGCAACCTCAACCGATTCAAACTCAATATAAGCAAAATGTTTTGATTTACCTGTCTTTTTATTACGCGACAAGATCAATTGTTTGATTGGACCAAATTGTTGGAAATACGTTTTCAACTCTTGCTCTTGAAAGCCTTGGGGAAGACGACCTATATATATGACACCGGCTTTGGGTGTTTTCGATTTGTTACTGGAATCAGCAGTCGTAGTTTTAGATATCACTTTATTTACCCTGTGTCCTGATGCACTTGGTTGGATGGATTGTGTTATTGACTCCTCATCTTCTGACTGTTCCTGATCATCACTGTCATCGTCTTCGTCACTTGATAATCCATAAACTTGTTCTTCTTGTTCATTTTCCTCTTCATCATCATCTTCCTCATCTTCTGATGATGAGGATGGTAACTGCAAGTTTTCTTCTGCTTGTTCAGCTACATGCTGCTTCTTTTGTACCTTTGATTCATCAGATTGCTTCAGAGAAGTCTGTTTAACGGTGGATTGTTTCTTAGCCATGGTGTATATTCGTATAACCGCCTTTTATTTTGGGTTATTCCAATGATTCCAATTTTTTTTTCTTTTCTTTCAAGCAAAATAATTTTTATCGCGATGAGTTGAGGCAAAAGTGTCGCAGTATGTTCACGATAATGATAAAATGCGACACACAAAGGTCTCAATCAACTGCCTTCAGCAAAAGGGCATACGTATTGGTAGGCAATCCAACAACATTGTAGTAGTCGCCAGATATCTCATTAAATAATAAACAGCCCAATTGTTGGTATTTGAATCCACCAGCCACTTCTAGTCCCTCACCACTTTCAATATATGCACGAATGATGTCGTCGTTACCACTCAGAAAAGAAAGCCTGGTAGTTGCATGATCTTTGTATTCAGTAGCATTTCCAGCCTTGATCTTGATCACAGTTGCTGCTGATATGACCTCAATATCTTTATGAAGACCAAAATAGTCAAAAAATTTGGCCTGCTCGGCACGAGTCATGGGCTTTTCAAATATCCCACCATTACAGGTAACTATTGTATCGCAAGTGAGAATCAATGCGTCTTGTTGGAAAGTGCTTCTGTGAGCTTCATATATTGCTTCGGCTTTTTTGCGACTAGTTAGTTGTACATATTCCAATGGACGTAGCTGGCTCTTGTCTAGATCTTCAGGGAAATTAGATGCTACAGTAGTGAACTTGCTAATCCCAAGATTTTCAGATAGTATTTCCTGTCGTCTTGGTGAAGTTGATCCAAGAATCAAGTGGTAATTCTCAAGCTTTTGGTTCAATGTGGTGTTGAAGGTCATTTTCTTGTAGTGGATTGGATTCGATTACTAACAATGCGCTAAACAGACTGGCCCTAATTGATTGAGACAAGCGCCTTTTTCTTCTAGTCGACTGTGGAGGTGTAGTTTGTTTATCTTGCACTTACCCTGCCACCGATAGCAAATCAATCTCGCGAAAAATTTTGAGTAAAGTTTCAGTTTCAACAACCAAATATTCTAACTCGACAGTACAACCTCGATTACAACCTCGATTACAACTTTTATGTTACCTAGCCACATACCGACCTAGTACTTCCCACATACACATCCAGCATATATAACCACCCTTGCATTAAATGAAGCTCCTATACAAAGCAAACCCGAGAACTTTGGTGTTGTATTCCGACACATACAGTCTAACATTTAGAACCTCAGCCAAGCAAACAAATGCTCCAAAGCCAACAGTCAACTTGGAGCTAGTACCAAACAGCAACATTTCACCGGAATCCGGGTTTCGCACTTTACTCAGAAGAGAGGTGTATGGGTGTTTAGGTTTGATTTATGTCGACAATCAAATTTTCCTTTCGGTGATCACGGGAGCCTTAACCAACGTTGCCAACCCAATCAAGAATGAGACAGTGGATAAGATCTACTCAGTTGATTTTGTATCGTTGAATAACAGTGAGTGGGATTTTGTGGAATTGGATTCACAAGGGTATCCCGTAGTGACCAATGACGATGACGACGATGCGAGGTATAACCGTATACAACATCCATGCTTTGAGTTTAGAAAATTGTTATCCAATGGATCCTTCTATTACTCGAATGATTTTGATTTAACTTCAACCATACAAACCAGAGGCGTCAGTGAAAGTCTTGACGAATTGAATCATTATAGTCCACAGTACATGTGGAATTCATTCTTGATGGATGAAATGATACAATTTAGATCCAACTTGGATAGTAACAATCGACAGGTGCTAGACGATAATCGATTCTTAACCACCGTCATTCGGGGGTTTGCCAAGACGGTTTCAATGGGACGTCAAGATTCAATAACAATCATATCGAAACAATCGTGGCGAAGAGCAGGTACTCGATACAACACTAGAGGTATCGATGATGATGGGAATGTGGCAAATTTCGTCGAAACTGAGTTTATCTATTACAACCCGTCGAGGAAATCCATTTTCACCTATACCCAAATCAGGGGGTCAGTACCGACATTTTGGGAACAAGACTCAACTTTGATCAACCCGAAAATCACCCTCACTAGATCCTCAGAGGCGACTCAGCCAATGTTTAACAAACACTTTGCTGAAATTGGAGAGAACTATGGAGTATGCCACATTGTTGACTTGTTATCAAAGACGAAATCATCAGAGGTGCAGTTGTCTAATAGATATAAACAATTGTACAAAAACTGCGATCGTAAAGAGGAGATTGAATACACGGCATTTGATTTTCATGCAGAGACAAAGAATGCGGGTGGATTTTCTGGGGCTACAAGAATATTACCCAAGTTGTACGAATCTATGCGTGAATTTGGCTATTTTTCTTACGACATGGAGCAAGACCTGGTAATAACTCGACAAGATGGAGTATTTAGAGTCAATTGCTTGGACTGTCTTGACAGAACCAATTTGATAGAGCAAGTCATTTCTCGAACCGTGTTTGAAAACATCCTCAAGCAACAAAGTGCATCACATGGGAATCACGCCAGGGACCATGCAATGATTGAAAACTTTGTCATTAGACATAATGAATTATGGGCTGACCATGGTGATGCGATATCGCAAATCTACACGGGAACAAATGCATTGAAATCTTCATTCTCAAGATCAGGAAAGATGAATCTTGCCGGTGCATTATCCGATGTGACAAAGTCAGTTTCAAGAATGTATCAAAACACATTTGTCGATGGTAAGAAACAATCCACGATTGACTTGTTATTGGGCGTTGGTGGTCCTCAATCGAAAAAGGTTAAAATCTTTGATCCAGCTAGCGATTATGTCGCAGCCCAGTTGGATCAACAATCACATGTGTTTACCACTGATGCTAATATTAGAGTATTTGCCGGGACCTACAACGTTAATGCTTTGGAGCCGCTGGCCAATATTGATCTTACAAGTTGGCTATTCCCACCAGAAAACGAGGTCGTGCCTGACATTTATGCTGTTGGGTTCCAAGAATTGATTGAATTGAATGCGGGTGCATTCCTTGCTGGTGATGTTACGAAACCGCAAAAATGGGCGGCAATTTTAAATCAGCAACTAAATTCTCAGCGAGAACAGTATGTCCTTTTGCGAACTGAATCAATTGCATCAATGTCATTGTTTTTATTCGTGAGAAAGGCATCCATTCAGCATGTAACGCGTGTATCTGGATCCTCGAAAAAGACCGGGTTGGGAGGTATCGCAGCAAACAAAGGGGCTTGTGCTGTTCGATTCGAATATGGAGCTACGTCGTTTGCATTAGTCACATCGCATTTAGCAGCGGGGACCACGGCCATTGCCGAACGGTTCAATGACTATACCACCATCATGCAAGGAATGGTGTTTACAAGAAACTACTCGATCCATGATCATGATCATGTCATTTGGTTTGGTGATTTAAACTACCGTATTGATTTGCCTAACGGACAATGTCGTAATTTAATTGAAAATGGAGCATTTGATGAATTGGTGAAACAAGATCAATTGAAATTGGAAATGAGAGGTAAAGGTGCATTTCTGGAGTTTAACGAAGGGGCAGTTAAGTTTTATCCCACTTATAAGTTTGATAAAGGAACTTCCAACTACGACCTGTCAGAAAAGCAAAGAGTACCATCATGGACTGATCGGGTATTATATCTCAGTTTGAAAAAGAAACGGAATGACTTGAAACAGTTGAATTATAATTCAGTCATGGATGTCTATTTGAGTGATCATAAGCCGGTGTATTCTACATTTCAAGTAAAGGTTGAATTTGTCGATAAAGCCAAAAAATCAGCCATGGCAAAGGATTTATACGATAGATATAGGAAAGAGCATGGTAACTCATACGATTTGGTTTCGTTGAATACATTATCGCCAACACCATCCACAAAGTCAGTTTCATCATCGAACAAGAATGAGAGTTTTGTTACTGATGCATTAACCGATTTGAATTTATTGGATGATTTCGACCCTCACGCGCCCAACTTACCTGCTCGACCCCATCCAAATTCAACAGCGCCTAGACGTGTGCCTCCCCCACCAGCAAGTAGAAAGACAACATCAACATCATTAGCATCATCACTTCCAACAAATGAGACAAATCCTTCTTCACCGCCTGTGCGGTCTAATTCCAGCTTTCACCAACCACATGTACCTCGTAAATTACCACCATTACAAACACCTATACCGGCATCAAATGGAGGAACGAAACCTGCAACTGATGTGGAAGGTTCTCCAAAACCAATGAAGGTACCATTTGGATTCTCATCATCACCATTAATCCCCAGTCGCTCCAATCTGAATTCGCCAGTCGCTACACCCACACAAATTTCCAATACTAACAAACCTGTCACACATCATCATCATAACAACACTGAGTTGAAGCCAATGGTGCCCAATAAACCATCATCGTTGGCATCGTCAAAATTGAAAACGGCGGAAAACAACGACAGCGATGAGGATTCTGCTAATGGCGTCAATAATAGAGGAGAAACAAAGGAAAAAACAAATGGAGCAGCTGCTGCATCTTCCAAATCAGTATCGCAGTCACCACTGCCACCACCACCTCCTCCAGTGAGTCGTAACATGAGGACAATGTCTGATTGGCAACCTCTAGTGCCGAAGTAAGTAAGTTAGACAGGAAATAGCCACAAACGAATGAGAAAACAAAGGGGAAAACTATGACAATTTTGACAAATGGGAGCAGCTTCTATTCAAGAATTGACCCGACATGTGAATCAGAATCAATGGGAAGCACAACCCATGTATAGAGTACAGAATTCTACATACTCTTTTATGACTTTGTTATTATTCATTTCCATTAAACGAAACCCATATATATATATATATATATAAATAAACTATATACAACCAAAACACGTATATACACAAGGCAGCAACTAACTAAAGTTCTTTAATAATTCAAGTCGGAGTTCTCTTCGTTCCAATTCACGATCATTAACAAATGAATCTTCCTCATTATCTTGTTGTTCCTCATCATAATTGTAATCAAAATTATAATCAAAATTATAATCATGCATGTTACTTTCTTGATTGTGGTTATTGCCATCATACATGTAGTTATAATTCAATGGAGTAATATAAGTTACATCTTCATCCTCCAATTCAATTTCATTTGAACCCAACATGGAATCAAACGAAATTATGCTCTCCATGTCATCATCATCACCTGCATACACATCTTTACTGGAGATGTTATACGTATGATGGTGCTGCTGCTGTTGTTGTTGTTGTTGTTTACTTTGTGATTTAATGAATGCATCGTATGATGTTTGATCCAAATTAGATAGTATTGAGGATGGAGCTGAGGATACAGCCGAGGATGTGTCGTCAATATCAAAAGTTGATTCTGTAGCGGCTGTTGGTTCAGATGTAGTCTTGGTGGCTGGTTGTGCTGATGGTTGTGGTGGAATAGAAGACAAGGCAGATAGACTTTGTTCATTAGGTTTATCAACTCGTGATGCCTTGTTGTTATTGTAGTTTTTACACCATGAAGATGAAGATGTTGTTGTTGCACTGTCGTTTGATCTGATCCTCTTGGCGGTAGACTTCAATTTAGTCAAAAAAGATGAAGTACGAACTGGAAACTTGGGTTTATTCTGTTTAGCATCACTACCAGTATTACTCTTTTGTAGTTGGCCATTTTTGATATAACAATGTTGACTTAGCTGTGTTGATGAGCTGGGATTCCTCTTGTTGTTGTGACTATAGCTGGTAGATGAAGATGAAGATGCATGCGATTTGTTAGAATGGACAATAACTGATGTTGAGGAAGTAGATGAAATAGATGGATATAGCGATGTCAAATCAGTGGATGCAGTAGCAATAGCAGCAGTAGCAGCAGTAGCAGTTGTAGCAGTTGTAGCAGTTGTAGCGGCTGTTGAAGAATTAGACTTGGGTTTAAATAGAGACTTCATGTTCTGGGGCATTATTTATGACTGACAATATTTAAGATGGCGTTAGAGTGTTAATATGTATCAAAGTGTATAAGTTGTATGTATGTATGTTTGTATGTTTGTACAACTAGATTAACTGCTTTGTTGCAAGGAGGATTGTTCTTGTAGTAAAAGCCGTTTTGATTTTTGATTCTAGTTGGTTTCATGTGGGGATATATATATATATATATATATATATTTACTTGTTGTGTGTATATATGTATATATGTGTATGTGATGTGTTATTAGTAAAATACTAAAACTACGGAGTTAAATGGATTATTCGGATGTTAAAAAAAGTAATTGCAAAAACCGCCGCCGAAAATAAAAAAATAAAAAAATAAAACGTAAATAAAAAATAAGTTAAAAAAAGAAACTAAATGTTAGTAATAAGAATGCAAAAAGTAATGAGTACATCGTAAATTCCATTTGCTTTTTAGAAACAACCACCACTACTACTACTACTACTACTACTACTACTACTACTACTACTAATAATAATAATAATAATAATAACCACCACCACCACCACCACTAAACTAAAAAAGAATTACTAATAATACATATACATGTATATACATGTACTCATATACGTATATTGTAATAGTTTAGTAAAGAAAAGCGAAGGTAGAATAAAATAAAATAAAATAAAGTAAAGCAAAGTTGAAGAAGTCACACTCACAAACAAAGATTCATTTACAGTCGTATATACTCTATTTGTATTAGTATTAGTATTGTTGTTGTTGTTATTGTCTTGTGATAAGTATAGATACTTGTTATATTACTAGCAGTACAGAGTCATCATAATACTCTTCTCTTCTAATAAGACAATTGATATAGACTAAAGCGTATAGACTAAAGCGTATAGACTAAACACAACCAGATAATACTCTTCGGTTTTAAATAAAACAATAAATTGTTTCGGCCGGTTGATTTGGTTTTAGGGTCTTCTATATTACCTAATCGGTTAAAATACAAGCGAAAAAAAAAAAAACATTATTTTCGGGTGCCGTAAAATGATTTTTGTTTCTCCGAATTTTCTTCTTCTTCTTCCATTATTACACAAACTTTAAAATCTTTAAAAGCCTATTCGGAGTTAATAACAATCTCGGATTTTAACAACATACACTTTTACATTTACAGTGTTTAACTTTCAATTACAAATAACAAAGTATTTGCCAATTCCGAACTTTGCCGCAAACACTTTCCCGTATTTCACCATTCTGTGATATACTCTTCTTTTTGGTACAAAGTGCGGCCTCAATACATAAATACATATATAATAACCAACCAGCAATGCGAGGCTGATACTATCGTCCATCTCTTTCTCTCTTTCTCTCTTTATCACTTTATCACTTTATCTATCCATTCCTAATCACTAATCACTAATCACTAATCTTCAATCAAACAATGGCACCCTTCCTTTTCTCCTCTGTCTTGAGTCATTTACTAAACAAAAAATGGCAATGCTCATCTTTGCCAAATTAATGACACTCTAAAAAGGAAAAGAAAAGAAAAAGAAAAAAATATAAAACAACAAAACAAAACAACAACAACAACAACAACAAAAGAAACGAAATAAATTTAGACATACACAAACGTACGGCTTTAGGTGTTTTGAAGATACAGCCACATACGGATACTACTAAATCCTACTCCACATATCAAATAACCCAGCCACGCGCACATAGGCACAAACACATACATATATACATACATACACAGCCCTATATGACTATTAATGTTTTTATTAGCTCTTCTATCTAATGACTCATGGTTATGCCAACAAACCATCAATGTAAACAAGCTTCTCATCATCACAACCTTTTTGTCAATTAGCCCCTTTTCTTCCTCACGTATCACTATGTTTATCAGTAAAGAGTCACCTTTTCAGCATTTTTTTTTTCGCTGTTGTCATCTATACTACTCCTCTTTCCTAGCATCTGCCTTCTGTTTCTGTAACTCCGTTATTGTATCACTAATTTGCTCTTCCAGTTTAAAATAATTCTGCCTATACCACTTCAATTGCTCAATACTTTCCAAAATGTCTGCTTTAGCCGTATGAGCTCCCTTTTTAACTGGACAAAATTGCATCAATTGTGGTGCATGTCGTTGGCCAAACTCCATTATTGTCGACACATCAACGACACGATAATGTAAATAATCAATCACTTGCGGGAATTGCTTCATCATGAAAAACTTATCCATGTGTATTGAGTTTCCAGCAAGTACACCAATACGAGGTTTAGTCACATATCGTTTGATATAGTTTAATAAATCTTGTTCAACTTTGGTTGTTGTTGCTTGAGGGTTGCTCAATACTTTATCAATCAAACCGGATTTAGTATGGGTCGTGGTACACCATTCATCCATGACATCCAACTTCAGCTTGGGACAGTAAACAGTAGTTTCAAATTCATAATTTTCACCACCACCTCTTCCTCCTCCTCCGACTATATTCAAGTCTTCATCAGTTATAATACAACATATTTCAATAATTACATCGTCACCTAATACATCGAGCCCCGTCATTTCACAATCAATCCACACTAATGGTCGTTTGGGCAAAGGTGGATTAGCTGATAGAAATGATTGCATCGACGCAAGTTTAGATCCTGGCAGTGAATTCGCCGTTGTCGTTGTCATTGTATTTGGCAGTGGTGGGGTGGTGTATTTTGATTCAACTTGATCTTGATCTTGTTGTTGTTGTTGTTGTTGTTGTTGTTGTTGTTGTCGTTGTTGATTGGCCAACATGGTTGTCTTAGCTGCTGCAGTAGTGGTGGTAGTAATAGAGCGCAATGGTAAATTAAAATAATGTAACTTGGTTCTCGCTAGTCTTGCAACACGTATCATTCCACTCACCACTTAGAAACCGTACTACGTTCCTCCTACTATGGTTTCACGCTTTCAAAAGAAAAAAAAAAAAAAAAATTCAAACTTTCCAAAATCGCGTCGCAAAACAGTCAATACGCAAAGTCAGCCAACTTCACGCCAGGCATCCCCCACTACACTACACTACAACCCCACACACCAAGATCAATGCTAAACACATTCCTATTCTATTACTACCTCATCCACATCCCCACAACTATCCTAATCGATGCCTCAGTCATCATCCCCACCCAATATCACACCACACTAACAACGCATCTCCTCAACTTCCACATCTCCGCCAACAACGACATCCTCCTTCTCTACCCCCAAACCTGGTTCAAAGCATTCATTGCATTCGAATGTGCCGTCCAATTACCCCTTTTCATTTACTTTATCATCAAACACTATCGCCATGATCTCGACGTGCGTTATTACTTGTGGTCAGTAATTTACGGGTTCAATGCCAGTTTCACCACTGTGGTGTGTTTGGTTCATGTATGGATTGATGGACAGGCCCAGTTTGGTTTGAGTCGTGGTCAAGTTTGTCAATTGGGTGGTGTTTATTTACCGTACTTGGTTATTCCTGTGATTATATTAGTTAATGGATTTAGAAATATTGCTAAAAAGCAACAATTATCACCACCGCCACCACCATCACAGCTGGTGAATACGGAAAATTAACTGTCATCTATTTGACTTAGAAGAGTGTTCATTGTCATTTTCTTTTCTAATGAAGTTGACAAATGCAAATCTCCCAGTGAGTTGTATCCGTCTCACCTAAACATGCCTTTACAAACCAAACTATCAACTACACAACTACCCTTTTAATTTGAAAAAATAGCTAAATTGGAACTACATTAGCTTCAGACGCACAAACATAATCAAAATCTGTATTTACATCTCCATATGTATATTTATGAAACAAAATAAAATAGATACAAAAGTAATTAATAGAACATACCTACTCTTCATTAGCCCCAAGCATTTCATTCTCATTCTTAATAGCGGTTTCCTTCTCGTTCTTACCCTCGTTCATATTCTCATTTTGTTTTCTTTCAACACTTCTTCGTACTCTGATGATTCTATCCTCTTCTTCTTCTTCTTCTTCGTGCTCTTCCTTTTCTTTTTCAGCATCTTTACCGGCACCATCAGCAGCAGTAGTGTCAGTTTTAGGTGCAACTTCATCATTTACCTGCTCTATCTTATCGACCTTGTCAGCCTTATCGCCCTTATCAACACCATACTCTTCAACATCTTTACCCAAGCCCTTTTCCTCACTGCCACTACCACCACTCTCCTTCTCTTCCCCAACAACGTCATCACGCTTTGCTCGAGTCTCAAAAATAAACTCATAATTAACAACCAACTTCTCCAACACCAAATTAATAAATCCAAAATTATTAATCAACAATGCCAAATTCGAAGCTTCAGTCAATGCTGGTCCTATAACAGTGGCAATATTTGAACTGGTCATTTTATTGAATTCAGCAAATTGATTGATTTTATGTAAATGACAAATCAATGACTTTAATGTTGATAAATTCGTTGGTGGAAGTAATTGGAACAATGTGGTTTTGTACTTGATCAATTCTTGAACTTCTTCATCATCAATATTTTGTAGCTCATCATGTTTATCCTCTTTTCCACCTGGTAACGTCTCCTTCTTATCTCCATTCGTCTCTTTTGTCTTCATTCTATCATTTTGCTTATCCCTTCCACCACTTCTTTTCTCCTTATTAATTTGGAAAAACTGGTTAATAACCTCATCAGGCAACAATGCATCAGGCAACTCGCGCAAGTACGATTTAACCACTCCTGTCAATACATGCACATCATTAACTCCTGGAGTAATACTACCGCATCGATCAATATTTTGTTTCAAACTGGCCAAATCAGAAAGCGATGAGCTGATTCGATACACACCAACATCTTTAATTCCAAAAGTCTCAATTTCATTAAAAATTAATTGCAAAAAGCGAGGCACCATTGATTGCTCACGTTGAGTGACAAAGCTCAATGGGATTCCAAACACTAAATTATTATTATTATTAATTTTAAAATTTAGTATTCTTGAGTAGAACCAATGACGATTAGCATAATTCAATTTGATTAGCCAGTCATTCAAATCCACATCACAGTGGGCCTGAACAAAATACTCGCCTCCTCCTGTTCCTCCTGCATCACTTGAATCAGAATCAATTTTGAAACCAAAGGGAAGAAGATAGACGGGGAAAATTTTCTTATTCCTCAATGCAATAACCACCGAGGGTTTTTGTTTCCCCTCTGCTTGAGTATCAGGACTGGGCAACTCATTAACAAACACCGATTTCTCTGCCGACAAAGACGAACTAGTGGCACTGGCCGTACCACTATTGCCACCACTATTGTTTCCTCCCAGTAATGAAAATGATTTCGTTTTGGAGAAGATTCCACTCAATTTGAATCTCGAACCCGGGTTCGATTTATATGTCAATGATTGTCTTCTTAATGACGTATTTGAAGTCTTTCGTGTAATTGTATGCATGTTGCTCGTAGCAGCATTGCTGGCTAAGTTCAATTGATTTACTTCATTAGTTTTGGCGTCACGTTGATACTTTTTGTGGTTATCGCTAACCAAAATACGATGTTGTTCAGCAAGAACCGTCCTAAAAAGCGGGAACCGGTCTCTATCGTGAACCAACTCATGGGCCCGTTTCACAACCAATGATTCATCCAACTTTAACAAAAAGTCAAATTCACGAGATTCATTAGTGGAAAACTCCATTACATCACCACCACCACCACCACCATTAGCGCCTCCCGCTCCACCACTTTCAATATCCTCAACACCCAATTCTTTAATCAATTTAAAAATCAAATATCTCTTGTTGAAATTGATCAAGCTCTTGTGGAAAGAGGGGCACTTGTCAATGCTGATCAAGTTTTCAATAACCCAACCAAAACAAGGCAACAATGGTTCGGTGGACTGCAAGTCGTTCACGTCAATATTTGACGGAATTAATTCATCAAGGGTATTATACTCACTAGGTTTGTGATCCAAAATATTAGATGCTCTCATCCACAAGTTTGCATATGCTCTACTTTCAGGTGAATAAATGACATTGACAATGGCAGTCTCAATGCATGAAGGTACATTGCCCGACCCTTCAAATACAAATTGGTTATCACTCATTTTTAATTTTGATATTTTCGCCATAATCAACAACGTCTTCATCCTATCTAATCTCTCTTCACTAGAAATATTGACATCAATCAATTGAACCAATAAATAAGTCTTGAACCTAAAGTATAATTTAAACAATTTGCGAAACACAAGTGGGAATTTTTTCAAAATCAATTGACGTTCAGTGGGAGACACCAAAGTTTCAAAAAAGTTGAAAATATTGGACACAATCATTTGATCTTCGGGTACATTTGGTCGTTGTAAATTAAATTCAAACAATGTATTCAATTCAAATGAATTTTCCAAAATCTTAAACACCTTAATCCAATCTTCAGCTCTTATCCCTTTATAAAAAACCGTCAATAATTTATTAAACTTGTTGAGGAATTTTTCAATCTTGTGGATGTTTTTATGACTGGGCAAATTACGATTCACGGGCACTTCATGCAATGAATTATTGAATCGAAATTCATTAATCAAGTAATTATTAAACTTGGTGATTTCAATTGGTCGATATGTCTTTTTCACAAATATCTTCTTCAACTTCTTATAATAAGTCACCAAGCTTTCAAACGACCTCTCTAATGATGCATCAATTTTATTTGAATTGTACCATTGAAGAATCTCGTTGCTAAACAACTTCAACAACTTGATCAATATGCTCTTGTTGGCTAGGTTTAGCGAGAAATTTGAGTAGAAACTATTGATCAAAACAATCAAAACTTTCAAAATGTTGATTTGAATCTTCAACAACAATTCATAGTCTACTTCACCCAATTCATTAAGATCAATTTCCTGGTCCAAATCCCAATTAGGGAAATCAATCGGTAAATCTGAATGTAATGGATTAGATTCATTATCGGTATCCGTTCGTTTGTCGTTATTCTTTTTCATCAAATAGTTCTTCTTCATCACTGACAAGACGGCATTACCTGAATTGACAAAACGGTGCGCAAGTTTATCCAAGAGCTCCTTTGTCGTCATGAATGAATTGTAATTTAATAGGAACACAAAGCGGTATTCAGTTAGATCCAAGTGGACATCATGATGGAAATAACGGCCTTCCAACAACAACAAGTCAATTAGCTTGTCAACTGTGGCATACTTGGGTATAAATTTGTACATCTTTCGTATATTGGTTCCCTCAGTTAGCATTGAGCTTCGATTGTCTAATCCACTACCACTGGTGGATCGTCTATGCCTGTGACTACTCATCTTTGGTGACATGGTTAGGTTGTTAAACTTGTCAGAGTTGAGTATATCATCAACGTCGATACCTAAGCCGGGTATGTCGTCATCATCATCAACACCGGTTACATAATCTTCAACCACTGAATTGAATCCACTCGTTTGGTCTGCCACATCAGCAACAAAGTCATCAATTCTAAACGTCAACTCATCGTCAATAACAACATTATGTTTGTTGACACTGGGGTCAAGTGGTTGACGTTTATCCTCGGCTGATGCTAGCTCGTCATATTTCAATAAGTCTAACCGAAAATACTGGTTGTTAAAAGTGGGAATCCTTGCTGTCGGTGTGAAATCTGGCCCAGTCTCGCCTGTTGTCGTAGTAGATAAAGAGTCAACTGAGTTTAACGATAGTCCCGACATGTTGGCTGTTTGCAAGCGAGACAAATTGTGAGGGTTTGACGTAATGCTAACAGATGACGAATTGTGCGCATTCAAATAAGCCTCGGGTAAGTCTGGTTCCAATTGTACCGACAATGTCATGATATTTTCCAAGTTCATTGAATCGCAATTCAACTCAATCAATCTCAACAATTTGTTCTTCAAATCAGCACGTTTGGCGGTCTCAGCGGCGCTCAATTTTCTCTCTGACATCAGCAGCAGATCACCTTCACTAGCATTGTGGTTATTTGCACCAAGATACAACACCTGGTTCAAGCTCTCGTTAGAAAAAATGAATCCCATTGTATCGTATCTTCGTAAGACATCTTCATTGTATTTGATAATCTCATTGAAATTGGAAAGGTTTGACAAATAATCATTCCAGCGATCAAATGAGTAATTAATTCTCTTCCAAATTGACTCCATCTCATATACATCAACGTCAGTACAACAGCCATTATTGTTGATGACCAAGTCGCCAAAATATGGAATCACCTTCTCCTTGGGGTAAATCTTTCCCAAGCCTCTAGGGGCCATTATATGATACGAATTCTTTGAATTAAAGTCGCGATCTTCATTTGATGCCATGTTTGGTGACTTGACGTTATCTATATTGTGTGGTCGCGTCATTTTCGAATCATTGACAAGGTATCGTCTATCCAATTCAAATAGTACCGGCGACCAATCATGCTTCAATAATTTAATATAATCGGGTGACACTAGGGACCAGATTTTTGTCAACCGCAATACTGGCTGTGATAAAATCACTGAAGATATGCCCAACCATGAAGACATATTACCTGACTTGTCTAATAAACAACCCAAGTCAATCCATTTCTCAAGTATCCTCGCCTTAGCCTCCATCACGGCAAAGCTCTGAGATCCAGTTCCGTTTTCAACAAATATATGGTTGATCAACAATCGCGAAAGGTAGTGGATATGGTAGTTGTTGTTGAATATTAATGGGTTCTTTTTGTAAAATGAATCCTTGGACGAATCTTTGGCATTTATTGCTGAATACAATAGCAACGACTTGTCTAAATTTGAATTCCAATTTGAAAAATACTTTAAATCAATCTCGCTGATAACTTGGGCAAAGTCTGTCAATTTTATTTCTCTCATGAATGTTTGTGAGTCCAAATCCTTAAATGGTTGGATATTACCGGGTAAGTTATCGTTGCTAACCAATTGTATAAGCAATTGTTGCCGGCGTAACATATCCAGTTTGAATTTACCAATTTTTTCCAAATGAATGTTTTGCACTGACAAAATTTCCAAAATTTTCAAGATATGCGGTGCCGTGTCCGATTTGAGAAGAAACCCTTCGAAATGATATTCAATGCTGTACAAAAACTTAAGAAACCTTTCGATGATTACATCCTTTCTGATATCACCGTCGAATTTGTCATCAAATATTTCGCCTAGATAGAAGGAAATATACTTTAGCAAGTAGCCAAAGTCTGGTAGTATGGGTAAAGTATGGATAATCGTATTCACTGCCGAATCATCCCGAGGATCACTAACAAAACAAAGGAAATGAACCACAGACTCAACACTATTATCTTTCTCCGTAAACAAGCGTGCTTGAAAGTGGTGTAATTTAAAATCGTAGCAGAGCTCGGGGTGGGGCAAGATAGCTTTGTAGTATGATATTGGGGCAATTGCACTATTTGAGAACGTGTCAACATCCACCGACTTGGGATCCTGACTGGGTTCCGAGTTTGAGTTGCTCCGTAGTTGAGATCCAGTAGTGCTGCTTGTTGATTGGTGATTTAGCAGTGGCACTCCAGCGCGACCAGTGTCAACCAGTTTAGCATCGGCAATCAATGTCGATACATCACTGGCAGCGTCATTCAAATGGTTTGATTCTATCTTTTTGGCCTTTTCCTCGTCAACTTCATCCACTGGCACTTCATTCACTTTAAATCTCTTGACATTCAACGATGATTGTGGCTTGTACAAGTAAAGATGTGACCCTTTCAATTCTGCTCGGTAAAGTTTTAAATTGCTCTCTTTAACGTCATTGTTGCTTCCAATTACATTAACCCAACTATGCTTCACCATTGTACTATCATGGTTTTGTCTTATCAAATCCTGAAACTTGATTGGTTGTCTGTTGTCTAGAGCAGCCACTGAACCTCTAGATTTATTATAGGCACCAGTACCAATAAAGTTTGTGGCATTTTGAAGGGTGCCCTTGGTACCATCTCCAGCAGACCCCAGTTTTCTGCCACTGGAAGAATATCTGTCTGAAGTTGTTGTATTGTTAGTTGACGATTCCTCCATAATTGAGGAGATATCGTTATCATAGTAATAGCTGCTGTCGGGGTTAAATTCGGACAGGGATAAAGTGGTATTGCTACCGTTTAAGTCTGTTTGTGAAGTCTTCTGTACCAATGATGGATTATTCCCAGTAGTTGATGATGTACTTGGGGTGGAAATACTTCTGCGTTTCTCCTTATCTTTTCTACTCCAAATCTTTCTCATTCTTGGGGAATTGTTTATGTTATATATATATATGTATATATATATATGTATGCAAGTAACACAAGTAAATGCTTAGCAAGTCCAAATTGGCTTTAGTAGTATTAGAACAAGCAGGAGCTATATGATTATAAAGCTGATCTGGTGTGTGTGTATGTGTGTGAGTCAGTTGGATTAGTGTGTGGTTAAAGATTACTTTTAAAGTTTTTTTTATTTTTTTTTTTTAATTTGTGTTTGTTGGTGTTGTTTGGTGTTGTTTGATATTTGTTGAATCAATTTTTTTTTTTCGTCTCTCGTGTAAAAAAAAAAAATCTTTTACTACGTCAACACATATATGTATATGTATATGTATATATAGTCAAGAAAAGTAAAGTTATTTCAATTGCCAAAATATTAAACCATTTTTACCAAAGTATTAGTGTTGAATACCTACAGTAGATATGTATATATTGTCTTATGTCTTATGTCTTATGTCTTATGTCTTATGTCTTATGTCTTGTGTCTTATATCAGTATTGTCTTATCATCAATGAATAGTGTTGCAATTCAAGTCTCTTGTTCACTAATACCCTTGTAGTATAGTTAGACGAGGACAGAAAAGAAAAGGGTCCTTACGTATGATTCTTACTCGCATACAGCTGTAAAGTATGATGTCTTTCTCCACTCGTACATTGAACACAGAGTTTTATGGTTAGCAGTTTGCTTTGACTGTAACATACAATTCAGCCCTTTCATTTCACGTGGCTAGACAATAACGATCTAAATGTTTCCTAAAAACGGTATCAAATTGTTAAGACAGGGTTTAATACATATCTCTATTTTCGGTTAAATTATATTGTTTCAATGTCAAGAATGCTTATTGTGTTGAATGCATATTCTCACCTTACAGTTTCCAAGATCAGTTTCTATCTTCTCGTCAAACGACATTTAGACCAAAACAGGAAAAAATGGTCAGCTATGCAACCACTTTTGTAACAAAGGTTGAGTAAGCAAGCAAACAAACCCTGTGGAAGCTTCTACTGCATCATAGAGTAAGCCTACACACGTATCTCATTTAACCGATACGCCGGTGAATATCTGTATTTATTTTTTTTATCAAGCACAATGGTTATGAGCTGCAAAACTACGCTAGTATGAATACGTCATTGGAAAACAACGTCACGTTTGCTTCAACTATCCTTCTAATGTCTACTCTCCAACAGATATACAACAATCAACAACCTCAAAGCCCTGTATTTGATCATTCCACAAAACGTTAATGCATTTGTCGTCAACTTTTTTGTCTCTTCTTCTTTCTGCTTTTGCCCACTTTTGGAATTGTAACGCGTCGGTTAATTAAATGTAATTTTGTGTGTCTTTTCCCTGCACTTGCCTTAAAACGTGGCTTTACCACTCATAACCTAAAGAGCGAACACACACTCATAGAAACCGTTTCTTTTTGTTCAAAGCCACCACCACTGTTGATAAGTGAGTTTTTGCATGTCTAAAGCCGCCAGCATAAAAGCCTTAATTAAACAGAAAAGCTACCATTTACAAGTAATCTGCAAGACCGTGCAATTTTTCTACACAACTCATATGCCGCTAATTAATTGATCTACCTAATATGGGCTGGTGGTAGACCATCGGGTGCACTATACTCATCCATAGCTTCAGCATCTTTACCTTGTGCTTGTGCTTGTGCTTGTGCTTGTGCTTGTGCTTGTGCTTGTGCTTGTGCTTGTGCTTGTGGGCTGTATCCATTAGAAGCTGAGCCATAACCCGGTGCCAGCGATGGGAGATAGGGTGGAAGAACATAATTGTTGTCGTAATTTTGTCCCTGCTGTGGTGGTGGCCGTGCTCCTGGTGGTGCATATTGGTGCATGTAATAAGCTCCATTTGATGGTGGTCCAGGCACTGGGCCTGTAGGACGAAAGTTGGCATTATTATTGTATATAGGAACAACCTTTCTTTGTTTTCTTCTTCTTCTCCACAACCAAAAAGCCAACAACACTAAAAAAATTGGGATTAGAATTAGCCAGAATAGCCATCTGCGTCTATCTCTTTCAGTATAGTATACTACTCTCTTTTGGATTTGGATGAGCATCGGTTTTACTTTTGGTGATGTCAAAGATCAAAAGAAAAAAAAAAAGCCCATCAAGTCAACAGATCAGCAATTTCGACAATCTATATAAAGAGCTTGTAATGGGGTCATCCAATACGTTATTATATAAAGATACAGCCTGCTCTTGTATAATAATTGCATAGCCTCCAATAAGGAAAGGATTGTAAGAAATTTAACTTTTATTTTCTTGGAAATTTTCTCAGCTACGAGTGATGTTACCTAAATCTTGAATATATATATTGACCCAGAATTCTTGGAATGGTTTAATTTGTATGTCACTTACAAAGATTGTATATTTCTTATAGAAAGATCTTTTACCTTTAAAAATTGTTGATTAGAGCTGATATCATATTTTTAATGACATTGCTGAAATACTGTTATAATTTCTCTCTACTATTTTTTTTTGCAGCATTTTTGACTGAACATATTAGCTGAAGAAATGATCCTGCTTCACTCAATATCTAGATCCATATATGCAAAATTTTACACTTGATCTGAATGAGGTAGAATCTAGGTTACTGAATTTAGGTAGCTATACCCACTTAGGGATGGCAGCTAGTTTGTCGTAGACAATTACATCGACTAGACCAGCACATGTTCCACCAAGATACTCCACACTTTCCTCTAAAACATTCTACTGAGTTGTGAGACGGTTTAAAAGGGAAGAGGAGAAGGTTAATGTAAGATCAAAAATCAAGTAACACCTTGACTTCCTCGGCAATTATGAGTAAACTTTCGATCTCAAACTCAAACCCCTCGAGGTCATCTTTTGTTTTGTCCCTTACGCGGTGTAATGGATAAGCTCATAGCCAGGAGTCAATCTGTTTCCGGACTTCACAATAAATGGACTATGCCACCTGACTCATAACCCCCTGAATAAAGGTCAATAACCCCGAACAAGGTTTTCATTTAACCGAAACGCCGAGGAGTAACAAGCCATGGTCTTTCACAACTTCTAGCATACACGACTATAACGTAACTGTGTAATTATTTTGTAACTCAAAGTGTAATTCTGTAAAAACTCTTGATACGTAATTTTGTGTTCGTTTTATCGTGTTTTAAACTTCCTCGGGATTTTGCATATTTATAATTTCACTAACGCTAACTTGACAGCATGAGCATTGCTTATGGTAAACTATAATGGTGGAAGGCTTAACTAGGCTATGCTGCAATTATATAGAGGTGGACAAGGTAACAAATGGGAACGAAAAGAGACAAAATTCAATAGTGGCTCTTACATGACCAATAATGGTTATTCGTGACATTCACAGGACCATTCAGGAATGCCTTCTCTTGACTCTGCCTTAACCGTTGATTACTATTACAATACATTCTCATTGTTTTTCTTAATTGCGTTCTCCTGCTTACAACTAAAAGTATAATCATTGATTTTGTGTCACATAAACAACATGGAATTACGAATTCTTTTGAATAAAGCGCGTTTGAATTCCACATTTCAAATAAAACCACTTACAAAGCATTCTTAAGAATTTCAACCAAATTTGTGTAATACAGAAGAAGAATGGTTACCGTATAATAGGAGTTGATTATTGCCGGTTTGTTTATGTCTTTGACTTGTCTTTGCAATAGATTTGTTATTATAGTTTTTTCTTTCATTGTTTTCTTTTTTTTTTTTTGCAATTGTGGATTGATATGATGATGATGTGCAATTGCAATTGCAATCGCAGATGAATTGGGTTAGGATCGTTTTTGTTCTGACTTACCATTGGACAGATTATGAAAATACTACAAACGTGTGTTTACTGATGGAGAATACAAACACAAATGGCATGGTTTTGCATCTTGAACTGTGTATTGTTGAAAAGTTACACCGTGGTTTTTGTACATTGATTGGTTTAAAGTAATGGACAAATTAGTATTTTGTACTTCGGGAAGGAAAACACGAGGGGAGTGCCCCCTCAGAAGATTATAAATACCCAAATGGATTCCCAAGTTATGCAATGGATTTGGAATCAATACAACAACAACAACAACAAAAACAAACACTTCCATGCGTTACTTAGCTATTGCATTCTTGCTTATCAACACAATTTCTGCTTTTGTATTGGCTCCCAAAGAGCCATCCCAAGATGACTTCTACACCCCACCACAAGGTTATGAAACCCAACCAGTTGGTTCTATTTTGAGGACAAGAAATGTCCCAAATCCATTAACAAGTGTTGTCACTCCAATCAAGGTTCAAAACGCTTGGCAATTATTGGTTAGATCTGAAGATTCATTTGGTAACCCAAACGCTATTGTGACTACAATTATTCAACCATTCAATGCCAAATCAGATAAGCTTGTTTCGTATCAAACTTTTGAAGATTCAGGTAAGTTAGATTGTGCTCCATCATATGCCATTCAATATGGATCTGATATTACCACATTGGCTACACAAGCTGAAATGTACTATATTTCTGCTTTATTAGATCAAGGTTATTATGTTGTCACCCCTGATTACGAAGGCCCAAAGAGTACATTCACTGTTGGGTTACAATCAGGAAGAGCTACTTTGAACTCACTTAGAGCTACTTTGAAGTCGGGAAACTTGACAGGAATTGATGCAAATGCTGAAACTTTATTGTGGGGTTACTCGGGAGGAAGTCTTGCTTCGGGATGGGCTGCTGCTATACAAAATGAATATGCACCAGAATTGAGTAAGAATTTGCTAGGTGCTGCTCTCGGAGGATTTGTGACAAACATTACTGCTACTGCTGAAGCTGTTGATAGTGGTCCTTTTGCAGGTATCATCTCCAACGCATTAGCTGGTATTGGAAATGAATATCCTGATTTCAAAAACTATCTTTTGAAAAAAGTTTCACCATTGCTTTCAATAACTTATCAATTGGGAAACACTCATTGCTTACTTGATGGTGTAATTGCTTACTTTGGCAAATCATTCTTTTCCAGAGCTATTAGATACTTCCCTGATGGATGGAGTCTCGTTAATCAAGAACCCATTAAAACTATTTTGGAAGATAATGGATTAGTTTATCAATCAAAAGACTTGACTCCTCAAATCCCTTTATTTATCTACCATGGATCATTAGATGGAATTGTCCCCATTGTCAACTCAAGAAAAACATTCCAACAATGGTGTGATTGGGGTCTTAAATCAGGTGAATACAATGAAGATTCAACCAATGGTCACATTACCGAATCAATTGTTGGCGCACCTGCTGCCTTGACTTGGATCATCAATAGATTCAATGGTCAAGCTCCAGTTGATGGATGCCAACACAATGTTAGAACATCAAATTTGGAATACCCAAATACACCAGAATCGATTAAAACCTACTTTGAAGCTGCATTACACTCAATCTTTGGTTTTGATTTGGGTCCTGATGTTACTCAAGATAAGATTAGTTTGGGTGGATTACTTAATTTGGAACATTTTGCTTGAACAGCGTGGATGTTGATTTAGAATTGTATTAATATATGCGAAGTGTATTATACTAATTTCTTTAAAAATTCTCTAAGCGATGGCTTAAGCTTATCGATGAATGCAGTAAATAAAAGAGACAATAATGGAGCCATCACTTGCCCAACCTGTAAATTCATATTCTTTGGGGAGCTTGTATGGAAGATTTCGTTGTTGGAGACTCGGTTGCAAAACTGAAATCTGTGATAATCAGGTCAAGTATCACACATTATGTATTTTTGGTTGCAGGAAGCCCAGTTAAAGACGCTAGTCTCTCTAAGTAATGGTCTCAGTTTAGTTGGATTGGACTCTGCGAACATCATTTATTTGTGGTGGAACTTTTGATGCTTCCTTATATATTGTTCTGCTAAACTACAGTATTAAAACCACGATTATATAAATAAATAATCCCACAATCATATACTTCTTCTTTTACTATAATCATCCTAACTTTATTGCAAGTCTGTTATCAAAGGGTTTCATTTCAATTACAGTCATTTTATCAGCGTTTTATATCCACGTTATTCACGCAACTGACCGCTTGCTTGTGTCTTATCACGATGATCAAATTAAATCCATATTTGCAAACGTCTTTTTGTCACCACTTGCAAAAACAACAGATACAACAGCAGTATACAGATTGACGAAAGGGAGATTTACATCAATTATGGAAACAAGCAACGACTCATACAGGAGTCTTTTATTAGTTTTAGGTGTAATTGATGGTGTTGCTTCCGCTGATAGTAGGTGTTGGTTTTCAATGTTTAATAGTATGTAGTTGAGTCATGCATTAAAAAGTCCTAAGACAAGGACGCAACAGACTTGTCCAAAATGGGGGGCATTTGTTGGTCAAGGAATTTGAAATCACCCCTTGGCGGGTGGATTACGGGAATAGTTAGAAAGACTTGTACTCTATCGGTATTGAATTTTTAGAGTCTGATGGATACAAGAGGATGTCGAGAAAGCAGTCAAGTTTGGTGCACAGCAGTAGAGACGCTAGTGATGACGCGGAAACAGGTTACTTAATTACACGAATTTTGAACAAATTAGGTATACTCGATAGAGATCCATTGTGAATGGACGGTTGGCCCGACTACGATTTTGACTTTTGTGATAACATTAAATTTATACTTTTACATACTCTAGCGCATTCAAATCCTCTATACTGTTAACTTCTCTCTTCAGCAAAGGACCCAAATCAAGTCCAAGTACAAGGTCCAACGCAGCGGTAAAATAATCAATATATGATTGAGATATACCAGGATAGTCGAAATTTGATGCTCTTGAAGTATGATTACATCCATTAATGGGCTCAACACCATTAAATCTATTAATGATCCAAGTTAAAGCAGCCGGTGCTCCAACAAATACTTCAGTAATGTGCCCCGTCGCTTCATCCTCGGCAAACTCACCTGACTCTAAGCCCCATTCACACCATTGTTGAAATGTAAGTTTCGCGCTTTTGATGGGGACGATATTATCTTGAGTGCCTTGATAAATGAACATGGGAATTTGAGGAAGGTATTTCTCGGGCTGGTAGACCAATCCATTGTTTTTGACAATTGAATCGACTGGTTCCTCGCTAAATATTTCCCAACCATCTGGAAACCACCTATCTTCACCAGAAAAGAACTGGCTGCCAATATTTCCAAGAACACTGTCGACTAAACAATGATCATCTCTTCTGTCAAAGCTCAGCTGTTCGGTACTACTGATTTTCTCTTGCATGAAATTGGTCAAGTTGGAGTATTCATTTCCCAATCCACCCAATGCATTTGCTATAAGACCGGCAAAAAGCCCACCATCAGTTGCTTCTGCCGTAGCTGTGATGTTGGTGACGAATCCCCCAAGTGTAGCGCCAATCAAATTGTCACTCAACTCAGGGGCGTACTCACTTTGGATAGCAGCTGCCCAACCGGAGGCAATAGTGCCTCCTGAATAACCCCACATCATAACTTCAGCATCGGAATCAATACCAGTCAAATTTCCTGAATTAAGTGCAGCTCTGATCGAGTTCAATGTCGCTCTGCCCGATTGCAATCCAACAGTGAATGTACTCTTTGGACCTTCGTAATCCGGAGTGACAACATAATAACCTTGGTCCAACAATGGTGCCATGAAATACATCTCAAACAGGGAAATCAAAGTAGTTAAATCTGCCCCATACTGAATTCCATACGATGGAGAGCAATCCAAGTTTGCTGCATCTTCCCATGTTTGGTAAGACACCACTTTATTAGGGATGGCATTCTTTGGCTGGATAACAGTTGTTACGAAAGCGTTTGGATTACCAAATGTATCTTCAGATCTCACGAGTAGTTGCCATGCATTTTGAACGTGGACACTATTGATTATACTAGATAATGGTGCTGGTGTTTTTCTAAATTTGAGAATTGTTCCAACTTCCAGATTCTCGTAACCATCGGGCGGGGTGTAAAAGCTGTCTTGAGATGGCTTAACTGGTTTAATGACTGCTGCAAAGACTCCATGAATGAGAAAAACAGCCACAAGCCAGAACTGCATATTTTTTGAACGGTGGGGGTGGAATTGGCTGGTTACTTCAATTTTTCAGTTCGAATTCGAGACTAAAGTCTCTAGTACTTATACCCCAATGCATTGTAAAATATCACGCAATCACCAACACATTGAGTGCCCCTTACCCCAATCAAAGTCATAATGCAGTGGAATTCTCGAGGACTATTCAACAATAGGGTAGATTTTGCGTAACATAACTGGACCCATATTTTAACTGTGTTCGACAAGGGAATATTCTGAACTGCAACTACTTATGTAAACGTATTAGGAAATACTTCTTGAATCCTCGTATAGAATTCCAATCAAAGTTAAATAATGCGAAGTACTTTACCTAAAAGGGTAAATAATTTTTTAACCGACACGCATTTCATGCAAAAAAGACGCAATATTTCACCTCTCAATTGGAAACGCTTTCCCCAAAGAGGAGTTCTAGTATGAGGAATTGCATACAGAAAGGATACGGAGGTAAGCATGGGCTCGGATAATTGTGGTAAATCAATTCCTTTCTGATATGCTAGTCAATTTTGTGACAGGTTTTGCGATTTGTCAAAATTATGTGTGCACACGATGAGAGTTCCTTTCTTATTTTTATTTTTTTTTCACATGCCTTAGACGCTTTATTTCCAGCCGAGGAATATTTGTCTGTAATGTCGGACTTGTGACCGAACCATCACTGGGTTATGTGTCACTCTTTGTTACCTTGCAAGTGTGTCAACATCAGTAATTCGATATATTGGACTCCTCAAGTAAATGGTCGATATATATTATAGTTAGCGAGCAGCTACGGTCATGGATGTGGATTCTTTCAACTGGTCGATCCAAAAAGCAAGTGACTTAAAATGGTCCCCAGTATCTTATAACAAGTGGCAACTGCGCTTTCTTTGACGTAACCTCTTGAACCTCTTGTAAAGTAACTTGCGTGTGTTGCAGACATTTAGTAGTGCACTTGACTTCAAATGAGGTTTGTATGACCAACTTATTCCTCTCCAAGTACACCTCCAAGTGAGAGTAGTCACGCAAGTTCAAAAATACCAATCCCACACTAAGCACTGCCCATTTGAAGTGGTCAGTGGTTTATAATTTGTGTAAAATTAATGATCATTCTCTCTATATATGTATTTCTCAAAATTTATTTTTTCCAGCATGACCGAAAAAGTGACTAGATACGAGTCTACACAAAGGACTTTACGAAAATTCTTTCTGTTCCATTCCCGGGATTGATCGGCGAAAATATGAAATAGAAAATCCCGCTTACACGTGCCAGTCATGTGCCAAGTTAACCTTGATACTTTTAAAGCAACTAAATCTGTAAAAGTTACACACCCGAAGGAGCCATTTAACACATACTGAGACAGGTAAGAAGTCTTGGAGATTCTGTCCTTGTTACTGCTCTTCCCACTCCCTCCTATAACCCAAAGTAGGCTATGAATAAAAATAAAGTGGAATAAAAAATAAAAAGGAGGAGACAAGTTCCTAATTATAGCCGCTAATGAAACATTCCATATACCATATCGGTATACGCTGCAAGCTGACGTTAGATTTATATGTATACTTCGGTGAAATCACTTTTTGTACTTTTGATTAGAAAAATATATACACAAATGAACACGCGCACTTTATAAAGAACAGTATAATTGTAAAGTTATTAATAAACAATTTTTTAAAGTTTGTTCTTTTTTATTTTTTTTTTTTTATTTTTTTCAACACTAAATATACAAATTTAAATATATGTCAATTAGTTTGGGTTTCTAGTCTCCTTTCATCAGTTGGCATTAACGGACATACACACTCACTACACACTCGCCACTGGCTCAACGACACTGGCTCAACGACACTCAACGGTGAGATTAGATGTTAGAAATAGAATAGAACTACAGTGAACCTTTTAGAGATAGCTGATTAACTGCCATATATCTATATATACAAATTACCGCTCAATCGTTAATCTATACACCCCCATCCACCATAGACCACCAACTACAGCAATTTTATCCTACAAATGAGTTTCTTTGTGGTACCCCTGGTGTCTTACCAAACGCAACAAAAACTAAAGGCTCACAAGGAAAAGAAAAAGGCTAAAGAGAAGAAAAAGGACGTGGAGAAGGAAGTGAAAAAGGAGGAGCGAAGACAGGAAAGTGACGCGAGCAGCATAATGTCGAAAAGGAAAAAGAAACCTGGTTGGGGGCTACTCCATAGGACATCCACCAGTTCTAAAGTCTCAGCAGATATGAGAGATGATGGCGAATACGAAGAGGATGCAAAGTCAATGATGTCGGGGTATCCAACAAATCCACCAATGTTACCTCTGGATCCCGAGATTAACTCTGATGCAGAGGACTGGGAATCTTTGTACCTGGACCAAATACTGAAGTCAAAGCTGTTCACCAATTTACCAAAGGCAAGATCTGAGGAACCTGAAACAAAGCATTTCAATTTAGATGAAGTATTGAGTGAAGACGAAAGTAATCCCAAAAACAAAGATTCAGCACTGCAATCTAAACTGCTGGAACAAACACCTGATTTTGGCAGTATATCGAGTAGTTCACAGAAGAACGTTGCTCATTCCCTGTTCTTATCTGGAGCATCACAAAGACCCACCGCAAGATCAGAACAAGCAGAAAGAGACGAGGAGATGCCATCATTAATAGCGAACAATTACGGAAAAACTATGCGTGCCGAAACATTTAAACCCCTTAATCAACAAAGACAACAATCTATTCATACTGGCTTAGCTGTGAGCCCAAAGACACCATCGACTCCAACAATCTCGCCCTTGACACCAGCCATTCCTGTAGCACCATTTCATGCATCGAGCCCCCATTCAACTTCAAGCTCACGTCCACGAGTCAATTCTGCCTTCACAACCACCTCAGCACCCTCAGGACCTGCACAGCAACGCTATCCACTGAATGCAGCGTTCCACAGAAATTCTTCTTTGTCGTCCAACAACACAACTCAATCACAACCCGTGTTAGGCTCTAAAGAGCCTACCAGCAAGTTTAAGAAATTGCATTTTCTTACTGGCAGCACGAAAAAGAAGGGGTCTTCAAAATCACTTCCTTCCCTGCCGGGTGCAAACTCACCTCAACAATCACCTGGGTCCTCCAAACAAACAGATTCCTACTTCCCAGATGTTTCAAATCAACCTACAAATGCCGTGATTCCTTCTTTTCATGCAGTGCTTGATCTATCTGTACTCAATTCGTACGATGGAATCAAACAAAATTTACTCAATCCACCATATCAAGTTTTTCGATACAACAACTTTCTCTCGTTGATGAGTGAATATCATTCCAGTGATGCAATACACTTTGCCAAGATTAGAAATCAATCATTGCTAAAATTTATCGTTAGACACAAGCGGGCTAAGGAAGTGGTTGATAAACGAGGATACTTTGATCAAGAAAATTATCGTGACTTACATAATACAGAATGCATCTTGGCTTATTTTTTGTACCACGAAATAAGAACCGATTTACGGAGGATGATTAAATTTGCTTCAAAAAACCATCAGTGGGCCAACCATGAGGAGTTGATACATACAAACTTTGTCAATTACATCCGTTATTTGGTCCTATTGCCAGAGATTGACAACTTGGATGATTTAAGTGATGAGTTCAGAAGACATTACAAAAACAAACAGGTTTTTTCCGTCATTGCCAATTCGCTCTATGCTTTAAAACACGACATTTCCAGTGATGTATCGAACGAGAACAACAAAGCCACGAAGGCTAAACTTCTAATCGAGTGTGTCACCAAGGTGTCTTATGAGTACATCCTTCTTGAAAAATACAGGTTTGACATGACATCGAAATTTTATGCCAACCACTTGATTGCAAGACGCCCCTTGATGGAATTGTTTGGTCTCTATAAGAATAATATTGCACAAAACAACAAGGAAAATGTCAAGGTATTGCTCTTCAACTCGTCAAACTCAATACAGTATGGATGGTACCTTGCCATATCTGTCCCCTTTGTCAGATTTGTGGAAACAAGTATTTATGCCGAAGACATGGGTGCTCTTCAGGATTACAATGTCTATCAGAAGCAGGAAGATGCAACAATCAAGACTAACTTTACAATTTCCGACCACGAATTGTATGACAATTCGATACTGAAATTAAAATTGACGACATTTCAAGAGTATAATTCAATGAGTATGGAAAGTCTCGTTGCGTTGAGTAAGAAAACTGATAATGATCTGCTGAATTATGCCCATTTGAAGCGGGAAGAAGTTCCTGACCCATCAAGCGCATTCAGTTACCGGCCCATGAATTTTGAATATTACAGCCAGAGCATAGCTACCATCCCCTCCAATTCGTTCAACTTGGTGCAAACTACTGACTTACCTTACGAAATTAAGCGCGAGAATTACAAGACCATTTTGCACGAATTTCACAGAATCCTCAAACCAGGTGGTTCATTGGTTACTGACTCGATCCATTTTGGATCCAAATCGACGCATGAATTCTTGCATGAGCATGTCAAGGGCAATTTCCCACGAGCCTGGAATTACTTTGATTTCTCAGTATCGCAACATTTTGAAGTTATCCCAAATTTCGTCGAAACTATCTTGTTGGAATTGAATACCATTTTCGGTAGAGGTAATGTTAAATTTGGAATAAATTTGTTGTCGTCACTGTCTGAAGTTAATTACTTTTTGGCCAAGTTTGGTGGGTTGAAATTGTTTGAGATGATTGGGAAGTTGGGAGAGTATTGTAATTACTTTGAAGATGGAGATACTGTAAAGTCACAACATGAGTCAAGTGTACACTTCTGTGTGCATATAGAAGCGATCAAAAGAGCATGATGGATGAAAAAAGTATAAGCGTAGAAAGAGAGAGAGAGAGAGAGAGAGAGAAAGAGAAAGAGTTACATTAGAAATTATATAGTGCTGGACATTAGAACTAACAAGAGCTCTAGTTAACACTTTTTTGTTATTTTTTTGCAAAGACTGCCAAGTGGAAGGCCCCGTTGATGGATAAACTTTCTTGAATAGAATAATCAGGGTTTTCATATAGAGTATAAATCAATATAAAAGCTTAATCTACTTGAGTGTTCTTTATTCCAGCCGAACCGAAACGATACAAAGAAAACAAAAATATAAGAATTGAAAATCATTTTGGTCCTTAATGCAACCTGAAACGATTGAAAATTCTCAGAATTGTATAATTCGATGGTTAGATCACTTCAAACAGTCAAAATTTCTATTTATGATATTGATCTATGGCTATTTTGTCCAATTCTTTAAATAAAATATTCATGTAATTACACAACGAATCTTCTCATCATCATCGTCAGCGTCTGGGGTATTGGGCAACACGCCAGACTTACCCTCTTGAAGGTCGGTATCTTCTTGGTCTTCTTCGATTTGCCTTTGCTATCTTCACTGCCTTCTCAATATCCTTTTGAGTATAGTTGCCAGACTCTAGAAACTCGATAGCTGTATCATACAAGGTTCGAGATTGAAGGTAAGATTTCACCGTCCAAGGTAAAAATTCAAACTCTTTATTCAACAAAGGGTCAAAGCAAACAACGATTAGATTGTCAAAATAGCACAAATGCTCCACCATCAGATCAAAATCTTTTTCTTGTGCTTTGTCATCGAAGTGGTATGGACCACGGTTTCTTTCCTGTTCTGCAAATACGCAAGCAAAAAGCAAGAATAATAATGTAATGGCAAGCTTCATTTGGAGCGTGGGTTTGGGACTTTAAGTTGAAAAGCCTACAGAACTTCTTGCATCCTATATAAAACAATCGAAGTATTTATAACCCAGCCGCGATTCATTGATATTAGTCCTCCTCTTTCAGTAATACCAAAGATTATACAACTTTCAATTTTTAGATATGCCTTTGACCTCCGGATATTCTGTTTACAATACTATTTTTGTTTATTTTTTTTTTTTTTTTTGATATGCTTAAATGTCTACTAAAGTGATAGAATAGAGATTGATCTCTTGCTTTTGATTCTTAACACTTGCAGCTTTGGCAAATAATTCCTCACCCAAGACCCTTTATTTAGGGATTGCGAGATTGATATTACCTTTGTGAAGATTAATATCATCTAATTGCTGCAGTTGTTGAGTTGGCGTTTGTTTTATTAACTTTTTTTGACTGCAAAAAAAAATAGAGTATGCGTGAAAAAATTGACTCATTCACCTCTCACTCACATTTTGACAAAATTGTACTTGTACTCCATTTTCATTTTTTTTCTGTTTTTTCTATTTGTTCCTTTACATCAATACCCACACTCTCTGTTAAACTCACACTCCCCTATCCCCTGGGAAAACCATGACACAACTAGTTCACATTATAGATGTAGAGAGCGGGAACTTACAATCCCTTTCTAATGCCATCAAACGCATCAATCCCGACTACACCATCAAATTTATCCACAACGAATCGGAATTTCTTGCCCTTGATCATGAAATCACCAAATTGATATTCCCAGGAGTAGGCAACTATGGCCATTTTGTTCGCCAAATTTATGAAAGAAACCTTGATAAACATATTGAGAAGTATATTAACGATGATCGAGAATTAATGGGGATTTGTGTTGGATTACAAGCATTTGCGGATGGATCTGAAGAAAGTCCAGGTGAACAAGGGTTGCGAGTTTTAGGTTTACAGTTGAAGAAATTTAATGTTGATGATCCAGCTTATGTCGAACGTGGAACTAAGAAAGCTGTACCCCATATTGGATGGAATAGTATTGAAGAGATTACTGTTGCCGGTGATGATATAAGCTCCGATAAGTCCTTGTTTAATTTGAACTTGAACAACAAGTATTATTTTGTTCATTCATACGCTGCTATTATCGATCAAGAGTCGAGTGAAAAGTTGGACAAGTTGCGTGGTCAAGGTTGGAATTTTGCCATTGCAAGATATGGAACTGAGAGGTTTTTAGCTGCTATTAATAAAGGAAATTTATTTGCTACACAGTTTCATCCTGAAAAATCAGGAATTGCTGGATTAAAGATTATAAAAGCATTCCTTGAAGGGGAAAAGTTTCCCGTGGTTCATAAATCTGATATCCAACAACAGCCAAAAGATATTGAAGACACTATTAGTGGATTGACGAGAAGAATCATTGCTTGCTTGGATGTAAGGACAAATGATGATGGGGATTTGGTTGTGACTAAAGGTGATCAGTACAATGTGCGTGAGACAAATAGTGACTCAGAGTCAAGTGCTGTGAGAAATTTGGGTAAACCAGTTGAATTAGCCACAAGGTACTATAACCAGGGAGCTGATGAAGTGACATTTTTGAACATCACCTCATTCAGGAACTCTCCATTGAAAGATTTACCCATGTTGGAAGTTTTGAGACGTGCAGCTGAAACCATATTTGTACCATTGACAGTTGGTGGTGGTATCAAAGATATGCAAGATCCGGAAACTGGTAAAACTGTGCCAGCTGTACAAGTTGCTGATTTGTACTTCAGGTCGGGTGCTGATAAGGTCAGTATTGGATCAGATGCAGTAGCCATTGCTGAGCAATACTATGCCAATAATAAACAAAAGACTGGTTCAACATCTATTGAAACTATATCCAAAACATTTGGAAATCAAGCTGTTGTTATATCGGTTGATCCCAAAAGACGATATGTTGCTTCACCAAAGGATACTAAGATGCAAACCATTCACATTACTGATCCAACAAAATACGGGCCCAATGGTGAACAGTATTGCTATTACCAAGTCACATCACAAGGTGGAAGAAAAACACACGAGTTGGGTGCTTTGGAATTATGTCTTGCTTGTGAAGATTTGGGAGCTGGAGAAATTTTGTTAAATTCGATTGATCACGATGGTTCAAACAAGGGTTTCAATTTGGAATTGTTGAATCAAATCAAGTCGCAAGTGTCGATACCTGTTATTGCTAGTTCTGGTGCTGGAAATCCACAACATTTCCAACAAGTGTTTGAAATGGAGTGTGGCATTGATGCTGCTTTGGGAGCAGGATTGTTTCATCGTGGCGAGTACACTGTTAATGATGTCAAGCATTATTTGCAAGAAAAGGGAAAGATGGATGTAAGATTGGATGATGATGTAGCATTGTAAATAGATGATGATAATAGATTTGATTTAATGAGCGCAATCCTGTATATAAACCGTTTATCAGAAAAATCGCCTTTGCAACTTTTCTGAGAAGAGGAGATATAACACACGTTAAAACTACAGTTCCTCATGAGTGCTTCAGCTGAACAAAAACGCAAGATAGTATGTATAGGTTGGATATCATGTTAATCTACTTGAAAGGCACTAACTTGTCAATCTAGGAGGAAAATAGAGCTCGAGTGTTGGAAAGGTTACAGAAGAAGCGATTAGGCAATGACTCAGCTAAGGTAAAGGAGACCCCGTTATCAGCGGCAAAGACTGAGTCCCAAAGAGAATCACCAAAGCGATCACTAAATCAAATTGTTGAACCACCATCTAATGCATTCAAGTCAAAGTTTATTGACTTTGAATCTGATGGGTCTGTCAAGAGATCAAAAACTCAGGAGCAAATCCAAAAAGTAGAGCAAAATAGACTTCGAGCAATAGAGATACAGAATAAACTACGAGAACAGCAGCAGAAAGAGAATCACAAACATGCTCCTAGCAGAGAAGAAGCAACTTACGGGCCAACAACTGATTTGGAAAAGATTCGATTAAACAAGAATAATCCTGATTCTGTATTTGATTCCAGAAAGGGAAAGTTCCAACCTCCCCCAATTAAAAAGAAGGATTATATTGAATACGATTTTGCCACCATGCAAGATACTAAAGGTGGGTTTATACACGATGAGGATCGGCCTCGTGTTGATGAAGAGACTTTACAAGAATGGAAAGACAAGCAAAAGGAACTAGAGCAATTGAAAAAGGCAGCACCACCAATCGATATAGACACTGCTCCCAAATGCTATGAATGCGGCTCACTTGATATTGATTTGAACTTGTATACAAATTTCGGCAAAGTACGTGCTTGTCGACTGTGTATCAAGAAGATGCCGGAGAAATATTCCCTTTTAGTCAAGACAGAGTGTAAGGAAGATTATTTATTGACAGAACCTGAATTGCAAGACTTATCATTACTACCGAGAATTGAAAAGCCTAATCCACATGGATATAGTCGCATGCAGTTGTTTTTACGATTCCAAGTTGAAGAATTTGCATTCAAGAAATGGGGGTCTTCGGAAGGTCTAGATTTAGAATGGGAACGACGTGAACAAAACAAATTAAAGAGAAAGGAAAAGAAGTATCAGGACGCATTACGTGAAATGAGGAAAAAGACGAGAGCTGAAGAATTTACTAGAAAATTAAGACACGGTAAGTCGTTGAACGAGAGACATGTGCATGATTGGTCGGCACCATTGAAAATGCTGGAAAACACTATAAAGAGACGATGTATTGAATGTGGTATAGAGGTTGAAGAAGTTGTTATATGAGGTAGTTGTAAAGAGGTAGATCTATAGTCTCTAGTATTTTCTTGCACGTGACTAATACTACCAAATTATTAAAGAGATTTTCTTCAACATTCTTTTTGTTTCTAGTGTTTTATTTTTTGGACTGTAGCTACCAAATGTAGTCGAAAAGAAGTGGAAGTAGTGTACCTTGTTACAAATAGAATGGTATAGAATATTCCTTTAACAAAATAAACACAACACGACACAACACACTTTTAGCAACACATACAAAACCCATTTGCAATAGTTTTAATTTATTTTTCTTTTTTTAAAAAACAATGCGCAGACTAAAAAGTTTTGGCAAGTATAAAATCAATTGAAATTTCCCATTTGATTTTCAATTTAAATTTTACCACCACTTCATCTATCTGTACAACTTAACACACACATATACAGACACACGTACATATTAATCAATCATCATCATGTCTGACGGTAAAGTTGAAACTCATGAATTCACTGCTGAGATTTCTCAGTTGATGTCTTTAATCATCAATACTGTTTACTCAAACAAGGAAATCTTTTTAAGAGAATTGATCTCCAATGCTTCAGATGCTTTGGACAAGGTTAGATACCAAGCATTGAGCGATCCATCTCAATTGGAAACTGAGCCTGAATTATTTATCAGAATTATCCCTCAGCCAACTCAAAAAGTGTTGGAAATTAGAGATTCCGGTATTGGTATGACCAAGGCCGATTTGGTTAACAATTTGGGTACCATTGCCAAGTCTGGTACTAAATCATTCATGGAAGCTTTGAGCGCTGGTGCTGATGTTTCTATGATTGGTCAATTTGGTGTTGGTTTCTACTCCTTGTTTTTGGTTGCTGACCATGTCCAAGTTATTTCCAAGCATAATGATGACGAACAATATGTTTGGGAATCCAACGCTGGTGGTAAATTCACTGTTACCTTGGATGAAAAGAATGAAAGATTGGGACGTGGTACCATGTTGCGCTTGTTCTTGAAGGAAGATCAATTGGAATACTTGGAAGAAAAGAGAATCAAGGAAGTTGTTAAGAAGCACTCTGAGTTTGTTGCTTACCCAATCCAATTGGTTGTCACTAAGGAAGTTGAAAAGGAAATTCCAGATGAAGAGACTTTGGGTGAAGATGAAGAAAAGCAAACTGAAGATGACAAGAAACCAAAATTGGAAGAAGTTGACGAAGAAGGTGAGGAAAAGAAGGAAAAGACCAAGAAGGTTAAAGAAGAAGTTACTGAAACTGAAGAGTTGAACAAGACCAAACCTTTGTGGACCAGAAACCCATCTGATATCACTCAAGAAGAATACAATGCTTTCTACAAATCGATTTCAAACGATTGGGAAGACCCATTGGCTGTCAAGCACTTTTCCGTTGAAGGTCAGTTGGAATTCAGAGCCATTTTGTTTGTTCCAAAGAGGGCTCCATTTGATGCTTTTGAATCAAAGAAGAAGAAGAGCAATATCAAATTGTACGTTCGTCGTGTTTTTATCACCGATGATGCTGAAGAGTTGATTCCAGAATGGTTAAGTTTTATCAAGGGTGTTGTCGACTCTGAAGATTTGCCATTGAACTTGTCAAGAGAAATGTTGCAACAAAACAAGATTTTGAAGGTTATCAGAAAGAACATTGTTAAAAAGATGATTGAAACTTTCCAAGAAATCTCAGAAGACCAAGAACAATTTGACAAGTTCTACACTGCATTCTCCAAGAACATCAAATTGGGTATTCATGAAGACACTCAAAACAGACAAGCCTTGGCTAAATTGTTGAGATACTACTCCACCAAGTCGACTGAAGAAATGACTTCATTAAGCGATTATGTCACCAGAATGCCAGAACACCAAAAGAATATTTACTACATTACCGGTGAATCTATCAAGGCTCTTGAAAAGTCACCATTCTTGGATGCCTTGAAGGCCAAGAACTTTGAAGTTTTGTTTATGGTTGACCCAATTGATGAATATGCCATGACTCAGTTGAAGGAGTTTGAAGACAAGAAATTGGTTGATATCACCAAAGATTTCGAATTGGAGGAAAGTGACGAAGAGAAGGCTCAAAGAGAAAAGGAAGTTAAGGAATTTGAGCCATTGACTAAAGCTTTGAAGGATATCTTGGGTGACCAAGTTGAAAAAGTTATTGTTTCATACAAATTGGTTGATGCACCAGCTGCTATCAGAACTGGTCAATTTGGTTGGTCAGCTAATATGGAAAGAATTATGAAGGCACAAGCTTTGAGAGATACTACCATGTCCTCATACATGTCATCGAAGAAAACTTTTGAAATTTCACCAAAATCTCCAATCATTAAGGAATTGAAGAAGAAGGTTGAAGAAGATGGAGCTGAAGACAAGACTGTCAAGGACTTGACTACCTTGTTGTTTGACACTGCCTTGTTGACCTCTGGTTTCAGTTTGGATGAGCCATCTAACTTTGCTCATAGAATTAATAGATTGATTGCTTTGGGGTTGAACATTGATGATGATGCTGAAGAAACCGAAGTTCAATCTGAACCAACTACTACTGCTAGTACCGATGAACCAGTTGGTGAATCTGCTATGGAAGAAGTTGATTAGATGAAAATAGATAAAGAAAAGGTATTTGATGATTTTTATGAGATTGTGTACTTAATGCCTTGTTGCTGTACAAGTTTTTTTAATGTTATACATCTTTGTTTAGCTTAGGTCATAGTCACACACCTTGTATTTAGAAATTTTTTAATAAAGATTTGTTAGGAAAGAGAATATATGGAGTAGATTTTTTAAATCGTCTTGATGCCAAAAAAATGGGGTAAAATTTTAGTACCGGTTAAGTTGCCATTTTTTATATTTAGTATAATTAGAAACATTGCAAGGAAAGAGAGAAGTAATATACTCGGTATCAATTGCACTGGCCATGTAGATGTGAAAAATAGTTGCAACAATTGGCAGATAAATCGATGTAGTTTAGAAATAAATCACATGAGTTAACTTCTGTAAAAACCGGTAGCTGCTCATGGCAAAAACACCCAACATACCACAAAAAAAGACAAAGTATGGAACTACCGCTACCACGCGCAATGGAAATAAAATCTCACAACAAAGTTTTTACAAAGTAAAATAGCACGTTTTAACAAAACCTAGCAAGAATTCCTCTGGGTCACACCTAGATTTCACTAGCACATATAACAAAACACCACCACTTTCCCATCACCTACCCATTCCACATTCATTTTATTCTTCAATCGAAGCTACCTACCACTTGAAAGCTCTTTTGTGTGTGTGTGTGTCAATTAAATATGGGGCTATTTATTCCAACCAACAAATTGCATAACTTAAAGTTATACAAGTACCAGTCAGAAGACCATTCTTTGATTTCCAGGCATATATTGAAAAAATGGTGGAATTACTTTGTGCAAATATTTCCCTTATCAATGGCACCCAACTTGATCACATTACTAGGACTATTTTTTGTTGTTGCCAATTTATTCGTTGTATTTTATTATGATCCATATCTCAATTCAACGCAACCCAGTTGGTGTTATTTCTTTTACGCATTTGGACTATTCATGTACCAGACATTTGATGGCTGTGATGGATGTCACGCTAGACGTACGGGCCAAAGTGGACCATTGGGTGAATTATTTGATCATTCAATCGATGCCATAAATACGACATTGGGTTCAATTGTGTTTGGCAGTGTAATGAAGATGGGGTATGGTGGGTTATTGATGTTGTCGCAATTTGCATCAGTGTGTAATTTTTACACGTCGACTTGGGAAGAATACCATACACATAAATTGTTTTTATCGAAATTCTCGGGTCCTGTTGAAGGTATTTTGATGATTTGTACCGTGTATATAATTACCGGTATATTTGGACCTGATATCTGGGATGTTGAATTGTTTACTTTGAATTTGACATCGTTGGGATATGGCACTTATGAAGTTAACAGTTCGTTAATATATGTTGTACTTGGGTTAGGGTCTTTATATTTCAACATCATTTCAGCTATGCGGAATGTTGCTAAACATTACGAAGCTAAAGATGGCGAAGAGTCAAAAAGATCCAAGCACGAAATTGGTGAAGCTTATAAAGGATTGTATCCATTCTTTATCTACTATGGTGTTGTTATAACATTCTGTTGGTTTTATCCACCAGTAATATCGGAGTACGGTTTGCCTTTGATTTTGTCAATCGGATGCACCATTGCATTCTCCGTAGGTAGAATCATCTTGGCCCATTTGACTTTGCAAGAGTTTCCCTTTGTTCAAGCTCCAATGTTTATCCCTATTGCCCAATTGATATTGAGTAAAATTTTGATTGATATTTATAAATATAGTCCAGCAAAAGTGTTGAATGCTATAAGTTGGGTGGGATTTGGTGTCACCTTGGGTATACATGGAATCTTTGTTGCTGAAATCATTACTGAAATTACACAATATTTGGACATTTATGCATTATCAATTAAGCATAAAAGAGCATAATTAGAGGACCCAAATGTAGATTATTGTCTGGAAAAGTATGATGGGTGATTTTCTAGTTTTTTTTATAAATTGCTGATAGATTAGATACTAGAGTAACTTATAACTATATATATACAAAAGAGTCTCTAAAAATGAGCTGAGGCCGTTTGGTCTAAAACTCATCATCCGCTCATCATTAAGCAGTTTCCTTCTTACCACCAAAAGCTTCTTCACTACCTGGAGCTAAAACATCTTGAGCTGATTGTTGCAAACTAATGTTACTCTCCATTTCCTGTAACTGAGTTTCAGATAAAATAGCCAAAGCCAAAGGAACACCCAACAACAATGAACTTGAAGTCAAAGTCCATAACAATTTGCCTCCATTGTTCAACCCCAGTTGAACATAACTGGTAACTGTTGACGATAAATTATAAATTTGGTCTCTATGTTGAGGTGAAACTATATCTTTTAAAGCAGCGACCCTGTCGTAAAATGTTTCATTTTCGAGATCGAAATCATCATCGTCATCTTCAAATTCACTATCCGAATCATCAAAAGTGTCTACTTCGACTTTCTCAACAGTGGTAGTGCCATCTGGGTAAGTGGTTTGAGATTCGTCTTCGACTTGCGTTAACTTGACCATGTTTGATATGTTTATATATATGTATGTTTGTAAATGAAGCAGTAAGCTGTGTCAGTCTTTTTCTCTTTCAAAGGCCTATCCCACAGCTTTCTGAGAGAGAGAGAGCAAAAAATTGGAAGAAGAAAAAAAAATTTCATTGAAAGGAAATTGGTAATCGCACACACCCGACTCTCTCTCTATAAACCTATTCCAATACAGATTCATTCAATGTCAATGGGGGTATGTTCATGATATCTCCTCTTTCTAGTTTGTAACCTAGATGCCCGCCATCGTACCTTTTGATATTGTAAAACTGTAGCAAAGCCCTCATTGCGATTTCTTGATCACAACTATTATTAAACTCACTGCCCAAATCTTTACCACTTAGCCAATTATCCTTCATTGATAACTTGCAATTTAGATAAATGGTACTGATCAAATCCATATTCATACTCTTCCATTTCCTGCCTTGATAAGGCACCAATTTCTTTAAAATTTTCAATATAGGCTTAGAAAATGCTTCATTATCATAATTTATAAGAATCATCTTGAACAATTCTGATGGTTTGAGATCATTCAATGAAAAAATTCGTTGACTTTGGTTTTTGATTAGTATTTTATTGTTAATTTCCAACATATCTGCCAAAATGGATGCAAAGTTTTGATTGAAATTTTGAATATATACATGGCTAATCTTTTTGGAATCAAGTTCCTTGGGAAGTTCCAGAATAAAAGTCTTGTTGACAAATGCATAGTCAAAATTTTCCGAGTTGATATGGAGGCAGTTGTGGAAAAAGCCTAACCTAGGAAGCTTGATTTGTGGATTCATTAGTTTATTCTGGTTGATCAACATCTCATACTCCAATAACTCGTCCTTCTTCCCGCCCAGTTGATGCGATAGACTCTGGTTGTTTTGGTTATTGAAGCTGTTGCTTATGAAATCCAAACTAATTGCCGCAAATTGTTGATCAAAAAGAATTGACGAAAGATAATAGTACTTGAGGACATGACTTGCTTTGAACCATCGGAGCAACCTCATTATTATTCTCATCACAGTTTTTGTCATTACTTCTTTAACATTCATAACTTCCAATTGCAGCATCAAAAGGCCCTCTATCTTAGCTTTTGCGTCGTCATTACCATGTGCTGTTCTCGATTTAGCCATGAATGAAGTACTTGGGTTGAGCTCATATTCATACAAACTTAAATTCTTTTCAACCCGGTTGCTTTTAACTATATCCAAAAATACTTCAATGACTGAATGTAGCCGGAAATACGTCTTGGCGTAAAACTCTTCTACCCTTTCAAGACTATTAATTTCACTGGTGTTGCCGCAGTACTCACCGCGCATCTTATCAAAAGAATAGTCAAACTCGTCCTTATCATTATACGCATCAGCATAACCTCGTTCCTGCTTCATGAATTGTTCACGCTCACTCCATAATCTTTTAATTGAATAGCTTTCATACACTGCCTTTTTCAATATCTCATCTGCCTCCAACATTGCTAGGGGTACACTTGAGCCACACAGATTCTCGTTCGGATATATAAATGGCATTGATTGGTTTACCTGATATGATTTCCTAATCTTTTCACCACCAGACATGAAATCAGAAGACATTAATTTCGGGGAAGGTAAGGGAGTTGCAATGTGAACAGGTTGTGCTGGTAGCTGGCTTAGTACTGTATGCGATTTATTTGTCTTGGGTATTTCAATACTGTTTGATAACGAATTTGAATAGGTGTTGACTGCCATGAACGTTTTATACTTATCCTCTATCGATGATGCATTTGGCTTCTTTGACAACGCTTCTTCCAAGTTCTTTACACCACTAAGCTCATATAATGGGTACTTATCTAGGAGATCTTGCCTAAATGCAAAATAATCTAATGGCGAACAAGTCAATGTTGATTTTTGTTCATCTGAATCATCAAATGTTTTGATATGATGCAACTTTTTGAGAAACCCATCACACAAAGCAAGCTGATTCTTGTCTCCAAATTCTAGAAGCAGCAACTTGTCCAAGAATAATATCAAGTATCTTATTCGATAGCTAGTGCTGTTGTGATTCCACTTCCAATGCTCAATGAATTGCACAACTGACTCCAAAAGATTCGTTGCCAGTAAATACTTTCGAAACTTTTCCAGTTGTTGCTTGTTATATACCGCGGTTATTGTTAGGAAATAAATTATGGTTAAAATTCGGAAATAAGTTGCTTCAGTCTTCTTGGACATAGCAGCATTCTTACCACCCGCTAATGTGTCTATCTCCATTCTTCGGGCGAAAAACTCCAACACCATGTTAATCAACGGCTGGTAAATTTCTAGCTCCAACAATTCCAAGTTATTAATAGATATTTGTCTAACTTGCTCCTCAATCGTTGACTTTGTAGCATATTCCCCAAATGAATAATACAATATACTCTTTAAATATGACAAATTGTCGTTCATGCTTGAACCCAACAACTTTGTTGATAATTCTTCCATGTCATTATTTTGTTCAAAGCTATCCAATAGAGACTCCAAACCACCAATCAGTTTAAGGTCATGGAAAGTAAACCACTCCGAAATCTCTTGCCCTAGATCGCCATATTCTTCATGCTGATAAGCTAAATGCAGCTTGGTAATTAAAAATTGATAATTCATTGACACGTCATAGTTGCTGCCACCATCTGCATCTCCTCCTGAATCTTCCGACAGTGATGATGATTCAAATTCTTTGGCTTTGGCACTCAATTTCTTTTGAAATGTTTCATCCAACGACGTATCGTGCAATTCGCGTCTAGTTCTCTCATCTGGATGATCTATTATCTGATCTTCTAGTTGGTCAATTTGAATCGACCCATCATTCATTATAAGGTTACTAACTGATATTTCATTGAATTCAGTGGAAAGTCTGACGTGTTTGGGGGAGGGGAGGGCTATACTCTGTAGATTGGTTCTATTTTTGTCTTCCTCTGTTTGATCTTTGTCGTATATATGTAATGGCACAACATATATTATTGCGACACTACCCGTTAAAAAAAGTTTGTGAAAAATTTCTTTTGCATTTAAATTTTTGAATCAAAAGTTTCATGCACCTTTGGTATACAGTCCAAACTGCCCTCACCTCCTCCCCACCAACTACATCATCAAACTAATTGTTATTACATAATAGCTGAACGATCACTGCATTATTAGCTATAATTGTCATCAACTGCATTTGCATTTTAGTCCTTTAATATATTTATACACAATTTGTTTTTATTTATTTATTTATTCCTTCCACATTGTTCCCAGCACCAAAAAATAATGTCATTTCAAACACTTGATCAAGCAATTTCACTCAAACTCAAAGTCACCACTTTGTTGGATCAAGAAATCACTGGCTCTATTTATACATTTTCATCTTCAAATGAGGTGCTAGTTTTGATAACTAGCAATCATGAACGAGTCAACATCAAGAATGATAAAGATCAAGACTCACCATCATCAATAAATCAAACAGCCACATACCGGATTATCAACACATCATTTATAAAAAGCATACAAGTTTTGAACCCGCCTCTCAAGAAGGTCACGTCCAAGTCTAACAAGGGAGATAGGCTAGTGATTGAACCAATCAATGTGGACGACTTGGAACAGTTTCTACAAGAGCAAATTGGAAAGTATCAAGCTCCTCCAGTCGACCATGACAAAAGCTCTACACGAGAATCAGCATCACAGCATGGATCACTGAAGACGCAGAAGTCCACTACACAACCGAATCAAGCGCACCCACAACAAACCTCACCACCAACTCAGCATCAGAATCAGCATCAACATCAACATCAACACCAGCATCGTCATCAGCATAACCAAAAACCAATTTCATCCCAACTACATGACAAGTTACTGGCCTGGTTTGGCACCGAGAACGTCTCCTTTGGGAACCAGAAACATTCAGAGATTATCGTCCATAACGACATCAAATTAATTAAGCCATTTACCAATACACAAAAGAATGTGCAAGTCTTGAACAAACAAACCAAACATTTACCTGCATTGAATCGAGCTTTGAAGCAATTTTGGGAAAGTATAGATAATGAAAAGAAAGGAGGGTAAAAATCACACCCTTATATATACCTAGTTACTTTTAATATACTGAAAAATAAAACTCTACTCTATCAAAAAATCTAAAACCTTGCTGTTTAGTACCTTTGAATCCATCAATTCCCTCCCACGGGAAAGAACATGATGTTTTTATGGTGCTAATATGTTCAAAGAATGTGTTGAACCACAAGTAGCTAAAGCCCCCAATACCAATCATGATATCTTCATCGACATAAACGGGATCTCGAAACTGGCAAACTAAATCTTTTCCTTCTCGCTTAAAATTAGCAACGTCGCTGGAGACGTGGGGAATAAGAGTTTCAACAACGGTATTCTCTCTATTACTTTCTTGTACTGCCTTGTACTGAGATATACTGAGAGGAAGCTCCTTTTTTATGCAATTGCGAAATATGATTTTGTCAATCAAAAGCTTTTCGTGGTTGTTACTCCATTGCGAATATTGTTGTTTCAACTCATCAGATTGCAAATACTGACCCCAATATCGTAAATACCTCTTTTGGCTCACTATGCTGACTCCATCACCGCCAAACCTTCGCATCCTTCTTTCAGTATATGCACCAATGACACTATCAACATCCATACTGTGTCCGTGCTTTACTCCCGATAGCATTAAATAAGCACAGCCCAAGGTGCCCAGTCTTCCCTTGCCTGCTTTGCAATGCAATACAGCCACATTTTCATCAGTTTGACTTAGAAATCGATCAATTTCATCTGTTGCATCAATCATATAGCGAATAGGTGGTGGGTAATGATCAGGAAAAGGGTAATGACTGACTTTGAATTGTACTTCCTCATCCTTGTAACCAGGATCCTCGCCTCGGAAATTGAACAAGTGCCAATGCAGGTTGTGATTTGTTTCTAAGTAATTAAGTAAATCATCAAGGGGATATCTGTACCACGACTCAAGGTAAGTTGTTGTTGGTGCTGATGAAACTATCAATTGTGGTGTAATGTATGCCAAGTCCAAGTACAAGTTTAAATTTGAATCATAATGAAGCTGTTTTGGTGATGCAATGATCGATCGGATCAAGGACTTGACTAACTTCATGTACTGGTAGGCGACTTACTTTTCGGTCACCCCGACGACCTTTGATAGAAGTGGAAGTTAAGGAAGAAGTGGCGGTGATGGTGTTCGTCCTTTCAATCTGAGAGGCTTTAGTTCACAACTTTCTTTTTTTCTTTTTAATAATCCAAGTCAATTATTGCAGAAGTATATAAATAGTATGTGATAGGCCTATAAACACCTATAGTAGCAAATATGTAGCAACTTGAACCTCTAATGGAAGTCGGCTTTGATACTCATTAGCTTATCCAAAAATTTGGTAGTTAAATATAGTTATGAAGCATACTGAGCCAATAACGCAAGCAATCATGAATCCCCAAGGTGCCACTCTTCTCAAAACATAAAGACAGAAAAAGAAATTGCCAGCTAGCCAACCATACTTAGTTGCCTTTTCTTTGGTAATAGCATATTCAGTAGTTTCAACATGTTCTGTGGTAGTTATAGTATCATCGGTTAGTGGAAAAGCATTAAATCTTGGTGCAGCAACACCAGTTTCTGGTTCATGTAAGTCAGCATCATGGTGTACTTGAGAATTTTCACTTTGCTCGACATTATCTTGCGGGTGAGCAGGATCATTAGGTAACATTCTGAGTTGATCTACATCATTTTCATTTGGCACGTTCAATCCCTGTGGAACTTCTGCATTATTATTACCAGCTCTATTACTAATAGCAGTAGACGTTGCGTTGGCAACATTTTTGGTTGTGATAACTCTTGGTATGTACTGATATCTTTTAACACTAAGACGATCCCCGGTGTAGTGGGGCTCGTATGCAATGTAGACAAATATTATGGTAAAAATGATTGTAAGTGCATTGACATTACAACATGTGGTAATTGGGTTGTGGCCTACGCAGTAGTTCTTTAAGCTGTTCCCATGATGATATTGAAACAGCTACCATGCATTGTTGTATTCTTGTATTTGAGTACAGTTGGATGGTTTGGTTGGCTAAAATGTGTTGCAAAAATAGGAGATTTCTTGAAAAGCTTAGTAATTTATTCTTTCTATCTCCTTAGTATAAAATATTGTGTGAAATCCTACAAGTTAAGATTCACAGTCATATTAATAATAGCAATGAGATAATGGTGGTAGTTGAAGATGAGTATTCTTTTTCTAGCCTTTTGTTGAATAGCCTACTTCGAAAAGCTTTACTACACAGTCGATTTCGAATGAGCTTTTATACTAGTACTCTTTTTAAAGTGAGAGAGTATGTTATCAATTTTATTTGGCAAAGGTTAAAGAATGCCCGTCACCACGGAATATCAATGTTGCTATGTGCTATCAGCCAATCTATCACACATACACTTTTTCAACTTTGGATGGATAAATTTGAGTTGATTGCGTTGTTTTGAAACAGAAAATATCTGAGTTGTTTTACTCTTCAAATTATACCTTGTCGTCATTTATGCAAATATTGAAAGAAGCGACTATTTTGACAATTACAGCTGAACTACAAAGCCGTGTATATATAGTTGCTTTAGAGTCAAAAATTGAATTGTCGTGGTAGAGTAGTTAAAACTAGGCTTTTTCTCATCAAGGACTACGTGTGACATCTGTCATGAAAATCGCACGGGGTGAGCCAATAAATTCATTGGCACACAAGTGGAGGAGACTAAAAACGAAGGATTCTTCAGTTTTAAAGCAAAAACAAAAGCGTTAGACTAGGTGTTTATTCATATTAAACGATATTTAATTGAAATTTAAGCAAATGAATGTGTATTTTGTCACCGATTATTTTAAGGACAGCTTCGAGTATGCATCCCATAGACCCACCTATAGAAAAGGCACATGCAATAGTACGGCTACAAAACAAACACCGAGAACTAAGCTTGAAAAAACCCTCTGGGCTAAATTCAGCACAATTGAAGCAACTGAGAACAATCACCGGAACTATGGCAATTTTCTCTCATTTATAGCCTCTTCAACTTTGTGTAACATACTCCTTTAATGCTTATGTGTTCCACTTTCCTAACAAAGTGCCTTTAAACCAAGTTAAAATAACGATTTGAAATTGACCATACAACAAGACGGCAGTTTTATATTCAATGCCGCTTTCCAGCTTACCAATTGATATACTCGCACGGGTGCTTCCCATCGAGAAACATCTACTTGACTTACCCAACAGTATACTTTTCCCCTGGCTTAACTTGCTCCCACAAAGACAATGCCTTAAGATTTTGGCTGAGAGTGGAGTTGGCGCTTTTAAGCGGTATGGAAAAAACAGAAACAGATTAAGAATTGTAAGCATTCCAGAAGCTTCAAAAGACATTGACATAGGTAATTTTACCGATATACTTACCTACTGGGACCGTTTGAATAGCAAGTTCTTTTGTAAAATTTTTATCAATTTTGGAGATGAACACAATTTAAACATGAAGTATCATAGAGAATATATCATATTCAACTACACAATGGTCAAAGATCTTGTAATCAAATACGTGGGACTTCTTGCTCAAGTATTTATATGGACAAGCAGAAATGATACCCAAATATACCTATATATGACCTTTTGGGATTTAAAGTCACGCAATAGACATCAAAGCATTGCTAGTGTTCAATATCCCCTGAAAATGGATGCAAGTAGTTCAAAGGCTCTTTCCAATTTTTTGAAAAACCTGCTCCAAAAGGAAAATCATTCTTTTTCTTTGCAACAATTTCGTCACAAATTTTTTTCATGGATCACAGTTTTTGAATTGACCATGACCGTTCATCAGTATTTGGAAACAAAGCAGCATTTGATTAAGTCCGATTCACGCCACCATCTCAAACCGGAATTTTTGCTGATGTATTTGACACACAATACCGAGCTGAGACAACCTTACAGTTCACACGAGGGGCCAAACAATGATTTGTTTTTGGATTTTCAAAAGGAATGGATCACCGATATATTCACAACAACAAGAGTAAAAGAATTAACACTTGGCTACTTTTCACGGCAATCAACATTTTACAAACTTAGAAATTTGCTCCTTTTTATGCCTAATGTAAGGGTGTTAAATTTAAGCTTTGGAATTTTGGAGTTCTTCAATATCCCTAGAATAGTTAGATCAAAACCATTTGACTTGCATATACAAGCTAGAATTGATAAACAGTACTATGAATCAGTGCAATATATTTACTGCAGGACAATTTGGAAGACGGAAATTTTTGATGATTGTGTCGTTTTGAATTGCATTAAAACTAAGGAGTGAGAGTATTGCAGACAGCCCTAATTGGTGGTTGATTTGGTAATTTCTGTATGCTACGTAACAGTGGTGTATCGCCTTTGATTTAACAAATATTGGGGTTGCAGTTTCCACCAAACTGTTTGAGTGTCGTCTCAAATGACTTCAATTTCCCAAACATTGAGTTGACCACAGCATTTTAGAGACCCCTACATACAGATTATCACGAAAATGTTTAAAAGTGTCCAGAGTATCAGTACCATATGAGGATTTGACAAGATACTTCAATGACAACTTATCCCAGAGACTAAACATAGCTGCAAGCTCAAACCAAATGTATCGTGTTTATTGTAACATGGAATTCAAACTTAAGCTCTCTTCTATAAATAGTAACTATGGGTCCTAAGATATTTATAGATCAGCATTTACTTTAATTTAATGCAAAGAAGCCAGAGTAACGAAGTTTCAACCAGGTAACTTTTGATATGGATTTAATGGTGTCAATATAAATCCACTAAAGTGGCAACGTTATTACCCAAATTATCTTACTGAAATTGGAGTGCCTATTTCACAATTTTGTGTAATAACAACCCCGCCTCCTCAAAAGTAAATGAGATTTGAATAAATTTCTTGAATTAATATTTACAAATAGATAAACTCTACACACAACTTCCACCAGATTAAAAGCAGCTAAGTATTTCGTTTCACTTCTCTTTGGTTTCTCTCGACATTAGTCTCTTTATTTTTCTCTTTACATAACACCACCTTGTCTCATCAACTCAGCAATCTTTGCTGTCAAAAGAGGATCATTCTTAATTCTCTTTTGCATCTTGGTTGCTTCAGCAAATGAGATTGCTTGGATTTTTTCTTCAATAGATCTAGCCAAGTCACAACTTTCCTCAAAAAGAACAATAGCATCATCAACTTCATCCTTTTGCAATTTAATTTGTGCTAATGAAATCCTGGCCAATTCGGATTTAGGGTCCAATTCACAAGCTCTAGTTAACAATGACTCGGCTTCATCAATTCTTTCCAAACTCTCTCTCGAAATAACAGTGGCTTGATTGATTAATGGCAATGCACCAACACTAAATCTATCCAATCTTTCTTGTAATCTGGCAGAAATATCAAATTGTTTCAAAGCACCAGAAATGTCACCTTTATCAGCCAAGATTTCTCCATAGTAATTGGGGATTTCTGGACTAGTGGGGAATTTCAATTTAGCTTCAGTAAACTTCTCATTGGCTTCATCAGGGTGACCATTCTTGTATGTAATACAAGCCAATTGGATGTACGCGTAAACATTTTCTGGATTCAAAGATTTGGCCTTGTTGAAGTTGATTTCAGCATTGGCTAAATCTCCAGTAAGGTAATGCAATTGACCCAAATGATAAAAGATATCGGGTGAGTTTGGATCCAAGTTTTCAGCAAGTTTGAAATCCTTCAAGGCTTCATCATATGAAGATTTGTCAGCGTTAATCAATGCTCTAAATACATAAGCTCTAGGTCTTGGTTGGATTGACAATGACTTGTTGATTAAATCAGCAGCAGTAGATGGGTCATTTTTCAAAAATTGGAAAGCGGAAGCATACTCCAATGCAATGGCATAAGTATCCTTTTTCAATTCATCTCCCTCCAACGCCGAGACTGCTTGGTTAATCAAGCCATCTGCTTCCTCATAACCATCTCTAGTGTTTCCCTTGATTTTAGCTAAAGCATCATACAAAAATTTGGCTCCACCTTCGCTATTTTCATCAACACCCGTCAATTGAGATTCATCAGCAAAAGCACCAAAGAATGAACCAATTGTAGCAGCTGAAGGTAACGCCAAAATTTTCTCCTTTTGATCGACAATCTTGATTGAATGTTTTCTCAATACTCTTTCTAAAATCTGCTCAACTGATTTGTTGGAAAAGCCACCATAAATGGTTAATGCAGTCAAATCAAACATGGCATCTTCGTATCTTTCCAAAGTTTCATAAGAGGTAGCTCTTCTCAAGATACATTTAGTATAATCTGGCTTCAATTTAATTGCGGCAGTAGTATCCTTGATGACGTTTTCGTGATCATTTAGAGCAGCATAACAAGCAGATCTATTTGAATAGTAGATTGGATCTTCTTTCAATTGTAAAGCAGCTGAGTAGTATGCAATTGCCTTCTCATACTGCTTGTTCTTGAATTCGGTGTTTCCATCCTCTTTTAATTGAATCGCCCATTCTTCCTTTTCTTGTTCAGACAAGTTGTTAACAACTTCAGATGTGATTTCAGGTAATCCTTGAGAATTTACTGGATACTTTGCTGCTTTCTTGTGATTGTTACTTGAAGCGTCAGGTTCCGGAGTAGAGGAACTCTTGCTCTTCTTCTTCTTTTTGTTTTTCTTGCTTGATGAACCAGTGGCTGTATCATCGCCAAGATCTTTTGATGTTGTGGTCGTTGACTGCAGTTGGTTATAGTACCAATAAGCACCCACAGCTGAACTTACAGCCAACGCAGTGACAACGATTGCCGTTCTATTCTTGATGAAGAAACTGTCGGACATGTTCTCTTATTTCCCTTGTCTGATTGGTTTGGTGTGTGAAAGATTGATCAAGTCTTTTGAAAAGTGACTTCTGGGTGTTTTAAAATTTTTGTAATGGCAAACAAAACACTTTAAACCAAATCTCAGTGGATGGTGAGTAGTTGATTAAATTTTTCAATATGGGTGAGAGAGAGCGAGAAGAAAAAGAAGAAGAAAAAGTAGTGTGCATGTGGCGTGAAGATTTTTTGATCTCAGTTTGACCATTGGTACACGACGTATACGGAGATAATAAGAGGATGAGACCTATAGTCAGTTGATTTGTATTTAAACGTTGCAGATCTAAAAAAAACTAAATACTAGAATACTATGTAAACCAAATTATATACCTATATATATCTCTCTCTCTCTATGTGCTGCACCTTCTATATGCCGCTACTATTGTTCAGGATTTGAGTAATACTGTTCATGTTGATGATACCTTCTCCTTGCCCGTTGATGTTCGCTATCATCCTGATACGAACTTTCTAAAACCACATCTTCATATGTTGGAAGCATAGCTGCAGTTGCTGCTGCTAATGCACCACCATTACTATCATTGCTAACACCACCACCTGCAGCACCACTACTACTACTACTACTTCCTTGCACCGGTCCATCTCCGACTGAATTATAATTTGTATGTCCATTGCTCGATGGAGTAACTGATGAATGGGAATACAGTCGCTCTGAATTCTTCAGAGGGAATGTTGGTGGTGGTGTAGGTGTAGATGTATGAGTAGTTGGCAACTTCAGGGTGGAGGAACTATGGGGTACACCACCACTACCACCACCGTTGTGCAATGGGATCGACGAACGCGAAGCATTCGATTGTAAAGTACTGGTCATGTTCAATCCACTAAGGACTTTGATATTATCGCATTGTAAATCAACATACTTGATCTTTTTGCCACACTCTTGTTTATTTCTAAAATCATGAATTTGTTCACATGAAAACCCTCCAACCACACTAAGAATATACTTCCTAGTGATATTACATGTTTTAAAACTAGGCGATAAGTGGTCAGGTAAGATGCAATTATCAAAATACTTGCGAGGGATTTCAATCTCATAAACTGATCCACCCGGCGAATGTAAACTGGCTGATGATTGTGGGGAAGTTGTGGAATTTGAAGCATTGGGGTTGACTCTACTATGCATCAAATCGAATTTTAAATTCTGATAAGTATTGTTGCAAACAGTCATGACTTCTTCGTGTTGGCCTAGGTGATATTCATTTGATGCACCATCATTTTCAACAACTGAAACAAGAGTGATTGATGTTAACTTGACGGTGAGTTTCTGCAAGTAGATGATACCTAATCCATTGGATTCGTCGGGTCTCCCGTATTCTGCTAGTGTGTACCTTGAAGGGTTCAAGTTTGAGATTAGGTATAGCTTAAACGACGGGGGTTTGGTAGGTATAAGAAACGCCGGGTACCTAAATCTAATCTCAAATGAGAATGGAACATCTTTCGACTTGATTTCGGGGACATTGCTTCGTTTCTTTTGCTCCACTCGTTTGGGGTATGTTGGTGTTACATTTGATGAAGATATTGGTGTATTATCAGAAGCACCGCTAAATAATCTCAGCATGAATCCTTGCTTCTTTGACAGAGGTGGTGGTCGCTGTGCTTGTGGAACAGCTGGTAATGCCTTCTTTTCAGATGACTTAGTAGGACTCGACATTACTTTAACTCCGACAATTTCTGGTATTCTATTTCTAAATATCAACTCCTTTCTCACAAATGCTTCTTTATATTCAAGTTCAAACTGTTGGTTATCAAGCAATGGACGATTTTGCACGTCTAAATCCAAGGGTAAGAAAATAAATGGATCATAGGCTCTCAAGTTGGTCTTCAAAAACGATGATCGTTTACAAGTGACTTTAATAAAGTACTTGACATTTGCAAATTCTCCAATTCCAGACAAGGATGGTGGTAGTTGTGATGTCGTGTGATAACTTTGTTTTGGAGGTGGTGGTGTAAATGATGCTTTTCTTTTCCCATTGCCTCCACCAGCATAGCCATGCTCGCTAGCTAACTGATGTGCCTTATTCTTGACAAATGTAGTATTGAAATTGCCATTGTTTATCATAACGTCAAACGATTTCAAATTCAAGGACACTTTATTAGTGATTCCTCCCATCTTGGCACAAGAGTTATTCAACGGAATCTTGAATTCAAAAGAATACGAGTAGTTTCCAGGAGCTAGGGTGAAGTCTTTAGCCTGTGACACTTGTCGTACATTATCGGGAGGAAACACAATTTGGGTATCGTAAAGTACCTTGTGCTGATCTCGTATAATCTTATCTTTGCGATCTTTATCTCGTTTTCCATTACTTTGCTGTCTTGGGATATTCAATTGTGATGATGATATACCTTCTAGTTTAACTTGAATCCAGTTCAATGTGATTGCTTTAGTGACAACTAGGGTTACTTTGCCCCGAATGATGTCATGGTTGGTGAATGTCCCATCAGTGTAAGAACGGTCGATTTCGACTTTGACATCAGACATGGTTGGCAATTCTGTTCTCTGTTTGTTAGGGGAAAGAGGAAGGGAAGACAAAGGAGGCGTTGTTTATGGAAATTAAAAGAAAGGACCGTGTTTTGAAGTTAACTCCTTGTTAATTCCGTCTAAGGGTTTTTGTCGCTCGGTGTGTAGTGTGTAGTTTGTAGTTTGTATTGTAATGAAATCTCAGGGCAAAAATAAAGAAAAAATGTGTCTGAAGTGGGGGAGAGTATGGGGGAGGTAAGAATCTTTTCGTGAGATCTTGGAGGTTTGGTGGTAGTTGAACATCCAATGAGAAGGAAAGAAGTGTAGAGTAATGTGGTGTGATATAAATACCACTTTCGGTTCAACTTATTAGTCTATTAGTTGCAATAAAGTCTGGTGTATAATAAAACCACACTACTTTTACAAAGGATTGTACGATAGTAAGTACAGAAATAATAAGAACCCTTTCTTTATTTGACTACAACGAAAATAGCAAGAGGAAAGTATATTTACCAAGAAAAACATACGCTATTGTATTAATATTAAAGTTAAAGATTTGTTGCTTATTTGTTAAAGAAGGGATATCTGTCTCCTCGAGCTATACTAACTAACGCAGTGTTGTGTAATGTAGTGTATTGTAGTGTAATGCTGTGCTGTGGCTGTATGAAAAAAGAAAGGAAAATCAATTGGTAGCTCTATAAAGAAAGGTCGTGTACTTATTCTTGACGTGGCAATTGACACAAAAACCCTCACCACACCTTTTTCATCATCCTTCCCAACTTTCAAACTTTCAACAAAAATTGAAACCCAAACTCCTTTCTTCTTTCCTTTGGTCAGATACAATTTTTTACAGCATAACATTAAAACTGTTACCAGACACGTATAACTAGTTTACCGTATTGCAATTGACTACATAATAACAAATATAATCACTCAAAAGAAACTATGTCAGACGTGTTACCCCAAGTTGAAATCTTGCAAGAAGGAGACAACAAAACATTTGCTCAAAAGGGCGATGTTGTAACTATCCATTACGACGGTAAATTAACCAACGGAAAGGAATTTGACTCATCTAGAAAAAGAGGTAAACCTTTTAGCTGCACCGTTGGTGTCGGCCAAGTCATTAAAGGTTGGGATATTGCATTGACTAATAATTTCGGTCAAGGTGGCATTCCCAAGATTTCCAAGGGAACTAAAGCCTTGTTGACTATCCCACCGGAGATTGGATACGGATCTAGAGGGTTTCCTGGGTTGATTCCTGCTAATTCAACTTTGGTTTTCGAAGTTGAGTTGTTGAATGTTAATGATAAATAGAGGATGAACCAAAAAGGAGCATGCTAAGTTCTGTTGTCTTCTTTTTTTGATGCTTTTAGTAAAGCGATTTCCGGCGTAATAAGAGATAGGATTGTATAATTCTGATAATAATAAAGGAGTCTTTAGTATACGGTTATATCCAATTACTATAGAAGATATAAATTTCCATCTTTTAACTTGACATTGGGCTGAGTTGGAACCACATACAAGTACACTTTATAATTTACATCGAATAGCTTGAATGTAGGCAATTGTACAGCTGCATTACCATCTTTAGCCAGTTGCCTCAGGTTCTGCTTTTCCTTCTTTAATTGAAATTGAATAATTTTACGAGTATTGGGTTCCATTGTAAATGGCTTGGAATTGGCATAACTCTGTGCATCATCGCCACCACCTTCTTCTTTTTCTGCTTCTTTTTCTGCTTCTTTTCCTGTAGAAGATGTGTCAAGTTCCCATACTTGACCAAGATTAGTCAATTCTGAAACAAAAGTCAAGACATGAACACTTGCATTTTCAATTACATAATAGAACTTGAACAAATCATCGTCACTATCATCACCATCACCATCACCATCATCCGCTGAGTATTTTTCAATATAAACAAAGACTCGTGGGTCGAATAGAGGGATAGACACTTTCCACTCCGATATAGGAAACTCATTCACCACATCATCATCATTGGCAACATCGGCCCCCGAACGTTTCCACTTCACAGTCATTGACGTTATAATTTGTGCATTTCGATACAACTTTCCCAGCGAAGAGAGTTGTGTAGTAAATAATTGGTCATATTTGCCCTCTTTCTCCATTACAGTCAATGACAAATCTGCAAGTCCTGAAACAATATCAAAGTCTACATCAACAACCTGTAATGACTTTGTTTGTTTATTTCCCTCTTCTTCTTCATCACCATCTCGACTGGCACCACCAATAGCACTACCTCCACTACTACCAATTTTGGTATATGATTCAAATTTTAATCCATATTGATCAACAAGTCGCAACTTTCCTCTCCACTGTCTCAACAGTAAAGGAGGAAACGGTTCCTTTGTTTGTTCATCTTTACTTTCCAAAAGACACCTTTCATCTAAACAAGGACTAATGTAATAATGATACTTGAAGGGCTCTGGAATGACTGGCAATTTAAGCTCAAACACTTTATACACAAGTGAAGCGTCACCCACATCTGTATCTGCAACATCTGCATCCACTTTTTCTTTTTCTCGTTCTTCGTCTGCAACTTTCTCTTTCGTTTCTCCATTATGAACCACAGCTAATGATACTTCAATACTCATAGCTTCACCAGACCAATTTCTCGCATATACATGCAACATATGCTCTCCTCCATTGACATTCGCTTCCGCCTTTAAATCAAGCGGCTCTTCGTCCTTCAACTTGTCCCAGGTAACAACAACATCACCGCGTTTAACATCAGCAATTAAATCTGCCTTTTGAAAAATGGTTATGTTACTAAATTCACATTTCAAGGGAATTGATAATCGTTCACCAACAATATAACAATCAACTTCGTTGAGCAAGTGGAGTTTGAAATCAGGTTTGGGCGGTGATACAACCAATTGATGAGCCAAAGCTGATGCTGATGCTGATGTTTCATCACTGCCAAGTCGAATTGGTTTGGTTGTTCCATTGGCCAATTTTATCTTACACTGTCGACTAAGGGCATGGGGAAACGATTGATGTAATTCAATTTTATTCAATCGAATGACTTCATCGCCATGCTTTAATTCAATAGTGATTTGCAATTTGACTACGTCAATTTGGAAATTTCCTGAACTAGTCACTTTTTGCACTTGTTGTATAGTGATTGGTGAAAGCGATGGCGAATCGATGGTCAAGTTTGCCGAATCAACAAATGCAGTATTTAATTCTTGGCCATTTAATATTATCAAATTGGAACTAGGCCTTTCCTTTGTGGCGTCATTAGTCACTGATATATTTTTCAACCCTGGCAATACTGTTCCCCTTACATCACCATCACCTCTCGTGAATGAAACATCAATTTGATTAACTAATATTCTAATTTCAGTCAGTTGAGGAAGTAGCAGTTTCAACATATCCAAATTCAATTTGGTACGCAAATCAACCTGAATCAACACATCATCATCAACGGTAGTTTCATGAGATAGTGTTTTGTTGATCAACAATGCATCAATTACAAACAACTCGTGTAATTTAGAGTCCAAAATATCCAATTCTATTATCTTGGATTCCAGATCAGGATTCAATTCAAGCACATCGGTACTGCAATGGATCAATGTGTCATGCATAAGCAGTTTTGGTATCGTACTCAATTTCAAAATCGTGTTCAACTCCTGCTTCTTCATGTCTAATTTGCTATAACACTGCAACAATTTTCCCAATAAGAAATAACTTATATTGCCCCACTTGGCCAGTCCTAATGAGCTATAAGCCATTTCAAAATAATCAGAAGCACGCTTCACATCACCATTCTGGAAATATTCTTCACCAATTAGCCAAGTAAGATATGACAACAAAGAATCCAAATTGTCTTGTCCTGAAACCAGAGATTTATGCAACGCATTCAGTTGATTAGTTTCCAACGTCTCAATGGCACTTTGCAACAACTTGACCCTTTTTTCCGAATGACTACTCATTTCATAAGCCTTGACTAGCACGAGACCTGGATTGGAAACCAAGTCAAATTCAGGAGTATGTATGCCGCCAAAATGATACATCATAGCCAATGTATTGGCATTCTTCAGCTTCGCCTTCATTTGCAAAACCGCCGTCGTGTTCAAATTTGTAATAATTGAATACGGGATCAATTGCATCAATTGGGCCAACCATTCATACTGAACCGAAATCCAATCATGGTCTCGTTTCAATACTTCAACAACATTGATTATATGCGTCTTGTGTTTACGTAGTGATTTGATTGGCTCTTCAATGGCGAAATATCCCCGCACAATATGAAAGGCAATAATATCCAATAATGTCATGGATTGGCCAATGATGATATTATCATGATCCAGTAGATTAACCGCGTATATTCCATCAAGTAGGGTGATCAAGTCCTGGTAGGCAATTTCTAACAACTTAACCCCTGGTTCTAAATTCGAAGGCTGCATAAATTGTAAAATCATGGCCTGCTTAATCAAATTGCGGATCTCGAGAAACTTGGGAGTGAGTTCAATTGAAGTGTCGATACCATCAGCTGGTGGCACATCATACGACTTTTTATATCGTTGTTTCAACTTGTATTCCAAATTGGCATAGTAATCATGCGATGTCTTGGTTAAACTCGACAAGATTTTACTGACAAGGACCTCGCAATCCAGTTGCAATGTTGTATTCAGCGGATGATGCTGCTTGGATAAATTGAATAAAAAATGCGGTTTAGGGAAATTCAATTCGGCTCTAAACATATTCATCCGTTCTTCGTCTATTGGTTGCGGCGTAATCAACAACAAAACCAATTTACAATCAATCTCTTCCAATTTCAATTTCAATTTCTTCATACTAATCACTAACTCAACATCTTTTGCAGCTCCATCCAACTCACAAACGTATATCATTGCAAAGGGGAACTTGGTTATGTATTTTTCAAACCATTGATGATTTAGAATCCCATTGGGAAACAAAAGTGAATTTTGATTAAAGGGCGATATCAACGAATGCTGCTTGGATAATTGTTCTCGCTTGGGTATCTCAATATCAGCTTCATCATGGTCTATACTTAAAATGTACTTGGGTGTAGTTAATCGATTTCGTATGGCACTGTTATCCCATACTTTATTCTTGACATTGTATAATTCAAATTGGGTCAATAGAGTTGCAACCTCATTGGTGTTTACTATCGTGGGGTCAATGTGTATCCTCAACAATGGGTTCAATTGTTGAAGTAATAACTGGTTGTAGTTTTCCATTTGTTGTCGATGAATATGAACGGGGTGATGTTTGGCTTTGTAGAATGTCAATCAGTGTCAATGGAAATATAATCAATGTCGGAGATAGAACTTCACGACATTGGACTATTGCGACATTGTCTTTTCTTTTTTTTTTGTTTGGTTTCATTTTCTTTCTTTTATCATCATCACTCATCAATCGTTTACTAATCAAACCTACAGCTATACTTTGCACAAGCTTATATACCCATTTACGGAACCTTCATTTTATACACATATCCCCTCACTAAATACAAAATGAGTGATCCAATAAATGCCAACCCAACTATCATCGACGTAAACAACCTCCCCACAAGACTAAACCCTAATCTAGATGAATCATCATTCTCTAATGATTTCAAGAATGCAAAACTCATTTCCGAAATCACGTCGCTTTCACTTCTCAACTTGCCCGATGATACAGCCGATGCATCCTCACTTGAAGAACCACTTTCATCGTCTGATGAAGAAATGATGGACAATGAAGCTATAATTGAGCCTGGTGCAACCACCATCAATGACGAAGATCCCATAGACGAACAAGAGATATTCGATCTCATCTCAACCATATCAGATCCAGAACACCCATTAACACTAGCACAACTCGCGGTCGTCAATCTTCAAGACATATCCATTGCACAAGCCCCAAAGAATCAAATCTCAACAATTACAATTAAAATCACACCCACCATAACCCACTGCTCACTAGCTACGTTGATTGGCTTGGGTATTCGCGTTCGTTTGGAACGTAGTTTACCCGCCAGATTCAGAATCAAGATTGTCATTAAAGAAGGTACGCATCAGCTGGAACTGCAAGTGAATAAACAATTGAATGATAAGGAACGAGTGGCTGCTGCTTGTGAGAATGACCAGTTGTTGGGTGTTATTCTGCAAATGTTGAGTAGTTGTAAATAGAGGGTGTTTTGCATTTCGTTTTACAAATGGTTCATAAAAGCATATATAGTAGTAGTAGTAGTAGTCTATTTCTGGTTTAAATATTCCTAAAATTACAACATTTCAAATCACAATATGTTAAAACCATGGTAAACACATCAATCAAAATGAATTTAAACACTTTGGTGGTGATAAAATCAATCAACTTAGCTAGTTTGGAAGTATCTTTATTATTATTATTATTGTTATTAGAATTGAATAAAATTTGCAAAATCCGTCTGCTTTCTCTCATCAACTGAGTAACCGCATTGTAATACTCGTGTTTATCCTTGTTATTTTCAAGTTTTTCCTCCTTGGTCAAGGCAAGATTATCAAAAGGCAGTGGTGGATACAGCTCCGTTGGCATTAATGTCCTTGATGAATCGAATGATGATACGTCACCATTAACACTGTTGCTGCCACTGCCACCGCCGCCATTGTTATTGCCATTGGTTCCAAAAAGGTGCTTGACATTAGTGGTGACCAGGCTTCTTCGACGTGACCCTCCAGAAGATGAACCAGCTCCTCCTGAAGCCGCCGTTGTTATACTGCTTCTGTTACTGGGGTAACTTTGATGCGAAGAATTGGTATTGACTGAAGATGCCAGCTCCCGATGTTTCTTCATTCGGTTGTATAACCTCAGTTTGGATAATAAATTGTTGACTGACATTGAATTGTGGGAAGATGTTGGCGTGCCATTGGGATCTTCAAACAAGTGACTCTTTGGAGTGGGGCTTCCGTCGTGGCGGAACTGCTGCAGCTGCTGTTGCTGTTGTTGTTGGAAGTAGTGCGATGGCGGTGATGACGAAGTCGGCGTTGAATATGATGCAGGCGTAGACGTTGATGATGACGATGATGTTGAAAATTGTCTAAAATGTGGTTGTGGTGGTGTAGTTGGGGTCAGCAAATGAGATCGACGATGGTTGCCATCACGCAAATCAGGTGACGACGACGACACATTCAGGCCGTCTTTGTTATTATTATGGCCACCACTACCACTACCAGTTAAAAATGATGAAAATCGTTTCTTTGACAGCATACTGCTGGCGCTGATACGCTTATTCTGGTGTGATTGCGAATCATTCGATTGGTTGGAATGACTTCGATAAAATGGTTTTTCCAAAGATCCAAAATCAAAATCAGGATTAGAAGTAAAACTACCCATTCTATCTCGCCTGATTTCCAACTCTTCATCAAAATGTTCTTGTAATGTCCCATTTCCATTCCCATTGCCATTTCTGTTTCCATCCTCACTGACTAGATGGGATGAATTTCTGACAGGTATTTCGTAAAAATTATAAGCTTTAAGCAATTTACCATAATAGTTCAAAGTCACTTCCAGTGAAGACTGGTTTTCCACATCTTTCAACTCTGCTTCAATCATGCCATTAATTTCTCTCAACATTGTGTTTTTCACCTTGACATCATTAATACATATTTCATCTCTTAGCCAAATATCAAATGGAATAGTCAAATGGGGTCCAATTGAAGTAAACAATGCATCTTTAACCCCCTCGCCACCGGCTTGGGGAAAGGGCAATTGTGGTTTCAAATTGAAATCTTGTTGTAATGTTTTGTAAAATTGTCCATCTTTGGACTTTTGTAGTATAGTTTCTGAGTCTTTTAAATTGAAAACCTGATCAAAAAACTGGCATATCGAGGTCATTTTGCCTGAATGTGGTACAGATCTTGATCCTAGTGATAGGCTTTGAAATTGACCCGTTACATAATCAGACGATGATGTTCTGGAGTATCTTGTTGGCGGAGGTGTTGAGGTGGACTTGTCCGTTATGTTGTTGTTGTTCACACGATTAAGATGAGGTGATCTCATAGAAAACAGTCCCGTCTTGATACTTGGTGAATATTGGTGTTGTTGTTGATCCACTGTAGACATTGTGGGGATATAAACTTCTCTTGTTCAGCTTTCAAAGTTGAAATATTTCAAGCGTGAGGGTGTGTTTGTCTCTTGCGTTGCAGTATGGTAATTCTGAAGAAGTATATATCTATGCTTAGATTACTCTAATGTTGATGTTAGACTTTTGGTAGTTTGAAATGTAAATTAATACCTGTGTGGATGTGTTGATATTGTTTCTCTTTGTTTTAAATTTGTGGTTTCATTTTATAAAATTTTATATTTTTATTTTTTTTCGTGTCTTCTTCTGTGTCGTCAAACTAAAACTAATGACACGACACATTTTTACTACTCGAAACCACCCTTGCAATTAAGACGTTTTATATTAGTATTAACAGAAGAAAGGAGTGGGGTGCTATATATTATTAAAGTACTAAGCATCAATTTTTGTGGATTTAACTGCATCTCCAGCAGAAAGAGAAAAGAGGATATCAAACCTCCATCTTCTCTTTCCTGCATTCGTGATATCCTTCCAATTTCAATTTTTTTTGCAAACTGTTTGCACCCAAATTGAGGAAAGTTCAAGGGCAATTTACACCAAAATTACTGAGTACTCAATTGGCTTAACTTTTGGTTAGAATGGAGTTTTTTAAAGCTATTTGGAGGAGAAGTTTCCTCTAGGTTGAATACGGCTGTACCCTAACCAAGCCGTGCCCATTCCACCACCTTAAAATCGACAGTTTACACTATCTTGTCTTATCTCGCACCACCACTAATAAACAAACAAACAGATTCAGGCTACATCATGTCGTGTGTCATTAATCGACAAATCATTTAATGATATCGTAGATATCAGCCAAGATAAAGGAAGAATTTTGTCAACATGTTTGTTTTGTTTACCACTCACTACTTTATTCACTGCTTTGCTTATCCTAGTCAATCGATTCAGAATTACGAAACAATATGTAGATGAAAGGTACCAGTACTATACCTTGAGGCTTATCGGCGTGAACCGAAACTGATAAAGAGAAGAAGAAGAGCTAATTTTGGTAATGGTGATGATGACGAAGCTGGGAAACAAGACCATTTGAAATTCTGGAGGACTAGACAACAAGTGACAACATCCCATAGGATCGAAAAGGCTAGTGAAGGAATCGAAGCTCTTGTTGAAAACAACACTTCTGTGGCCAGTATCAGTCCGTCTGCCCATGCCCCGGTTGTACCATTTTAAGCAGGCAGCTGAGTAGAGCTTTGGATTATCCCTCTTGGTCCTTATTGCCATGTTTGGCATTCAATTCGAATGTTTGCTCTTATACAAGGTCTGGCCATAACTGAGAGGTGAATGTATCTGCAACTAGTAAGGACGTGCTTTTATTTTCCTTTTTTTTAGAAATCGTATTTAAAAATATACTATACAAACAAGGCAAACCCCCTTCTCTCTATCTCTTTCATACATTGCTTTCACTCCTCATCTTTGTGGTATCTCGTTCTACCAACTAAATCATCCGCAATCTCCCTCGTCCTCGTCCAAAACACCTTCTTGGGCATTCTTCTCCCCAACTCAGTTTCAAAATCATATAATCTTCGAATCGAAGTGAATTTCAAATGCGACGATTTAATTCCCAACACAACAGCAGTAGACTGAATAGCAGCGTCATCCAGAGAGAAATCCAACTCATACCTCGTCGTTTGCATCAATTCAGCATGTTCTTCAATAAATTGCACTGCTTTAATGGCGAATCTATCGGCTCTTGATCGGTCTATGGGTGATGGTATTCCACCTTGTTGTACATGTCCAGGAATGGCAGTTTTCGTGTCAAATTCTCCATAACTTTCAGCTCTTATTATATCAGCCAATACTTGGGGAGTCAAGGTCTTAGATGCATTGGATGACTTGATGATTAATTTACCGGCTTTTGTCAAGTTCCGTTCAACGGCAAATGCTTCTCGAAGTGAATTGATATCCATTTCTAATTGTTCCAATTGGATACCTTCTTCAGGCACATACGAGACTTGAGCACCACTAACTAATGACGCATAGGTGGCAATATATCCTGAATTACCTCCTTGCACTTCAATAACAAAGGCCCTTCCTCTTGTTGCTGATGCAGATTGTTTGATAATATCACAGTAATCCATAATTGCATTCAAGCAAGTATCGGATCCCAAGGAATATTCAGTTCCTGGTACATTATTGGATATAGTTGCTGGAATTAAAACCATGGGGATCCTAAATGCAGGATACATTGATCTTGCTTGTTCCAATTGGTTTAAAGAAATAAACGCTTCAAATCCACCAACTATAATCAATCCATCAAATTGGTACTTTTCAAAATAATGCGCAATCATTCCAATATCAGTCTCACTAGGTAATTGCCTATTGGTTCCAATTAATGATCCACCGACACTATTCCATCCTTCAATGTCCAACCATTCAATTGACTTTACCGACTCATGTCTCGATAACCCAGCGAATCCATTATGTATAGCATATGGGGTATGGCCCTTTGACATACAATAGGTTGCCATTGCATAAACTGCCGAATTCATACCACCAGCTGGAGCACCAATATTTATAATGGCAATTTTCTTGCGTTTTTCAACCGGCAATGAAGGTCCCATGTGATTAGCAGTATTCATGGCAATGAAATTGTATAAATGTTCCTTAAATTCAGAATCTCTAAATGACATTGCTTTCTCAAAGTTCTTGTCTTCAATGGCTGCTGCTACCGATTTAGTAATCTTGACGGCTTCAACTAGCGGTTTACGAACAACTTGATTCTCATCAATAGCAATCAATGGTGACGGAGTTTGTGGCTCCAATTCCAATACTGCTTTAACTGCCTCAACCCCCTGTAATGTGGCCAAAATACGATCAAATGCCACGGCGAGTCCACCTCGTTGCACATGTCCCAAAGTGGTGATTCTCGTATCTAGACCTAATCGTTCAACAAGTACATCTTTGACTTCTTTTGAACTAATGGGTTTCAAATCAGAAGTGATAGCACCTTCGGCAACGATAACAATAGTTTTTCTTTTACCGGCTTTTCTATGCTGAGATACAATTTGTGTCATTTGATCAGTCCAATCACGACTAGAGGATGGCTTTTCTGGAATCAAAATATAATCAGCACTAGTGGCAATACCCGCCATCAATGCTAACCAACCACAATGTCTACCCATGACTTCAACGACAAACGCACGACTATGCGAATTGGCAGTAGCATCGATATAATCAATAGCACGGCAGATTCTATCCAAGGCTGAATACCCACCAATTGTTGAGTCAGTAGTGGCCATATCATTATCAATTGACCCCACTAATCCACAAATATAGAGATGTTTATGTCTCTCATATTGCTCCTCTGTGATATCACCATTCTCCTTCAATTCCAAAATCAACGAGGGCCATTCACTTCTAAATAAATCTGCTCCAGTTAAAGATCCATCTCCACCACAAACAATTAATCCATCGATACCCGCTTCAATTATATGTTTACAAGCAGTCAACCTACCCCAACGCTCTTTAAACTCCATGCATCTAGCAGTACCAATATTAGTACCACCTTCACTTAAGAACCCCCTAACATCTTGCCACTTCATTTGCTTGATATAACGCGGTCCACCTCTGACCAAACCTTCATAACCCTCCATAATGGCAAATGCCTTGCACCCACGATATATAGCTGCTCTCACAACTGCACGAACACAAGCATTCATCCCTGGAGCATCACCACCCGAAGTCATTACGGCAATATTTCTTCTGCGTTTGAAATTACCCAAAAGTTCATCATCATTTTTGATCGAGGTTGAGGTTGATGGGTTGTTTGTTTGCATAGCAGTGCTAGCAACAACTGGCCTGGTCTTTTGAACTGGCGGTACAACAGTTAACGGATCATTACAAGCCGTGAATCCAATTATATAGCCCAAGGGGTCAACAATGTAAACTTCATTAGGATACAATTCATTAGGAGTGATTTGCAATACCAAATTTGAACTAGACAAGACTTCAATCAAGTCGACTAAGTTGTCCACTTTCAACACCGAGGTGTTATCCAAAGTCCGCCAATCAACAACATTCAATTTCGATTCAATGTCTGATCTTCTTGATTTAACTTCAGATTCAGATAATCCTTGACTTGGATCCAATTTGATTTCAATAATGGCTTTATTTCCGTCATTGGAAAGGAATGTGGTGTCTTGAATTTGTGAATGTTCAGTTAATCCTAGTGTGTTGGTATAGAAGGTGATGGCATTATCCAACAATTGTTGTGATCCTGCCACCAAATAAATGGTTGATGTTCCATTAACAATTGACGTCATCCCTTTTAATAGTGCTATAGTAGAGGGATACGTATATTATCAAGTGATTCTGTTCCAATTGAGTAAAGTGTGTTAGTTTGTAGTAGATAATAACAACTGTTATAGTTGATGTTGTTATGTGTAAGTAATTGGGAAGTATCCAATGGGTGGTAGTACTTTATAAAGATATATATATATATATACTTGCAGTACTATTGCTAATTAAAATGATTGTGTCGGAGCTTAGGATGATGTTTTTTTTTTATTTTTCGGTTGAATGAATTGCGAAAAGGACATTATTATTTTGTAACACTTAATATTGTACTGAGATGATAGAGAGGAAAAGAAGAAGAATAAGACGAAGAAGAGGAAGTGTATTCCGAAGTTACGTATACAAAATCTTTAAATCATTCCACTCTTCCCAGTTTGGTATCGCTGTCTTGCTTTACTTTAATTTTCTTTCTACTTATTAATTATTACCACCACCACCACCATCTATCACCAAAGAAATTAGTGAAATACCCCTCGCACCAACCCACTACTGTCTCTCTTTCACATGTGACGTCAATGAAATAAATACTGCATATAACAAAGGTTGTATCTTTGTTTCTTCGGTGATTAGAAGAGGAACCCTCAAGTTATTGACACTTGGACTCGTTGGCTCTGTTTTCACAAGTTAACAGAAACACAGAAACCATTCTTTGCTGGCCATACTCTGCTTCTTCACCTTCGAAGTTGAAGATCTTTCGCTCAAAGAACTATCAAATTTTCCGACGTAGTGCACTTCAACTATACAAACAAGCTTCTTAGCACTACAAGAGAATCAATCAAAACAAGTTCATTAAGCTTGAACCCGCCCTACCTTGAAAAAATAACCTCAGAACAGTAACATAGATACTCTCTTTGTCTCCAATACCCCAAACTATACAAAATAACTAATCAACTGGTAGCACTATTGATATACAAGTCGTGTACAGTGCACCAAAAAAGAGTTTTCCCGCAAATTAAAAATTTTCAACGCATTCATTAAAAGATCAAAATCTCAAATAAAGTTCTACATACTGAAGCAAAGGGAAAAGAAAGTAAAAAAAAAAGCCTTCTGAGCAGAACACACAACAAGCAACACAAGACAACACAACAAGCCATGTCTGCTCAACAACAACAACAGCCTACACCTGCTCCAATCACTGACATTTCCAAATTGGCCATTCCTACATTACCAAATGTTACACCACCACCACCAAAACAAAATTCATTTTGGTCATCAAACCCAGTATTTTCATATTTAAACGATGTACACAACGCTATAAGCGAACACCGTGCCAACTTGGGCTTAACCAACCCAGGAACCATTGAAAATTTAAATAAAGAAGTGTCAAGAGATGTATTTTTGAACCAATATTTTTTCACTGGATTAAGAGCTGATTTAAACAAGGCCTTTTCCATAGCTCCTGCTTTCCAAACTTCTCATACTTTGAGTTTAGGTTCGCAAGTGTTGCCTGCATACGCCTTCAGTGCCTTGTTTGCTGCCGATGATTATTTCTTGCAAGGTAACATTGATAATGAATACAATTTCAGTGGAAGAATCAATTATGGATGGGACAAAGCCAACATTTCCAAAATCACATTACAGTTGGCCCAATCGCAACCTTCAATGGTGCAATTGGAACAAGATTACCAAGCTAATGATTTCTCCATCAATTTGAAAGCATTAAATCCAAACTTTTTATACGGTGGGTTTTCTGGTGTTGCCGTGGGTTCCTTGTTGCAAAGTATAACTCCTAAATTTGCCCTTGGTTTAGAAGCAATGTATTCAAAACAGCCATTGGCTCCACCAGACACCGCAGTTTCATACGTTGCTCGTTACAACAATGCTGGTAAATGGATCGCCTCGGCCCAATTCCAAGGCCAAGGTGCTTTTGTCGCTTCATTTTGGAGAAAAGTTAGTGATAAAGTTGAAGCTGGTTTGGAAACTCAAGTTGCCGCCACTATGAAGCAAGTTGCTGATCCATTAATGGGAATTGGATTCGAACCAGTCATTGAGGGAACTACCACCATTGGTGCTAAGTATGAATACAGAACTGCCATGTTTAGAGGACAATTGGATTCCAAGGGAAAAGTTAGTGCATTTTTGGAAAAGAGAATCTTGCCTACTGTCAGTGTATTGTTTAGCGGTGAAATTGATCAATTAAAAAACACATCAAGATTAGGATTGGGTTTGCAATTTGAAGCTGCGGGTAATGAACAATTGTTGTTGATGCAACAAGGGTTAGTCGATGCTAATGGAAACCCAATTCCTGGTGCTCCAGCTCCTGCATTGTAACTGGGTGGTTCATAGAAGGATAATGGAGAATCAGAAGACAATAAAGGACTAAATGAGATGATATTTCAAAGATCGAGGAGGGGAGAGATGCTACTAACAAGGGGTAGTTTAATGTGATGATGGTGATTGTGATGGTGTCTTTGTTCTATACATATAGAGAGAGAACAAAGGCCTGTCATTTAAACAGTCACACACGAAAACGCTTTCTTTCTTTCTTTCTCCTAGAGCTGTTTTGTATATATAAATAATAATATATTCTCACTATTTCACGATGAATGTAGAGTGAGAGGGAGAGATAAAGATTAACATATATCGTTCAACCCGTATAGATAGTTTTTTTCGTTTTCTTTTTCTGGATGGAAGCGAATCAGTCAAATCATCACCACCCAAATAACCGTGAAGTGAAACTGGTACTCTTGGGCAACGTACTCGCATTAGCGTTTGCATTTGCATTTAAATTTGCATTACTCCTCTTTGGTTCATCTTTAGAACTAAGCAACTGATAAATCTCATTTGAATTGAGCTTGACATTGACATTTGCATTGGCATTTGCATTGGCATTTCTATTCGAATTAGAATTATTGTTGCGTATACTGCCACTAACCGACCCATTTATAGATTGATTGGCATTTGAGCCAAAATAAGTACTTTGTCTTCGTCTACTTATATCTGATTGTCGATTGGTTGTCGGTAATCGTGACATTGATTTTGTGGTTGACCTTGCATCTAGATTGTTATTATCAAAATGACCATTTCTAACCAGTTGCAGGTACAGCTGTAAATGAAGTTGCGGTTGCAGTTGCTGGTGCAGTGCCAGTGACATGTTATGTGAGGGTGGTAGTGGTTGGTTCTGGTTCTGGTACTGGTACTGACTGTAGTATGAAGCACGACGCAGCTGTCCAATCACTGACCGATATATGTTTCCCAAATTATACCCATTTGAGGCTGAACTGCTTATGCTATAGTTAGACCGTGACTTGGGTAATCTCGATGATGATACATTCGACGACCCACGTATGGGTGTTTTCTGATAGGTACTTGCATCTAAATTGGGTTCCATCCAGCCACTTTCATTCGTGTACAAATCACTGCGTGATGATCTCCTGCTTCTTGCTGAATGAAGACCACGGTCATGCAAACTACTAGTGTACGCTGTTGCTCTTCCTTCTCCTCCATTTCGCGTTGCATCGCCATGGATGCTGCTTCCGTTAGGTAGTACCCCTCTACGATCAGTGAACGCACGTGCATCTTCATAAACTTCGGCAGCAGCATCAGCATCATCTTCATCTTCTTCTTCTTCATCACGATCAATATTGCCGTGGAAGTATTTCCCTCTTGAATAAGTGGGCACGGGATTATGATGCGATGTGACTGATTGAAGCCTCGAGACTGGTCGCGAATACACTGAGGGATTTCTTACTGTCCGGGCTATATTCTGCTCGAATTCATCCAATAATGAATCCATTGACCCTTCCGATTGCTCATCAACAGTTTTAATATGTGATGGTGTATGAGCAGCAGTGTTATTTTGATGATATGCTGTATTACCACCAGGTTTTTCATGATTGTGCAGCAAGTGTGTGTCGTCATAACTGCTATTTGTTCGATATGGGTTTGAATGAAACGAACGTCTTGGTTTAAGTTGTTGATTTGGTTGTGAATTGGTGTTGTTGTTCCAATCAAGACACGCAACATTGGTTGACAACGACTGTTGTGAGGATTTTTTTAAAAGAGATGTGGCGTGGTGTCTTGTCGCTTTAGGTGAGAGCTCAAACTGTTGTATTGGCGAATGCGTTGGTGAAATTGGTGCTGATGGTGGTGATTCCGGTATTTCCGTATCGATAATCGTGGGGAAAATCTTGTTTTGGGGACTTGGACTTTTCATTAACTCACGTGGTTTTGCATCTATGCTGTTGGCCAAACCTGATTCATCGTTAGTGTTGCCCCCATTTTCTTGCTCTGTTACTTCGGCGTTGGGAGAATGATCAGATACAGTCAGATCACTAACATGAATGTAGTTTACATTTCTTTCTAAAGTACCTTCAAGTATAGCCAATACATTGTTTTCCTCCGTATCAATAGTGATTCTCCAATACCGTTCTGGATTCAACATTGGCATAAGAAATTGATTGAAACTTATTCTGAAAATTTTAATCTTGGGAAGTAATGGATAAATAAACAGTTTGCCACCACATGACAAACAAGTGACACTGCCATTAAGTAATTGGAAAATTTCAAATTCTCCATGGGCCAATAAGGACCCCGATTTGTCATTCTTGTGTGGTAATTCAACTATATTCAGCAATTTGTACTTGAACAATGTTACTTTATCTTCCATCATTATACTCACTGGTTGTTGTAAATCTTCATGGTGTGGCTCAGCAGAAGGACAGACATTTGTTTCATCTTTTGGTTTCAAGTGGTCTCGAAGGTCAACTCTTTTGTTGTTTTGTATCTGTTCATTTTGTTTTTGGCGAGTTAATACTTCTTTTCTTGGCGACTTGTACACTTGTGGGCTCTTGGGTATCCCTTGAAACAGTATCTGAGAGGGCAATACTGGTGTCTCAACTGCAACTGCTTGTTTTGATGATTGCACTTTACTGGCTTGCTTATCTGGTGATGTTTTGTATGAGCTGTTCTTGACATTACGGGTCTCCTCGTTATTGGCTCCATGATCAAGTAACTCCTTCCCTTTCAGTAGCCTTTGGTCCTGCTTGGCGGTTTCATTTAGTGAAGGATTATGCAAAGCTGCTTCAGCTTTTGTTGTCGTTGTTGTGGCTTTACTATCTGATGGTTTTGATTGTGGGGTGTGAATAGTGGTTCTGGAAAATAAATGAGTCCTATTTTTAAATTTACCCTTCTTCTTCCTCTTCTTTCCTTGATCAGGATTGGATTGATTAGGCAGTAGTTTCAGCTGTTGCTGCAGGCTATTCTTATCCTTATCTACAGCCTTCCCCTTCGTATCGTGTTTATGGCCATCATTGTTTATTTCTCCATTTGTAAAACTAGATAGCATAATTGGTGGGGTTGTTTTTTTTTGTCCTTTACCAAAAGGTGGTGGGGTAAGGTGTAGATCTACCTGATATATATATATATATGTGTGTGTGTGGTGGGTTAATAATGAATTGTAATAACTAGTAATGGCCTATGGATGTTATAACTGACCATATATATATATATGTATACATAAATAAACAACAAAGTATGAAAAACTTGAAAGAGGGTTTTTTGTTGTTTTGGGTATTTTATTTTTTTTTATTGTTTTATTGTTTTATTGTTCTCTCTCTTGTCTCTCTTGTCTCTCTTGTCTCTGTCGGCTATTGCGCATGTTTTATTTTATTTTCACACTCCTCTCTCTGACTCCGTTTCTACATATATATATATATTGTAACCAATTTATACAGACTCTATATTACCTTTGTAGCATCCAAGATAGATCTATAGCTTGCTCAATTTACTTACCCGCCTTTGATAAATGTAGAGGGAGAGAGAAAATCCTACTGCACCTGGCCCAGCAAAATGCTTTTGGTGAGAGTAAAGCGTTCGATAATTAAATGAAGTAAGCTTTGAGTTGATGGAGATTCCACTTATACAGGGGTACTTCCTCTACATGCCATTGTGATTACCTAGATTAAGCTTCACCTAGTACACGTGACTCCCTTGTATATGATTCAGTACGTGTAGGTTGTGGCTGAACAACAGATGTTGTAGCAGATGGAGCTGCTTCTGCATCTTCCTCAACGAATAATGGCGCATATTGCACACCTCGGACATTCACAGCATCTTCTTCTTTGTGGTAGGAAACTAGTTGTCCTATCAAGGAAATTCCTGGTGCCACTACGTTTTCAATCTTTAGAATGACACTCGAAGGAGGGTACAATTTGTTGATGTACCCCTTAGCTAAAAGAAACCCCGTGGAAATACCGGCCAAATGACCAGGCAACGAACTAGCAGGAAACACGATCAAGCATACCACTGCTGCTATAAACGGAGCTGCTAGTGTATAAATCTTGATCTCACGCGATCCAATATTAAAAGTCTCCAACACTGGCTTATGTTGATGCTCCTTATATGCCATGTAGGCAATAAATGAAAATGCCACTCCTGACAACCCGACGACACCAGTATCGGGGTAGAAAATTAACCCAACAAGACAGTATTGCAAAGCAGCTATAACAGTTAAAAGATTCAAAGTTATTCCTGTATAAACAGTACCATGACGTTTTTCAAACATGGCTAATGGAGTGAAAATGGTGCAAATATTCAAGAACCAATGCAAGTATCCCACATGAACAAGGGAGTATAGTGATATTGCATTCAAATTGAACTCCAATGGAGATCGTGGGTAAAGTATCAAACTGGAAAATTCAAATCCCAATGCACTTTTGAAAAAACATAGGATTAGGGTGAATATGGGCAACCCGGCAGTTAATGCGGGTGTTTGTTTAAGTGTTTCCAATGATAATGGAAAGTTTTGTATTGGAGACAGTTCCATTGAGTGAAGTTTTGCCTCTCTGTTATATGTCGTGCTGTTGGTTGAGGAGGATAACTAAAATGGGTCTTTTCTTTCTTTCTTTCTTTCTTTCTTTCTTTCTTTCTTTCTTTCTTTCTTTCTTTCTTTCATTTTTTTTTGAATTGTATTTTTGACAATTCAATTCAATTTGGTGACAACAAATTTCAAGAAAACGCGTCGTAGATTTGCACAAGACATTTAAAAGAGAAGAGAAGAGAATTAGAATTAGAATTGGCAATAATAGACCTTAATCATTAAACCTCAAGTATACATATTCTCATACAAAATCATTCCTTACTTTATCTCTAAACAGACTCAATAAGTTTTGTTTCTTTAGATTATTCTCTTTTAGCCAGTTTATTTCACGCATCATAGTCTCTGGAGCAACATCAATGCCTTCAACTTCCAGAATGTACAGTCTCAAGTTATTTAACTTCGACCGTAGTGTCCCTATATGTTTATCAAAATCACGTGGTTGTATTTTACCATTTGACACGTCAAATAAAAGACTGTATATTTCTGGAAGTAGTTGAACTTGTTTGATTTTCTCAAGTGGGTCATCTTCACCGCGATCCTCATTTGCGTTTGTTTCATCGGCGTCAGTTTTGTCTAGTGATGAATTAGGTGCTGCTTTAAAGGCAGGTTCAAGGTCGGTGTTTAACTGCGATGTATTAGTCCCCTCAGCCGGTGTATCAATATCCATTTTGTCGGATTGGGCTGCTTGGTTTGTATCAATTGGTTTATCTGATTCATTTAACAGACCTGTTTTATCTTGATTACTTTGTTCCTCCTTTTGATTCGATGGAGTCAGTTGCTTCACCTGGGGCAGTACCAGTAGCAGCACCAGCAGCAGAATTGGATCGGGTAATTGCACTGTTGTTGACCCTTGCTCTGAGTCCCCTAGTGAGTCCAACTGACTAAACTGAGCCAATTCATCTTGATTTTCAAGAGAGAAATCGGATCCTATCGTTGCATCAATTCCAATAGGTGTGTCCATTATTGCTAGGAATCTGCGTTGCCAACTCCGTAAAAGTCCAGTTCTTCTTGCTCAGGTGACTCTCTGTCTAAAGGCAAACTAGGAAAAAAATAAAAGAGGAGTCGTGCATCTGAGAAGCAGAAAACTGCCACGGACTTAAAGATGTGTCTAAATACAACAAAATTTAAAGTCCGCAACTCTACTTAAACTCCAAGAATATCATTTATCCGTCACGTCTTTGCCCCAACTCCACGCGGTTCATCTACCACCCTGCTCCACTGTAAAATACACTTGAATTTGTTCATTTCAATAACCGTTACAATCACCTGACATTTTGGTACATTCTAACCTCTGTTTATATCAACTCTCTGGTGAACCCACCTTTTGCTCATAACCCTGGAATGTAAAGACGATTTGAAAAATTCACAGGATAGGGCGGTATATATGTATATATATATATACATATATATACATATAATTATACTTTGTTTATATGCAGTACTAAAATATATAAAGCGGATTAAAAATAAAAATTTAGCATATGCAGATTTGCCCCATTTTTTCCCCACCAACCAACCCAATCCCTTTTAAAATTGAGATAAAAAATCTTCAACCATTATATACTCCATTTAGAAACACCTTTCACCACAAGTACTTTCTTATCGTCACAACGGAGAAAGAGAAAGTGAAAGCGTAGCCTGAATCTCACAACTATTTCAACTGTTCCGAATTGAAGAAAGCTATTAAGAAATATACCCCACGGATAATGAGTAAATCAACAAAATCCAATCCAAAGACTAGCAATGCAAAACCTGCTTCTCAACCAGCTCCAAAGCCAGCTGTTGCTCAAGCAAACGGTGGTCAGCAACAAAATGGTACCAATGGTAAAGCAAAGTCAAATGGTATTCCAGCTCCACAATTGGAGCACGTTGAAGGCTTGAGCTCACCAGAATCACCAGCATCATCGCCCAAATCTAATGGTGGTGAACTGCCATCATTGGAACATAGAATCTCAATCAAGAGATCTAGTCAAGCTTCCACTTTGTCTGATATGGCATCTGGCAGAACCAACGAGTCGAGCCAAGCATCTACTCAAGCTACAAAGACCGGAGGAGCAGCCGAAGTAAAAGCTGCCTCCGATGGATTTGAATATAAATACACCGAGTTGTCGGAAATCCCTGCTGGTATTCAAAAGGTTACTGATGGATTCTTTACCGGTAAGACCCATTCACTTCAATTTCGTTTAAACCAATTGAGAAACCTTTATTTCGCAATTAAGGATAATCAACAAGAAATTTGTGACGCTTTGGAATTGGACTTTTCTAGAAACGCTTCCGAGACAAGAAACTATGAAATTGCCACCGGATTGAATGAATTGTTGTTTACCATGACCCAATTGCACAAGTGGGCCAAACCAGAGGCAGTTACTGATTTGCCAGTCAATTTATTAACCAACCCAGTCTATATTGAAAGAATCCCCTTGGGTGTTGTGTTGGTTATTTCTGCCTTCAACTACCCATTATTTGTCTCTATTTCACCCATTGTTGGTGCTATAGCTGCTGGTAACACTGTTGTTTTCAAACCATCGGAATTAACTCCTCGTTTTTCCAAATTGTTTGTCGATTTGTTGACCAAAGCTTTGGACCCCGACATCTTTTTCGCTGTCAATGGTGCTATCCCAGAAACCACCAAAGTCTTGGACCAGAAATTTGACAAGATTATCTACACCGGTAATGGTATGGTTGGAAGAATCATTGCAAAGAAGGCAGCAGAGAATTTAACCCCAGTTGTTCTTGAGTTGGGAGGTAAGTCGCCTGCTATTATCTTGGACGACACTAAGGACAAAGAGTTGGCTACAGTTGCACGCAGAATTGCTTGGGGTCGTTTCGCCAATGCGGGCCAAACGTGTATTGGTGTTGATTATGTCTTGGTTCCTCGATCCAAGCGTGCTCGCTTTATTGCTGAGCTCAAGAAGGTTATTGAAAATGAGCTTTACCCGGGTGTTAATAAATTCGACAAGAGTTTTACTCACATGATTCACGAGCGTGCTTTTGATAGAATGAACAATATCTTGAAAGAGACCAAGGGAACAATTGTTACAGGTGGAGATGCTGATGCAGAGACAAAGTATGTTGCACCAACAGTGATTGATAATGCTTCTTGGACGGATGCTTCAATGGAGGGAGAAATTTTTGGACCAATTTTACCAGTTCTCACATACACTGATATTGGTGACGCTTGTAAAGATATTATCAGAAACCACGACACTCCATTGGCTGCTTACATTTTCACCAGTGGATACACATCAGCCGAAAAGAACCCCCAGATTGCCACCATCAAGAAGTCGATTCGCTCTGGTGGTTTGATAGTCAATGATGTCTTGATGCACATTGCCTTGCACAATGCACCATTTGGAGGTGTTGGTGAGTCAGGATACGGTTCATACCATGGAAAGTATTCCTATAGAACGTTTACCCATGAAAGAACAACCATTGAACAACCATTAAACAACGATTGGATGTTGCAATCGAGATACCCACCATTCAATGCCCTGAAGGACAAATTAATGAAGTTGGCATTGTCTCCATATGGTGGTAGAGTTTGGTTTGGAGAACAAGGTAATGTTAGAGTAGATGGACCATCCACTTTCTTCAAGACATGGACTACTGCTGTTGGTTTGGTGAGCATGGTTGGTGAACTTGTCAGGGCAAAGATGTAGGTTTTGTCTAGTAACAGTGATTAATAATTGATATTGTTTATTGTATTGTGTGCTCATGTGTATTGAGATTAAAAGCCTGTAGATCAGGAAGCGGTGATCTTCAAGATCGTAAATTAGTGGATTACGAGCTGAGTGAGAAGCGATTTATCCACTTTGTGGAACAATTTGTGATTAAATTTGCGACCTCTTATCTCAAAACCACAGTCGTTGAGTATTGATTGCCTGCACCAATTCATTAATTTCAAAAACGTAGTAGCAATAACAGTAACCCACGCCCATTGCACAAGAATGATACTAAATTGACAATTTTGCCAAAATTCGCAGCCACAATTATTCTCAATTTACATCGAATTACACAAAAAAGCTCATATAAAAAATGCCACCACAATTTTTTTTTCTCAGAAATTATAGAATCCAAAAGTGAGTAGGAAAAACATAGCTTATCTTCAACACACAACCATATTCAACTATGAGGATGCCAGAATTGTATGCCTTGGCGCCAAGACCACGATGCAATGTTCTCAAGTCATAACTGTACGCTTTTGCAACGTGGAAAATGGTAATTGCAAAGCGCTTCGAGAGCCAGAAGACTGTCTCTGGATCATATATAAATAGGAGAACGTCTATTACAATGATGTGTTGCCTGATTCGATTGATAATCACTGAACCTAGAATACAGTGAATATGGCTAGGCACAATTCGATTGAACCGGCTTCATCTTTTGATAGCAGAATCACTACCAACTTGAAAAAGGAAGAAAAAGATGTCATTACTACAATTGAATCGGGCTCGTCTTTTGAATCTAAACAATTGGCAAAGAATCCCTTCTTGGATCCCAAAGTGGAAGAATATTATCGTGACCTTTATACCAAATCCCGATACGAGAGTTATTCGGCATTTGATCCCAATTTCGAATGGACTGAAGACGAAGAAAGAACCGTCATTTGGAAATTAAACTGGCGAGTAGCATTTACTGCGTGTCTCTTGTTTGTCAGCTTGCAAGTTGATCGTGGGAACTTGGCTCAAGCCGTGTCGGATAATTTTTTGGATGATTTGGGGTTAAACACTAACGAGTACAATACTGGTAACACCATCTTTCTTGTTAGTTTCTTGGCTGCTGAAGTTCCGTCACAGTTGATCTCGAAAGCTTTGGGACCTGATATTTTCATCCCCTTCCAAATTTGTGCTTGGAGTATTGTAGCCATGACCCAAGCTGCGCTTACAAGCAAGGCAGGGTTTTATATCACGAGATGCTTGATTGGAGCGTTGGAAGGTGGGTTTATTGCAGATTTGGTGTTGTGGTTGAGTTATTTTTTTACTAGTAAAGAATTGCCCATTAGGTTGTCTTGGTTCTGGACTACATTATCCTTGGTGCAAATATCGACATCATTGATGGCTTTTGGTTTATTGCGAATCAATACATGGGGCTGGCATGGTTGGCAGTTCCTATTCTTAATCGAAGGAGGATTCACTTTAGCCATTGGTATCGCATCATGGTTCTTGATGGTTCCTAGTGCTGTGCAAACGAAAACAAAGTGGAATCCAAAGGGTTGGTTCACCGACAGAGAGGAGAAGATTGTGGTGAATAGAATTCTTCGAGATGATCCGACTAAAGGATCAATGAATAACCGTCAAGCTATTGGTCCCAAAAATTTGTTTAAGTGTCTTATCGATTACGACCTATGGCCAATTTATGCCATTGGTCTCGTGGCTTACATCGGACAAGGCACATTCACTTCATATTTCACCCTTATGAATAGACAATTGGGATTCTCAGTATTTGATACCAATTTAATGACGATTCCCTACTCTGTGCTTCACATTGTGTTTTTGTTGATCATATCATGGTTTTCTGAACGTGTTGGTGAGAGGAGTTTGGTATGCCTCTTGGCACCATTATATGCAACACCCCTCATTGCTGTCATCAGGTGGTGGCTGGGCTCAGGTAAACAGATTTGGGTGACATGGGTATTGAATACATTGTATTTAGGTCAGCCGTACATTCATGCTATTTGTGTAGCTTGGGTATCAAGGAACTCGAACTCGGTCAGAAATAGATCAATTTGTTCGGCGTTGTACAATATGTTTGTTCAGTTGGGTAATATCATTGGTAATAACATTTACCGAGAAGACGATAAGCCCACATACAAGAGAGGTAATATGCAATTGTTTGTGATTACATTGATACTTATCCCGATATTGTTGTTGACTAAGTCTTACTACATGTGGAGAAACAAAAGCAGAGACAAGATTTGGAATGCAATGACTGAAGAGGACAAGCACGTTTATAGAGAAACTACAAAAGATGAAGCTAACAAACGGTTAGATTTTAGATTCGATCATTAGTTAAATGATAGAGTTGTGAATTTCTATGTTTAGCAAATAGAACACCTTCCAATCTCGCATTTCGTTGAGTATTTCTAAAGATTACGGATGACTGTCGGATGCGCCAACGGTTTAGTGATAAGAATTGTGGGTCTGAAAAAAAGAAATTTTTGTACTTTCTGAGATTTCCATACCTCGCCACAATTCTTACCTGCATTATCAATCAGAGACTATCCTTATCAGTCTGTGGGCAACTCCCTTGTATTTTAAACACTTAGGGGGAGTACTTATCGTGTCCCTAATTTAGAAGATGTTGATTAAGTTGGGTAAAGTATTCCTTTAACATTCAATGTTCTAGAACATTTAGCAGTTCCATCTATTGTTTAATTAGCCTTGGGTTGTGAAATGGAAAGTCGGCAGTGCTGTGGCATAATTAAAATCAAAGGGTGTCAACGTAGAAAAGGGGTAAAAGCTCGCGCACGTGATGTATGCTAATTTTGTGCGAATTTAAACGCCACGTTTGACACATTTTTTTTTTTCTTGTTTGCAACCACTAAATAATCAACTATGTTCGGATCAGAAGGACCTTGGCGGGAGTTCAAGGGAAAAGCATCGGTGTTGTTGACCATTCGGTTGAGTGTGTGCTTCGGAATAGGACCGTTAGGTTTTGGCGTTTGGAAATGGCTAATTTTACAAGGAATGCCGTAGTCAGAACTATGTGCTTATTTTGCAGCCACACCGTTACATATTCGGAAAAAACAATGGGGTAAAAAAAGTGAAACAAAAAATTAATTTCTGATGCAATTGCAACCACAGTTTTTTACTTCTTAAAACAATGAAAACCCAAATTTTAAAATTAGTAAAGTAGCAATTAGGAAACCAGAACAGAGGCAAATTGTTTCCCAATATAGTTAAGCGCTCACCACTCACCATTGTTTTTCTTACAGAAAATAGAGATTATATTAGCTAACCACAAACCATTTAAGGTAAAAGCACGTCAGATTTTTAATTAATGCCAGCAATTAATCAATGAAAAAAAGAAACAATATTTTCCACAGGGACGTTTAAAGATTGAAATATTTAAAATGCCTGTGGCTTCCTCTTTCAAACCCTTTATTCTTGGTAAACTTGATCGACATATTCTTGGCAGATATACTTTAGTCCCATCATCAACTATGACTCGTCACGGATCAACAACCAACGCCTCAATTTCTTCAGAAAATTCAGTGGCATCCAGTAGCGAAAATGACGCTGGGTTTATTAAGGGGTACAATAAGGAAGATGTTACACGTGTTGTGTCAGATAGTTCCTTGGAGTCGGATCAACTAGCTAAGAACCCTTTCTTAGATCCAAAGGTAGAAGAACATTATCGTGAGATATATACGAGGTCGGGGTATGAGAGTTATTCTGCGTTTGATCCTAACTTTGAATGGACGGCGGAAGAAGAAAAGAAAGTCATTTGGAAGTTGAACTGGAGAGTTGCTTTTACTGCATGTCTTTTGTTTGTCAGTTTACAAGTTGACAGAGGAAATTTGCAACAAGCTGTATCAGACAACTTTTTAGATAACTTGGGGTTGAACACCAATGACTACAACACGGGTAACACAATTTTTCTTTGTAGTTTCTTGGCGGCTGAAGTGCCTTCGCAAATGATTTCCAAGGCTTTAGGGCCAGATATATTTATTCCATTTCAAATTTGTGCTTGGAGTATAGTTGCAATGTCACAGGCGGCATTGAAGGGGAAAGCAGGGTTTTATATTACTAGATGCTTGATTGGAGTATTAGAAGGTGGGTTTATTGCAGATTTGGTGTTGTGGTTGAGTTATTTTTTTACTAGTAAAGAATTGCCCATTAGATTATCTTGGTTCTGGACTACTTTATCTTTGGTCCAGATTGCTACTTCATTGATGGCATTTGGTATTTTGAGGTTAAATACTTGGGGATGGCACGGTTGGCAATTCTTGTTTTTGATAGAAGGTGCATTCACGTTGGTTATTGGTATCGCATCATGGTTCTTGATGGTTCCTAGTGCTGTGCAAACGAAAACAAAGTGGAATCCAAAGGGTTGGTTCACCGACAGAGAGGAGAAGATTGTGGTGAATAGAATTCTTCGAGATGACCCTGGTAAAGGGTCCATGAATAACCGTCAAGCTATTGGACCTAAGAATATGCTCAAATGTCTCATTGATTACGACATGTGGCCTCTTTACGCCATTGGTATTGTCGCATACATTGGACAACAAACATTTACCTCATATTTCACCTTGATGAATAGGCAATTGGGATTCTCTGTCTTTAATACGAACTTGTTGACCATTCCATCAACAGTGATTCATATTATTTTCTTGTTATCGATATCCTGGTTCTCAGAGAGAGTCAACGAAAGGTCATGGGTCTGTTGTCTTGCACCACTTTATGCAACCCCAATAATGGGGGTGATCAGATGGTGGTCTGGTGCAGGAAAGGACATTTGGTCTACTTGGGTACTCAACACATTGTATTTAGGTCAGCCTTATATCCATGCCATTGTTGTTGCATGGGTGTCAAGGAACTCGAACTCGGTCAGAAATAGATCAATTTGTTCGGCGTTGTACAATATGTTTGTTCAGTTGGGAAATATTATTGCCAACAATATCTACAGACAGGATGATAAACCTTTGTATAAAAGAGGCAACATGCAACTATTTGCCATTACGTTGATACTAATACCCATGTTGGCATTAACCAAGTGGTACTACATTTGGAGAAACAACAGCAAGGAAAAGATTTGGAGTGCAATGAGTGAAGAAGAGAGACACGAGTATAGATTAACAACAAAGGATGAAGCAAACAAGAGGCTAGATTTTAGATTTGATCATTAGTTAATAGAAGTACATAATGTTATTATATTGATTTTTTACGGAGCATTTACAAACCCTGTTTCTTCGGGTTTGCAGTAGTTTGAACATATCATGGTTTATTTGAAATTACCACAACTTAATAATCTTTAACCTAAGAATTACTCTCCAAAATAATAAATTTATACGAAAACACTTTAATGACTTAAGAAAGTATAGCAATCGACTCCATGCCAAAGAAATGAAAATTTTCTAATTTAAAATTGACCAAGAAAGTTACAGATACATCGATGAATTAGTAATTAATCCCCCCCCCAGATAACTTAAATACGAAAGCTGCTGAAATCCTCTAAGTTTAGTATACAATGAGATATCCTAAGGCGTGTTCGTGAGTATGAATAATTTGGACAATTATTAATTCTAGAAATGTTGCAAAAAGAAAACAAAATGGGTTTAAGTTCAGCCACAATTATTTATCTCATTTGGTACCAGCTTAATTAAGCGTACCTTTACTGACTTTAATAGGAGAGAATAACGGCTTAATACGTTTTAAGAAACAAGCCAATTACGTTTTTGAAAATTAAAATTTGGTCAATGTGAAATGCTTCTACTGTGGCAAGTTTACAGACTACGAGATAAGAAAAATCCTGGCGATACCAATTGTTGTTACAAATTTGATGCTTTTTTCTGACAGATGTGCAATCATAAACGAAGCGTGTTTTCTTGATTGTGCCTTACCTCTGGATAAGCTAACTTTCAAAAAGTAGATAAGTTGGACAAATTTCCATTTATTGAAAGTACACCTCTGCTAAACCAAACGACTCCTTTTGTCCTAAATCCTTAGACTCACGTGTGCACATTTTATTTCGCAGCCACACCATTGAACGACAAAAACAGTGGGTAAAAAAATAAAAACTATCGTCAATGCAATTAAAACCACACTTTTCTCAAAACAATAGATTTAACTAAAATTAATACCGTATATAGAGTAACGATGTACAGTTTCGGATATAACCGCCTGCTTAATGTGTATCCACAATGATTTGCAACACATGTTTTTGAAAAATCATTGCAATTGTGGCCACTATAAGCTCATCTTATACAGGGAACCATGTACGACTATTTAAGTACAGACGAAGCTGTTCCAGAATACAGGACATCGAATCAATTATCCACTGAAAGAATTTATCAAAACTCCCTGTGTCACTACCCATTACTATTACCAACCATGGGTCTTCGTCGCTCTACCAATGATTCAATCTCATCAGATATATCAGTACGTTCCATCGATGATGTAGATCATTTGAAAAACAATGATAAACAGACGGTTACGAGGATTGATTCAGATCTTTCTATTGAGGCTGACCAGTTGAAAAAGAACCCCTTTTTGGATCCCCAAGTGGAGGAATATTATCGAGACATTTACACAAGCTCAAAATATGAGAGTTATTCTGCGTTTGATCCTAACTTTGAATGGACGGCGGAAGAAGAAAAGAAAGTCATTTGGAAGTTGAACTGGAGAGTTGCCTTCACAGCCTGTCTCTTATTTGTTGGTTTGCAAGTTGACAGAGGAAATTTACAACAAGCTGTATCAGACAACTTTTTAGATAACTTGGGGTTGAACACCAATGACTACAACACGGGAAATACTATTTTTGTTGTTAGTTTCTTGCTTGCTGAGGTTCCTTCGCAAATGATTTCCAAGGCTTTAGGGCCAGATATATTTATTCCATTTCAAATTTGTGCTTGGAGTATAGTTGCAATGTCGCAGGCGGCATTGAAGGGGAAAGCAGGGTTTTATATTACTAGATGCTTGATTGGAGTATTAGAAGGTGGGTTTATTGCAGATTTGGTGTTGTGGTTGAGTTATTTTTTTACTAGTAAAGAATTGCCCATTAGGTTATCTTGGTTCTGGACTACTTTATCTTTGGTCCAGATTGCTACTTCATTGATGGCATTTGGTATTTTGAGGTTAAATACTTGGGGATGGCACGGTTGGCAGTTTTTATTCTTGATCGAGGGAGGTTTTACTCTAACTATTGGAATTTTATCGTGGTTTTTGATGGTACCAAGTGCTGTGCAAACGAAAACAAAGTGGAATCCAAAGGGATGGTTCACTGACAGGGAGGAGAAAATTGTCGTCAACCGTATCCTTCGTGATGATCCAACTAAAGGATCAATGAATAATCGTCAAGCTATCAGTCCAAAGAATTTATGGAAATGCCTCATTGATTACGACATGTGGCCTCTTTACGCCATTGGTATTGTTGCGTATATTGGACAACAAACATTGAGTACATACTTCACCTTGACAAACAGACAATTGGGATTCTCCGTTTTCAATACAAATTTGTTGACTATACCCGCAACAGTAATCCACATCATTCTTTTGTTGTTTATATCCTGGTTCTCGGAGAGGGTCAACGAGAGGTCTTTCGTTTGTTTGATTGCGCCACTTTTTGCTACTCCATTTATTGGGGCTATTAGGTTTTGGCCCGGGTCAGGTAAAGAAATTTGGTCTACTTGGGTACTCAACACATTGTATTTAGGTCAGCCTTATATCCATGCCATTGTTGTTGCATGGGTGTCAAGGAACTCGAACTCGGTCAGAAATAGATCAATTTGTTCGGCGTTGTACAATATGTTTGTTCAGTTGGGCGGTATTATCGGCAACAACATTTACCGAGAAGATGATAAACCTTTGTATAAAAGAGGTAATATGCAGTTGTTTGCCATTACATTGACACTTATCCCGGTCTTATTGTTGGTTAAGGCTTACTATGTCTGGAGGAACAAAAGCCGAGACAAGATTTGGAGTACTATGACTGAGGAGGAGCAACAAACCTATAGAGAAACTACAAAAGATGAAGCTAACAAACGGTTAGATTTCAGATTCGAACATTAAATTTTCGGGACTGTGCTTTTCTCCAATCAGAAAATCGTTGATTATTTATTGAGGCATTTGCAGTGGCTGAAATGATATTTCCGAATGTTTGGTTTTGCTCAGGGTATGGGATTGTACTATATATCGCTTAACCTATATGACGTACTTTTCCATGTGGTCTAGAAGCTACTTCTGATGCTGGAGTGCGATTGTGAAAATTTAACTTTGTGTAACCAAACGATTAAACTGTAGTCGGACCGCTCTCTGCGCTTGTGTTTTGTTGCTTTACTTCAAGCATATGTTATTTAATTTTTAGATTGATTCGTCTAGATTACATTAGCCGTTAGTATGTTCACCCTAGTAGTTATATGGTGCACTCTCAAGGTGTTGCAGTGGAGAACTTTGTTTCTCTTAATAATCAGGCCGTATGGTAATTTTCAACTATTTAAATCTTCTTTGAACCATGCCTCCAGGGCTAGTAAAGTGTTCATTGCTGTTATTATTCCTGAATATAGAAGGTATTTCCAGTCCTTTTAGAGACTGAACCTCGCTATAGAGGCTTCTCATCTGAGTCATTGTGCAGATCGTACGGTGTCATTTTAACCCATAAGGAGGTGCAAAAAAAAAAGACACCCCTTCAACGCAGTACTCCACTTGTGCCAAACAACTAATCATTTCTAGGTGTTTCCAATTGTTTAATCTCATTGCTCACTTGTAAATCGCTTCATAATTATCAGATGAGATCGGTACAGTTTTAACAATTCATGGTAGCTCTTCCGCTATCAGTTCGGATCGGTGCAACCTTTTCCTTCACTGAAATCTTTTTTTAGCTCGGCTTATTTTCTTTTTGGCAGCCATCAAGTTAGAACAATTACGTTCAAATACTCATTCGATCCGAGCTTACTACTATTCCACGTTTAGAATCCAGGATGTTATTGTCTTTTATAACAGCCGCTTCTCAGTAAACTGTGAGTTGGTATGTGAATAAGTACCTCATCATAAGGGATTGTTTGTGTGAATATTGGTGGCTTTGACTCATAGTATATAAATACTGTCAAAGAAGACCCCAGAAAGTAATGGTAACGGTTATCTACTCTTATTCTTGGTGGCAGTAATCAACATTTGCTTGGCAAACACAATCTGCTTTCACTTAACATGACTCATCACAATCAAGTTGATGTTTCTTTTTCCTCTGCCCATGCTACTCCATCCAGTGACAAGGAAGATCGATTAAAAAAGCTTGACAAGGAACCCATCACAAGAATTAGGTCACACCTCTCATTTGAGTCCGACCAACTAGCTGCAAATCCTTTCTTGGACCCTAAAGTCGAGGAATATTATCGTGAGCTCTACACAAAGTCCAACTATGAGAGTTATTCGGCATTTGATCCTACATTTGATTGGACAGCAAAAGAAGAGAAAAAGGTGGTCCAAATATTAAACTGGCGTGTTGTTTTCATTGCGTGCCTTTTATTTATCACCTTGCATATCGATAGAGGTAATTTATCGCAAGCTGTATCTGATAATATGTTGGAAGACATAGGAATGACTACAAATGAATACAACACGGGGAATACCATCTTTCTCGTCAGTTTTATTGCTACTGAAGTACCTTCACAAATGATTTCCAAAGCGTTGGGTCCAGACGTTTTCATCCCGTTCCAAATCTGTTCATGGAGCATTGTCGCTATGTCACAGGCAGCATTGAAGGGAAAGGTTGGTTTTTATATCACCAGATTCTTGTTGGGCGCATTGGAAGGTGGGTTTGTTGCTGATTTAGTTGTGTGGATAAGTTACTTTTTCACCAGCAAGGATTTGCCCATAAGATTGTCCTGGTTTTGGAGTATGTCGTCCATATGCCAAATTTTTACTTCGTTATTGGCTTTTGGTGTGTTGAGAATCAACACCTGGGGCTGGCATGGGTGGCAGTTTCTATTCTTAATCGAAGGTGCTTTTACGTTGTCAATTGGAATTGCGTCGTGGTTCTTGATGGTTCCTAGTGCTGTGCAAACGAAAACAAAGTGGAATTCAAAGGGTTGGTTTACAGAGAGACAAGAAAAGATTGTGGTAAATAGAGTGTTGAGAGACGACCCCGGTAAAGGATCCATGAACAACCGTCAAGCAATTAGTCCAAAAAACTTGGTGGAATGTCTCATTGACTATGATATGTGGCCCTTTTATGTTATAGGGATTGTTGCATTCATTGGACACGGAACGTTCAAGTCTTACTTTACATTGATGAATAGACACTTGGGTTTTTCTGTATTCGACACAAACTTGTTGACAATACCCGCAACCGTCATCCACATCGTCTTTTTACTTCTGCTTTCGTGGTTTTCTGAGAGAATCAATGAGAGGTCTTTGGTGTGTTGTCTTGCACCACTTTATGCAACCCCAATAATGGGGGTGATCAGATGGTGGTCTGGTGCAGGAAAGGACATTTGGGCGACGTGGGTCATTAATACCTTGTACTATGGCCAGCCTTATATCCACGCAATTGTTTTTGCATGGGTTTCAAGAAACTCCAACTCGGTTAGAAACAGATCCATATGCTCATCATTGTACAGTATGTTTGTTCAAGTTGGGGATGTCATTGGTAACAATATCTACAGACAGGATGATAAACCTTTGTATAAAAGAGGCAACATGCAACTATTTGTCATCACATTGATACTTATTCCAGTTTTGTTGTTGACTAAGATGTACTTTATGTGGAGGAACCAGAGCAGAGATAGGATCTGGAATGCAATGACAGAGGAGGAGAAACACACATATAGGCTAACAACAAAAGATGAGGCAAACAAGAGGCTAGATTTTAGATTTGACCATTGATTGATTTTTAGAAGGTACATAGAGATACAAGAGATGTTAATCTTCAAAGCCATTGAAATAAATGATAATGTTACCATTTGGCTGAGTTGGTCATTGTATATACTAGCAATACTCTTTTGGTTTTCTTTAAAGTTTTATTGGGGAACAACTTCAATGACCACTAAAATCCAGCAGCATTTTACATATGTCTCATTTCATCTTAACTACGCCACTGTGGGGAAGAAAAACCACATCAGGGGCGACAACTACTGCTCCTCTTCTTTTACATTGCAAAATTATAGTATCAACATCCGGAAATATGAGACAAATAAAATATTCATTTCCAAAAAAAGCTTAATTTTTTCAACCAGTGATCATTCCATCCTTACCCCAGTATATACCTCCCTCACCCTCTTTTCACCCTACAACTGTGGGGCAACTATACTACCAAGAGCTGCTGAATTATGCTTTTCACGTTTTGATTGTTGGCGGCGCTAACTCCACAACGTTAGATATATATATGGTCTAATAAGACATCAATTGGACCTCGGATATAATTTGTTGTATGAGGTGTCTGAAAAAACAGCAGACTAAGGATTAGGTGCAATGGGGATTTAAGTGCACTTATCCCATGTGACTTAAAAATAATATGGTTTATCTATGTTTGGTAACAGGCCACTCACTTACCATCTTCTTCAATTGACAAGAAAAAATTAAGACAAAGAAAAATACTATCTCAAAATGACTCTCTGGTATTTTTAAAATTGTGGTATATCGAATTATGAGGTGTTAATTGGGCTCTTGTTGCCTGGTACGGACTATGGTGGGGGGGTGGGGGGGGGCGGGGAGAGCCACATAAATACCGGTTGAAATCTAGCTGAATTTTTTGGAATCAATTATGTCAACAAATTTAGCAGCAAATGTCTCCCAAAGAGAGCCATACTTACCCAGATTTGCAGGAAGTACCATCACCAACATTGTCACACGATGAAGCAATAGCTGAAAAGTCTAAGACCAGTATCTCGGAAATATCAGTCATCTCCGAGCACGAGAATCTGACTAAATCCCATAATCCCTTTCTCGACCGTGAAACAGCCGAATACTACAAAGAATTGTACGAAAAAACAAAGTATGAGTGCCGTTCTCACTTTGATCCTCATTTTGAATGGGCAGAAAAGGAAGAAAAGAAAGTTGTATTCAAATTGAACATTAGAGTTGCTCTTGCCGCATGTCTCATGTTTGTTGCTTTACAAATTGACAGAGTTAACTTACATCAAGCTGTTACTGACAATATGTTGGGTGATTTGGGACTAACCACTGATGATTATAATATGGGAAACACGATTTTCTATTTGTCATTTATGCTTGCTGAAATTCCATCTCAGATGATTTCCAAACGTCTTGGACCAGATGTATTTATTCCTATTCAGATTTGTGCATGGAGCATTGTGGCAATGTGCCAAGTTGCCCTAAATGGCAGAGTCTCATTTTTCATTACTCGTTGCTTAATTGGTGCCATTGAAGGTGGATTCATTCCCGATCTTGTGTTGTGGTTGAGTTACTTCTTCACCAGCAAAGAGTTGCCAATTCGGTTATCTTGGTTTTGGTCAACATTAACACTCACCCAGATTTGTATTTCGCTTCTCGCCTTTGGTATATTGCGATTAAGAGGCGTGTTTAGGTGGCCCGGCTGGGCTCACCTTTTCCTTTGGGAAGTGTTATTCACTTTATCCATCGGTGTTTTATCATTCTACATGATGGTGCCATCGGCAGTGCAGACAAAGAATTGGATGCATCCAAAGGGTTGGTTTACTGAACGCGAGGAGAAGATTGTGGTTAATCGGATCTTGCGTGATGATCCTGCCAAAGGAACCATGCATAACAGACAAGCACTTTCATTGAAGATGTTGTGGGAATGTTTGATTGATTATGATATGTGGCCGTTATACGCAATTGGATTGGTGGCCTATATTGGACAACTCACTTTTGGATCGTATTTCACGTTGATGACAAGGTCTCTCGGGTTCAGTACTTTTGACACAAATCTTTTAACAATCCCGGTTTCCGTGTTATACATATCAACACTCCTTGCAATAACGTGGTTGTCTGAAAAACTCAACGATAGAGCTTATGTATCATTGATTGCCCCAATTTATGGAGCGATATTGCTTGGAGTGATTAGGTTTTGGCCTGGTGCTGGTATCCAAGTGTGGCCCACTTACATCTTGAATACAATATACTTAGGTCACCCATACATCCATGCTATTCTTGTGTCATGGGTATCGAGAAATTCAAACTCGGTAAGGACTAGATCCATCTGTTCAGCCATGTACAACATGTTTGTCCAAATGGATTCAATTATTGCACAAAATATATTCCGTGAAGATGATAGGCCATTGTACAAAAGAGGTTTGTTACAATTGTGGTGTATAACCTTGTCAGTAATTCCATTGTTGGTATTGACCAAGTATTACTATATCTGGAGAAACAAGTCAAAAGCAAAGCAATGGGATGCAATGACGGAAGAACAAAAGGCTGATTATAGAAAAAATACCACCGATGATGGAAACAAACGTTTGGATTTTAGATTTGCTCATTGAAACTCTATGTTGTAAATTTAGTTATTGTTTTTCGAAATATAAACCCATGGCCAATTTGAACAACTCTTCAATCGTGTCCAACACTTTTTGTGCTTGCTCTCGGACAAAAATATCCTTGTCGGTAGAAGCAACATATTTCAAAATTGTAATTACCTTCTCGCGGTATTTTTCGGGGAACTCAACCTTGTCTGTTTCAGAAGTACCTAGTACTAAATCTAGAATCAAGACTACTGCCGCCCTTCTCATAATTGCTTTGTCTTCATTGGTTTCCAAATTGAGGATACCAAGGGCACAATCTAAAGCATTTTCTAAATTGCCAATTAATCCAATGGGGTTAACTTTGCAACACATTCCTAGTAGTGATATGGCTGACATTCTCACTCGATCATCGTCTGTATCATGCCTACGAATAATTGACAATGTAGACTCAACAATGAGGTTTGCCGACACTCCCTGAAACGTTTCGTGGGATACTTGAATATAACGAAGGATGACCTCACCGATCCTTAACCGTTCATCCAACTCTGTCTCTTCATTCATATATAGGCCACTTAAAGTCTTGAGGACAACAGGCTCATCCCATTCTATTAAGCTTTCCAATCCTTTGATAACGTTTAAATAAACAAACGGCTCTGGGTCTTTTAATTGTACTAAATGCAAATTAATGACAAAATCTAGAGAGAGCACTTCACTTTTAGATTCAATCAACTGGCGTAAAAGATAAAGCCCATGTGCTCGAATTGGTGCCAATGGATCATTCAAACTTGTAATTGCTCTACTCAATGTCAATTTTTGAGCGTCAAGTGCGTTAGTAACTGGGATATCCCCACTTAGAATGTTGGCTATCCTCGTCTCTAGTGCACGGGCTGACAGCTTGACATTCTCATTGATTACTTGCTTGGATAGATTGAATAATGATGTCTTGATTCCTGATAAAAGCTCAGTGCATTGATCATCTATCACGACATCGTTCTCCAATAAAATGGCAGAGAGCAATTCCAACAATACGGGCAAAATCTCTTCTTTATCGTCATCTTCGTCATCAGAATCGTGCATTGCATCATCACCATCTTCATCAACATCAAAATTAGCATTCAAGAAGCTTTGCACAATAAGCAACATCTCTGAAGGGGTTCTCGCGAGGCTCTCTTTAAATTTGTCTCCGATACTCTCCAACAACTTCAAGTCCACTAGCTTAATAAAGGGGCTCTCTTCATCATCCCCAAGTAAATTGGACCCCGATAACCAGCTTTTCAATATCCTGACAAAAAGACCCTGTATAATATCGTCATCGGCATTTTCCAACAATGTGATAAAGTTTGTACATGCGAAATCTAAATTGATAATGAAATTGTTAACTTTGGTCTCTTTGCTCTCTGACTTGAATTGGTGGCTGCTCTTTTCTATCTGCACCAAATTATTGGCTCCGAATGCAAAGCCCCATCCTTCTCCACTTTCGAAACAAAGATTCTTTGCTATTAGATCAATGCCAGCGAGGTCTTTAGCATCAAAGTCCTTCATCACCGTGAAATACGTCGTCATTATATTAGAAATCACCTCAACCGACTTGGCATTTCTTTTCAAGAACAAATAGTAGCCCCAAATAGGAACAATAATTGGTGCCATGACTGCCTTGAATAAATCTGGTTCTAATCCCTTTCTTGATAACGACAACAATACATTTACCTCATTGTTTAGTTGAGCTTCAGTGACTAAAACTCTCGATTGGTCTGGCTTGGGGTTGAACTTGTCCCACACCTGCTTTAAAAAGAAGTCTTGAACCACTAATCTATTTTTGCTCCAAAGCTTTTCAAGGATATATGCAACACACGATGCCACCGTTGGTCGATTTATATTGACTAATAGATTGTAACACTGGTTCCCAATAGATGTGAAATATTCTCTTGTGTTTATAGCTTTAGGTTTCAGCAACACAACATTAGCAACGTGATCAAACTTCGTGATTTCAATTTCGTCTTGGTCACGTAAACCCAATACGTATTCAATCAAGGCGAGTAATCCATCACCTCGTGGTGCGTTATAGTGAAGTAGTTGTAAATGGCTTATAACAAATGTTTTAAAGTAGATAGGTGATGGGGTTGTTAGTAAAAGGGAGTAGACTTGGAATAGCTCAAAAGTGTCTGGCACTTTCTCCACTGTTGAGTACTCTGTAGAATACTTGTTGTGATCAATATTGGGTATCGTATTCAAGGCAATAGCAATGGTGATAAAGTCAGATAAACCCGATCCCTTTCTAAGTAACTCAGTAACATCGGATGTAGTCTGAAAAAGGATAAAGAGTTTGTCGTAAATGAGTTTTAAAAGCTCAATGGCTTGCTCAGGTTCGGTGATCTTGTCTATTGTGACTGGTTTTCTATTCTCCTTCATCTCTTTCAATACTCGTTTCTCAAACGGTATGCCAATGTGGAATACATTTAACGCAGGGTAAACTCCATGTATCACAATAGTGTTGACAAGCTTGCTAAATGTTTTGACATCGTGTAGCGATATCGCAATTATCGATTTATCTTTGAATTGTGGCTCCAACGAATACTTTTGGATCTCTAGTAACTTTTCAAGTAGGTAATCAAGTACTCTTAACCTCGATCCACCATTGGTGTCGTCTTGGTTGAATATACGTATATAAAGTGTATCCAAGGTCAATTGATCATAAGACAAGTCTAGCAATGCTTCCAATTGCCCGAACAAGATGTCCATCGGTTTATCTCTTTTAAACTGGGGTTTATTGAGCCCTTTCCGTTGAGGGTACACTTCGTCTGCAGATCTCTTGATGGTCTTCTTTTTGGTGTCATCAGCAAACGGATTCTTTTTGGGCACTTTCTTGGAGGAAGTGGAGTCAGGCACTTGTTGAGGTTTTCTAGTCACCCCATAATCGTCTGAGAGTTCTTCTATTTTTGGTGACATGGTACTGAGTATACAGCAGAAAGAGTTAGCAATTTACTTTGTTCAGCCATTATGCCAAAGAGTCTACATGCAGTACTCTTTTGCGATGGTTTCAATATTTTTTTTTTTGTATTCCCATCATTAACATCATCATCATCATCACCACTGCTACTAATCAGTTAGTATATTCCCCGTTCCTTTTTGAAACTCACTCCACCCCTTTTGCTACCCAGTGACAGTAACTATAAGTTCTCAATATGACTCTGGAAGATAATAAACTAACACAGGAGGAGATGGATATAATCATGTCCGAAGCAAGAGCAGGTGAGTTAGAATCATTGAAGGAGATATTTGAGGAAATACCCAAAGAATCATTACTAGATATTAAAGACAACATGACTTTAGCCACTCCAATACATATGGCTGCTGCCAATGGTCACTTGGACACAGTCAAGTACCTTCTTTCAATTATACCCAAGCAAGAAGCTATAAGTCTAACGAAGGCAAAGAATGAAACGGGAAATACGGCTTTGCACTGGGCAGCATATAATGGACATTTGGAAGCTGTCAAATTGTTAGTTGAAGAATATGAAGCCGATGCATTTGAGAAGAATGAGGCTGGCCATGATTCGATATATGAAGCAGAAAACAATGGGAAAGTCGACGTAGAAAATTGGTTTTTGAAAAAGTACGCCCCAGAAGAAGATTTCAAAGTTGAGGAAGATGGTGAAAACACCAGGATTAGTTATCAACCGGGTAAAGAAAGTAAATTGGCTGATGATAATGCTAGGGAGGCAGCTTTTGCAGCTAAAGTGGAGAGCAAGCAAGTTGGAAAAGCAGAAAAAGGTGACCAACTGCTTGAAAATTCAACTGCAAGCTTATCTCTTGACTCGTGATATAAGTTGTATATAGAATATCATAGACAACTTTTTCTAATCATATTCAGTTATATTATTTAATCCAAAGTCGTGTATTAAAAAATGCGTCTTACAAAAAAAAAATGACATAAAAATTTTTCAGCTTTAAAAAAGAAACATCTAGAGTCATAACTACCTTCGCCTTCAGATCTTATCACCAACACATATATCCTCCCCTTCCTTACACAACACCAATATGTCTGATTTAGGTTTTGACCCATCATTAAAGAAGAAGAAGAAAGTCAAGAAGCCAGTCGATGGCGCATCGCCTGCACCAGAAAGCAGTGAGTCAACACCAGCAGCCACTGATTCCGTTGATGACCTATTTTCGGGAATGAAGAAGAAGAAAAAGTCCTCATCCTCCAAAAAGACGGAAGGATCAGTCGAAAAGTCTAGCTCACCAAGTGCAGAAGCCGATGTCACTGCTACATTGGGTGACTTGACCTTGAAGAAGAAGAAAAAGAAGAGTACCAAGAACTTGGACTTGAATGAATTCGAACAACAATTGGAAGAAGCAGGAATTGAAGACACAACTAATGAGCAAGCAGATGATGCTTTAAATGGAAGCAAGTTGGCTCAAACCGATGCCGGCTTATCATACGATGAATTATTATCGCGTTTCTTTGAAATTTTAAAAGAAAACAATCCTGAACTTGCTGGAGACAGATCGGGTCCTAAATTCAGAATCCCACCACCAGTATGCCAAAGAGAAGGTTCGAAAAAGACCATGTTTGCCAATGTGCAAGAAATTGCCACCGTTTTACAAAGAAACCCTGAGCACTTGATACAATTTTTGTTCGCCGAATTGGGTACTTCTGGTTCTATTGATGGTGAAAAGAGGTTGATATTAAAAGGTAAGTTTCAACCAAAACAAATGGAGAGTGTGTTGAGAAGATACATTATTGAATACGTGACATGTAAGACATGCAAGAGTATGAACACCGAATTGAAGAGAGAGAGTGCCAATAGATTGCATTTCTTGAGCTGTAAGGCATGTGGTTCCACCAGATCAGTATCTTCTATAAAGACTGGTTTCCAAGCCCAAATCGGAAGAAGAAAGAAGTTTTAAAAGTGTTTTCTTTTTTTTTTAGTTCGGTGGGGAACTACTTTTGGTATATATATTTTTAAGTCTGTTTTTGGCTATTCTATTTAAATATAATATTGTACATTATCTAGACCTTGGGTATACTAGAAACAATCTTTTTCAAAGGCGAACACCACGCACTGACTGCGTCATGGTTCATCATGTAATCAACAACTTCTGACTTCAATTTAGAAGAGTCTGCCTCACCAGCTAGTATTTCGTTGAATACTGATTCAATAAATGGTAAATGTTGTTCACTGACAACTTGAATCTGGATCAGCAATTTCCCTTTATAATGCGTTAGTTCCCTCTCTGGTAGTGACAACGGGAGATCAAACACTTTACCTAGTTGGACTAATATGTCTTGACGTTTCTGTCGCGCTTCGTCACCTGATAAAGAGACTTGTGAGCTGTTCTCGGAGAGTGATAGGGGCGTCGGACAGTCATTCCATCCTTCTATAGCATCCCCCCTTTGATATCTCGTCAACGTCATGAAAAAAAAAAAAAGAAGGTGGTTGGATGGTATGTATTGTTGTTACTGCGTGTTCATTGTGACACGTAAAGATTTTAAAACCGCATATTTCTTTTGGATCGCTTTGCGCTACCTCTTTTTGTTGAACTTTTATTAACACTAAAACGTTGTATGTGTAGATAAAAATGAGAGGTGATTTATCAATCGAAACTAACAGATCAATCTAACCTTTTATTTATAAATATGATAATATACAAATAGTAGTGAAGTGATAAATGGACTTTCTCAAATCCATCCAATTTTCAACAACACTTTGCACTTTGCTGCACTCTGCAAATTTATAACAATTTCCAAAACTAGGTTACATCAACAAACACTGATACCTCGGTCACAAAGTGAGGAAGATTCAGTACAACAATTGTCCAAAAAAAAAAAAACCTTAGCTAATCATGAAGTCAATAGTTTAGGCCAGGAGCTCTTCATGAAAACAAGGAAAGAAATTACAAATCTCCAAGACAAAATTAACATTGAAAGTAACTTCAAGTTAATATATCATAACCTACCAACCAATATAACGAACATCAAGCAAAATTTAATTTGAATTTGTATAGAAAACATCAATTCCTTCTTCAATTCTAAGTAAGAAATAAACAAAAAACTAATTTATTTTGTGTATTCCTTTACAATCAAAACCCGTTTTGATGTTTAAAAGAAACATTACATGGGATTCAAAAATCAAATACTTACAAATATTGAAATAATAAACTTCTCATCACAAGAGGTATTTTTGCAAACATTACAGTTGTAATGATTGAAAAATTCTCGATACAGAGTACAGAAAAGGGAAAGAAGAAGAAGAAGTAGAAGAAGAGTATCAGGAAAGAATCAAAGAGAGAAACTACACTTAATGTGTCAACAATACATCCAAAGCAATTCTTCTCTTTTTCGTCATTTTCTTCCTTTAGGAATTACTTACACTGAGTTCTTCGACTCTAAAATTTTGTAATAATCTAAACCTATGTTTCACGTCTCATCTTCGTATACCTTAAGCACAACTTTTATTTAAGTATTTCTGTAACTCACTTGCACGCAAGGAATCCTTCAACTAGCTAATACCAGTGTCTCTCTCTCAATATGAAGAATGGTTCGTAATATTTAACCCGTCATCAAGTAGTATATCTGCCGTTGGCCTCTTTTTAGGATCAACTTGTAAACATTTCTTTATCAACTCCATTAAATCATTACTATATCCATTATTACCCTTCGGTATCTGATACCTTCCCTGGCCAATAGCCACGTGCAAATTTGCACCTTGATCCATCTCCAATTTCTCAAACGGCGAATACCCAAAACAACAACTGTACAACAAACATCCCAATGACCAAATATCGGTAGCTTCGGTTATTTCTGAGCCAGTGGCAACGTCTAATAGTTCTGGTGCTCGATACGGCAACGTACAATGCTCCTGGGCGAAATTTGTCAATGCTAGTGCTTGCTGTCGAGTACGAATGTTGTACCTTGCCCTTGAGCATGACCCTAAGTCAACCAAAACAGGTAACCCTTCTGCCGAAATCATGACATTTGCTGGCTTGATATCGTGGTGAGCATAGGGAACCAATTCCTCCATTTCGGTCGAGTCACTGCCTGTTGCTGCTGCTCCTGCAACTTGCTCATCCTCCTCCTCCTCTGTATGTAAAAGCGCTTCTTCCTCATTGTCATCTTCATCAAGCCTAGCCGTATTTCGGGTTACCAGTTTGTGATTGTGCATAACCTTTAGTCCACGACATACACCAATGAAAATCTTGAGGATCTCCATTTCGTCCATTTTGGTACCATTAAGCACATTTTCAGTCAATATATCTTGTACTGATTTGGTAAAGTATGGTAATAATATGTAAATATGTCTTACACCATCAGGACTAGTTACAATTGACTCATCGATAGATTGAATGATATAGGGTGTTTTGGAATTAGCAAATCGATGATAGTTTTTGATTTCTCTCATGGCGTTTTTATACGTTTCATCTTGGGTTCCATAGGGACAATTGATTTGTTTCAATGCGTATGGTGCTTGTGATGTCAGATGTACCAAGTAAACATATGAAAACCCCCCTTCGCCAAGTAGTCTAATAATTTTATAGCTGGCATTGTTAATTTTTATTGTGGGCGTCGATATAGATGGGAAACACGGAAGGCATGATCCAAATAATGACAACAAAAGGTCCATGTTGTGTATTGAGATAAATGATGCTGTACTTGAATCTCTGGTGTCAATTGTCTTTTGGTGAATTTCGCTCAGTGTTGTTTTGAGTGTCGCAAAAGTTTGATAATGCGTCACATCTAATTTACCCACCATTGAGTAATCTATATATTACATACACCTTCATAACACTAGAAGAGACCTACCACAGCTGCAGTTCTTTACAAATAAAGTCGGACAAAGAAGTCTTTAAATTGGATAAAGTAGTACCTCTAATCTCCTGCTTGATCCTCTTGACTTGTTCATCCAGCAAAGTATCATAATTGGGACTCTTACTAGCCTTGCTAGGGTGATTAAAATCATCCACATCAACCTCATTGATGCATAATCGAGAGCAATTTTCAATTATGATGGGATTGCCACTTCTGTCTCGATCTTCAACAATGACTATCGAATCCCGGATTTGGTGAAGTCTAACTTGATGACACGATATAATAAAGATGCAATTGCTGGCATTTTGTATAAATACAGGACCAGCTGATTGTAAATAGCAGATGCACTCATTTCCATTTTGCAAATTTATGGAACGTGATTTGAGTGAAATGAAACTATTAGCAAATTTTGAAATGTAAACATGATCATCGGAATTTAATTGGTACTCTTTGTCGCAAACATTTATTGAATTGGAAGTGAATTGGGAAAATGCATCTGAATCAAGCCTAGAATTATTGGCATGTGTTGGCGGTTGTGGTTTTCCAATAAATTTAAAATTGACTCTACTTAGTTGGTTTTGCTTCGACTGAACAAGTTTGAATATCGAATTGATATTCTCACTCTCTAATTTCTTTGAGTAGCTTGTGCCTGGTGCTTGTGCATCTACGATACGTTGGAACTCAGCTTGGATCTGTTGTAGTCGATCTAGTGATGTACATGTGATGATCTCGACTCGTATTTCTTGTCCATAATAGATCAGTATTTATCACTTGGAGTTTGGTTCGGTTTGCAAAATGTACATACTGTTGAATAGTGACTTGTCCATTGGTAAAAGAACTGGTAAAGAGTTTTGACTCGTGGAAAAGAAAATCGTCACAATCTGCGCTGATTATAAACATTACACAAAATTTTAATCATTCTTGTCACAACTGCCGTGGGATCTACAAATACATCTATTTTGTACAATCAGCGTAACTGTATCTTTCATAAAGCAAGCGCCAATGTAGTATGTATCGCTATAGATCTCACCGTTTCCGAGAGTTGGAGGGTTTTCACTGCATGCCCTATATCCATTATATTTTAAACATGGTGAAATATAAACGTTAATACAACCACCAAAGGTTAAATTGATCCAAAAAGTATTACCCATTACATCGTAGCTCCATGAGTCATTGACAAGACTTTTGCAATGCTTAAAAACAACCGGTGCAAGTAGCCAGTGGCTGATAAAGAAGAGTCTTTGATATCATACGCTACCATTTCTACTTCAACCAGCAATTGAGCAAAAGAAAAAGTTACCGAGTGACCACCACCACCACCAACTGGCCAGAGATAAAACACTAGCAGCCATGTTTTCATCGTCGAAACCAAAATTTGCCCTTGAGCTAACGATAAATGAGCTTACTAATGTGCCACAAATCAATGGAGCTTGCTATATAGAAGTCGCTATTCGTGATTCCAAAAAGAAACACTTGCATAAACACCCGAATGGATCTCGAGCGCCATCCAAGGATACGTCATCTTCGTCAAACTCGACCTCAAATGGAAACTCGTTTGCTTCCAACCCTGCAAAATCTTTTCTAAACAAGCTTGATACAAAGGCGGCGAAAACTATCCACAAAGAAGTTGCTCAAGCCAAAAGCACCACAGGCAATGTCTCCACAACCACATCATTGAAAAAATTGCATAATTTCAAATGTAACTTTAATTACAAACTTACTTGTAACTTGAAGTTTAGTTTAAAGAGTCGGAAGAATTTGTTGATTGCCAACAAGTATTTATCGTTGAGGGTATATTATGTTCACGATGATAAACAAGGAGGTGATGAACAGATTGTAATTAACCTAGGACGATTAGAAGTGAACTTGGCCGAATACTTAAACTTTGAGGAGCCAGTTAATTTAAAATACTTGCTTGATGACTCAAAAGTCAATTCAATATTGAACTTGACTATTGGACTTTCAGAATTACCTGAAAACTTTGATTTCCACACCCAGTTGCAAATTCAAGACAATAACAGCAGTGTAGTGTCGTCAACTGCATTGCGCGAGGGTCTCCATCAAAACAAAAAGCGAAGTACCACTTTCAATGTACCTCAGTTTGAACGGAAGAATGTCTTTAATGGTATCAGCAATATATTCGGGGAAGCTAATCTCGATGAAAACCAAGGTTCACCAAAGCGTGTTCCAACGCCACCTACCCCACAATCGACCCCTAGTGATAGGCCGCCCTCGCCCTTGCCACGTAACCACCGTGCGGCATTAAATCAAGCAAGCTCGCCCCAACTGTCGGCATCATCAAACGTTTCTCTTGATGGGAAACCGATAGGCGACATTTCAAGCTTGAATGACCAAGATTTGATCAAATTGGTGGGCCAGTCATCTGACGTCTCCCTGGCCATGTCGACTCATCTGCCGAGCCTGAATGGTCAAATTGGTAACATAGCAAATGGTAACTTTGTGTCAGGGATCAATCGACATATCGCCATGGACCCAATTATCAACTCCTTGTACACCAAGATCCTAGAAAGTAATTGGGATCCAGCATTATATCCACTTTTAGATTACTCGCCTAACCAATGCATTGATGACATTTTTGATAATCCTGACAATCCGTATGGATGTAATTTGAAGTTGAAGGAGTTCTACGAATCGCAGGTTGAAAAAGATGAAAAGAATAGTGGATATCGAAACTTGAATGGATTGATTAATGAAGATAAATATAGACCAGACTTACAGAGTTGGACATTGCCAAATATAAAATAAGTCATGTGAATTAATTAGAGATTAAACGATGGAGCTGAGATTGAACGTGCTTTTGCCATTTGTTTCCCCTGGTTTTTCATATCCGCAAACCTTTGCTTAAACTGAAAGTCGGTGCATTTCAAAAGATCAATCATACCATACGACTTGCAATTCTTTTCATCCTTGTTGCTATTACAGAGAGCATTGAATACTTTAGTTGGATGTTGCTCGTGTGAGCAGTTGCGTTGTTTATTTGCAACTGATGTGTTTTGCCGTGTGCTTAAGGTGTTTGAAATGGCTCTCGATGGATGCGACGTAAATTGTTGCTTGTTAGTCGACCTTTCCCGGGGCGCAATAAAGCCTACTCCTTGAGGCACCTTGATCTTGTTGATATTTTGTTGCTCAATGCTTTTCCATTGGCAAAGATAGTCATTAAATGCATCATACTCATCATCGTCGTCAAATTTGTTGTTGCCACACCGGTCAATATCTTTATCATCACTGTATTCTCTGCCCCTTTTGGGTGGATTAAGCTCCACATCTTTTAACGGGGATGGAATATAAGGGATATGCCGACAATATGCACAATTTCGAAATGCATCAATGTTAAGATTACACTCCTCTGAAAAGCAGTTAAAGCGACGGATATCATTATACCCTTTGAATAAACCTCGTGAGATTGTTCTTGTTGGTAACACTTTACTTTTGAGACTGGAAGCGGACGATGTAGGGCGAGTGCGATCCCGTGACCGTGCTTGTGCTCGTCTATGGTTATGGTTATGGTGATGTTGGTGGCGCTTTTTCAGTGGCTCATAATTATTGAAGTTTTCACCAAAGATGCTGAGTGCTCTAGTGGTTGATTCGAGTGGTGGTAGATCCTTAAATGTTGGCTCAAGTGAAGTTGATTCAAAAGTGGAGAGTGTAGTTGAGTGGTTGACAAATATGTGAGACATTGAGGTAGCTTTACTATGGTTAGGGTAGACTATATTAGTAATGACACATGAAAGTGGTGGTTTTTCCTTTTTTTTTGATATTTTCAATTTAAATGTAGGATCGATTGTGTTTGTTTTTAAGGTTTTACACAAATCGACTAAAGAACTTGTATGAGTATATCAAGTCGTATTGTGTAAACAAAGACTTGCCCAAACAAACTCACTTAAAGAGATGAGGCCAAACTGCGGACATGTTACAATGATGCAAGTCAGAAGAAACATGCTGAGAAGTAGAGGTTTCGACTTGTATCCAACAGATCTCTTGCATGTCACTAAAGAGAAGGTAACGTGAAAGACCTATTCCGCCCATTGCTCCTCAAGCCTGATTTTTACAAATATATCACACATCATTACGTATATTGACATTACTGGTTAGCTCGACGATTACTATTGGGTCTATTTCCTCCTTGTCCTCTGCCTCTTCCACTTCCATTGCCACCATCTCTATTATTCCTACCACCGTTTCTTCCGCTGGCATCTCGGTTATCTCTATGATCTCTTCCTACACCCCCGTCTCTTCTCTTGACAAATCTATTTCTATTATCCTGTCCATGATGGTGTTGATGGTACATATTTTGTTCCTTGACATGATCCATGATTTGATCAGGTATACGTAAATACTTAATATGCATCCCTTTGATGTATATTTCGGAAATCTTGGCAAATTCATCGCCATCGGCATTGGTTTGAATTACATCATGTAATGTTAGATTCATCCATGAATCGCAGTTGGTTAAGTTTCCATTGTACGTCTCTCCTGTTTTCAATTCAACGAGGATAGGTTGGTTTTTTGCAGCTGTTAAAAGATACAATGGAAGCATTGGATTAGTCTGTCTGGTTGTATGATGTGAACAGGGTGTGCCTATCTTCTTGTAATGATATGAATTCTTGAAGCAATGATTGCAGTTTTGATTTTTCCTCTTTTTTTTTTCTCTCTGTTCAATTTTTGTTTTCTGTTTTTTGTTTTCATGGATTCACCGTTGGTAAAGAAACGAACGAAAGACCACAGCGATGGATGTTCGCATTGGTGTTGGAGTAGTGACTTATATTTAGAAATAGCGTTTGATGTCGAGACTCTTATTGACTCTCCGCATTGAGTGGTTAAAAGAAGACTTGCTGATTTCCAACATCTTGAAGTGAATTTTCTTTTTTAGCAGTTCACAAGAATGGCCATCTAATCTCTAGTCATATTGCAACGAGGCAAGAATGGAAAGAATTTAGGTCCAAACGGCTCAGTGGGCGTGATGACTGAATCTATTATCATCTAAACTGTATGCACAAATTTCCAGTGTCGTAAACGCAAATTTGCGACGCGGAACTGTCATGAAAATGTGCGAAATTGTTGTCATACCATTTTCTCCATACAATTGAACGCGATCTGGGACAAAGTCTAACTTTCTTATTAATCAATTTCATCACCACCGATACATACATACGTGTGCCACAACCAAGTCGGTGTCTCCAGCGCTCTTTCGATTAAGCAAATAACCTCCTGTGCTAGCGTCTCCGTATTACACCTACTGAGATAATAAAACCACAGTATTGAATAACCGAGATCGCAGAATTATTACAGTGCATTAAATGATAGAGCACGAGCCTTTAATGAAGCCTCTCTTTATGGAGAAACTGTCAACAGAGAGACAACGCACACTCTTCCTAGATCTACCCGATGAAGTACTTATCCAGATATATGACTGCTTACCTTTATCCACAATCAAGCAATTGAGGCTATACCCTGAGTTAGCCTTCACAATGCAACATCAAATATATAGACAAGGTGAGTACTCCATACTAATAGACGACGAAGATGAGGATGAAGCTGGTGCAGAGGGTCATAAGATTAGTGAGCTACAGAAAAATGGAAATGATGCAATTCATGTAGCTATATTTCAACATTATCGCGTTAATATTACATTGTGTGATTTCAAATCACTGATTGACAACTTGTTGAAATATGACCACCTAATTAGAGAAATATTTGACCGTCCAAGACTGGTGACGGTGAAGTTGGTGGTCATTTTACATTATTCATTGAACCGATTTACTGATGTTAAGGATTGCTTAAGCAACATTGATTTGATTAGTAAGCTATTTAATCCAAAAGGTATAAATGTTTGTTCAGTTGATTTGCAATTAAACAAGAAGCTGTAATTGCAGAAATTAGTAGGTTAAATGTGTATTTAGACTACATGTAATAAATGTGGGATTTAACTTGAGAACTGGTCCTCTACAAAGTAATCTACTTGAAGTAGAAGACTAACAGAATTTTAAAGAGTAAGGATAGACTCTAAACATAAATACTTCGACGAATATGACAAGCATATATTGTGTAGATTATATAAATTCGCAGCCAAATTGAGAAAAAGTTTACTTATTCTCAGGCTGTTAATAATACAATATTTGTTTTTACGTGCACTCTCAAAAACCAAGCAGAGCTCTATATGTATATAAGTGGTAGCTGCGAAGGTGTGCCAAAAGCATGAAGGGAGTAAATGCGTGATTTTGAAGACAGCATAGGTTATTCATTACAAGCAAGAGGAGTCTAACATCGCCAATTTTGTTGTTTCTGCCACAACCTTTATTAAGCTAAAGAAAAGGGGTACTCCCAATCTATTCCATAAATCAATCATGTACCTCTCTCGAGATACACCGTGAAGTCCAGTCTGACATTTGCATTTTCTAAAACCTTTTTTGGAGCTTAAGAATGACGTAATCCCAGAAATTTATTCAAAATACGCGACAGACCAGAGACCCTGCATATAAGCAGATGTCGTAGTTATACGAAGGATCTGAAGAAACTTTTACGAGTGACTGAGATTCAATCATTTGAGTTATACTCCGAGGCCTGGCAGCGATATCAAACTATTGATTGAAAATTGCCGCGTATAGATTTAATGATTCAGTTGACATATCGTGTTTAAAACTACATCATCTTTCTTCAACTAAATCTTTTGAAAATAAGCCAAGACCAAATTCAGAATATTTTTACAATAAATAATAATTTGTCATCATCATCTTCTTCATCATCATTCACCAACAACATCAACTCATTTTGTAATTCCTACTCACTATTTACTACTCAAGTATAGAAGCTATTAAACAACGCAAAGACTTATTTAGGGACTTCGTTTGTTTGGGCTACTCTTCGCGGAATCAGACACATCAATGTATAAACAATCATTGATACCCATTGCACTTATAACGTTCCTACTGTTACTATCGTTACTGCGGCCGTCGCCACCACCGTCACCGAGTGACACGCGTCCTAGCCTACAACACCCGACAACTATTTACAGCTCATCATTTACTCGGGCTATACAACAACGTGATTCAAATGAAGATGATGATATTGTACAATTTTCGATAGTACGGCCAACACCCACACAGGCTACACAGATACGGTCCATATCATCGAACCTGACCACCACTATTGCCTCATCTCAATCTACTGAAAATCCAAATGACCAAGATGTATTTAAGTTGGTTTTCACCGTGGGTTCAGATGATTCTTATTATAATGCACGTTTCCAATTTGGTGACAATCTGCAACAAAATAACGACTCGGACAACTCGGACTCGCAAGGTATTGGACTTCGATTAGACTTGATCCAGCCAGAAGTGTGGGTCATGAATGAGGATAAATATAAAGAGTGTTCTGAGATTTATGAATCACGAAGCAGTATTTTGAATCAATATCTGAGCGCTTCCAGCATACCTTCGTCAGTCACTGACAGTCCATTATTTACAACCAATTGCGCAAAACGGGGGTTATATACCAGTTCAGAAACCATGCCAGCGCCACTGGGTGTCGGTGATGCTTCAATATACAATGGTGACTCGTACATTATTCCCTATATGAACCAAATACACGCTAAGGGACAATTTGCTACGGATAATTTCAATTTCAACTTGACTCTGGGCTACAATTTTCAAATGTCAAATTTCACCTTTGTCAATGTTAATGACACAAATGTATTTGTTGGTGGATTAGGTTTGGCAAGTTACCCAAAGGGCAATGGGTTTTTGTCTCGATTGGTGCAACAAAGCATCATCAAGTCACAAAGTTACTCGCTTTGGTTTAGTAATTCGGCTTCAACGGGCAACGAATCCATTGCCCAGTTGATACCTGGTGTTGTAAATCGAAAATACTATGTCGGGGACTTGTATTCGGTAGATATGATACCTCATACTGGTGTACGATACAACTCGAGTCAAGATTCAGCCAATGGTGATTTAGCCAATTTGATTCTACCTATAGTCAATGTTGATAATGTAAAAATTGAACGGGTAGACACTGGAGAAAGTGTTTCGATTAAGTCAGATGAAGACGAAGTGTTGCCTGTTTTGCTTGACTCAAGAATATTATACTCATACTTGCCACTTAATGTCATTATAAACTTGGCGATCCAGACCAATGCGTTTTATAGCTCAGAAGCTAATAGATGGTTAGTTGAATGTGACACTTTGACTTCCAATGGAAATGCAACAATTGATTTCGTTATTGGTTCGGTTACGGTCCAAATACCGTTGCTTGAGTTTTTAGTCGATGCAGTATACAATGGTTATAACTTGCAATTTGAAAACGGGAAAAAGGCATGTTATTTGACCTTTTTGAGGAATGATTATGCTGGTTTCAATTCTTTGGGGTTGCCATTTTTAAAACACATTTATCTCGTTGTTGACAACGATGGGAAACAAGTGGCATTAGCAAACAGCAACAAGTTCCTTGACGTTGATCAATCTGAGCTACTTCATTTACAAGAAAGCGATGTGCTACCAGCGTATAATTATTCATCGGTTGCGCCAGCTGATAAGAATATATCCTCAATTGCATACATTGAATCAGGTACGATTCCATTTGCAACGCCAATGACGTATGCCAATGTCGGCAATGTCACTACTGAAGCAATCACGTTGTCCTATTCCCAAGTAACAGTCAATGGAAGTGAAACCGTTGCCTTGGATATCCCAGCTAGATTGAGTGGAGCTTTGATTAGATCTGGCTCTATATTTGTAACTGGTGTTACGGCAAGCTCATCTCAAGGTTCCACCCAGATATCTTCTAGCTCACTGGGAAATGCTCCAGCTTTGCAAGTGGTGAGGATCGGGCGCAAGAATGATAGCGGGAAATTGAGCATATGGATCACTGTGGTAAGCATATTTCTAGGCATTTTCTTGGCTATGTCATGATACAGACGCCTTTTATAAGAATGGATGTAGTTGTATATAGAATAGATGATACACTACTTTGAGGTGTTTTGCAATCACGGCAATGTCGTGAAATTATCAAAAACGACACTAAAAGTAACCCCGCTTCTGGGCTCAATCCATATCCAAATACAGTTAGGAGCATAGATGGATTCAAATTATCAAGAATGATGCTAATATCACTCACCTCAACTACGTCTGATGATGAGCTATTGACTGTTTCCCTTACAAATAAAGACCTAAGCGTCAAAACGAAATTGTGGTACCTGAAAAAGTTTAAAAAATTTTTCACAATTTGAATAGTACTATGGTGTCTATTGTAACTGAGCGTGTAGCTTGACTTCTAAGTCAATTATCTGACGGTTTTATCAAAAAACACTAACCAAAAGTAATAGTACTAGATCTCTACTGTTGGGGGTGATTGCCTTCGGTTATACCTCGTCTATTGTTTCAATTTTTGTTCCCAATTAGGAAAAAGATTTCAATTGACACTCAGGCACACAACAACAACAATCAAAACAATCAAAAAATCACAATTTTTCAACACACATTTATACCAATCTAATATCACCAAATCATATAAACCACTTCACAGTTATACAACACCTTTGTTAACCAAAAGAGGGATACATATTTAGAATACCACACCCCGACAGCAAGCTATAACGAGTATCAAGTCACAGCTACTCGCGAAAACTCTTTCCCCCTCATTTCCCACATTTGCTATTACCATCATGTCCAAAAACAAAGACCCCAACTCGCTTCTAAATATCCAACATGATTACATATACAACAAGATCAAAGGTATCCAACAACCAAAGGAGATCTACAACTTGGTGATTGATAAAAAGGCGGAAACCATACTATATAAGACATTCACCAAGGAACAATTGTTACGAATAGTGGCATCAGTGGAACTTATTGATTCCGAACGAAGGAAAAACACCTACATGACTGCCATATACATGGTTGAACAGTCCATCTACAACATGAAGTGTATAATGGCTGATGTAACTACCAAACGCTACAAAAAGGGGATGACATTATTTGCCTATCAAGATGAAGATGTTGACCCTAAAGCAACAAAGTTTTTCAACAATAAATTTCTTGCCAATCCTAGTGTTGTTGATTATTTGGCCTATATTGGACGTATTAACTTTGAGTACAATGCGGTTGAAACTAGGGTGTTTTTAGCTGATGACAAAACTCCCAACTCCATGCCCATTTATTACAACCAAAATGTATTAGATTTCGTTATGCCACAGATTAAGCTTGTTGCCAAGTGTTTGTTAAATGTGATGATATCTATGGAAGAGTATCCCTTTATCCGGTTTTATCGACCAATGGATGCCAATTACGATGCACAGCGATTACCCGAATTGATTGCTAATGAATTTCAAATGCAAATGGACGAATACTGTCGTAGCAATCAAAACTACCCTACGCCAGAAGTATCGGCTAAAACCAGGTCAATCTTGTTAATTACCGACCGTACTATTGATCTATTTGCTCCATTGTTGCATGAATTCACTTATCAAGCGATGGCGATGGATATAGTAGAAAGTTTGGAAAGAGATGGCGTTTTCAGGTATCAGAGCGAAAATGAAAAAGGTGAAGTCAAGGATGTTGAATCCACTTTAGACAATGAAAATGACGAAGATTGGATCAATTTACGACATTTGCATATTATTGAAAGTTCAGAATTGATTGTCAATAAAATAACTGAATTGATAAAAAATAACCCATTAATGATTGATCGGTCCAAGGCAAATACATCATCCGACTTGATGTATATTGTTGCTCATTTGAAGGGGTTTGATGAAGAGAGGAAGCAGTTGACTCTACACAAGTCGCTTATTGACAAATGTCTTGATATAAATGCGCTGAGGAAATTGGCAGAGTTTGCTGCTGATTTTGAGCAAACTTGTTGTGCTGATGGTGTAAGTTTTGAAGGTGAGAGAAACAAGCACCTACACGATGATTTAATTGTCCTTTTAGCAAGAGATGATTTGCATATAAATGATAAAATGAGGTTGATTTTGATTTACGCTTATTATAGAGGTGGATTGATTCGAGCCGATTTTGAAAAGTTGATTAAATTTATCGGTGTTGATGATCGTCATATTACGGGATTAATGGAGAGATGTTTTAATAATGTTGATAAATTGGGATTTCAATTGTTTAAAACCGAAATCAAGGATAAAGCATTTGGAAAGCAGTATTTCCATACGATAAACAATGAAGGAACTTACAACACTAGTAGATACATACCCGGAATCAAAACCATTATGCAAAACGTTGCCAAGTATTCATTGGACAGAGAATGGTTTCCATATTTCCGTGACATTCCTTTAGACGACGAGGTCGTAACTACTGAGCCAAAGGGGTCAGCCAAGAATGATTTACATCTGAGTGGTACTTTAAGAAACCCCAGGATTAAAGCCAGTTGGGCATCACAGTCTGGAGCATCGGCAGCAAATCTGTCTAGATACGGAAGTGGCAGTCACAAGCAGAAACAACGTATATTCTGCTACGTTGCTGGTGGAATCACATATAATGAAATTCGTTCCATTTATGAATTGTCAAATTCATTGAATAAGGAATTTTATATTGGATCAGAGCTGATCTTACGTCCAAGAGACTTTCTCATTGGGTTGCAAAATTTAAGTAAAAACAAGACTTTGGAGGCGTTGGATTTGAATATAGTGAAGGAGTCGCTAAAGAGTGACGATATACCAAATTACTTGTACAACGATGGAGGTATACCCAGATCCATTCCTCGCCAGCAAAGTTCAAGTCAGCAGGTTCCCACAATGAGAGGAACTGGTTTTGCACAGCCGCCACAACAGGAAAGCCAGTTTGGGCAAGTTTCGTCCTTCCAGCAGCAAGTTGAACAACAGCAGCAAATGTATGCAAAAGCGCATGGAGTTAACAGCAATTCTGGATCATCTGGCAATGGCGGTGGGCATTATAAAAAGAGGAGCTCAAAGTCAGGTAGTGCTGAAGCTAGTAGTGCAACTACTGAATCAGTAGATGGATCGAGTTCTTCTTCTGGTAAGCGATCAAGATTGAAGAAATTGTTTAAATAGAGTGCGATGGAAGTGTTGTTTAGTGTGAGTAGTTTAATCCCATTTACTCGAGAAACACATTCTCTTACTACGGACGATCTTAAAACCGCTTCACCAGACATTCGCCGTGACAAGATATGTTCGGACTTGCCTAAATGGGGAAAGAAGCCGTCTGAATGTAATTGTTGTTTGTCCTAGTAAATAATTTTGTGTTATTTATTATGCTTACGAATCACTCATGCAATTTTTCAATGTGCCTCTTTCTTTTTCTTTTTGTTTTTCCCCTCGTGAATTTTGTCAAACTCTCTCTACTGATAAAGAAAGGTTAGTTTAAAACAGGGTCAGTTCATTTACACAGGAGTGACAGACATCTCTTGCTACCACTTTCCAAAGTCTTGAAAATAACTATACCAGAAACTTTTTTCACCACAATGGAGCAGATTGACTATGCAACCAGTTGGAACCCTTTTACGATTAATCGATGGGATTTTCTCATCCACGCTTTAGCCATCGATAATAGTGAGGTCGACAACTCAACTGGAGAGGTGATTAAATCATTCACATCATCGCCGTCTCTGTGGAAGATGTTGAGCTGTTCTTCCAAACATGAAGCTTGGGGTCCTTTATCGGATAAATATAACGATTTCACACCGTGTTTTCTTCAAGGGATTCTATTTGGCGTGTCTTCAGTACTTATGATTTTTATTGGATCTTATCAATTGGTGTATTTACGAAATAAGAGAATAAAAGTGGCTAATCGAGTCGATTGGAGCTTCTACGTTAAGTTGTTACTAGTGGCAATTCAGTTGGTGTTCCAGATTTCCCTTTTCGCAACGCATCCTTTACATCAAGGTGGTATAATTGAAACATCGCTAGTGTTGAATGTTGTGTCCACTGTTGTTGCCTGGCTTATTCATTACTTGGAACAGTTTAAATCGACAGTACCTAATGGAGTGTTGTTGTTTTATTGGTTGTTTCAAATTATTTTAAACCTAGGGAGAATCGTCAACTTGCACCTACGTCATCAGTTTGATCTGCACTTTGCCGTTTTGGTAGTTTTAAGTACAGTCAATGCATTTAGCATCTTGATTATAGAGACTGTTTTCCCAATGAAGCCTTTAAATTATTTGCAGAGAGCTAAGCATGTATCGCCTTATGATCGTGCCAATGTTTTTTCGAGAATTACGTTTGATTGGATTGGTGGATTGATGAAACGTGGCTATGTTCAATTCCTCACCGAGAAAGACTTGCCACCACTTCCAAAATCATTAAAGGCAAGTACAACCACTGATGATTTTGACTATTATTGGAATAAGCAACCAGCTGGGAAAAAGTCATTATTTTGGGCAATTTCAAAGGCCTTTGGTAGTCAATTCTTACTTGGAGGTGTTTTTAAAGCTGCTCAAGATTGTTTGGCATTTATTCAACCACAATTATTGCGTTTGTTGATCAAGTTTGTCAATGACTATTCCAAGTCGATGAAAAAGGGTGAGCCATTGCCTTTGACAAGAGGGTTGTTGATTGCAGTGGCCATGTTTGTTGTTTCCATTATGCAAACTGCATGTTTACATCAATATTTCCAAAGAGCGTTTGATTTCGGAATGAAGATCAAGAGCTCTTTAACCTCAACCGTGTATGATAAGTCACTTGTATTGTCCAATGAATCGAAGCAAGAGTCATCAACCGGTGATATTGTAAACTTGATGTCGGTTGATGTGCAGAGATTGCAAGATTTGCTGCAGAATTTACAAATTATTTGGTCTGGACCATTTCAGATCATCATTTGTTTGTATTCGTTACATGGGTTGATTGGTAACTCCATGTGGGCTGGTGTCGCAATTATGTTGATTATGATTCCATTAAATGCAGCAATTGCTAAAAAACAGAAGCAATTGCAAAAGACACAAATGAAATACAAGGACAAGAGGTCGAGATTGATTAATGAAATCTTGAATAATATCAAAAGTTTGAAACTATATGGATGGGAAGTGCCATACTTGGACCGGTTAAACTACGTACGAAATGATTTGGAATTGACAAACTTGAAGAGAATGGGAATCTTTATGGCAACTGCTAATTTCACCTGGAACTTGGCACCATTCTTGGTTAGTTGTTCCACTTTTGGTGTGTTTGTGTTGACCCAGAAAAGGAGTTTATCTACTGACTTGGTGTTTCCAGCATTATCATTATTCAACTTATTATCATTTCCATTGGCTGTGGTTCCCATGGTTATCACAAACATTGTTGAAGCACAAGTTGCTATTGGAAGATTGACAAAGTACTTGACAAGTTCAGAATTACAAGACAATGCTGTGGTGAAATTACCACCAGCGAAAGAAATGGGTGATGTAGCCGTTTCAATCCAAAATGGAACCTTTTTGTGGTCTAAAGCCAAAGGAGAGCAAAACTATAAAGTCGCATTGTCCAACATCAATTTGACTGCGAAAAAGGGACAATTAGACTGCATTGTTGGTAAAGTTGGATCAGGAAAGTCGTCAATAATTCAGGCAATCTTAGGTGATTTATACAAATTAGATGGTGAAGTGGCTTTACATGGTAAGGTGGCCTATGTTTCGCAAGTGCCTTGGATAATGAATGGTACTGTTAAAGATAATATTTTGTTTGGACACACATACGATGCTGAATTTTATAATCACGTGTTGAAAGCGTGTGCATTGACAGTTGACTTGGCCATTTTACCCAAAGGTGACAAGACGGAGGTTGGTGAAAAAGGTATTTCATTATCCGGGGGTCAAAAAGCTAGATTGTCCTTGGCTAGAGCTGTTTATGCTCGTGCCGATGTTTACTTGTTAGATGACCCATTGAGTGCAGTTGACGAGCATGTAGGAAAGCATTTGGTTGATCACGTCTTGGGTCCAATGGGTCTATTAAGAAGCAAGTGTAAAGTTTTAGCCACCAACAATATCAAGGTGTTGAGTATTGCCGACCACTTGCATTTGGTGAGTGACGGAAGGTTGATTGAACAGGGTACTTATGATGATATTATGAAGCAGGATAACTCAAAGTTGAAATTGTTGATTGACGAGTTTGGTAAAAAGAAAGAAGATAGTCCGACGCCAACGCCATCGACGAATAAGAATGTTGACGGTGGAAAACTTAAGCCAGATGATGGGAAGGATTACGAGGTGAAGGATGATGTCAACGTAGAAGACTTGGAATCGGATTGTGATTTGGACATAATCAGTTTGAGACGTGCTTCAGAACAACCATTGATTGCTGATGACGAAAGAGACAATGAAGAATACCTTGAAGAAGTTGAAGAGTTACAAGAGGAAGACGAAGATACAAAGGCAAGAAAAGAGCACATTGAGCAAGGAAAAGTGAAATGGGAAGTGTACACCGAGTATGCCAAAGCTTGTGGGCCAGTTAATGTGATTATCTTTTTGGGATGTATTGTGATATCATACCTCGTCAACGTTAGCTCCACGTTTTGGTTAGAACATTGGTCGGAGATAAATACCAAATACGGATACAACCCTAATGTGGCCAAATACCTTGGAATTTACTTCCTTTTGGGTATTGGGTACTCGACATCTTCATTGATTCAAAACATTTCCCTTTGGATCTTGTGTACAATTCAAGGATCTAAGAAGTTGCACAATGTAATGGCAGTTAGTGTCATTCGTGCACCAATGACGTTTTTTGAAACAACGCCAATCGGAAGGATATTGAATCGGTTTTCCAACGATATTTATAAGATTGATGAAGTCATTGGCAGAGTGTTTAACATGTTCTTTAGCAACACGGTCAAAGTTTTTGTCACCATTGTCGTTATTTCGTTTTCAACATGGCAATTTGTGTTTTTGATTTTACCATTGGGAGTGTTGTATGTTTACTATCAACAATACTACTTGAGAACATCAAGAGAATTAAGAAGGTTGGACTCGGTTTCAAGGTCGCCTATTTACGCTAATTTCCAGGAATCATTAGTTGGAGTTTCAACAATTAGGGCTTATGGAAAGGAGGCGAGGTTTAGATTTTTGAATCAATACCGTGTTGATGAAAACATGAAGGCATTTAATCCAGCAATTAATGCCAACAGATGGTTGGCAGTGAGATTGGAGTTTTTGGGATCCGTAATCATTCTTGGCGCTGCCGGTTTGTCGATCCTCACGTTATCATCAGGACACCTTACTGCCGGTATTGTTGGTTTATCTGTTTCATATGCTTTGCAAATTACTCAGTCATTGAATTGGATTGTTAGAATGACTGTTGAAGTTGAAACAAACATTGTTGCTGTTGAAAGGTGTTTAGAATACTCACGATTGAAGAGTGAAGCACCGGAGATTATACCCGACCATAGACCACCTCATGCTTGGCCACAAGATGGTGAGATCAAGTTTGAGCATTATTCAACAAAGTACAGACCAGAGTTAGATTTGGTGTTGAAAGATATCAATATTGATATAAAGCCAAGAGAAAAAATTGGTATTGTTGGAAGAACAGGTGCTGGTAAATCGTCAATTACTTTGGCCTTGTTTAGAATCATTGAAGCATTTGGTGGTGATATCAATATTGACGGAATCAAGACCGATACCATTGGGTTGTATGATTTAAGACACAAATTGTCCATTATTCCCCAGGACTCGCAAGTTTTTGAAGGTACTATTAGATCCAATCTTGATCCAACCGATGAATACTCTGATGATCAAATATGGAGAGCGTTGGAGTTGTCACACTTAAAGGAACACGTGGAGAAGATGTACGCTGAACGTGATGTTGAAGAACCCATCAATGACAACTCTAACCAGCCACGCGATGTTGTTCATGAAGCAGAAAAGGATAGAGTTGAAACACCATTGGATGTCAAAATCACCGAAGGAGGTACTAATTTATCCATTGGACAACGTCAATTAATGTGTCTTGGACGTGTGTTGTTGAAACTAAACTACTCCAACATCCTTGTCCTTGATGAAGCCACCGCTGCAGTTGATGTTGAAACTGACCAGATTTTACAACAGACTATACGTACTGAGTTTAAGGACAAGACTATTATAACTATTGCCCATCGTTTGAATACTATTTTGGACTCGGATAGGATTTTGGTTTTGGAAAAGGGACAAGTGGCTGAGTTTGACAAGCCGCAAGAGTTGTTGAAGAATAAGGATTCGTTGTTTTACTCCTTGTGTAAGCAAGGTGGATTTATTGAAGAGTAGATGCTGAGTAAGGTAGATTAAGGAATATTTATATAAAATATGTTTGTTTTAGTATTCACTTCTCTTTCGTAATGTTGCAACCGGGTACAAGTCGGCAAACTCGGCCTTATCAACATCAACTGGGATCAGATTGATTTCAATGACTGGAGTTTGTACTTTACCATCGGGGAAGCTAAGACATTGTAATATTGTTTCTTCGAGCGAGACGTAAATGGAATCACCGCCAACCGTAAATGTAACGCATGGGTTGTCCAATTGTATAATGTTGTGCAATTTGAGCTGATTTTTGCTATACTCCAATACGACCAAACACGAAGTATGCTCCACTAAAACCACAAAATATTTTGCATCACCACGTTGCATACATTCAATCTTGGCGACGCTAATCTCCTTGGGAGAGTTTTCTGATCTATATTTTTCAGGTGGGAAGTGTGCATCAGTCAAAAATGGAGTCATTGCTTCTTTCAAATCAAATTTACTCAACAAGTTGCCCTGGTACCAATTCCAAACGAAAATATAATCATCACCACCTCCAGATACCAATAAATCATCAATTAGACAAAGCTGTGATACGAATTCCTCATGGCTGTGTAAAAACAGTTTAATCACATGCGATTTGGGATAATTTGATATCCTTATATGTTCATCTCTATCACTAGTGATTAAAAATGGTTTGTCATTGTGTACACCCATCACCACATTGGTCAACATACTTACATGGCCCAAAATGGGTACTAAATCCTTTTCCAATACTGGTGGATTCAGGTCAATAGGTACAGTATATGCATCACCAAACTTGTCGGCCACAATTGCTTCTCCGTCATACGTGGTTATGGCATATGGACGTTTGGGCATTGGCTGTCGCTTGCTCAATGTTAGAATGTTGTCACTGTTATGGTCAATGGTGAATATGAGCACCGACTTGTCGGAATCGGTAGATGCAACAAGATGCGACTCAGTCAAAGCCAAACATTTGATATGGTTGTGGATCTGGGTCTTTGATGAGATGTGTTTTCCAGTTCGTCTTTCCAATTGATTGTTTTTATGTGGCGATTGTTGATCGTCAAACCAATGGCCCTTAACTTCTCCGGTTGATGTGCTATAAACAATGATGTGGTTCTGCACTGCCGCAAACAAAAGAGTACCTTCCTTGTTCGCTAGGAGAAGTTGGAATGGATGCTTCATCGGTACAGATTTGATATGAGCGATGAGCCTTTTTCTTTGGTTTGACTTATTTTTTTTTTTTTTCATTACAATATTATAAGCACTAAACTACGATTTACACACAAAATAATCATCTCTTTATAAACCCCCATCCATTAGCCCAACCATTCTTCGACTTTGTCTCATCTTTGCTGCTGCTACTATTGGTGCTGTGCGATACACCTACCTTTTCAAACCCAGCAACCAACTCAGCATCATTTTCCTTCTTGGCACTATCATCAACGATAAACTTGTGTGCCTTCGATTCATCAGATGGCTCTGTTCCTGTGTTGTTGGCTTTGAATGCAAAAGAATTGAAAAAATTGGCGATATTTTTATTAATTGAACCCGGTTGCTTTAAAGAATGACCGACATGTATCGGCTCAATGAAATTAAAGATAAATTCATCAGCCATAGCATGCCAGATGTTGAAATTTTCCGTCTTTTCCCAAATTTGAATGTATGTCTTGTTGAAATCGTGTAAATCCCCAATAGACAAATTCTCGTTGGAGAACCCCGGCGGTGGTTGGTTGAACCGTTTGCTGTATTGGTGATATCTCATTACTGATATTAATGAGTTTAGATAATCTTCAAATTGATAGCGAATGTAATCGTCGTTTCCAATGTAATCCTTGGTGTCGGGGTGAACAGTACTAATCAAATGATGGATAAACTTTTTATCCTGATGGGTCAATGTGAGGTAGTCTGGAGTTGATAACGTCTTTGGGTATGTGATTTCGTTGGAGTCTAAATTAATCAACAAGTCAACTCCAAATAATGTAGCTTGGTTGACAAATAGCAAGTTCGAACAGCCAATCATAAAGGAATCTACCTTCAATTCACCCAACTGCTGCAACGGTACGTACGGATTCCAAAATGAATTCTTGGTGTTGAATATTTGCAATGGGAGTCCAAAGAATCTCAACATTGATGCTCTACTATTTGAAATTAGCGACTGTGGTTTTTCCAACGGTCCATTTGTTTCAACATAGTCTATTAACGGACAACCTGAGTCATCTAAATTGTTGATTAGATTGGGGACAAGTGAAATCAAGTTGTTTTGAAATTGTGCTAAACTTTCTAAATTATCAGTTGAATAGATGAGGATCTTCTTTTCGAGAAGCAATGCCTTGAATATAACCATGAAATTGGTCTTGAACTTTAATATTGACGATCGTAGATCCAAATTGACATAATTCTCTTCCTCCAGTTCGAGATCAACGTGCAATTCATTATCCACAAGCTTGAACTGACTGTTTAAGTTGTCAAATAGATGATCCAACACCTCGGTATTATTTAGACTCTCTTGTAAGAAAAAACTCTTTGTGATGATTGACAACTTTTCTTTAATCTTTGTGAAAATCGGCTGTTTCCGTACAATTACAACCACCGCTTTCTGTACAATAGATCGAGTAATGTCCTTGTTCCGTTCTCTTTCCTCGACTGACAACTCACTAGTTCGCACCTGTCGTACGCATGAACATCCAAATAATGTCTTTAAATGTCGCGGATCACCTTGGAACTCATTCAATGCATCGAAGTCATCAATTGACTTCCCTTGATCAAAATCATAAACAAGATTGAAATTCAGAAACGTTTCTTCAAATAGGTGGGACCCATCGGGTAATGCTTGAAATGGAATATTACGAAACAAGTCCGGCGTGTATGTTGGATGATAGTTTGATCTCCACCATTGTATTTCTGGACCTCGTTGATGGTGGAAATCAACTACACATATGGCAAACACCATATCATCATCTTTATCATCTGTGTGGTCACTATTGTTGCCACTTTTCACCGACACTACTGAGTGAGTGCTTGATTCACTATTGCGTTTGATTGGCAAATTTCTAATCTGTATTGATTTCTTTCTTGTCAAGGTCGCTTCAGGTTCCGATTTTTTCACTTCCTCAGTGGATATATTCCTATGTGAACCAAGTCTTATTGGACGACATTGAAACCCATCCTCGGTAGTGGTAGTGGTAGTGGTAGTGGTAGCAGTAGCAGTTGCAGCACTAGAGTGCCTGTCAGGGGAGAAGGCTGTTATTGATGCTGGAGGCGTACCTAAGGAACTAGTTGAGGCATTCGAGGTACTTGATAGCCTTTCCCGCTGTCTCGTCAATCTCAAGGGACGTAGCTCCCCATTAGCTGGTGCGCTGGATTTCTTTTTCGGAGTCGACGACGTTGAGGAGGTTGATGAGGTTGATGAGGTTGATTTCTGAGGCGATTGGGTTGGTGATACCTCGGTTTCTTTCCGAGGGTTGCTTTCTACTGACATGTAGGTGGCATATAGGTGAGGAGTGTGTTTGTATGATATGCTCTTTGTTTCGAGCTGGTTTGAACTTTCATTTTTATTTTCTTTTATTTTTTTTTTTTCTCACGTGCAAAGTTTATTGCAAAACGCGTAGTGTGACGATATGGTGCGTGAGAAAAGTTTTAGCTGGTAGTGACTTGTCTGACTTTGAGAAGTTGTAGATTAGAAGGGGTTTCGATTGTAAAGGTGGTTCCCATTTTAATGTTTGTCATAGCAACCCCACTTATTGAGCATCGGCAGATTCTTAGAAGAAGATATGTAATGTCACTTCAAACTGAATCGTGTAGTTTATATATATATATATATATACATCAGGCAAATGGAGAATCTAAGATAATGGCTTCATTTGTGTCGTGTCGCGTCTAAGTTACGACAGCAATACGACAGCGCTGAATAATTATTACCAGAGATTAAACGTGTCATTTAGACAAGAAAATATCATTTCCAATCGGATTTATACAAGCCAATGTTTTTTATTTTTGAGCTGTATGTAGGGGAGGTAGTAGGTATATTCCCATTGATGAGTGGTTGAGTGTATACCAATCCCATATATATCTTTGTAAAAGGGCAGTGGCTGCAGTGGCTGCAGTGGCATATTTTGGGGCTTTTGTTTATTTATTGGGGTGGAACAGAAGTTTATTGTCTCAGCCTCTCGCTATTTAAAAAAGAATGACACAAATGACATCATTGAGAAATTCATTACGACAATAGTTTTTGAACTTAGAAAGAGAAACAAAGTCCCATATCATCAGAAGAGTTGTTGCAACAACTCAAGAGAGGTAGAGTGGGTGTACTTTTTGTAAAGCAAAAGCGTTAATCGTACTCTTAAAGCCTAATACCAATTGATTGATAAAATTGAATTGAAATGGAAAAAAAAAAAACAAAAAAATGTCTGAAGCAAAGCAATTTTAATATACTCTTTTTTACTCTCTTAGTCTCTACTCGTTTTATTCTTCTGTTTCTAATAGTTCTAATAGTATATTTTTATGTTTAATTTTATGTTTACTTTTATTTTTTCTTAGCCTATATATTACATATACAAATTGCTATGTGTACAAAAATAAACCCTTTTAACTATTACTACTATTACTACTACTATCTCTACTACTATTACTACTACTTATATTATTAAGAATAAATAAAATAAATAAATAAATGAAAGATGAAAAAATGCAGGACCACAAATAAAACAAAATGAAACTAAAAGCAACAATTCTTCACCTCTTGACCACTTCTATTTCTTCTTCTACTTCAACCACCAACCAATCACCCCTTACCTTCATTCAATCATGATAATCCCTACAGAAGATGCATACGCTGAACTATCCAAAAGAGTCTATTACAGTCCCTACTACAACAATGACAGCAATTGGTACCGGTATAGATGGTTATTATGGCTTTTGATTTTAATCCCCATTTTAGTATTCATGATTATGTTTTGTGTGAGACGTAGAAGATCAACTGCTAATGTTTATTACCCGCAACAACAGAACCAACAATACTACGAAAGCCACCCTTCGCAATCGTATGTTCCACCGGAAAACCCTCAGACTTACCAAACTGGTGGTTACAACAACTACGGAAATCAAGGCTATGCAGGAACCTATGAACCAAGTGGGAGTCAACAGGGTTATGGAGGGTATGGTCCAAGTGGAGGTCAACAACAACAGCCCTACTATTCAAGGGAACAAGAGTTTGATGTTGCTGGTGAAGACTATTCTCGACCTGCAGGACCACCTCCAGCACACACAAAAGCCTAGGGCTGTTATTGTTGTTGTTGTTATTGTTGTTATTTGTATTTTGATTTAGTTAATTGTATTGTTAATTGATACCCATTCCGTTGTATTATCGTGATCTTTGATCTTGTATGTATGACTTATGTAAAGAACAGTCGCAAAGACCTTAATACAAATAGTAAGTATCCCATTATTTCTAGTCAAGCATCAACCCACATCTGACAGCACCTACTTATATATAAATGTCTAAATAGTTATCGAAAATGACTCGCAAAATTCTGTTGTAAAATAGAGTCCGGATTTAGCCGAGGTGGTCCACCACCAGAAAAGATAATCTGGAGTCAAATCTCAATATCTCAATATCTCAATATCTCAATCATCAAAATAATCCAGCCTTTTCTTTTTCTTCAATAATGACGTTTGCACAAGGTTCACCATTCCCAGAGGGTGTAAAGTTTGCCTACATCCCCATCAACACTGACGACACTAGACTCATTGATCCATTGGTTTGCCAACAACCAATCACACTCAATTTAGACGATGTGATCACCTACCTCTCCACAACTAACCAACCAAAACTACTCATTGTTTCAGTTCCCGGTGCATGGACACCTACATGTGGAGAAGTTCACGTTCCACCATACTTGCAAAATATGGCATCACTAGGATCAAAAGGAATTGGTGCTGTTGTTGTTCTTGCTTCAAATGACCCATTCGTTGTCAATAGTTGGGGTAAAGTCCTCGTGAAACAATTCTATAATGTTGATGATAATGCAAAAGGAATCATGCCTAAGGTTGTTTTTGCTAATGATATTGATGGTTTTAGTCGTAAGCATGACTTGGCTAATGAAGTCAATGGGTTTTCAAGAAATAAGAGATATGCTGCTGTTGTTGATGCCAAAACAAGAAATGTTGAGTATCTTGGAGTTGAGACTGAAAGGAAAGTTGAAAAATCCGGATATGATACTGTATTAGCTAAATTATAAGTAGCTTCAACAATACAAACAATATATATTCTGCCAGGGAGGAGGTCCTATCTAAGACATACTAAGTACATCTCGTATAGAATGGGGTCCTCGCACTCCCTGCTTGCAAAATTTTTTGCAGTGGACCGGTTTTGAAGTATCTTCATTGATTCAACTTCTTCGCCCTTCCCCTCCGTATAATTCAGCTTTGTCAGAGATCTCCACTCAAACTGTCCCTGTCATTTACCCTTCGTCACAAGTCTTGGCATTATGTATTCACTAACCAGCCGATTGGGTACATCAGTAGAAGTATTGGACTTCAATTCTCAAGTCTTCAACTGCTGGATAGGTGTATTTTCATCTTTGGCGATTTAGGCAGCACTTCTCAAAAGCATCAACAAATTGCGTCTATTCTCTTGTTCTGAACCCATTGCAAACTTCTTTGTTCTCAATAACATTGATGCTGCCTAAAACATATTCTGCCAAAACCAATTGAAACTCTTATTCTGTCAACCACAACACCTATCCAAACTTGACTTGCTTCAGCTTCTATGTAATTAATGTCTATCACATCTAAATGACGTTCTTATCTCACCTCTTGCACCAGTGGTGGTGTTAATATTAGATATTGGTGATTCATCTGAATCAACTTTCTCGCAATTGGCTTTAATCTCGGGGTGAATAACATTAGGGACGATAGTGAATGGGGTGGTTATAACGCATTGTTTTGCATAATCAAATCCGGGCATAATTCTGGAAACATCAACGTTTCTTAATGCATATATTTGGTTAAATTGAGCCGGTGTGATGCAGTTGAACTTATCTCTCAACTGTGGTGGGATATCGCGTGACATGTTACTGGGGAAGCAAGAAGAAAGAAAAGAAAGGAAGTAATTGTGGTAATTTCTTTGTACAAAGTTTGTGGTTTTTAAATGTGCTGATTCTTGTGTTGGAATATCAAAATAAATTTGCAACTAAATATATACATATACATATATATATATGTATACACTATATACAATTATACCTTTTAATTTTTAATTATTATACACAGACACAGACATAAATTAGTAGTTTTGTAATATTCTACTACAGCTTACATTGGGTGAGTGTATAATTGTATAATCTGCAGTATTTGGCATAATTAAAACTCTTTATATCTAGAGATGCAAGTTGGCTTACATAGACAAAATCAAATACAGAAAACAGAGTAATGTTTAATAGTAAATACAACATGGCCCCTTAAGTATACATCAGTAACTACTTAATGACATATGTTAAGAAAGATTCGGCCAAAATACTTGTTTAAAGTCTTTGTCAGTTTTTGCAACCAAAAATTCCATCAAATCTAATTACAGCAACACTAAGAAGATTCAATTCTGAGCCATAGCTGTAGAAGACCGTCTTTTGTGAAGTGATAACGCTCTAGCTTCATTTTGTTGTTACAAGAAACTCTTTCAAGATGTAAATGCTATTCTTTATGATAGATAGCACAAATGCCCATTTGGTATATAGATCTACTTAGTACATCGGCTAGTTGGTACATAGAATCACTATAGGTTTGGAACAAAGTCGATCATATTCCCAAATCACTAAAACGTACATTTGATAATTCACAATGTACAGGTTGTATGCTCACTTGTGTTGCAACGTTCTGGAAACACAAAATTCAGGTATCGGTAGCATTTAATGTCCCTCGTCTCATTATTCATTGTAAAACTATCTCACATCACACAGTGTGTGTGGTATCTATTAAAGACTGAGCTCTTAAACTGTCTAATGGATCCACAGTCGATACATATCTAGTGGAAATCATCAAACACTACAGTTCGTGAAATGAAGTGGCAATATTACCTCTCCATAACTCGTAATCACTTCCTCACTGGTTTCTTGTGAATATAGACACAACATGTAGCGGAAGCTCCATCTATAGATCAATCCCCGATTTTGAATTGACCCATTAGATACTCTGAAAAAGAACCCACGTTTACTTCCCAACACATCAATCTTTTCACCACCCAATTCAGGAGTTATTTTGTGGTGAAATAATTTTTGTCTGTCTTTCTGTCTGTCTGAGAATTAGCTTCTATGGAATTCTCTTATTACGTAAGTGGAGTTCGTGTCTGCATATAGCACTGTTCCGCAATTATAAATTTTAGACAGAAACACACGCACTCCGTGGGATGGCAAGTCAGACAGACATTTTATAGTGCGACTCCACCAAAAAAAAAAAGAACACATCCCCATAAAAGCCAACTGTTTCCTGCGGCGATAGCTTCAATTTGGATGGGATAAGCCACGACAGGACTCAATTGACACCAATGGTCCTACCATTTGCTCTTAGATACACCCAATGCCATTTGTTGGCTCGTCTTTTCCTGTTTGCTGTGGCCAAAATAATTTTGTGTCTGAAAAAAATTACAGTAAGGCTCTGTGTTTCGTCATAGGACACTTTGGGCTGTGAGTTTCCCAACGCCGAAACAATTTTCACTTTAAATACCAAACTCAATTCCTCAACTTAAATTTTTTTTTTTTTACCCTTCTTTTCTCTTTTGCCTTTCACTTATTCTTATTCTGCTTTGCAAATCTCGATTCCAAAGTTACTGAAACAATGACTAACGTTTTTTTTGATGTCTCCGCCGATGGCCAACCATTGGGCAAAATCACCTTCAAGTTGTACGACGATGTCGTTCCAAAAACCGCTGAAAACTTTAGAGCTTTAGCCACTGGTGAAAAAGGATTCGGTTACAAGGGTTCAATCTTCCACAGAGTCATTCCACAATTCATGTTGCAAGGTGGTGATTTCACCAATTTCAACGGTACTGGTGGTAAATCAATTTACGGTACCAAGTTTGCTGATGAAAACTTCACCAAGAAGCACGACAGACCTGGTTTGTTGTCAATGGCCAATGCTGGTCCAAACACCAACGGATCTCAATTCTTTGTCACCACCGTTCCATGTCCATGGTTGGATGGTAAGCACGTTGTGTTTGGTGAAGTCACCGATGGTTTCGATGTTGTTAAAAAGATTGAATCATACGGTTCTGGAAACGGTGCCACTTCTAAAAAGATCACCATTGAAAACTCTGGTCAATTGTAGATCATTGTATAGTGTGATTGAATAAAATGACTTGTCTTTGTTGCTTTATTGTAGAACAGGTCTCTGCAAGGTGGGATATATCATGCTTGAAAGGGTAGGTACATTTCCCAAATCGATCCCAGTCTTGACACACGGTTAAGCTTAGCTTAATAGGCAGTGGCTTATCTTACGTAGACAAGCTTTTACTCTTATCATGATACGTTCTTTTAAAAAATGGTTGCAAAAATTTTTTTCTCTATGCTCTAAGCGAAGCCTGTAGGAGTGGAGTGCTTCTATTTTGGTAGCTAAGGACCCTATTCAAGGTTAGTGTGATTGAAGGAGAAGAGTGAACTAGCAGATTCATTTAGAGCCCTTTAGGATCAACGGTCTGTGTTCCTGCTTCGCTAGGTAGGTTTACATTCTGATTTCGTTGGATCATCTGCCAAATTCATTCAACAAATCAGCTTGAGTCGACATAATAATCGTGTAACTTGTCACGGTACTGTACTTGATGTAAAGCAATTAGAAACATGAGTGTATGTCAATGCAAGAGAGCTATTCAATAGAGTACTGGATTCGTCCTCGGTATGTTTTGTAATGTCATTTTTAACATTGTCGCGTAAAAGTCAGTCACAATCTCATTATAGTAAATCAGTGATTATCTGTTCACCAACCTTATGTATTGTTTCTCTTAGCCATAATGGAAAGTGCTTCCTTACGCTCCAAGCTCTGAAAGAGTCATTTACTAAGAAGGTTGTTTTAAGTCGATGTTGGTTTCTCCAATTCAGCGAAGGAGGAATATCAAATGAAACGGCCTTGAAGTAGTTTACAATTGCACCAAGAAAGCAAGGAGAGTGTTGAAGTTCCAAATTAACAGATGCCACCGTAATTGTAAAAGTTAGAGAGAAAAAGAGACCCATTTTCGTATTAATAGATCTATTAAATTAAAATAAATTATACGATAAACTCCTTCTCCAGAAGCTCGATCACTTGCTCATTTCTGAATTCATATCTCAACATAAGAAATAAACAAAAGACCTTCATAGCAATGTCAATCAATTTAATGGCAGTTGTTGGTTCTAATTTGTTTATTAGAATTATATTGTAGATTATGACAATCTTTAGTAGATCATCATTTAAATTCCTCAATTTGCAGTTCCATGTCATATCCTCTCGATCAATAGTGGTTTTTTTGGAGTTGTCAATGGCGTACATCAAGTACACGATAGTTGTCTCTATAAGTATGGCAATCTTGAGACTCTTGTGCAAGAAATCACACATCAAAACAAGTACAGATGCAACATTAATAGTAATAAATAATAGTGATTCAAAAAGAGCATGAGAAGTTGTCCTTGAGGAGGTGGCAATTGGTTGATTGGCTGATAAAGTTTTCCATGGCGAGAATCGAAGTAAAAACAAAAGGGTTACTGCCTGTGATATTATGAAAGTCGATGACATAAACATCTGTAGTTGTAGTTGGCTAATTATTTCCTCAAACCAACTTGTCCAATAGCTCATATCCATTTTTAGTATATATATGTGGATGGAGGGGGGGGGGTATATGTTGATATAAAATGACACTTGTCTTGAAATAAAACTCTTTGGTGTTGTTTAATAAGTTTGGTAAAACTGTTCATACCTTTGGGAATACATGAGAAGAGGGGGGTCCTTGACCATTTATATTAGACATTAAATGCGGTTTATTGTTCTCCTTTGTATTATGTATGTATGTGTGTATTAATTAAGTTTGTGTAATAATGGTGCATATATATATAAAAGAACAAAGACCATCAAATGTTACACAATACTAATAAAGAGTATAATAAGAATAATAATATCCTTTATTATTTTTGAACAATTTACACATCCTTCCAATCCCGTGGACCACGTTGCTTTGGAGATATACAACACCAAAGAAAAAAAAACGGCACAACAAGTGGTATGTTTCCATGATTTGCCTGAACATAGATCACACTGGACAGTTTTTTCTACTACGAGTATGTCTCTACTCTTACAAATTGCTTTGAGCAAAAGCATAACAAACAAAAACATGTTCTTGTTTATGTTTTGGTTTCTGTTTGTTTTTTTAAATTTTGGTTAAAAAAGAAGGCAACGTGGGGTCTCTCTTTCTATTTCTGTAACAAAAAGCTGTTATGAGAGACTGAAGGGGTTTAACTTTGAAGAGACTAAGTTAACTAACTTAAAACAATAGCTATCAAATAATTGAGTAAACATCCTGCATAGTCTAAAATAATTTCACACGTTTCTAGTTTTGGGTAGTTTATTGTTTGTGCCAAAAGAAAACGTGGGCAAAAAAGCAAAAAAAAATGAAACAAAACAATTAAATTAAATTAAATTAGCGCACGTGCCTCCTCCAGTATATGCAATTACGTAAGAAATAAAATCGAAAGCAGATCCTTTTGCCTAAACAGGAAGGAGAGGATCCACAGCACACGTTCACCAAGGATCACAAGACTGTCTAAACTCTTTTTTTCTATTTACATAAATTGCTCAAACTTTCTGGTGTTGAAGACCTTAACTTTTTCAACAGCTAGTAGTTCAATGAGTCACATGACAGAACTGGAATCCATGTGGTATAAGTGAAACACATTTGTATGACCAAGTACCCACACAAAAAGTTTGATTTTTGTTGAGATGACCTGAACCGACTAAGAATCTTACGACAAAGGATTAGTAAAAACCTTAAAGTCATAGCTAGCTAGCTTCTCTCACTCAAAAAAACTTTTATCACCAACAAAGACCCTAAAGACCCTTTCTGAAGTATTGGAGCCAACCACATCCGAAGCAAGAAAACTGAGGCAAACTCCACTTTTCAATATTCCTCTTCACCTCTTCGTCACACGATACTTATCGAAAACCACAAAAAATACTGTCTCTGAAGAGTAAGCCTATGTGCATTTACGAGATAAAAAGGTTTGGTTTAAAGTAGGCCAAAAAAAGAATTGGATAACACAAAACTGACCACGCGTAAGTCTTAAATTTATAAAAAAAACTAAGGCGGGTCCTCATCGTCACAAATTGCAATACCATTCACGATTAGGGAAGTTTGTGGTTTGTATCGTAAAAGTTTAAAGCATATATGCAAATGCTATACATAGCTAACGAGGCATTTTGTTTGGTTTTGCTTTAGGGTAAGGCGAACAAAACTTTAGATTTTTTTGTTCCCAATCGCTTCCTAATACCGTACTCCGGTAATGTCAAGTTAAGAAAGAACCACTAGTACTTCAGAGAACACCCTTCAGGTTGCCTATTGGAAAGAGTTTAAATGATTCTGCAAAAATGTGCTCATACCTTTTGGATATAGCTTATATTATTGTGCCAAAGTGTCTATTATGGAATAAGATTGCCGAAAATATACTCCAAACACAAACCAAAAGAGTTTACAGCTCTAGGCAAGTCTACGATCTCTCAAATTTCTAAGTGAGCCCACCCACTTATTTACGAACCAACTAGTGAATGTACCCAGCTTACCTTGTTTGTATACCTAACATAGTACTATTAACTCTTAATTGCCCGTGTCTAAAACGAATGAGAAAGTACATTGGTTGAGCTATAATGGTCGTTGGCTCTTTAGAAAAATTGTGAGCTGGCTTAACACATCTATCCTGACGCCTTGTGCTCTAACACAGTCTGTTAGTGCTCATGTTATCATGCAAGAATTCTACAATAACATTCCAAGAATTTTTTAACCTAATCAACCACACTACTATCGAAATTTATATTAAGAGTCGTTGTGTTTAAAATAGGAGCTTATATGTTCCAACCAATGCTACAGCAATCTTGTTGTTTTCTTCTCTAATTGTCATTTATTCTTGGCAACAGTCGCCACACAAAGTATCAATTTGCAACCGCCTTATCGAGATTGATTCAAGGTATCTAATCAAAGTCCCGTGGTAGCTAAGAATCGATAGATGAAAGTATTGTCCAACCCTATTCTCATTTAAGCTTCTGAAACTTTGTGACCACCACTCTGATCTTCTATTTCATCACTACAATTACACACTTTTTCCAAGGGATTAGCCATCACTATTTAAGAAATCATGACTAAAGTGATTGACATCAATTTTCCTCTATCGGAACATTCCTATAGCTAGTCCTTTCTTTTACTCTTTTACTTAGTCAAAAAGAAAAAAGCAAAGACATACAAACTATTCTAGTTGCGCTCATCAAACGTATTAATATAGGTACTTTGCGTGCAAAGAAATCAAAAACTGTGATATCATACAAAACAATAACATAGGCATAATAGAGTGGGGGTTTATTGTTGCGTGCATTTGCACGTCCATTCATAACCAGTACCGCTCAAGGTTCCATTTCAGCTCCTTTTGTCTCACTGCTTCAAATAAACAGTTTCCTATTAACAAAGTGTTTTTCATCGTTTCAAGAGATCGTCTATTGTCGTGTGACACTACGCCTAATTAGAAATTAAATTCTTTTATTGTACAATACTCAAGTTTAGCCGAGGGTACATTTTTACCAAAAGAAATAAAAACAAAAGCAAGAATAGGAGAGGCTCAGGGTATCTACTATTGGATCGTCACCTTTAACAAATTTTTCATTGCTTCTCTTGCCATAATGAGAGGCGTCATCACTCTCAGTAGAATATTAATACTAAACTGACGGTTGTTCGTATCGGTTACCTCTTTGAACCGCCATTAGTAGGTTTGTATTGTTATTGACAAAGAAAAGTTTGTGTATATGCATTCGTAATTTTATTTCAAAAATTTGGTGTGAGGCTAAATTTAGTAACAATTACAAATTTGTGTAACTTTGCATTTGCTTCTTTTTATGTTCTTCTTCTTCACATTGTTCACCCCTTTTCTTTTTAAGAAAAATTTTCTCGTTTATGCTGTGTGAAAAACATAGAACAATCTTGCATTGAGATCATCTTCTTGGTTTCTTTCATAAGAACGCAGTATCTAGCACTTTCTTCTTATGTTATATTGCAATTTTTGGTACACTTATTTGCTTTAGGTAAGATCTCAGCACATTCATTCAATGGTTTTTGTAAACTGTACGGCGTTTAATGATCTAGAATACACAAAATTGAAACATTTTTAGCGCCAGTGCTTTATGGTTTAGATGGTCAACATTTTGAAGTCTCAAAAGTGACAAATTAAAACAGGCAGAAGCAAACAGTATATATATAGTTTTCTTCGTCGATATTTTAGTCCACTAGATCCTCTACAAAGAATGCTTCTGCAGATATTCTTTACTTTTAATCGTCTTGATATCGATAAAATTTTACAGTTTTACTCATAAACCACAAAGTTGGACTTCTTCGTTTGCTATAACTTCAACAACTATAACAGCATCATTAGAGTATCTCCCAATTCACAAGTAGGAGCTTTCATAAAATGTTCAGTGACTATTGGGCAATTATTGAAGATACAGTCAATGACTCACCTACCTTATGCCGCCTTCAACCCACCATCTTCATTAATTAAAATTGTCATTTCACAGTGTGTTACCCTAATATTTATACCTAGGTTTTCCCCATCAACAAGAAGACCATCCAGATGTAACCAAGGAAAGCCTCCCAGTACCGCTGGTATATTGTTTGAGGTGTTATTATGCATTACAGCCAACGCTGCTTCTTTATACACTATTGGATTCACTGGTGGGTCAGAGTCTATTTCTACTGGTTTGAGAGTTGCTGTTACTATTCAAGTAATCATCATTTATGCCTTATTCATCTTTGAAATTTTCTTTTAGACAAAAACAGCTCCAGACTTGATAAGAAACTAGAGGAGACAAGTGTGGCTGTATCCAATGAATCAACTTGGTACAAACCCCTACGCAACTTGAATAATGCTTTTCTCAAGATTATCCTAGTGTACAATTTCATGATGATTGATGATCTAAATGAGAGTTGGGTGCTGAAGTTGGTGGAATTTGGAGTGAAAATATATTGTTTATGGATCATGTTACGATATGAATTCAAAAAAGAGGAACCAAGGGAAGTGGTGTCTTACATAAGTGAAAAGATTTGATGAGTTTTGTTTAGCGTTTGCTTCAAGATAGAGTCCCCCCCATATTCCCATTGTCCAGAAGTGCTTATGGAGAATCTGACTATGTGATCATGATCGTTAGCGATAAACATTCAATGTTGTATACATTAGGTGTGGAGTCATTAGTTGACACATGCTTCTATCGCCAGATCACTAAGACGTAGCACTACAAGCATTATATATAAACTGTGTACTCTCCTGTGATTCTAACCTTTGCCAACACGATAAGATATTGCTCACCTCATTATCACACCCTCAAGATATAGAAAAATGTAACTACTTGGGTTCATCAATTTTCATTCTTCAGTCTTTTTGGCTTAGAAACCACTTTCGTTTGAAAGAATTAGAGTCCATATCTAAGCATAGTTTAACAATTTGGATCGTAAGTAACAGCACTAAGTTTGCAATTGCCAGATTGGATTATAGTTGTAGCCAATCAAAACCCATTTATCGGAATAAAAATTTGAGAGCCAAGAAACACAGTCATATTAAATACTCGTACCTTAGCAACCAAGGAAAGAGATTTGCGGAGTAAGTAATTTTGGACACCCCGCATATTCTCTCCTTTGATGGAGGAGAGAATATAGTATATCACATACGCAGCTGTGCAATTCCCTCTGCATTATTTTATAAAACTTTGGATTCAAATTTTAGAAACCAGTTCTTTAAAAAATTCACCTCAGACCGTCATCAAACATGACTAAGAAGCGGCTGGCTTGGTAACCAAGTTGTTGAGCTGAATATGAGTGGTTGTATAAGAGACCTTTTAGTGAACTAAAAATAGATTGACCGTTTCTATCAAGAGTCTAAAGTTGTTTGGGAATAGGGCTTTACTGGGGCACTAAATTTTAAGTCACGCACAAGTTCTGAGGCGTTGCTTGAAGTAGAAGGGCTTAAAGATGCTGCGCAAAGTCATTTGGAATGTAAGGTATAAAAACCATAAGGCGCAGTGCATCTCACAAGTCATATGGTACAGAAGTAATATGATATCTTTCCTTCTTTGTGTAAGATTCTATTAATAGTATTATAATTTTCTCTTTTTCTCATGATTGTTAGATTTAGAAAATATGTCAAAAGAATGAAACATAAGGTGTGGATGTCTTGTTACATATACACTAACAGAAATTGCAACACCAAAAGCTATTACAAAAAAGTCCTTATTGGCGTTAGACAATCAAACGACTTTAGGTATACTGTAAGAAAGGACACTTGCTATGTGAAATTACATTGTTCATTATCCTTACAAGAGCTATTTCAATTGAAAAAGAGGATGTTTGCCAAGAAATTATTCCACATTTGGTATTTTGTGTTTTAGTAGAATTGTTTTGGTGTTTTGCAACAACTAACACTCCTTGAAGAACAGAGTATAGAAAATTCCAATATAAAGCAAAATAAAACTAACGATCTATAGGCGCTGAACATATACTAACAATCTATAGGCGCTGAACATATACCGAAGAAAACATGGTTGCTATAGACTCCAAACTTGGTAAACATAGAGTATACATACATGGACCAAGCGTCATACAGACTCCACCAATTTCATTACATTGTGTTTCAACTAATCTAAAACTATTTATGTCAAAAGAATTAATTGGACTAAAACACGCCGTGATAGCTTCTCCGGTAATAGTGGTTATATAAATAGACGAGGATTATCCCACACATCTCATAACTCTTACACTCTATAGAAACTTATTTTTTTCATTATCATTCGTTCACAACTACAGAGATTGAAAAGATGAAGTTGGCCACCAGTATCTCAGCTTCGTTATTGACGTTGACTCCTATGATATTAGCTGCTTCTGCTGATGCAGGAAGCTTGAAAATGGATTTCAATATCAGAAGAGGCGCTTCAAGAGAAGATTTGTCCCCGGTTGACGATGTCGACCCTAGATTCGTTAAACGTTCCGACGAAGATGGAGCGGTGGAATTAGAGTTGATCAACAATCACACTCTTTATTTGGCTGAGTTGTATGTTGGCTCCAACGAAGAAAAGGTTCAAGTACAAATTGATACAGGTAGTTCCGATCTTTGGTTTATGTCTAGTGATGTCCAATGTGAAAAGTCGAACTCAAGCAAGAAAAAGAGAGATGAACCATCAAAATCGGAAAATGTTGACGCCAACAAGCGCGACGACGATGATGAGGGCGACATCTTGCTGTATATTTCTAGTCATCCAGAAATCACCGACTTACCAGCCCCAGGCGATGATGGTATTAGTGTTAGTTCAAACTCTGCAGAAGGACCCAACACCTGCACGGTCTATGGTTCATTCAGCACCGATGATTCCGATACTTTTGTCCAAAATGGTACAGAATTACTTTTCGTAGCATATGCTGATGGTACTAGTGCCTCAGGAACCTGGGGTCATGACACCGTGAAAGTCGCCAATATTTCGGTATCTGATGTAAGTTTCGGTATTGTTAACGACACCAACATTCAAGTTGGAATATTGGGTCTCGGGTTACCTGGGTTGGAATCCCTTAGTGTGAATGGCAGCACATATGAAAATTTACCGCTTAAAATGAAATCAGACGGGGCCATTAAAAAGGCATTGTATTCTTTATACTTGAATGGAGCTGATGCCAAGACTGGGTCTATTTTGTTTGGTGCTATTGATCACGCTAAGTATGAAGGTACTTTGGAAACATTGCCAGTGTTGGAAAGTGAGGGCGACATTGAAGGTCAACCTCTGTACTTCATAGTTGCATTAAATTCCATTTCGTTTAATCATGAGGGTACCGTAAAAAACTTACTGGATAACTCAACCGGTGTCTTATTGGACTCCGGATCGACCTTGTCATATGTGCAACCAGAGGCTGCAAAGGCATTTGCTGAAGAGCTTGATGGTGAATACTCTGAAAGTGCTGGTGCTTATGTCATTGATTGTAAATATAAGGAATCAAATTCAACGTTGGATATCAAGTTTGTTAACAAGACCATTCACATTCCATTGCCGGAGTTGGTTTTGAAATCTGATGGCAAATGCTACTTGGGAATTTTGGAAGACACAAATACAGGAACATTATTTGGTGATAATATATTGAGAAGTGCTTATATTGTCTACGATGTGGAAGACACCGAAGTTCATATTGGCCAAGCTTATTACACAGATGACGAAGATATTGAAGTTGTTGATGGAAAAGTCAACACTGCCGGAGGACAAAATTCAACAGTAATAGATGGAGGAAGTGCATCAAACTCAAATGGAACTAACTCATCTGGGTCAAGCAACTCGACATCAAGTGGAACTAGCTCAACTTCATCAAGTAAGACGTCGTCAAGTGGTACTAGCTCAACTTCATCAAGCAAGTCGTCGTCGAGTGCAAACTCAAACGATGGGTTGTCGATCTTCAACTTGTCATGGGTATCCATGCTCGCTGGTTTGATGGTCTCGTTTAGCTTATTGTAGATCTACTTTTTATTCTACGTTTTCTGTCTAATAAGAATCCAATATCCAATTTAGAAAAGTTATCTCGATGTAGAATTATTTCTGGAAACATTGAACTTGAGGCTTTTATTCTTCCACTTCAAAACTCAAATGAAATGACATATCTCTGTATGCTACAACTGTATCATTTTGTTAACTTGTAGAATCTGTTGGGCCTCGACAGAGCCTACATACTAAATTAGAAACTATACAAACCAATAATACTCTATTGTTTGAAGAGCCCTTGCATCATACTACTTTTCATAATATGATGTGAGGAAGCCACATACACTGAGTTTCCAGGTCCAAGCCTAAGGGTATTCTGATGGTTTTAACTCTTAACCCCCAGTTTTGGTGCTACTTTTCGTTAACCAGTCTCCTAAATCAGAGAGCGATTCTCTTTTGATAATTTCTATATATAGATGAAACAGACTATACAAATGTCGCGTTGAGCTTCTCAAAAAAGGGCAGCTTTGTGTAATTATTTCACAATACCCAGACATTAGTTTTAACCCTCTATGCGTAATTAATATTCAGCAGTGCAAAGTGAAAGCGTGGGGAAGAGATCCTAGCAGTGTACTTGATATTGGTAGAGTATATGACTTGGAACTATATTCATCATCTCTGATAAATAGTTGGCTTTGTATATTTACGCACAAGGTTAAGGTTATGACAGATGTCGTAATTTTTAAAAAAAAATAAAATAGAAAAGTCTTGGCTATTTTTAGTAACAGTTTACAATAGTTTTGTGTAATTCCGTTTAGCCATGGAATTCCCAAAAATGAAATCCTTCAGCGGAATAAAACACGACTCAATACAGCAACTACCACAGACATTTATAAATATAATACAATGCCTACGGTCATCTTGGAGCTGTTATAATTTCACTTTTGTAATTTTGTACAGAAAAGAGCCATTTAATCTTTTGTCCTCTCCTTTTGTTTGATTCCGATAGTTGACATTTGCATACCCGGGTTTCATGCAACTGTATCGTAAATTTACTTCAACTAGACATATAACAAAGAAAAAAACTCAACCCCAATAAAGATACAAGTAAAACAATACTGAATAAAGAGTTGAAGAAATAGTGTATAAAGTCTGTATAACTCTGTTCGCTTTTTAAGTGCGATATCCTTCCACAACGATGCAACGTTGTTTTAAACTTTGGTCACAAGACTCTTCTTCTTTTGTTGCACGTTTGTTCGGCTGTATATTTGAACAGAAATAACTAAACGAGGTCGGCTTTTCATTAAATGCCGCAAATCATTTCCTCTTATTTTTTTATTTTTTCTTGTTCTATTTTTGGCACGTTCTGCCACATTTTTTTTGGGGGGGGATCAAGGGCTGTGTGGTTAGCTCATGCTCCAATAGAGCCCCTCTTCCCTATTTAGATCTATACTTAAAAGGTGCAATGAATTATCCGAAGGGCGGAGAAAGTCTTGATCCAAATGGCATTTCTGTCCAGATGACTTTTATAAATAACTTTGTTCCAACAGAAGTGCCGTTTAAAAAACATCCAAAGTGAAGCAAAAAGAGGCTGAAAATCAACTATTTATAGCTTTAAGGGCTTTTTTGTGTGTTACCAGTGCAGGCACTTCTCTAACAAAAAAGTACCTCATCACTCCTATTGCTTTGTTTTTTTTTTGATTATGTTTTTGGTGGATAACAATGCAAAGTTTACACAAACATCAAATCAACTTACCGCCGTGCTCTTTTTTGATTGTTACAGTCTCTTGAAGGCAAAGTAACAAAACAGTCAACCACAAAATAGTATTTATAAATAGATGTTGTTTTACTCTATAGTAATTCTACTTAAATGTCAAGAGATCCTGCATTTTTCAACCAAAGTTCTCTAGACCAACTTTACTGTTACAGTTTCCACACTCTTTAAGCTTTGCATAATTTTAGAAGTTGACTCACCTTCGTCAGGTATTGCTAACTTCACCATTAAAAAAGGTTGTGGAAATATCAACAACCCCAAACTTCATAGGCACCGTCTAGTAATCACTGATTGCAAACAGACTTCAATACAAAATGAGTACAGACTATTGGACAGGTATCCAGCAAATAGTTAATGATACTTATCTACCATACACTCCCTTCAGTTCTTCATCTTCACTAATTAAAATTGCCTTTTCGCAATGTGTCACCTTATTATTTATGCTCCGATTCTTCACACCAAAAATTTCTAAAAAACACAGTCTAATAACGCATTCAAACACTAGTAGAATATTGTTTGAAATGGCTTTATGTATTGCAAATAATGTTGGTTCTTTATCCATTATCGCATCGGCTGCAGACTCAAGATATTTTACTATTGACTTGAAATATGCCCTTGCTATTCAAGTAATCATCATTTATGTCTTGTTCATCCTTGACGTATTTGTTTTTGACACAAATGGCGTCCAGCGTAATAAGCAAGAAGAAGAGGATAGTGTGGCGTTGTCTGAAGAAGAAATTTGGTATAAATACCTACGCAACTTGAATAATGATTTCCTCAAGATTATCCTCAGTTACAACTTCATCATGATTACGAGTCTAGACGAAGGATTGACGGTAAAATTGGTAGACTTTGGAATAAAATTGTACTGTTTATGGATTATGTTACGTTATGAATTCAAAAAAGAAGAGGAAAAAGAAATGGTTTCCGACACAAGTGAAAAGGTGTGACTGGGACTTAGGTTTATATTTAAGTAGAGATTTACATATATAAATGTTCTTTTACGGTAATACTACTTGTAACTTCTTATAAAAAATCCGTCAAAGAGGCAGTTAGTATCAGCATTATCGTCGTTGTAGTCATCCATTGAGTGTCTGTCATTATCTTCGTCATCAGATCCACTACTGCTTTCGGACAGCTCTTCTTTATGGGAGTGACTCTCATCATACTCATTGTCATACTCATCAACTGCTCTCATTTCAACTAATTTTTCTTCATCAGTGTCAACCCAGGAGGAGAAATGTCGTGAATAGGTCTTCAAAAGATCAACCATTTTCTCATTCTCATCCTCACTTCCATCCTCGCTCGTTATCCCATCATAATTGTTTTTCTCTTCCACCCCTTGCCTCCTTTTGCTATCTTTTTCCTCCTTATTCAACTCCTTCTCCCATTGATTCAACCTCCTAATATCCCCAGGAAATATTTCAGTCTCGCCATCGAGCAACATAAATAATAACCCATGCTCATACATTCGCAGTTCCAACACATCATGATCATCAATTTCCTTGGTCTCCAATCTTATTAACTTGGATTCAAAGTCCTCATCGAGTGTGCCATCAACAACAGAGCCAAATTTCCCATTTTGATATTGATGCAAATTGTGAATAGTTGGAATCGTTCTTTGGTTTGGTTTCCGAATCAAGTTGCCGAATGCTGGCACAGAAGTAATATTGGTGATGTTGTTAAACCATCGACGATGTCCGTATTGATTTGAGTAAACTTTCTTCACCAATGGTTTATCAAAGTTAAACGTGGTATTAGGACGTGAATAGCCCAATTGAGTTATGCTTGATTTGATGTTCCTAGGAAGTATGGTGATGAGCTCAGTGGGTCTTGAGATGACACCTTGTGGTACATGATCCGGCTTTTTCGTTTTGGTGTTGACGATATTTATCAAGATATCTTTTGTGATTTTTTTCACAAGATTTTCCAATACTTGACACAATTCATCGTCACAACATTTACCAAACATTGTTGACATATTCAGTCGATTAATCAACGTATCTGTGTCATCAACTGAAGCATCATCATTATCAACCGAAACCTCATCGCTAGTCACTGCTTCATAATTTCCCTCTGCACCCATCAACATACTTTGTTCATCCTCATATTTGATGAAATATTTCAGCATCTCATAAGCAGCGGGAATTTCTCCATATTGCACCAACCGACTGTTGCATTCCTTCAAACCTGTTACATAACCCCTTCTCACTCCCTCCTTCTTTTTCAAGTTTTCCAACTCGCGTTTCAATAAGTTATAATAGGTGGTAATTTCCAATTCAGATTTGCACATGGATAAACTAATCATGTCCAACTGATGAATAGAATATCGAGCAAGCAAAGTAAAGAATAATTCCTTTTCTGCACCTGACCAAAACTGCCCAGGATACTTTGATTCATTAGGGTATGATCCGCCGTAATTGATTTTCAGTGATGATAGTGGCAATTCGGGAATGCATTTCGTAGGGTCAAATGTCTCACATACAAATCGATTGTAGAATTTTACATAATTGACATTTGGTTGACGCAATGGCCGCTCTTTTATTTGTCTTGAGTCGTTATCACCATCATCGTTGTTCTTCATCACACTTGTTGAGGCATCGCCACTATTTGTAGGATCTTGTTCCGGTTGCGTGTTTGATTCGCCTTTCGTCCTCTTCTGTTGTCGCTTCTCTTCAGCTTGTGCTGTTCGTTTGCGTTTCCTATCAATCAAAAAAGTGCCATCTTGTGATACCTCTTCAACGTCTTGAGGTTTCTGACTCTCTGGTTCAGACCCATCGTTAGGCTTTGCCACTATTTTGCTCGACTTGAGTTTCTGCTCCAGTTTTTCTTTAAACTCTAGCAAGGATATGCGGTCTTGTCGAGGCTTGTTCAATTCTAGCCTCCAATTATCCAATTCCTCCATTATGGCATCACGATCAAGTCGCTTCTTTAGTCGAATGTTTTCCAAATACCCTTCTAGTTTTGCTATCCTTTTTTTCAATCTGTCTTCCAACTTGTTTTGCCTTTGTTCTTCGTGTATTGCCTGCTTTTGGGCTTTCTCTTCAAACTTGGCTGGCTTTATTTCCATTCTGTCACACCTCCTATGTTCAATCTGTTCCAGTTGTTTGTGCTTTAATAGATTATCCTGTCTGCTTATCTTTCGTCGATCAAAATCTTCTCCTTTTAGTCCAAGGTGCTTTTCAATGCGTTCGTTTATTTGTTTATCTCGATTCTGTCGTCCTTCCCTTGCATCCGGCACCTCTTCACTGGAATACTCGTTTAAATCGGATGAATCTACTAACAGGTCTGATGATACCCCCGGTGATGATTGATCTGCATTGAATGATGGGTTGTTTTTTCTCAGTCGACTACAAGACCCACTTCCAAAAATCATGTCAAAATAGCTGACTGGTTCACTCCTTCCCGCTGGTTCATCAGTAGCATTGCCATTGGACAAAGATTTTTGCGTCGAATGTCGTAGTACTTGCTGCTCACCTTGTGGCTCCTCTCGAACTTGCTTCTCATTGGACTCCTCTAATGAATGTGTTTCCTTCGGTTGACCATTTGATAACCTTGGTTGTATTTGCGTCAAAGTTGGAAAACCTTCAACTTCACTATCTCCACTACTCTCACTGGATGTCGAGTAGGGTAGCTGTATAGATGTCATATGAACATTTGCTGAACGATAAAGGACCAACTTGAAGATTGTTTTTGATTGAAAAAAAAAAACAAATGGTTTAAACCGTGATGCGCATCGGATTCATTGATCTCTTTACAAACGCAAGAAGAGAGATGCGAAATCTCTATATTTCCTATACGCTAAGCTATACACATCTGACTTTATATTTAACTCTTCCTCAGTCATGTCATATCTTCATTTCATCCAATGATTTACCAACCGCATCATCCACTTTCTCATTGTTCCCCGGTTTGTTAATTGTATCCACAGTCAGCCGTGAAGACTCTTCATCTGTGTCTACCCATTCGTCGTCTGAACCTGCTCGTACTCCACTTGCCTCTGGTTCATTGTTGCGCAATATCTCAGGTAAAAACGGTTTCGCCACATCTTCCTCCACATCGTTTCTCATGTCTAGTAGACCAATCAATTCGACATATTCTTCAGGTACAAGTCCATTTTCACCTGTTTCTGGGTCCTCGGCAACTAGCCACCCTTGACCATGTCTATAACTGATCCATATCAATTGGCCTTCGATTAGACCAATTTCATTGTCATTTTCTGGTTGGAAATCAAAAATTGCGCGAGCTTCACAATTTATCTCGTCTTTTTCATACTCGTCATCGTCATCTTCTTCCTCTTCTAATTCACCTTCATAATCGTATTCGTCGTAAGTCCTGTAGTTCGAGGTTCCATGATGTCGCGATCGACGGTCGGAGGTAGCCGAAGAAGATGTGGTGGATGTGTTATCGGATGAAGTTGCCTCATCATCCTCGGGTAGCTCATAATCACTAGATACTCGTGTCTTTCGAAACCGCTTAATCGACGCCGTGAAATGTAGTGGGTGTGATTCAGGGTATCCAAAATCTTTTATCTTGGTAGTTGGTGGGAATCTAGGACTCATTGTAAAACTCCAATTGTTGGTGATGATTATGCCGTGGAGATATTATCTGTTGTTGGCGTTGGCGTTATGTTGTAGATATACTCAACGCTAGAACCCTCTTTTCAAAAGCTTCGCCACCAGGACCCCTTCGTGGATAATGATAGTTCTAAAAATAGCCAAAAAGCAAAAAAAAACAAAAAATTGCACCGAGAAAACAAAAATCCAACTGCCTCTGTCACACAAAATGGAAAAAAAAAAAGATTAGCAGCCTAAAATCTTCGAAAGTATGAGAGGTATGTGTTGGGTGTTAAATTGTGGATTATCTTGGTGTGTCTTCTTGAATTCAACTCGCAGTAATTTTGTTCAACAGTTATTTGTTTTTTCGTATCGTAAAGTGAAACACAAAAGATTTTTGGTTTTTTTTTTTTCTTTTCTTTTCCTTTCTTTTTTTTTGTCTAAAGAATTTTTTTCTGGTTTATTATTTTGGTCTTTCAATGTCTGTGTATGTATTGTGTACATACACTATTTTAATGAGATTAGCAAGAAAGACCTGAACTTAACTGGGTGCTGTGAGTAAGTAGGGTATACTGGGTATGAGGGTTATCAGTTTGAAGGTTATACTCCATACTATGTAGATGACTCCACCCCTGAATGGCTCTCAAAATTTAATGTGGGTGTGTGCCTGGGTCGCACGACCGTTTTAACGCGTTTCCCACAATTTAAAATCAAACGTTCTTCTGTTCAAAATATTTTTATCATACCATTTGAAGAGAGAGGTTCACGTGATTTCTTGCCTTTTGCAGAGTAGACATGGGATTCAATCTGCGCTGTAGCTTTGTTGCAAAGTTCTATAAACCTTTTCAAAATGCGACACGGAGTTGGAAAAGTGAATCAATCTAAACAAAGCCTACTGTGGCTTAGTTTAAGGGATCTAACAGGTCAACAGGCACTGTCACCAAAGATGCTTGCGATTTCTGGACGTGGCGAGAAAGCTAAACTCGTTAGTTTGTGGAGACACTACCGTCAACAAAAGCATAGCCCCATCTTGACACCAAAAGGTATGAGTTCAATAAATCGAGTTGCGGGTGTTGTGAGATGTGTATAAGTTAAACTTTCCAGTAGCTCTCATCACAAGCAAACTCTTCTCTAAGATACTCTTGTGTCTGGTTTACATAATTTAAATCGATTGGTAGCATTCATTACATGTTTACAGGTGTTGAAAAAAAAAAAGAAAAAACGACATAAATCCCGCCAAGAAGGCATCGTTTTCCATCACCCACCTGTCAATTCAAATCACACTGCCAATCATGGACCACCAGGAAGAGCAATCACAAGAGGTTGAAATTCTACAATCGATATATCCTGATGAACTAGAATTTCTCAACGATTCACAAACTCATTTCCAGATACGAACCAATTTAGATACTGATAGTGAACGCAAACATGCCTTATACTTGGTTGTGAAATATCCCAAGACATACCCTGAAGTGGTACCTGATCTACATATAGAAGTTGCAGAAGTAGAGGGTGATAGGGAGGGAGACAGCGACGATGCGGGTTATGATGATGACGAAGATGAAGACGAAGAGGCCAAACAAACAAGACTTGCACTAAATATGGCAGAAACGATCGAATATGAACGAGATGACTTATCAAAACTTTTGTCGAAGTTGAACGAAGAAGCAGAAATTAGTATCGGTATGCCGTCGATCTTCACATTAGTCACCGTACTCAAAGATGAAGCAGAATCCTTATTCAATGACAAGTTGATCGCCAAGACCAATGAATTTGAACGTAAGCGAAATGAATTGGAAAAAATTGAACAACAAAAATTCCAAGGTACAAAGGTGACTCGTGAATCATATAATGAATGGAGATTAAAGTTTAGACAAGAAATGAAGTTTGAAGAAAAAGATCAATTGAAAATGCAATTGATGCATGGTGGAAGATTGACTGGTAAGCAAATTTTTGAACGTGGATTGGCTGGTACTGAAGAAGAGGATGGTGCTGGTAATGGTGGTATCGAAGGTGATGAGTTGGCAGAAGGAGTCAAGAATATATCTGTTTAAAAGGAGGAGCTAGATTGTTGCAATGTTTGCATTGAGTGTGCTATGGAAAGAGAAATTTTAGAGGTCTCGGATCAGTTTATCTTGCTGCTGAAAACCCACTTAGTTACACATTTAATGGAATACTTGTCACATATATTAATAAGATAACTGATTCATGGCTTGTTCGTGATCATTACAATGCACTTTTTGTAGGTGAATTAGAGACCACAATTACTATTAGACGTTGAGTGCCTCTTTAGGCAAAATAAAACCAACAAAAGGCAACATGAACAACTTGTAAGCCTTTGGAAGATTATGGATTTTCTATTGTATAATGTAGAGGTTGATTACTCAAGTGTCTAAGTGTCTTGTTCGCGTGACTTTCTCATATACTCACTCCACACACACACTCTCTCTCTCTCGTGGGTCATTAGTGTATTTGTTAAACTGTGACAAATTCGAAGTACATTTACTAATTAGGAACGAGTTTTAAATAGAAATAAAAAAAACCCTTCATCGGTTATAAAATTTCGTCTCTCATTTTTATTTATATATTTATTTAATTTATTTAATTTAATTTATATGTCAAGACCGTTGCCGAGATTATGCTGCTGCAGAATGACCGCTAACCTTGTTCCTAACCATTACCCCACATATTAGAGACAGAGAGCAAAAAATAGGGGGTTGGTGGAAGTGTTGGGGTGGTGGTGCATAGGGGACACAGTTATGATTATAGCGGGATTTTTATCTGAAACAAGAAATTACCTTAATAAACCAGTCCACATCTCCTGCTGGTGCCGGTTTGAGGGCTTTTTTGTTGTTAAAATGTTAATAGGAATAAGTTTTTAACAAAATTTGATCAAAAGTATGACCCTATAAAGAAAAAAGTGTTAGATTTCGGATTTAAAACAGGATTTAAGAAAAATAAAAAATAGAAAATAAAAAAACTACGGAGTTAAAAAAAAAAGAAGGAATTAAACGGAGTTGTGATCGGAGTTATATGTTGTCACGTGTAGACATATTGATGAGGTAGCGAAAGTTAACAAAAGTATAACCAACAATCGGTATTCTGTTTGACTCTGGTCCTGTTCAGCTTCTGTTCTCTGTTTCTGTTAAATACCGATTTGCTTCACCAATGTTGAATGGAATAATGGATCTTCGTTATCAAAATATATCTCAACTTTCATCATATTAATGTGTGCAATTGTATTAGCCTTAACAAATAATAAATGAATTATAATAAATTCTGACGTCAAATGACAACTTTATTTGCATCCCGTGTATCAACAAATTATCACCAGCAAAGAAAGCATGTTACTATAAATACGTCATAATTGGTTAATAAGGTAATAACTTAACAACGTAATATTAATGACGTAATAATAAGACACTCTTATTTTGTTATTATTACCACCAAAAGTAAAACAACAATAACAACAACTGAAACTCCCTTTTTTCACCAGACATCAGTCCGTTCAGTCTGAAACACAACTTTTCACCAACATATACCAAAGGCTTTACTAAACAAAATACGGATTCTACTATAATTGATTCTCATTTTGCATGTGTGGGTATATGTATTTATCATTCTATAAACAAGCAAACAACAAAAGTTAAATAATGTAAGTAAATAAACACTGAATTGAAATGTAATAATGTTAGAAGTGAATAATCCATTGATATAAAAGCAACCGAAATGTATAGTAATAGCAGTAGTGGCATCCTAAGTAGTAGTAATAGTAATAATGACATCATAATCATCGTAATCGTAATCATAATACCGTCATTATCAATCATCATCATCATCATCATCATCATAGTAATCATAAATCATCCATCAAACATGAAGTCATAAAATAAAGCACAAAAAAAAATAAAAAATATTACTATCATCATATCATAATATCATAATAGCACCTCCATATGAAACAGACACACATTTTCATCTTTGTAACCTCGCTTCTATAATATCCTTATGCTCTATTGTAAACCAAATCAAGTCTGAATCAAAAAAAGTATCAAGTTTTAATAAATTTGTTCCAATGTCAAGTTCTCATGTTGGAATAAACTGATGGGAATATAATTGGGTCCTTCATTAGATGGTGATGCTGGTAATGCTGTAGCTGTAGCTGTAGCTGTAATGGTAGTGGTAGGGATGTGTAAACTTTCATGATGATGATCGTCGTTGACATCAAGTGTTTTTCTGGGATACTTGTGGTGATGGTGATGGTGATGGTTGTGGTGGTTGTGTGAATGGTGGGCGTGATGGTTAAGCAAATATTCTTCATCCTCGTATTCATCATCAGTTAATGAATTAGTATGGCATAGTTCTGGCATATCATGATGTATATGGTCAATTGTAATATCTGCCTTCAACCCTTCTGTCGGTTCTTGTTCAACAGAATCACAAATAATTGTTCCCTCATCATCGGACTCTTCAATGTCAGTATTGATATCTTCATCTTCTTTTACCTCTATCTCTTCCTCTTCCTCATCTTCCTCAATAATGGTTGGTGTGGAAGAAGACAAATTCATAAATGGTAAAGATTTATAACTAGGTGTCGATGGTATTGTTGTTGTTGCTGATGATGATGGGTTTAATGGCATTGAAGTATTGATGGTCAAAGTTCTGGGAATTTTGGCTTGGATAGCAACATCTTCTTCAACTTCTTCTGAATCGGAATAAATATAATAATCATCAGAATCGGAATCAGAATCAGATGATGTGTAAGTCAGTGAGTTATCATAAGCTTCATTTTGGTGGTGTTCTTCTTCTTCATCATCTTCATCTTCAGAATCAGAATCATTAACTTCTTTGGTTGTGATTTGAGGAACCATAGTTGCATGTTCATAAATAGCACCATTCAATTGTTTGATTTCATCTTGGACATCCTCTTCTTCTTCTTCTTCTTCTTCATCATCGTAGTCACTATCGGAATCGGAATCTGAATCTGAATCTGAATCTGAATCAATCTCATACTCAGTAATTGAAGTCTTGTATAGTAATCCAGTGGTAGTGGACACTTCTTCACCATTATCTAAATGTCTTGACTTAGAAGTAGTAGCCTCTGAAGGTAAATCAAATTGTACATGTTTCTCTTCATCACTACGAGGCTGTTGTGCTTGTTGTTTCTGATGTTGTTGTTGGCTATAGCTGTTTCTTTTCTCAGTTTCTTCAGTGATGTAATCCATTAAATTGTCCAACATATTAGCCTGTACAACCAAGTTACGTAAGGATGATTTAGGTGAGGCTGCTTCTTTAGTCAATTTCAGTCTGACTTTACTGGCAAGTATATATGTTTGAGCAAATGACATATGTGGAGATGTTGATGTTGATGTGGCAGCCATGATTTTATACGCGTTTTAGTATTTTTGTTTGCTTGTTCTCTTTTGGTCTCGTTCTTTTTTTGCCTTTGGTGACAAATATATAACTAAAGTGTAAGGATAGTGACTTTAGGAATTGGATGGGAAAGGGAGAGGAGGTAGGAGTGGTGGTGGTGATATAAATATTGAATATGTGTGTATGCGTATGTATATGCTATTCCACTTGAGATATAACACACTGGTAGTTGTTAGTGTACGTGTTGTTTTGCTGATGTCCAATGTTGGGTAGTTGTTTGGTTAATGCTATATATATATATATATGTGTGTGTGTGTGTGTGTGTGTGCGATACTAGGAAGTGGCTGTTAAAAATCATTTGAAGGATTTTAATTGAATATAAATACAAATTTACTGATGTCATATTATTTAATTGTTGTATCTCTTTCTCTTTGTCTCTCTCTGACTAATTGCAAAAAAAAAACAAATAAAATAAAAAAAAATACCTCGGCGATAAAAAAAATAAAATTATTTCTTTTCTCTTCTGTTGTTTGTGGTTTGTGTAACTTACATGGAAATAGGAGTTTAATTTAACTTGCGGTTCTAGGCTTTTACTTAATCAAACAATCAAGCAATAGCAAATTTATTCTAAGAGCAACTTTATCACCAACATCAAGTACACCCCCCCCCCCTCCTCCCCAATACTCTAAATACAATATGTCTTGGATCTATTTGTCTTAGATCCACCAGATAAAACGGTTGCTGTCATAAAGATGAAGCAGAAGAACCAAAAGTATACAAAAGAATACTCTATCGCACTTTATTAATCTTCCAGTGCAAAAGAGAAAGGAGATGTATTCTAATTCTATTGCAAGAGATGTGTGTCCTTGCTTTGTGATAATCACACCTGCAGTTGTTGATATTGAGTCTCTCACTCTCTTAGTCTGTTTGTGCTTAATATTACTGTCGCAAACTCAAAGTGTTAAAATGGATCCATCTCCACCCTACAAAAGTCTCCTTTCCTTTTCCTCTTTCTTCAGTAAATGACGTGGTCTCTGAGTTGGACTTAATGTTTTCGACAGTTGGTTCTTGTTCTTCTCTTTCTTCTATAGTAAACTAGTTGGCAATACCAAAGAGAATAGTTTAGTTCAAAGTTCTTTCCATAAGTTTTCCCACCGACTACACAACTGCAAAAACAACCCTATTGTTCTTATTCACAAGCCGATTCAGGGGGATCACTAACAAACTGTTTAATACTCTATTGTTTTCATTGCTATCCACGCAGACCCAAATGTATATTACTCTTCTTCCCGGCCGTACCAACACCGATAACCACACCCATACATACACACACACGCTCGCACTCTTTTACTCTATCTCTTTATGTCAGAGTCATGATCCCTCGTGGTTTCCGAAATAACCATTTTTTTCTTTTTTTACTCCAATGCATAATGCACGCAATAATACAATACAATATACAATATACAATAACATGTAAAGTAAAAGATACACAATGTCGCGAAAACCATCATATTTTGTGACAATCGGTATCAAAAGAAACTCACGCTCGGTTATTGATTAAAATTCACGGAACAGAGAATATTGTAGCAGTAGCAGTAACAGTAATAGTTACGAGAAGTATATAGTTCTTGTATTAGACTGACGCTTAAACATAAAAGAACAAAATAGAACTGAAAGACGGACCACGGGACACGGGTAGTTTCCACATTTGTCAAAAAAAGTGGCCGAATTTTCTTTATTTTGAAAAACGGCTTTTACTTAACGCCGTAGAGTGTAATTAGTCAGAGAGTTATGTCCGATTAAAACAAAAGAAAGAAAAAAAATAATATTTTTTTTTAATTTAACGATCGGAGTTTTTTTGCTTTCGTATATCCGAGATATCAACAAAAAGAATAGAATACTAAGGACCTGTAATTCATTTATGCAAAATATGTCGGGTTAACGAAGTTATGATTAACTAACCTCCGAAAAACAAAACCTTGATACTAAGCCACATTATCCTACTTTACTTACTACTTTTATTTTTATTTCCTCTTTTCGCAGTCATTTCTTATTAGGTGTAAACTAGTAGTATAACAACAATAATATATAGATATATATATATATATACATACATATATAAACATCAGCCCATGCTTTTCTTCTTCTTCTAGAAACAGCCTATTTCATCTTTGCGAGGTACCACTACTAATAACTAGAGAAGAAAATCATGTCATCTTTAATATCTCCACTCCTCTACTCCTATCTATCCATCATCTAGGCTCTCACAATTCAATTGAAAAATTGGTTCGGTTTTCAAGCATCAACTTTGTTTGTGGTGATGGAAAAGAAATAAGAAATATTACAGCTTTTAAAAATTTATTCATGTAGCCAACATAAAGCATTCAACAAAAGGAACAAATACCAGTTTGACAGTAGTTACAAAATCATAGTCTTAAAGACAATAAGAACTCTCTATTGGTTACCCAGGGATACCTAAACAATATGCCTTCTTTTTTCTTTGTTAGCGGCTACTGAGAAACAAAGTAGCCTGTAATGTTAATGTACCTACTACTATAGAGATGGACTTAAAGGTGTTGATATTATATTACTTTCTCACGTTTGTTTCATCCCACGAGGTTTACAAAAAGATATAAACGAAAACCAATTTTTCTTTTTGGTTGGATTTTGATACCAAAATATTTCTCCAAGAACAATTTTTAAAAAAGAGATGCAGATGCAGTAGTTTTCGCAACATTTAACAAAGTCAAATCAAATGAAATTATCTGTAGATATCAACTTTGTTTTCAATTGTTAAATTTTCACCCCTTCTTTCCCTTTTGGCTTATTTCCATTGCGCATTCTTTTCAAGCATCTTCAAGCATCTTCAAGCTATTGCAATCTGTTTTTCTCTTGCAACTTTTGCCGATTCATTAAACCACTTGACAGGGAATTCTAGAACATCTTCAAACCATACACACCCCTGTATCTCTTCTTAATCTCTTTCTATTTCTTCTTCGTTTGCTCTAAAAGGTTTCGCTTAAAAGTAGTTGTTGAGACTAAAGTAACTCTTCTCTTCTCTTCTCTTCTCTCTTCCATAACGGTTGCTCTGTTTTTGTGTCATTTTGGGTTACTTCTTAGACATTCTTTCAACAATACATAATACCACAAGCAAAGCATAGAAGGCAGTTTCAGATCAAATTTGGCAGGCATTGCTTCTTCTATTTCATCTTCTGAAGCTGCTATTTGTTAGACACACAAAGGGGTGAAACACTTTCACCCCAGTCAACAATTCAAGATATGATATCTTCTCTCTATTGATGACAGCACAGCCGAAAGAGCAATCTTCAATTCTTCTTATCCAATGGCAATGTAATACAATAAAGATTGCAAATTAGCAAACTATAAACAAAAGTTAGCTATACGAGCAGCGCCACAGTTTTCGGGGTGGTGGCTATCATATCTTGTTCTGCAAACATGGCTACGAAATTATGTCATCCACTGATACCTTTCTCTTTCTTCGGTTTCCCTTTTTTATGTTTAGTCAATGGGTTCAAATCCACTTACATATTTCATCATTACTCCATCAGTGCAATCCTGTCCACAGTCACCAATTACTGTGTGATTTCTTCCAAGTTGGACTTATAAGAACCCTTTGAATACCATGCACCACCATTTAAGTAAGGCAATCCTGATCCCATAAACAACTTGTATCTAACATGAGTTAACCACAATTAGTCCAGCCCACCTTGTCTCCCCATTTCTGTTTCAAAATTCAAAGTACAACTTATAATGCAAGGAGCAACCAGGATTGAATTTACTTTGACAAACAGGACAAACAGACCCACTATTCAAATACTCTTTAGATGTCAACAGGGTAAAACAATTGCCACAAATAACCACCTTGTCTCTATCTTGAACATGAAACTTGTCTATACTATGGTTATTCAACTCGTCATGGCATTTAAAACAGGGATAAAACGTATCGGGACAACACTTGAATTTAAGAGCAATGATGTCTAATTCTGAATGGTAGTGGGTACATCGTGTGTGTGAATCAACTAGTTGTCCTTTGATTATGCATCGAGTATTGTCAAGTTGTTGCGTTTGGCTAATCACACTGTTCATATTGAGGGAGGCGCAGACTTGAAGGGTTCAAAAGCTACTTTTCTGGGCTTGGATCATGTGCCTATTCTTCCAAAGGCTATGTGGTTGAAAGGTCACTGTTGTTTGTGATGTGATGTGTCATGACATGGACTCTCATCCTCAATTTTGATGTCATTGTACAGCGGTTAAACACGGTAGCGCGATATTACTACGCCTCTTGCCGTATACAGTGTTTTTCATAATTGTGTCGGTTCAGTTTGAATAATTATGTCGCACTCGTATGAATCACAAATAAAAGCACCGTATAACCTGTATATAGAAATTGACGCCAAATCGGTTTAATCAATGGCGAGCTTTTTTTCTCTATTAATAAAAACCAAGGCGGAATTACCCTATACCCAGCTGAAACTTTCATAAGAGAAGTATCTTTACATCCAATACTTCAATCAAATCAAGACCCTTGTTCAGAGTAGTCACCTGTTCAAAGAAATTCACATTACATATTTTCAACCCGCAATAATGTCGCTTTCAAGATCGTCTTCATTATCCCGATCATCCCCATCTCCTAAAACGTCAATCATCATATCCAACTTCACCAAGGAAGATTTTGTCAAACCAGAGCCAGGCTCGACCAAACCGAAGCTTGTTTCCAAGACGTTGTCCTTAGTTGACCAGATTAAATTAGCGGTATTGAACAAGGATGATCAGGTATTGAATCATATTACATATTGGTCAGTGTTGCCATTTTTAAACAGGATAATCATCATATTCAACAATGAGCAAATAGCTAGTCAAACATTGAAATATTTACAAGACACATTGAAACCTTTTGATTACCTTAAAGTATCATTACAGGAGAACTTATTACAACGATCAAAATCACAAGATCAAATACAAGAAATGAATTCACCAAATTCCAACTTGAACGTGACCAATAGTTTAGCCAATTTCAGAACTTTCCATAATGATCCAGACAACGATTCCAACATTTTGGACTATGTGGAACCTGCACCAGCCCAATTCAACGTATTGTCAGATTTGTCCAAATTGGGTATAGATTTAAGAGATTACAACAGTGATGAGCAATTGAATGAATTGAAAGAGGATGAAGAGGAACAAGAACGGAGATCAAAGAGCCCCGGTTCTTTATCGCCCGTGATATCACCAAGACAGGACGACCTCTTGCTGCTGCTGCTGTCGGCACAACTGCCGCCTGTAATGAGAAGAAGATCAACAAAGACCTTGTTTAAACCGAGCTTGAGGGTGAAAACTGGTGCTGGTGACAATAATAGCCAGACTTCAAATCATGGAGTTTTGCAATCGCCGGCACAAATCAAACTGACTGACTATCCACAATCGCCAACGATAACTTTGGATGAAACGTTTTAAAGTGGGTGGAACGTGGGTTAGCTATTTTATGTACGAATTTATTTATTGCCAGTGCTAAAGCGTTAAATGGGTGGCAGATATTCAATATATATTCAACCTCAAGTGTTAAATCCATTTTCCTTCGTTTTTAAACCAATTCTTTGCAACGATAATACCTCTAAAGAGTTTATCTCCTATCAAAAGAATATTACTCTCCTGCATATAGCCCATTTACCAAAAGGAAGTTGCGCATGGGAAAAAGGTTAAAAAAAAAACTCACCAACGAAAACTTCACCAACAACGAATTACACACCCAATCAAACGTTATTATTTGGTTTCATCATGAAGTTGTCTAGCACTATAGCTTGGTCATTGATAGCAAGCACAGGTTTCGGTTCAAGCGAGGCTGTGACTGCACCATGCCACTCCTCTAACTACCTTGTGGTTCGCAATGTTGATGAACCGAAAACAGGACTCACCAACAAGGATGAACAAATATACCTTGATCAATTTCTTGAACGGGACACACATGGTAATGACTCACTCGATGAAGCCTTAATGCCAATGATTAATCAATTGATTCAATACCAAACCCCATCGAAGGAGAGGTCAAGGAAGACGATATATAACCCAAGACTTAAATTGTTGGTCAATATAGTCGGAGGTGAATTGAGCCAAGAGCCAAATTTCGAATCAAAATCGATGCAATCCGAATTTGACGACTTGTTTAGAAAAGCTAAATCAGAAAGAAGTGGTAAACTAACTGATGTGTTGACCGCACTTTCGCCAAGCGAGTCAGTACAGAAGCATTTCCAATATTTCTCTGAACGAACAAACAAAATCTGGCAAAATCACCAAGAAGGTTTGAAACAAGAAATAATCAACTATAGTCCTACTAATGAGGAGATGTTTATCCATGAGTTATCCTCGTTGGTCCACTTGCGTGACTATGTAAAGGATGAAAACCCAAACAATGGACAGTATTATACTCAAATTTCATCGCTCTTGTCGATAAAAAACAAGATTGGAGCAGATTCAACTACATACAAGCATGCAGTAGCATCCTTGCAAAACACCCTCCAATCATTAGCTGAGTACTTTTCAATTTTAGTTGTCGAATCGCCAAACTACACAAAAGACATTACCCATTTACAAAAGAGATCGCAAGTTAGGTCATCAGTTTCGGCACCGGCATTCAAGTACGCTAGCAAGCAAGCCTGTGAAGTTGCTACTGATAAGTGCTCAGCCCACGGTGAATGTAAGGAAAGCAAGGAGCATTGGAGTTGTGTTTGTGAACCAAGCTTCAACAAAACAACATCAAAGACCACTACTTGGGTTGGCTATGACTGTGCCAAAAAGGATGTCTCAGTACCTGCCAATTTATTCTTGTGGACTAGTATTGCCTTAATATTGTCTTTGGTTGGTGGTGTCAAATTATTGGCTAGTATTGGCTCGGATCCTTTGCCAGGAGTATTGGATGCTGCTACGTTACCATCGAAGAAGACTATCTAATAGGCAGTAATAATGTAGCTATAATCAATTTGATAATTGTAAAGACGTGGTAAACTGTTTACTTTGTAGATATCCAGCGCCGCATATGAATGTCAATTTCCCAATTCAGTAAAGAACAATTCAAAGGGAGAACGAAAAAATAAAAATAAAAACAAAAATAAAAATAAAAATTATCTCATGTTATTCAGAGATCTCGATTCCCCAAAACCACCAAAGTTTACTCTACAACACTTTAACTTCAAGCAATGCTGAAATATACAAGAAGACCGATAGTCACGACTATCTCCTTAATTTCATTAATATGTATCATCTATTTCATGTCATCAACGTCACTGAACTTGGAGTCTTCGTTAGGTAAAGTTAGATCACCAATAAATTTAAATTCCAATACATTGCAAACCAATTTAGATTCATTATTGGAGAGAAATGTGGTACAGCTGAATGATCAAGTACAGAAGCCATTGGAGGAACCTGGTTCGGATGGAGCTGTTGGCAACTCGCAACAAGAACCCCAGACCAACTCCAACACCAATGACCCTACTAAAGATGCTGTTGATGTGGCTCAAGCGTTTATGCCCAAGATGGCCAATGAAACTTTGAAAGCGGAATTAGGCCGTGCTACATGGCGCTTATTCCACACTATATTAGCTCGATACCCCGATGAGCCTTCAACTCATGAACGCACGACCTTGAACAACTATATTCAACTTTTTGCCCAAGTCTACCCCTGCGGTGACTGTGCTCGTCATTTTCAAAAATTATTAAGCAAATACCCACCACAAACCAAGTCGCGTAAAACGGCTGCATTATGGGGGTGCGATATACATAATAAAGTTAATGATCGGTTGGGCAAACCGCAGTATGATTGCACGACAATTCTTGAGGATTATGATTGTGGATGTGGATCGGATGAAAAGGAATCGGATTCTACTTTGAAAGGCGAGAGTTTGGACCATTTGAAAGGGTTGACTGTGGAGAAGGAAAGGTTGCAAAGAGGTGGATAAAGCAGCAAGGCACGAAAGATACATGAAATTGGACGGTAACTTTTTATTGAAGTATATAGCTTTATTTTTCACATAATTATACAACAGCCGAGTGATTGCTGCTGGGCTTGGCGTGTATGCCTGAATGAATTAAAGCTGGCAAATTTGTTCTGATCAGTGGGCAATTTCCAATTGTAAGGAATGAGATAATCAGGAGTTTCTTCAACATAGTTGATGATTCTAGAAACAAAGGTTAGTATTGCTTGAGTGAACAGGGAAGATTTACGAAAATCAACATACAATTCACATGCTCTTGAAGCTGGTATTCTTTCTCTTTTCAATGTCTCCTTGAGCCGACTATTCAATTCTTGAATTCTTTTCAACTTGATTAGTTGTATTTGTTTTTCAACTTGGTCATTCATATTGGGTAGAAATGGGTCGTATTTGGACTGGGAAGCTGGCAAGTAAGAAAAGGTGTCTTGTTAGGAAATAATGTTGAATGTGTCCTTTGCTCTAATCATTCGCTTTCGTTGACGGTGGGAAGATTATAAATGTAATTTTTAACACGAAAGTAATCAGAGTTAAAGTTTGTGTAACATTTGATATGAAACACCACCACGATAAGAATAATAATAAGAAAAAAACCAAATATTATGTTACACTCCTTCTTCCTTTGCCATTCTATACAAAGAACAAAAATAAAATACAAACAGCAATGACAGTGGCCAATATTAACGTGTCTCTTTTCCGCCTCGAATTAATCTTCAGAATCAAAACATTTATACCCGGAACATTCTGTATTGTGCCTAAAATCGACAGCTGGGCATTTTGCAAATACTGACGTTGATTAATCAATTCATCACGAGTATTGTATGCACTTTGCAATAGCCTGTCGGCTATGGAATTGACATTGTCGGCCCGTTGGCTTTCTTCAAGGATATACGAATCCGGATCCGTGTCTAATGGATTGGCAGGAGCATTGCGTCTCTTGTGGTTGGATATATCTGATTGAACAGTAAAGAGCAAATTATTCCGATTTCGCTCCTCAGTCAAGGTCGATTCTATACGCTGGAATGAATTCTTGTGGTCGTGTAAAATTTGTTCATGACGAGTAATTTGTTGCAATTTGGAAGTACTTAATTCGGTAGTCGCCGATTCACTGATCCGGTTGAGTTTGGCAATTGTAGCATCACGTTTAGATAACGTATCAATAATTTGTTGTTTAATTGATTCTTCGTCTTGCGTGCTTTCTAACGATTGTGATAGCTGGTTTTGAAATTGGGAATATCTGGCCAAGAGCGATTCTGTTTGCTTCTCTAAGTTAAGTGCTTGTGACCTTATCTGGGTGAATGAAGATGATGACATGGTGGGTTTGTGTTGACGGTGAAATATTGAAAATCAGAGTTTGATCCGTTGTCACTTTTTTTGCTTTTTTCTGTTCTTTTTTCCTCTAAGTGACGAAATAAATTTAATGTGAGCTTGGTAGCTTTACTTACATCACCAACTATCATATTCCCACACTAACTAATTCTGCCTCATGCCTAAAGAAGAGCTTCATCAGGTCACGCCTGAGCCAGTATTCACTTTGGAGGAAGAATTAGACTCAATCGATAAAGATCCGCACCACCAGCGCCTTTCTCCTCGCCATAACGACTCGGAAAAGAAACCCATATCGCAATGGTTGATCCCTATACTTTACCGCATTCAAAAATACAGTGCCTACTCCTTCATTTCATTTCTCGGTATTCATGTGACATCGGTGGTGATAGTCCCCATAATCCCAGTTGATAAAGAGCTCAAGCAACAGGTATTTTCTCTAGCCAAAGCGGTGTACCAAGACATACCATTTTTTGAACCACTTGCTATCATCGGTGCATCAGTTGTCCATATTGTTGCTGGTTTGGGATTGCGATTGGTACGAGGGTACAAAAAGCACCAATTGCATAAAAAGATAGAACAGAGGAACAAGAGGAATAGTGTGATGAACAATAATGATTCATTCCGTATTAGAGATGACGATGATGACATTGGGTTTGGTGGGCTATCCAGTATATTTGGTCTAGGATACAGGAAATCCTTCATTTCAAAGCTCTTGGGAATCACGCCATTACAATTTTCAGGATACTTGTTGATCCCAGCTGTCGTCTACCACTATTACAAATTTCGATATGTGCCAATGTCTATAGAAGGCGATTCATCCTTGATTAATTTGGATTACATCTCCTACGTGTTAAATTTGAAGCACCCCAAATTCCAAGCATTGGCACTTACAAGTTTAGTGTGGGTTGCGTCGTATCATGTGACTAATGGGGTGATGAAGTTGAATTCGTGGTATAGTAAGAATTGCAAACGCATGGGGTTGGCTATTGTTAATTTGGTCGGGGTTTGTGGAATGGTTGGGGTTTATTTATTTAAAAAGGAAGAGATTGATAGTGGTGATTTTCTCGGGAAAGTGTTTACCAGGTATATCAACTCTTACTTATTGTGAGAGTGTACATAGAGTAGTCCTTGTATGTATGTATATAATGAGACGTGTATTTTTTTAGGTTGGTGTTGTAGTGAGATGTTGTGGCGATAGTAGAACACAAGTAGAACACAAAGTGAAGGAGGATGTATCCAACTGAATAATCACAGGCATCTAATTGGACGGGCGTAACAATAGCACCACAAAAGCCGCGTGTCCGACTCGCAAAGAGCCAATATAGTAGCGAGTCAACCGAAAGACAACTATAAAGCAAATTAGTAGACTACAACCAAATAATCACTTAAATATTAAGCCCATATAATATAGCATTTACTAAACAATAGAACTATACACATAATTGAAGCAAATAGTGTTTCTCCTCCTGTACAATCCCTCCAGACTAGGGTACATTGTTCCTCAACCCATATCAGTGGCAGCTATTTTGAAACCTTTATTGTAGGCACCACATGGAAAGAATAGCACTTAGTAAATAATGACCGATAAGGTCTCTAGAAATATAATTAACCAATGGTGTGTGTAAGCAAAGCTTAAGCGGTTACATTAGCAGTTGCTGATTCAGTAGCAGCGGCTTCTGGACCCAAAGTTGGCTTCTTAACCAATCTCTTAGATCTGTAGTCCTTGACGGCTGACTTGATAGCATCTTCAGCCAACATTGAGCAATGCAATTTGACTGGTGGCAAAGACAATTCTTGGGCAATAAAAGTGTTTTTAATAGCCAATGCTTCTTCCAAGGTCTTACCCTTGACCAATTCAGTAGCGTATGAACTACTGGCAATTGCTGAGCCGCAACCAAAAGTCTTGAATTTGACATCTTCAATTTTACCAGTCTTCTCATCAACTTTGATTTGCAATCTCATAACATCACCACATGCTGGTGCACCAACTAAACCAGTACCGACATCGGAGTCATTCTTGTTTAAAGTACCAACATTTCTTGGGTTTTCATAATGGTCAATAACCTTTTCGTGGTATGATCTCTTGAATAATGTGGCGTTAGGAGTGGTTGTGGGTATGATTGAAGATGCAGTTATTGGTGACAAGTGTGAAAGTGCAGGTATTGATTGTCTAGCAATAGTGTTTGATCGTGACCTAAGTAAATTTCTTGAGTTTCTAATAATTGACCTTGAAATCATTGTTTAATTGTAAGTTCTAAGTTGTGGTTTATAAAACTGTTTGAATATATTAGTATCCTTGAAAGTGCTTATGAAAAGTAATAAGTTTATTCTGATAGGGTGTTATTGAACTCTTCTTGTATATATATATATATATATATATATTAAAAATTTTATGTGAAAGATGAAATTTTATTAATCATCAATAGAACGAAAATAACACATAGACTCTCTCATCTTATATAAAGGATAAAGTATGTATTATTATGTCATCGATTTATCAATGTACACGACTTTGTTTTTTTCCTCTTGTTTTTCCTTTTATCAGTTTCATCATATAAAATACTGGCCTTAAGTACACTACCTACATAATTGCGTAATTATTATTGGATGAATTGTTTTTTTTCTACAATGCACCAATGCCTAAATGACGATCCGGTTCCGAAAAAAGGATTTTTTTTCCTTTCTTTTCTTTTGTTTGCCTAAATTTATTTACTTTGTGAGGGGAAAAAAATACAAAAGGAGTCAAAAACCTAGTCACACATTCTGACACGCAAATTTACTCAATTGTCTAGAGCCATTGAGTGTGTCTGAACTTCAGATTAGAATCTAAGAATCACCTCTATACAACAGAAAGCGTTGTTTTTGTATCCATTATAACACCGAAATAAAGGCTAAGTCTTGGCCACATATGCATGCTGATATCGGTCATACCGCGTTTTCTTTGAAGAAAATAAAATACGCTTCGCAAATTAGATACTCTTCTTCTTTTTTCTGTTTCAACGTGGATGGTAGCGTTCGTTTAAATTTACCCCAGTTACACGACCACCGAGTTTGTCTCCTATTTTATTTATGTTGAAATTGGTAGCACATTGTTCCCTTATCTCCTTAAAATTTTTAATTTTAGAAGTAGTTTATCAATACAAAAAGGATTTTCACCCCCCCCCCCCCTCTTGTAATACAAAAGGGGCTATGTAGGTAATATAAAGTTACGCGAGCTGTAATGTAGGTAGCCAGTTAGCTCCATTTGTTTCTTACGTTAATCTTTTGTTTTCTTACTGGGTATACTTTGCTATACCTTCCCCACATCTTCAACAATACGTTTGTATTTTTGTTTTGTTTGTTTTCTAATTTGAACTCTGCATAAAAGCATAGAAAGTTCTAAATAAAGAATAATATCACAGTCTATCCTAAGTTGAAGCAGAGACACGGGAGAGGGGCAACAGCCCAGCTTTCTCCGAAGTCTCTAGTGGAGACTGTTCCTTCCCCTCAATAGGCATTCACACAAAGGAAGACCCACAATTATTCTCTTTGGTTTTTGTGTTGGTAAAGCTTTCAATTATTCCAATTAATTTAATTGGGCTGCTGGTTTAACAAAAGAGTCACGTGTAGTCGGACTATATTTCTTATTTTACTTTTTTTTGTTTTTTGTTTTTTTCTTCTTTGTCTCTTTCAGTTTGAGTTTATCGTAATTATTTTTAAAATCTCCAAAATCTCTCTCTCGGTCCTTCCCCACCTTCAACTGGGAACAAAACTTTATCAAAATCATTTTTTAAATAAAAAGAAGAGACCCTTGTTGTGTACATTTATATATTTATCAAAACTAAAGAGTTCTATCTATCTACAATACTAATATTGCCATCACCTCCACGCTCTTTCTCAGGTTTAGTAAATTATGCCGGAACCTAGCTCAATCCTGCCTGACAATAAGAATGACGTTCCCACAAATCAACCTACACAGCACCACAACACTAGCAACATAACTATCACCAACCCCCATCAGAAACCACCCTGTGAAGAGATGAAAACGGGTGTTGCTAATGATGATGTAGACTGGCTATTTCGTGGGAAATCTAAAAAGATTGTCAAAAAGTTGGCTTCGAGTAATGAACAACAGAAGGAAGCCAAAGTTCAAGAAGCTAATGATAATGGTAAGCATGCAACACAGCGAGGATCAGTATCAGAAAGGAAGAAATCACAAGATGATGACCATACCCACACAGCAAATGGCACCGCTCAATCGCCACCACTGCAACAAAGAAGACGTTCTAGTGAACGTACTGATCAAACAACCCCATCCACTCCACCAGCGCACAAGACGAGGTCAAATGAAACACAAGCTACATCTGATGTACCAGAAACGTCTGTTACACCTTCTGCAGCTCCCACATCTGCAACGTCTGCAACCCCCCAATCTGAAAAGTCATCAAAACTAGATCGTTTGATTGGACGCTCTCGATCTTCTTCTGCATCATCTGTGCAACAGGTAAAGACACAAGCATCGCAGCCACTAGCGTCTTCCCTTTCCAATAGCACAAGACGTAGTAACAGCTTTAATTTTGTGCTGCCTTCACTAACCAGTGACTTGGTGTATAACGACCACGATGAAGCATTGGTTTCGCAGAAATCTGCTGGTTCCTCACCAGCCACATCCTCGCCAGCATCACCTGGTGTAACCCGTTCCAATAGTGGCAAAAGGGGTTTATTCAGCTCGTTATCCTCGAAATTCAAAAGTCTGTCTTCTACATCACAGCAGCAGCAACCACCGCAACATCCACAACAACCAGCACAGGCTTCTGCTTCCAAATCAACTGCTCAAACCCCAGTGTCTCCAAAGTTGAACCCAAGTTTGATTGGATCTGGTGCAAATCCAAAAAAGCAGGAGGATTTAATTTCCATGACTGACAAGTTACCAGCAGGTATGGGTATTCCTTCGCGTAGGAGAAGTTCAAGTAATTCCAAACCAGGTTCTGGGCTGTTGTTTAAAGATTCTTATCAAGATGAGAATCCATTAAGTTCATCACCAAACGAAAGTCGGGGTTTTTTCAGAAGAAGATCTTCAGCGGCGCCGCTTTCTAGAACAGCCTCGGCTCCGACAAAACCACAACGACTTGTCTTGAACAAAAACAAGGATAGAAAACTGCTTCCTTTAAAAGACTTGAAGGATGTCAAACTTCGTCGTGTTTCCTTTGCTATTGATAAATTGGAGTATGATCCTCAACAGCAAATCCCTTCTAGAAGACCCAAAAAGGGTAATGTTTTGATTCCCCAAGATCTTAACGCCCCGCCTCCAAGATTATGCTTGGGTATAGCTTCAAGCGATGGGGGTAAGGACAATCAAGGACAAGCTCCACAATATAGTGAGAGAGATGTGGCATTAGCTCTTGATGCGCAAAAGAGAGCCTTGAGTGAGGCCGAAAAACATTTATACGAAGCACACTTGCAAGCTAAGAGAATTGCTCAGGAAGTGGCTAATTTCAAACCATCAAAATCAAAGCTGAAGGATGGCAGCAATGTTGGTGAAATTGAGGAAGAGGAGGAGATTGATGCCAAAGTCAGTCACCGGAAATTGGCAAATGATGCCCAAATCGATCAGCCATTGCATGTACATGAGCAACATTTTGATGACGACTTGGAGCAATTGGAAAAAGAAATGACATTGGAGACAATTTACACCAGATGTTGCCACTTGAGAGAGATTTTACCAATACCGGCCACTTTGAAACAATTGAAAAATAAAGAAGCCCCTTTGGAAGTATTGAAAATGCTTAATCCAAAACCAACTTTGATTGATATCTTGTCGTTTTCGGATTTTATTGCCATCACACCCATCAATGCGGTAATCCTTGACAATGTTACAATGACTACCGAAATGTTGAAAATTTTACTAGGGTGTTTAACACACAACAAAGTCTTGGAGAAGCTTTCATTGCGAAATGTAGCCATTGATGATCATGGGTGGAGGTTGCTTTGTGCATTCTTGGCGCAGAATAAGACAGTCAAGAAGTTGGACATTTCCCAGCAAAGAATCAAATCAGATACTAGTCCTAATTGTATTAGAGGTAATTTGAATTGGAGCTTATTCACCCAATCGATTGTATATAGAGGGGGGATTGAAGAGTTGGTCATCAATGGATGCAAACTAGCTGATGACAAGTTTCATGAATTGGTCAACAAAGCAGTCAAGATTGCAACAAGGAGGTTAGGTGTTGCATCAACTGAGATGAATTTAACTAAAGCACAAATCGTAGCTGATTATGTCAGTGATCCCAATGCAAATTGTGTCGGAGTTGATATTGCATTTAACGACTTGAGTCAAGGCCAATTGCGTCCTTTTATTGATACATTCAACCGCGGTAACGATAAGTTGATGTTTCTTTCAATTAATTCGACTAATTTAACTGACGTTAATGAGACTGCCAAATTTTTAAAGAGTTTGATCAATGTACGAATGTTGCGGTTTTTCGACATGAGCTCGATTCCAAATGTATTTCCTGAGATTATTGCATCGTTGGCGGAATACTTACCTCAGTACACTAACTTGAGAAGGCTTCATTTGGACTTAAATGAGTTATCAGCACAGGCAATTGGATCTATTTCCATGTTTTTACACAAGGTCCCTAACTTGGTTCATTTGTCTCTTTTGGGAAATCGCAACTTGACTCATTCGGCAGCGGCAACTTTATATTCAGCTGTCAAGGCATCGTCAACTTTGTTTGCATTGGACCTTGATTATGATCTAGTCAGTGATGAATTGTCGCAACGGATTGCGTTTTACCTTATGAGGAATATGGATATGTCCTTGAACACGCAATATCCTATGACATCATTAAACAAAGAGGAGGACCTTATGTATGATGGTTCTTTGTTGATGGAAACTGCTGAAAAGTTGTTGACAGAAATGGATCATTCTGGGAAAAAGGAAGATTATAAAATACAACATATTGTGTCCAATGCTATGCTTGATAGGACAAGGGCAATACGAAAAGATATTCACATGGCAATTGACAACTTGTTTGCCAAAAGATCGAGCGGACAATTGTCATTCGAAGGCAAGGAGAGTCTTGTTAGATTCTGTTTACTAGATTCGTCATTGGAAAAAATACTACACACATTTGAAGAGCACGCGCAAAAGCTGACCCCCGAGGATGGAGAATCAGAACAGCAGCAACAGCAAGATCAGCAACAGTGTGAACCAGGAAGAAACCAAACTCCAGAGATTAAAGTTCATCCTGAGGCTGATTCGTTACATCAAAGTTCAAATGAATTAATCAGTGCTGGTCCGATATTATCGCCAAGAGCGTCATCCTTCCAACCTGTGACATCTTACTTTACCAATAATGATGTAAACTTGACTCCTCATCAGGTTGTTGTTGAGTCCAACGATGAAGGTAAGGATGTTATAATTGACAAATTCACTGGCCGTCCAGTACTAATGAGATCAGCTAGTCAAAGTAGTATTCATGCCAAACAACAAGAGATTGAAGAAGGTGAGTTTCACAAGCTCGGAATCTTTATGCAACTGAGAGAAAATCCAACTGAGACCAATGGCGCCAGCGGTGAAAATGGGGAGAATTGTCCTCGCAAAGGAATCCCCTTGTTGAATTCATTGCCCTCTGGATCAGAATTAAGAGATGCCATCATTGCTGCTAAAGGTATTGAAAATGTTGATGACTTGATTGACAAGATCAATAATAATAAAGTTGGTCTTGAAATTTTAGAGAGGGGAAAGAATGAGGAGACAAATGGGCGTGTACAGCAGGAACAACAGCAGCAACAAGAACAACAGCAACAGCAGAAGGTGACTTCCACTGTACCAATTCAGCAGGATGTTGCGCGCAGGCCTAGCTCAGACGAGTCAAAGGATGAAACGTTGAATCCAGTAGTGGATGAAGTATATGACAAGTTGTTAAATGATGCTGAACGTGTGAGACAGAAACAAGAGCCACATTACTAAAAGTGTATAGAGTTACTCGTATTTACATTTATAACTTTTTTAATCAAGAATGCTTCATTACATAAAACTATATGTACCTAAATATTCTAGTTATCAGCTTGGAATTCAGCAATCTTCTTAGCAATCTTAGCATCTCTTTCAGCCTTGGTCAATTTAGTTTGTCTGTATTTCTTTGATTCAGCAGCATATTGTTCCTTGGTGAATTTCTTTTCGGTTGGCTTGAAAGATGGGTCTTCTCTGATTTTTTCATGAGCATTGGTGTAGATTTCCTCAACATCTTCAGCTTCAATTTCATCAGCAATGTAGTTCTTGAACAAAGTTCTGAATTTTTCTTCATCATCATCCATCAATTCTTCCATGTACTCAGAAACGTGACCACCGAAGATGTACTTTCTCAACAATTCAGCATCCAATTCTTCAGCTTCGATATCCCAACCTGGGAATCTGTTTGCTGAGTGAGGAACGTACAATCCACCATCGGAAGCACCTTTCAAGACACCGAAAACTCTAGCACCGGTGGTGGTTCTTTGCAAACCAATGTCCAAAAAGACCTTGAATGGTCTTGGGCCATCTTCAACAGCTTCGGTCAATTCAAATTCACCTTCAACTTCTTCAACACCTTGGTAGGTTTCGTCCAAGCCCAATTTTTGCAAAGCTCTTCTGGCAACCAACAAACCAACGGCATAAGCAGCGGACCAGTTGGTCAAACCGTGGTTGATACCGTATTTTGGCAATTCGTGAGCATAAGCTGAAGTGAAAACAACATCACCAGTGATTTGAGCACTGACAATTTGGGCAATAATGTCCTTGTTGGTGAATCTAACAACCAATCTGTACTTTGGGGTGTTGTACTTGGCCTTGTGTTGAGTAACCAATCTCTTTCTTTGGTAGTAGTCGGTTTTACCTTCTTGTCTTCTACGGAAAGGAGTTTGGAATCTGGAGTGGTAAGCAGATGATTTTTGAGTCTTTTGGAAAGGCATTTTCTAATATGGCTTGGTTTAGCTTGTAAGACAGGAGAGTAAAAGGGGAAAAGCTGTGAAAAATTTTTCAGAAAATAGTTGGTTTTAGAGAGGGATGAAAAAAAAAACTCTTCTATTTTTCAGTTTATCACTTGTACACGACTTTTTTGTGGAAAAATTGTAAAATTGGTAGCGATTTGGGAAGCCCTAACTGCTACCATTCAAGCGACGACAACTATGTAAATGAGGTGTATAATAAGCAAAATCCTATCTGTCAAAAATCAGATCACATATTAGCTATGTACTTTGATTAACGTTTTACTTAAGTCTAAAACCAACTAAGTTTGTTTTAAAACAACTGCAAACTTTCCAAATTTTAATAGTAATGCAATCAGAGTCGAATTCTGCCGCGATTTAAAGTTTATAAGAATCAAACTCTGTTATTATAATCCAATAGCAACATGAGCACTCTTTTAGTACGTGTATTGACTTTTTTTTGTTGGTGAAGGAGTATAAACACTAGTTTGGGTGCAAAGCCACTCGTATTCTTCAACCACCAAAGCATAGCATTGTATGTTTCAATGACGTCGTATGTCTACTGATGAAGTTATCTTATGGTACCTGAGTATTATATAATCACTCAATATAACCTCATTACTCACAATATCTATTGTTATATTTGACAATATGTGAGATCGCAGCAATTATTATATTGATCCTATATATAGTTTCAATGCGTACCTTGAAATGACAACTACCAAACAGCTCGTAAGTCAGACTGCAGGATTTTTATTGCTCCATGGTTATTTAAGAGAAGCAGTTTAAAGAGTAGATGAGCCGCAAATCTATTTCCAAAAGAATTGTTTCAACCCTCATTCTTCGGCGTTTGTTCCTAAAAAACGGCTCCAAATGCCAGATTGAAGTCCATAATTGAGCATAGTTTTAATTCATTGAGCCAGCATATACTATCACTAAATTGCTGTTCCGGGGATAAGTTTATAACCAATCATAAACTAATTTCTCGTAAAAAAACGATTGAGAGCATAACAATACTGCCATAGAAAAAAAAATTCACCCATTCTCCGCTCTGCACTCCCGGAGAGAGACACCTTGTGTAATTAATTTTAGAAGCTATGCGTGTTTTTTCTTTGCTGCAAGAGAAAAAACGCGGAGTGTATCATCACATCACTCGTGCCGCTTGTACAATTTCATCCACGCTTTGTAAAAGCTTAGGAAGCAGAAAATTCTTCGTAACTGTTTTTAAAAATAAACTTCAACCTGGCAAAAGACACGACTGAGGGAATAACTAATCGCATCGGAGATGATGGCCAGGGAATGAGAGGGGAGAGGCTGATATAAGAGTCCCCTTCCCCTTGATGAACTAAACCTTGCTTGACCGTTTCTATCAAGAAAGAACTTTAAGGTTCCGTGGAAATAGAGCATACATAAGGTTTTATAAACAAAGACTAAAAAGGGCAGCAAAGTCGCTTAAAAAGGTTGCTGTGATTCAATTGGGAAACTACTGGAGAAGGCTTGGTGACGTAAACCAAATTGAATAATAGGGTTGTGTCTTGTATATTATGTATTGTTATAAGACGTGGCAGTGGTGGTTAGAAAGAGGGAAAGCTAAACTTGACCAGAAATGGAATTGAAGTTGACTAATTTGTTCTGTTTGTTTTTCTGTTCCTTATTTTGTGTGTATTCTCCATTTGTTGTTTCGTATAACCGATTATTATTTTTATATTTTTTTACATTTTTTTCGATTTTCGATTTTCGATTTTCATTTTGGTTCCTATAATTAGAAGGGTGTCAAAAAAACAAAAAAAAAAAAAAATAAAAAGCGAATGGAATGCATGAGCTTTTCTTGTTATTTTGTATATACACGGATAGGAAATGCAAAAGGGAGAGAATCAAGTTGCAATGACGGAACCAGATCTACATAATCAGCCACTTAAGAGTATCATAAAAAGAGGCACATGATACGTCTTCATTATGCTTTACGAGGGCTAATTCATAGTTGCCAAGTAATTAATCCTCTCTATGTGATTGTTTTTGCTTTCTTTTTTTGCCATTTTGTGTTTGAGTAGAAAAAGAAGAAGAAAAAGAACCAAAGAAATGAAAATTCTCCTAATACAATATTAGCGCCCAACACAAACTAAAAGTACATGATTGCTACCAACTCCAAAGTTCGTAAACCATCGACGACGACAACAAAAAACAAAGCTTCATACGGACTCCTTTCCCATTTTCATAACTTTGTAACTAAAACAATTCTAAGCCTAATTGCTCCAGTTTTGTTTCTGGCTAATGAACTAAAAATAAAAAAACGCCGTGATAGTTTCGCAGCCTAAAAGTGATTACTATAAATAAACGAGGATTATCCCACACATCTCATAACTCTTACACTCTCTAGCAACTTGTTGTTTTCATAATCATTCGTTTACAACTACAGAGATTGAAAATATGAAGTTCGTCAACAGTGCCTCCTTGACAACCACGTTATTAACGTTGGCTCCCTTGATTTCAATCGCATCAGCTGGTCAAGCACCAGGAAGTTTGAAAATGGATTTCAAAGTCAAAAGAGATGCATCAAATAATGATGCCCCCTTGCTCGATAGCTATGAACGTAGACTTGCTAAACGCGCAGAAGAAGATGAAGACCAAGGAGCTAGACCGGTTAATTTGGAATTGATCAACAACAAGACCGTTTATTTGGCTGAATTGTACATTGGTTCAAACGAAGATTGGGTCGAAGTACAAATTGATACCGGTAGTTCCGACCTTTGGGTTATGTCTAGTGATGTCACATGTGAAAAGTCATCAGACTCAAAGAGAAAGAGAGACCAACCATCGAAGTCGGAAAATATTTATGCCAACAAGCGTGACGATGAGAGCGACATTGCCCTGTACATTTCTGCTCATCCAGATAGCACTGAGTTCCCAGAACCAGGAGATGATGGTCTTGATGATTCTAGCTCAAGTTCTGACGATGGATCTGGCTCACAAACTTGTACCGCCATGGGTTCGTTCAATACCGCTAATTCCGATACTTTTGTTCAAAATGATACATTGCCATTCTTGGCCATTTATGCTGATAATTCTAATGCAATTGGTTTCTGGGGTCATGACACTGTGAAAGTCGGCAATCTTTCGGTAAAAGATGTCAGCTTCGCTATTGTCAATAGCACCACCAATAAGGCTGGTGTATTTGGTGTTGGATTACCTGGATTGGAAACAACTGCTGAATCAGGAAGCGAGTATGAAAATTTCCCCCTCAAGTTGAAATCAGAGGGAATAATTAACAAAGCATTGTATTCATTATACTTGAATGACGTTAACACCTCCACTGGCTCTATTTTGTTTGGTGCTATTGACCATGCTAAATATGAAGGTACCTTGGAAACATTGCCAGTGTTGGCATCCGATAACAACTCTACAAAGCATGCTGACTTTAAAGTTGAAGTCACTGACGTCACCCTTAATTTTGAGGATAGCCTGAAAAATATCTTGAATAACACTACCGGTGCTATATTAGACTCTGGGGCCACCTTGTCGTTTTTGTCGTCAGACCAAGTAGATTTGGTAGGTCAAGCTATTGGTGGTAATTACTCCGAGAAGGAGTCGATTTACCAAGTTGATTGTTCATACCAAGATTTAGATTCAACATTGGATATCAAATTTGGTAAAAACAAGACTATCAAAATCCCTTTCCATAGTTTGATTGTCGAAGATGACGGAAAATGCTATTTGGGTCTTCAAACAGCTCCAGAATCAGGCTACATCTTGTTTGGTGACAATGTGTTGAGGAATGCTTATATTGTTTACGATGTCGAAGATTTAGAAGTTCACATTGCTCAAGCTTACTACGCTGATGAAGAAGATATTGAAGTTGTTGTTGGAAAAGTCAACAGTGGCGGAGGACAAAACTCAACATCAGTTGGTGGAGGTAATGGATCAAACTCTACATCATCAAACTCGTCATCATCAAACCCATCGTCATCATCCAACGGTACTTCAACTCAGCCAAGTACCAAGCCATCAAGCGGAAGTACCAATGGTGGATTGTCAGTCTACAATTTGTCATGGGTCTCTGTCATTGCCGGATTGGTGATCTCATTTAGCTTGTTATAATCTTGCCCTTTAGTTACGTTATCTTTTATTTACGTTATCTTCCAATAAAAAAACTTTTTTTTCAAATAAGGTTAAACGTTGTAGCCTTGTATACCAAAATCCGTATGAATGCCAACCAAATAGTCTTCGCTCTTGAATAAGGCTGTAGCCAGAACAATTGCACAACAAATAAAAAAAATATGTGTTGCCAATATATTTCACAGTTGGATTCTTTTTGGGAGGACACATCTCTCTGCAAATTTCATACAAACTGTTTATCTGTTAGAAGGACATCGTCAATTGAGTATTTGCTTTGTTTGGTAGTTTTGTGGATTTTAGCCAAAGACTAAAAGTGTGATGATACGACATGACGTGAATGGAATGAATAAGTGTGGATCTTTTTGGTGTCACAAACTTTAAAAACAGAACAATACAACAGCAAAGAATAAAGCGAATCTGTGGCACAGTTATATACATATGGTTGGAATACATTATACACATACCACTTTTAAGTGGGACCTGTGGAAAGAAGATGAAAAGTGGGTAATAAGAGCAAAGTTGGCAAGTTATAGGAAATGTATAAAATTTTGTGTGTGAAGGTGTAGTAGTTTTGATCTCATTTGATGAAAGTTGCAAAAGCAAAAACGAAAGGGGAAATCCCACAAAACTCAAAAAAAAAAGTAACCACCAAGAAGTATTATCTAAAGACAGAAGACGGAATAGAGTAGAATGCTTGCCCCATATTTAACTGATTATGTAGCACATGTACATATGTGTATCGAAAACTTGGATGTTGACCAAGTGTCTATGATTTAATATTAACATCCCGCGAGAGCCACGAAAGAGACGAAAGATAAACCTATAATGCAAGTGAAGTACACATAGTATACATTTTTCAGAGGAAGAATAAGGTGATTAGTATCAAAGGTTGAATTGAGGCGGGATGAATGGCATTACCGTATCATATTTCCGCCTCGTGCAACAGCAGATTTTAATAATATATGAAGTATTGACTTTATTTTTATAAGTATTATTATTACGATATTTAACAGAAACAGAATATTGCATATGTCTAGTGTGTAAATATGTATTGTGTACGAAAGAAGATTGACCGTGGGTGGGTGAAGTGAAAGTATTACTCTTGGCTTTGGTATTCTTACTCTTGTGATTATTAATTATTATTAAAAACAAGTTTATGTGCGTGATCACAGTTGATTAAATTCAGTCAATAAAGACAAAATAGGACTTAAGTACAAAATGAAAAGGTATTTGGTGTGAAGTTTACACTAAAGATATACTGTTTCTCGATCAGTACGTAGTTTTAGTATGAAATCTGGTGTATATGTGTTCTGTATTAGTGGATAACTCTGTTGCTGTTGCTTGTTTCAGTCTTCTAACTATGGATAACAATCTAAATCCACTGTCTCACTCTATTCTTTCTGCCCATGTGTGTGTCTGGACATGTCCTATTGTTGATTATGTCAATCTGCCAACGGAGTTCCATCAACATTTTGGTATTGTGTAATTTATGTTATATGCAGTGTACCCAAAATGATATTAAACAAACAACTTATTATTATTATTACATTTCTTCCTTTTCTCTAATTGTTACTTTTTGTCTCTTATTGTTTCCTCTTTTAAAATTAAAAAACATTATTATGTCTGTACGATACTATTATTATTATTATATTGTGTAATATATTACATAATACAAAGGTATGTATCTCTTATTAAATAACCTTTATTACACAAACTTAATTGAGATTTTTTAATTCTTACATCACCTTTCTTTCTATCTATCCCCCTCCCCTTTTCTTTTTCTTTTTCTTTATTTTTAAAATGTATTGTCTGATTAAATAACCCCCGAGAAATAGCAACTGCTTAATCTTGATGTAGATATATATTTGTATATATATGTATAGGTATATATATGCTTTCTTTAAATTTGTATTTGCTTTTCTTTTTATCAACACTCGTATCTACAATCTAAAATCTAAAATCTAAAATCTACAGTCGACTATCTACTATAGTTAAACGTACTTTCTGTGTCTAAGTTGGAACCACTACCACTACTCCATACTACACACTGCTATTGTACGATGTTACAATCGCCATTCAATTATATCCCTAAAGAGAAGAAGAGGAAACTGAACCGTATCACCAACACTATTACCTCCAACAAGAGTAGTAGCAACAACAGTCAAATTGACATTTGCAATTGTTCATCTACCACACCAAATACTTCTCATTATGATGACAATGATGTATCATTATTATTACACACACCACCACCAAGCACTCACAAACATCATCAACAGTTTAAAAAGCAAAGACTATGCAACACTAAAAAGACTGACTTAGAGTTGAGAATTACACCAACGAGACCATCTGCACCAGCTACTCCAAATACACCAATAGCAGTACATTTTAATTGTGCTGATGATTACTGCAACACGACAATAGGCTCGTCAGTTAATAATGCTAACCCAGCTTCCATTCTGTCAACACCAACTACTCCACCAATGGAGATTTGCCAAGAACAGCAACATCAAAGACATTATAGACAAGTGACCTCACCCCCACCAACAACAAGCTACATCACTACCAAAGAAATGTCTTGCTTTAACCATAGTGAAGACAATTCCAAATTTCGTCGCCATTCTTTTTGTTCTTCTTCATTAATTGAAACCAAGTTAAAGCTAATACAAGTGAAGCTAGGGTATCTCGAAGATTCAGCAGCTAAAGATGATGTCACTGAGTTGGTGCAGTCGACAATTGATGAGTTGAAGCATTGCCAACAAGAACAAGAGAAGGAGATTAAGTTACCCAAGCGCAAATATGATGAGTTTATTATTACAACCCATGATTTATTGCTGGTTCCTGAAAATCAAGGTTTTGTTTCAAGGTGATAATTTAGAGTGAGAGTGTGTGTGTGCTTTTGTTTTGCTTACATTTAGATGGTTATTTCTTTGTTGTTTTATTTGAAAGAGAGACCCGGGATTTCAGAGTTTTGTTGGTTCTTTGAGGTTTTGCTGTATTATTCACTATATTACTGTCTTTGTTTTGTCATATTGGTTTGGTTTGGTTTGGTTTGGGTTCGGTTTTTCGGTTTCTGTTTGAGAGAGTTTTTGTTGATTTGGGATTTTAATTTGTATACTGTTATCTTGTAGTAGTTAGTATGTTTAGTTTTTAAAAATGTATATTTAGATAATAAGCGATAAAAATGAGGCATTTGCGTAAGAAGAAGCATTAAGGAGGAAGATGGTGAATGGTAAGGTGGGAGGAGGATTTATGGGAACAATAGATGGTTAGTGTTACTTCGTATGCGTAGATAATTTGTTTAAACTGTTTGAGACGATTTGACAACTAAAACAAAAACTGGAAGAAGGAGACGAAGCTGGAAACGAAGTTGAAGACGAAGCTAGAGAAAGATGTTGTTTAAGGACTTAAGCGCTTAAATGCGACATTGTTGGGTAAGAACACAATGTAATACCGAGAATTCTAATGCCAAACAAGTATAGTCTCATTGTCTATATGTACATATGTATCTAGTGTAATACATACTACTACTAATAACTACTACTAAGAATAACATCTAAAACAGATAAAAACGCAATTCGGTTGAAGTTTAGTATTTGCTGGTCTCTTTGTTTTAGTTTTAGTTTTAGTTTATGTATATCATAACCCTACCCTACAAGGGTTAAATTAATCAGAAGTAAAACACTAAAACCACTATAAACAATAAATGAATTGGATAAAGTTAGACAAAGAGAAGGATGAAGGGATACAAAACAATGAAAAGTGGCTAAAGATAGAAAGGGTAGGATGTGGATTGCATGTGTGTGTGCATATGTGTATGTGTATGTGTATGTGTATGTGTATGTGTATGTGTAGTGTGTAGTGTGTATTTGTGGTTGTAATGTTTTTGTAACAGCTAAGCCCTACAGTATCTTCACAGATATACGTATATAGATATAGATACATACCATACATATGGATTCATAACTATGCATGTATCAACTGATGTACTCCCTCTACTCTTATTGTGTTTAGATAGATATTAATAGATAGATTGATACTGATAGATGTATAGATAGAAAATGATTGTGTGTCCCCATTGTTTTCAAAAAAATGAGTTTATTACCAATTAGGAAATACAATTAGAAATTAAAGAAATTAAGAAATACTATGTCACCTTTCTCCTTGTTCTTCTTTTTGACATCTTTTTATCACCGTCTAATCTTACGCTTGCTTAAGTTACGTTACGTTGTTTGTTGGAACTCTTTGTCTTTGTCTTCCTCTTTCCGCATGTGATTGGGTGGTTGTGTGTGTTTACTTGAACTTATAGCTTTTCTTTGGTGCACAAAATGTACCACGAGTTAAAGATTAAAAAAAAAGTGAGAAAACAACTGCTGCTCTTATTGCCTGCTCCTATTCTGTTTGCAAATATTCCAGAAAAATACTATTTCCCTTCGGTTCCATATTTCTCTGTCTTTTTTTCAATTATATCCACGTTTGTCGTCTATTGTTTAAGGTATTTTGTGTATGTATGTACATAAATTGGCACGGAATTTCAATGCTTTTACTTTGCCACAATTACCAAAAAAGCAATATATTACACACACAGTCAACTGTATGATAAATTACTTTAATGGTGAAGGCACTGATGAGTACACATCAACATTAACAACTTCAACTTTAGTTAATTGAAAACTACTGCTTTGAGCTTTTAATTATGAGGAGCCCATATTATTTAGAGTTTATTCAATGCTAAAATGGACAAAAAGAAGAAGAAAAAGATGTTTGAAAATTACTACCTGTCTACTTTCTTAAAATTTAACTACAGCCACTAACCACTACTACTTTATTACTACAAAGCAGTGTTTGTGTTCAGGTGTCCATTACCACTTACTTTCAATCAAAATAACGCCATCAAATCACGTGCTTGGTGTCGCAAACACTTATTTACAGACATGGCTAAGTAGAAGGGAACTCACTCACATGCATTCAGGGTATTAGACAACAACCGCATAGATTGCATACTTGCGGTAATATTAATGTTAACTATGAATTTTTCCTTGGGCATCGTTATGGCAGTTGATGTAGCCCTTTTTCAACAATGTTTATTAGATTCAGCACCACTAACAAATACCACTATGACACGCAGTGATTATATCCCAATAACCAACGATTCAGAACCATTAGAATCATATCATTTACGGCTTTGTCCATCATTAAGTTTAATTAGTGGTAACTTGACGCAAAAGTTTTTGCAGTGTATTGAATTATATGCTAGTGATGTTCATATCACTTTTACATTTGAGGACTCGGAGCAAGGTTTGTTGGAAGAGATTGATGCTCATAACTGGAACAAAAGGGGAAACCATACTATAAGGGGAATTTTGTTTAAAAGAGATGTGGACTATGATGGGTTGTTAGCAAGCAATGACAAAAATTGCGGCAATAATAATGACCTATGGACTTGTCCGGTAAGGGCAGCAGATAATTGAGGGTGATTACCTTACCAGCGACGTATATATTGTACGTTTGATTGGGAATAGAATCACCCAGTCTAATCCACCTCCACTCTCCACCTTTATAAGATCTTCTTTCTTTAATCCGTGTCCTTTTTATTTGTTTGTTTCTCTTCTTGTTTATTGTTATTTGTTTACTTTATATACACCCTCTCAGAGTTGTACAGTTTTGGTCAAAAACCAAAACATTCACACAGAGACACCAAAAAAAAAAAAACAAATACACCACAAAACACACAACAACAAACAACAACCAAAACAACAACCAAAACAACAATAAACAACACACATTAAAAATTTTTTAACTAAAACTCACAACAACCACCTTCACCACCGCCAACTCTTATTACATTGATATACAGCATAGGAGTCCAAACACTCCAACACCTTACTCTCCAATCTACTTCACACACAGACACACACATTCAATTGATTAATTAAACTTGACTAAATCTTTTTTTTTTTCCAGCATATCATCTGTTGATCTTCCTTTTAGCAACAACCACCACAACATCGCCATCCACAAGCACAACCATCATCACCACCAACAATGAGGTCTTACAAAACTGTCAATGATGAGAACAAACCAAGTCACCATCTCAGGACTAAATCAGATATTTATAATCTAACTAGCAGTAGTAGTTCTAGTGCTCATGCTAATGGTATTGCTAATGCTAATGGAAACATCATCAACAACCACACCAAAACCGCATCTGGATCAATTTACAAGTCGACAAGACTGTCTGACTCACATTTGGGTTCACTGCATAGAGAAGCATTGAGTGATTTAACAGCTCATGAGAATTACAAGTCGCGTCTCAAGTCACAACAACAACAACAACAACAGCAGCAGCATCATCTGCAACCGCATCTACAATTTCAACAATCATACCCTTATTCTCACCACCAGCACAGCAGTAGCAATAGCAGCAGCAGTATTGGCAGTGGCGTAGCTACTTCAGGTACAACTTTGAGTCAAACAAAATTAGAAATCTACAAACAAGCAACACAAAATCTCCATCTCTACAAGAAACCAAGATTGGAGAAGGTGTTGCGTAAAGAACATGGTTTTGGCTTTGGTGATAACGATGAAGAACCGAAAAGTACGTCTGATGAAGCAGTGGAATCTAGTGATGATAAGGAGAATCGAAACCCGCTGCTGACACAACCACAACCACAACCACAATTGCATTTACAACAACATCAACAACACAAGTACCTGCACCAGGAAAATCAACAGCTGCACAACAGAATACATGATGAGGCAAAGTACCAACACCAGCACCAGCAGCAACCATTACGTTCCCATGACACATACGAAATGCATTTTAAGGAGGAGTTAGATGAGGAGGAGTTTACTGATGATGAAATATACAACACTAGTTATAGTAATGTCCGTGCTGCTGATGATGGTGACGATGAATTGGGAATCCAAACAGTTGTCAAGCAGAGCAATACTAGAGATAATGGTGTAGATGAGTACTACACTAGGGACGACGACGTACAAACAGAAAAGGAGGTTTCAATGGAAACGACAATAAAACAGGATGACACATTGTCCACCCACGAACAGGATGAAGAGCACCAGCAGGAGGAGCGTGAACAAGCTCTCTCAAAAGCACAACTGCATTCTAACCGCCAGCATCGTGCTGAAACTATTACTCCCATGAAACCATTATGGGACTTATCCATCAAAATGGAGTTGCGAAGGATCGTTGACAAGTATTCACGAACAACATTGGATGAGGATGATGAAGATACTTATGATGCCTCGATGGTTGCTGAGTACGCTCCCGAAATATTCAATTACATGCGTAGTTTGGAAGAAAGGTATAAACCCGATCCCTATTACATGGATCGTCTTCAAGATGAGTTGAGATGGGGTATGAGAGCAGTTTTGATTGATTGGGTGGTTCAAGTGCATGGCAAATTCAACTTACTTCCAGAAACCCTTTTCCTCACTGTCAATTATATCGACCGATTTCTTTCCAAGCGTAAAGTCTCCTTATCGAAATTTCAATTGGTGGGTGCAGTGGCATTTTTCATTGCTGCTAAATATGAAGAAATTAATTGTCCTACAGTACAAGAAGTGGCGTTCATGGCTGATAATGCTTATACCATAGATGACTTTTTAAAAGCTGAACGATTCATGATTGATGTGCTCGAATTTGATATGGGATGGCCGGGACCAATGTCGTTTCTTCGACGCACATCGAAAGCTGATGATTACGACTACGAAACACGGACATTGGCCAAATACTTTTTGGAAATTACTATAATGGATGCTCGATTTGTAGCCTCGTCACCGAGTTGGTTAGCTGCTGGTGCACACTACCTTTCGCGAGTGTTATTGAATCGTGGTGAATGGACAGAACCACATGTGTTCTATAGTGGGTATACTGAACGGCAGTTGAGACCTTTGGCAGAGCAATTGTTGGAGAATTGCCGTTTTGGTGAAAAGAATCACAAGGCGATTTTCGAAAAGTACCTGGAAAGAAGATTTAGAAGGAGCTCATTGTTTGTTCGGGAGTATTTTGAAAATTTTTAAAGAAACAAACGAGGAGGTGGGTGTGGAGCTTTCTGAGTCACTTTGAATAAAATTTGGCTTTAACTTTTTAAAAATTTTAATATTAAAACTTAGCATCAATTTCATTTGTATTATTTTTAATAAAGATAACGATATTCATTAGTATTGTGTAGTAGTGTGCGGCTTTTACTGTTTGAGGAAGTGACGCGTGTTACGCAGAGCGATAAGATCGAAAATATGAAGAAAAAAAAAAAAAAAAAAAAAAAGAAGAAAAAAAGCATGGAGTGCTCACTCTAGATCCTTTACGAACTTTATAACAACGATGGAGCTTATATGGAATAAACTACCTCTCAAGGAAGCAGAAGTAAGCTTAGCAAAAGTGTTACGATGTGGTCAAACCTTCCGATGGAAGAGTATAAACAATGTATGGTCATTTGCCATTCTGGATCGAATAGTCTTGTTAAGGCAGGATCAGGATTATATATACTATTCACAAGTGATGGCTAAACAACAACAACAACAGCAGAGGCAACAACGTAATTCACGTGATAATTGTGATATTGACAACTCCACGCTTGGTTTCATTGAAGATTACTTTGCCCTCGATGTTAAATTAACTGACTTGTATCAACACTGGAAATTAAATCATGCCCCGTATATCACTACTAAAGTGAAGCAACAATCACCGTTTGATTTATTCAGTGGTATACGTACACTAAGACAAGATCCATGGGAATGTTTAATCTCATTTATTTGTTCGTCAAACAACAACGTCAAACGGATTCTGAAAATGTGTGACAATTTATGTATACATTTTGGCAACTACATCAATGATTACGAAGGTATTTCATTTTATTCCTTCCCTAGTCCTCAACAGTTATCAGCGGATCCTTCAGTAGAGACAAAATTACGTGATTTGGGGTTTGGATATCGAGCCAAGTACATTTACCAAACGGCTTGCAAATTCACTGATGATGAAAAATTCCCCCAAATAAATCTCGATAGATTGAATGGTTTACGCCAGGAATCGTATGAAGAAGCACATGAGTTTTTGCTACAATTGACAGGGGTGGGTCCTAAAGTGGCTGATTGTATATGTTTGATGTCATTGGATAAATCGAATATTGTCCCTATTGACACTCATGTTTACCAAATTGCTGTGCGTGATTTCAAATACAAAGGTGGTAAGAGGGAGACCAAGACTTTGAATAAAGCGATGCATGATGATATAAGACGGTTTTTCCAAGATATATTTGGTGAATATGCAGGTTGGGCACAGTCGGTCTTATTTGCTGCTGATTTAGCCGATTTGAACAATGGGGTTAATGTTGTTGAAGTGAAGAAAGAAGTTGAAGCTAATGATAAGGTGGATTTTAGCGTGAGTATAAAGCAAGAAGTTGCTAAGGACGAGAAAGAGAGTGTATTGAGTACCACTAAAAGAGTTAAATCGGTAAAGACGGAATCCTCAGTGAATGGGAACAAAAGAGTCAAAAAGTTAAAGACAAAAGCTTCAATTGCTGTTAAATCCTGAGTATAGAAGTTAAGTTACTACTACAAAATATTTCAACATGCACAAAAATATATGCCTCTGATGTATATTACACTAATGAATTTGTAAAGAAATGGTTGATATGTGTGACATGACTCGTTATTCTAACATTTACAAACCACCTCCTCCTCCTTCCTCTTCCTCTTATTCTCCTCGGCCAAGATCTTTGCTTAATCGAATAAACCGAATCCCATATCATCATCGGATTCTTCTTTATCTTCTTCTTCCTTGGCTTCTTCAGCTGGAGCAGCACCAGCATCGGCAGCACCAGCGGCAGCACCACCAGCGGCAGCACCACTAGCTGGAGCAGAAGCAGCGAAAGAGAACAACAATTCTTTTAAGTCTTTACCTTCCAAGGCCTTGGCGAAAACATCAGCCCAGATGGAATCAACTTGAGCACCGGCGGCTTTGGTGATGGCCAACAATTTGTCGGAGGTGATTTCTTGCTCAGCGTCAGCTAAGATCAATGCAGCGTATGAGATTGATGATTCTGATGACATTGTGTGGGTTAATATGTAGTTGGAGCTTGTTAGGGTGTAGTTTGGCTCGATAAAGCGTAATTTTTTTTTCAATTAGGCAAAGGTGAAAAAAAATTAATTTGACTGTTTATAGCCCTAATCACGTGACCTACTATAAACATATATACTTAGGCTCCCACATTTAGAAGTTATGGTGATTGTTTTATACCAAAGGACACAGTCAGTCTGTTGGTTCTTAGAATAGAGGTGACATTGGAAAAGTCAATGTTGCCCTTACGTCGTAAAAAGTACTTTGTTGCAGACTTCCAGGGTTAGCAACATATGGAAAACTTTATGCAGAACCATATTCGGGTGGAGTTCGTGATCCCTAATTGCCTGCGCTTTAGTCGATATACACTAAGCAATTGTAAACATTTTCCTTCTCTAGTTTTGGTAACTATTTCTTGTGTTAACCCGATTCTGACAGTTGCTCTCAAATCTCTTATCTTTGCGGGGAAGGATCTCGCTTATATGTCGTATCGTGTGCCCCTTTCGACTATATTTAGCTTACGTTAGGCTCCCCAGCAAAGTGACGCATTGGCAACTATACCTAAAATAGGAGAATCATCTGGCCAAATCTAGTATACACTCTATCACCCCTGTTGTGCTATTACTAGTATGGCATTAGCATTCACAAAAGGATCTCATATGAATCGGAGTTCAACTTCGCGATAACACAAAAGTTGAGATCAACAACAAAGACCTCTCTCTATTCGAATAAACTTTTGTTTAGACAAAGGAAGCTAGAGCACGAGCAATCAATGCCACATGACAACAGTGCCGAAAAAAACAGATCCTCGTCAACTACATGACTCACTAAAGCCTTTGAACCTTTCAAACCCCATACGACTTGCCTTTCTTGGAGGAGCCAAATCGGGCAAAACATCAATAATCTCCAAACTAATCTTGGGTAATTTCCGAGATACTTATTATCCAACCACCCAGCTCAACCCCAACCTATTCAATTACGAACCAGAATCAGAAAGTGCTAAGCAAATATTGCAGGGTAAAACATTGACGTCAAATGAATATTTGAATTTGCCTTCAAGCATTCGAACCGCTGCAACTAGTAAGAGCATCTTTAATAAAAATGAATACTATTCAGTATCCACTTCAGGTGAAATTAGGCCCATGTTGGTTGAGCTTATAGATACCCCCAGCTACAATCCAGCCCAGATAGTTCCTTACCTTGAGGCTTCACTATATACAAATCTCGACAAAGATGTCTTGCACAATCTTGCCAATGAGCCACGACGACCAGTCTCCACTAGTCCACTTTTAGTGGCTAGTGGTGCTAGCGAATTGAATGGAGACGTCAATGGCTATTTCTTTGTCTACAGTGCCATCCCAAGCTTTGCACCGCCAGGATATGACGATGGAGACATGGGTAGGTTACCCAAAAATCATACTTTCAATCTTTTACCTTCTATGAAAGCAGCCCTTGATGACGCATGGGAGGAGTATACTTCATTTAGAGAAAACTGGAAACGTGGCCAAGAAGAAGACGTGTTTTCATTCAAGAATGCTTTTAAAAGCATTTGGAAGACAAATATTGCCGAATCTGATACAACAAAAATGGAATTCAAAACGAACTCGCCGCCAGTCTGGATAATTTGTACTCATGTCAGTAGCAACTTAGCTTCGAGACAATTGATATCTGAAGGTAAGAAGTTAAGTGAGGAATGGAGATGTGGATTCATGGCCATTGATTGCTTGAATGATATTGATGAAGTCTTGTCTTTGATGATAAGGGATATACTACAGATAAAGAGGCTGTAACCCGCATTTTTAATACCATCTTTAGCTTCTCAGACGTTATAAAATATTGCCTTTCATTTCTCTTATATACATGCTTTAGGTGATACTACACACTTAGTTTAAAAATTTGGAAACAGCATTGAGCCAAGTTCTGTATTCGCTCTCTTCCTTGTAGTCGCTGAAAGCGACAATGAAATCAGCCAATTCATTGTCAATACCCTTTGCAACCAAATAGTTTTCAAATTCAGTTTGCAAGCTTTCATCCAACTCGGCAAATTTTGGTCCTTGATACTTGAACTTGTCAATGAATTCATTTTCATTCTTGACGGCACTAATAAAAGAGTTCACATCCTCTTGAACATTTACAAAATCAATCATAAAAGACGACTCGGTGTTTTGCAAAAACAAGTTCAAAAACAAACCTGAATTGTTTGATGGGTTTTCCACAAGAATTTTGACGTTACACAATAACTGGTCCAACTGATTTGCCTCTTCTTCCAAATCACCAGATTCCAAAGCAGCCAAATCCTCAGTTGGAATGTCAGTGACTTCATCAATATCAAAATATACATGCAAGACATTTCCTGTATCAGCGTCCTTTTTCACCAATTCAACACTAGCGGTACCTGGTGTAGATACAACTTCGAACCCACTAGTGCTCAAAAAATCTTGGTACACTTGATCCAATTCATTTGGAATGGCTTCAGAGATTTTGCTCTCTGCTTTAACAACTTCATTCAAAGCTGATTCGGGGGTTTGGTCAAACTTAACCAAAGTTTGGTGGAATGATCTTGTTGAGATGGCAGCAACTGTTTTAGGGCATGATTTAAGCAAGATGCTTGATCTCAACCTGGAAGATTGAATGGCAGCTCTCTTTGTTGTGACTGAGCGTAATGTTGTTGGTAGCAATTTCAACATTGTAATTTGAGTTTGTAAATACAGGTTAAAATGGCAAAAGCAAGAGAAGTTTAAAAAGGGGGGAGGAGAGATTTTTAAGAAGAGGAAAACGAGGAGGAAAACGAGGAGGAAAACGAGGAGGAAAATAAAATTCGGGTGACGCTACCAAATTGCGATTGAGAGACTCTCTAAACCCATTGTGTTGTTCTTTTAAATAATAATCCACCTTTGATTAGACTGACTTCGATTCAAAAAACATAAATGATTTCCTAAACTTATCCCATCTGAAACTGGTTGTATTTTAGTCAACATGATTGTTTGCTTCGAGAACTGAGCTCTCGCACAAGAGCAAAAGACCAATTAAGAAAGCACCTTGTGTAAATGCTTTCACCATCATATCATATTCACAACAGCTACTCTAGACCACTTTCTTCCCCACAAAACACACCTTAAAACGGTGAATTTCTATGTATGTTCGTTTAACATTTGTTTTTGCCAACCGACGACCTGAAGCAAAACATTTCAACTGAAAAATAAATAAATAAATAAATCTCTGAACCTCACCAACCTCTTATATACATTTTATTCATCACCATGGTGCAGGCTTCCGAACCTACTTTCGTCGTATCACTAATTGTATGTTTAAGTTTGTTTTAGAGCAGGACTATTTGTCACTCCGTGTGAGATTCAAGTACTAACATCAATGTATTCAGAGTGGTGCTTGTGCTGGAACAGCCACCGATGTCGCATTCTTCCCCATTGACACCATCAAAACTAGATTACAAGCAAAGGGAGGGTTTTTTCGCAATGGGGGCTACAAGGGAATATACCGGGGGCTTGGGTCGTGTGTAATAGCGTCTGCACCATCAGCGTCGTTATTTTTTGTCACGTACGATACGATAAAACGAAAATTGCAACCTTATGTCTCTTCACCAGGCTATCGTCACATGGTCGCCGCATCGGTAGGAGAAATCATGGCTTGTATTGTGCGAGTGCCAGCAGAAGTCATTAAACAACGAACACAGGCAAGTCACATGGGATTGACTTCTAGTTGGTCCAACTTTAAGCATATATTAATGAACAACAGCCAGCAAAATGGCGTAATTAGGGGGCTATATCGTGGCTGGAATAGCACAATAATGAGGGAAATCCCATTCACCATTATCCAATTCCCACTTTATGAGTGGTTAAAGTCTAAATCGTGGTCGACTAACAGTGGAGCCCGTTTGGAGCCTGCTTCTATGGGTTTGAAAGGAGCGATTTGTGGAATGATAGCTGGAGGAGTTGCAGCTGCACTCACTACACCATTAGATGTGATCAAGACAAGAATCATGTTGAGCACCAACAGGATCAACTTTGGCCATATGATCTCCCAATTAATTCGTGAGGAAGGGTGGTCCAGTTTTTGGAAAGGTGTTGTACCGCGAACATGTTGGATCAGTTGTGGTGGAGCAATTTTTTTGGGGTGTTACGAACTCGTCCGTGATGAATTGATGCGATTGTGAAGAGAGAGAGAGAGAGAGTAAATAGTTTTAATAGAAATAGAAATAGACTGGGATGTATCTTTAAAAGTTAGTTTATTAACTCAGGTTAAACTATAGATCACCAACAATCCTTGATGGTCTTTAATTGTTGTATTTGTTGATCAATTCCACTGCGAATTCAATGTACTTCTTTTCTGCTTCTTCTTGTGGAGTTCCTTCCAAGTCTTTCCAACTTTGCCACTTGTATTTACCCTTAAAATCAAAGGTACCTGGCTTGTCTGTAGAGTTATCACCAACAGTGGCTTGTTTGTAGAGACCGTAGAGCTTCAACAATTCGTCATCGTTTGGTCTTTTGGCCAAATTGGACACGGTGTTTGCCTAAAGCAAGAGTGACTATGTTAGTATTCTATAATTAATGTTCTCGGGGCCGTTAACCCAGCTCAATTGAGCCCAGACACAGTTGTCAACATACTTTTTCTTCAAATTCTGCTGATACCATAGCTGTGTGTTTAATGTAGATTACTGATGTGTACTGGCTATTCAGAGGAGGTAAGATACGAGTAAGTACGTTGTTTTTTTTTCTGCTGTCCTTTTTTATACCCACAATAACTTTTAAAATGATGGCGAAATTTATTAACATTTCTCGGAGCAATAATAGCCAGCACAGTGTAGATTCATTTTCCTGGGAAGGGAAGGGGAAGACAGGTGTGTTTAACTTATGCAGGAACACCCACCCACTGACCCACGAGTAAGTTTGATTCCATATGCTTAACTTTCGAAATTGATGCCTTTAATGGCGGACTGCAGGTTAATTATTCTCTTGTACAATTGGCTTATTTGACATTGAAGATTAAACTTGAAGACCCCCATTTATCTCTAGTTACACTGACTCTATATCAAAGTCATATGTTTCTCAGAAGTTTCTCACAAAGATGAACGACGCAGTGTTTGATTACCCCATTACCCAAGATGGTAGCTCCCGGCTGGTAGGCGAGAGAGCTTTTTGAAAACTGATTCCAATTTTTGTAGTGGCGAAAACCCACTGTCAAACAACGGCAACGAATTCCACAACCAACTATGTTTAGAAACAACTACGACAACGATTCTGTTACCTATTCCCCTACGGGCCGTTTATTCCAGGTTGAGTATGCGTTAGAAGCAATCAAACAAGGAAGCGCAGCGGTTGGTTTAACATCGAAAGACTATGTTGTACTTGTGGCCTTGAAGAGAAATGCCGAGGAATTGGGATCATACCAAAAGAAAATCATCAAAATAGACGACCATATGGGAGTTGCATTGGCTGGTTTAGCCCCCGATGCGCGAGTATTATCCAACTTTTTGAGGAAACAAGCAATGCAATCTAAAATGATTTTCAATCGCCCAATCCAGACCCATAAAGCAGCCTTGACAATCGCCGATAAGGCACAGGAAAATACTCAAAGCTATGGCTCTAGACCATACGGAGTGGGATTGTTAATTGCAGGGTACGATGAGACTGGTGCACATTTGTTGGAATTCCAGCCATCGGGATCAGTCCTCGAATATTTCGGTGCTGCTATTGGTGCCAGGTCACAAGCAGCTCGTACCTATTTGGAAAGGAACTTGGAAGAGATCAGGGGCTCTGATTCAATTGAAAAGTTGATTGTACATGGGTTATACGCTTTGAGAGACACTTTGAGTCAAGATGTTGAATTAACGTTTAAAAACACAAGTGTCGCTGTTGTAGGTAAAGGACAACCGTATACTTCTTATGATGACGAAGATGTGCAGCAATGGTTAGACAAGCTAGATTCCGTCACAAATGATAGAAATAGAACTGATGGTGATGATGAGAACAAGAACGAAGGGGGAAATGAAACAGCAGCTGACGAAACCGCTCAAGACAGAGGAGAGGAACCCGCGCAGGGCGACAGAATGGATACAGATGAGTAAGTTTAGAAGTAATAAAGTATTCAAACTGTTCTCTAAAAAAAAAAAGACTATTTACTTTCCTTCCTGCTCTTGTTGCTTGACGGCAACTTTTTTGATTGCGTCCATGCATTCCTTCTGCATCTCATTAAGCTTATCGTTGAGGAATTTGGGATCATGTAGCTTCTTGTTACTTCTTATATCCTCGATGCATTCTTTTATTTGGTTAATGTAGGCTCTAATGTTTTCCTTCTCTGAGCTCTCCATCATGTCACCGAACTGTATCAAAGCAATCTCGGTATCAGTGCAAAGGATCTCTGCTCTCGATGCATGCTCGTAGTATTTTCTCATCTCTTCGTCTGCTTCTTTATTCCTGTTGCTCTCTTGAATCATTTTTTCAACTTCTGAATCGGTCAACCCCACTTCAGTGACTTGTATGGACACAGTATTTGGTTTTCCGTAGTGAGGAGAGTCCTTAGGATATGGTGTTTTATCTGATGCACTGACCTTAATAATACCATCCGCATCAATCTCGAACTGAACCGCAATCTGCGGGGTACCCTTGGGGCCTTGAGGTATGTTTGATAGTTTGAATTGGCCAATCAACTTATTGTCCTTTACAAGCATCCTCTCACCTTGATAAACACGTAGTTCGACCCCAGTTTGTCCATCTACAGCCGTGGAAAACATCTGCTCCTTTTTGATAGGTACTGCTGAGTTCCTTGGTATCAAAGGACTAAATATTCCACCATATGTTTCGATTCCCAACGACAAGGGGGTGACATCAAGCAACACCACATTTTTCACTTGACCAGATAAAACAGCTCCTTGAATCGCAGCACCGAGTGCTACAGCTTCATCCGGGTTGACAGCTGTGCTTGGTTTCTTACCAAATAGCTCCTCGACAACCTTCCTGATCTTGGGCATTCTAGTCATACCTCCAACCAAAAGGATTTCGTCGACATCTTTAAATTTAAGCTCTGCATCTCTCACGCATTTCTTTACTGGCTCTATTACTTGCTCTATAATAGGCATTGACATATCGTCAAGCTCATCTTCAGTTAGGTTGAATTTAATGTGCTTATCTTCGTAGATGAATGGTATATTAATTTCGGTTTCCTTCACCTTAGACAACTCGATTTTTGCATCTTCTGCAGCCTCTCGTATCCTCTGCACGGCTAGCTCGTTTTTAGACAAGTCAATTCCATATTTCTTCTTAAAGCTTTCAATAATGCGCTTCAATAAAATAATATCAACGTCTTCACCACCTAAATGTGTATTCCCGTTAGTGGCTCGCACTTCAAAGACGCCATCTTCGATATCCAAAATGGAAATGTCAAAAGTGCCCCCACCAAAATCAAAAACGGCAACGACACCCTCTCTCCTAGACTTATCGCACCCGTATGCAAGTGCAGCTGCGGTAGGTTCGTTAATGACACGAAGTACATCCAAACCAACAGTCCTGCCTGAGTTTTTGGTGGCCTGCCTTTGACTGTCGTTGAAATAAGCTGGCACTGTGACAACTGCCTGATTAATGTTGGATTCTCCCAATTGCTTTCCTGCAATCTGCTGCATCTTTTGCAAAATCAAACCTCCAATCTCCGAAGGGCTTATTTCACGATCTGTAGAAGTCTTTAGCACTGCGTCTCCCTGCTTGTTTGGAACTATTCGATAAGGCACGTTTTTAATATCCCTTTGCACTTCACTGTCTTCGAATTTTCTTCCAATTAACCGCTTCGTTGCGAAAAAGGTGTTTTGAGGGTTGATCACGGCTTGCCGCTTTGCGGGTATTCCAACCAACGTCTTTTGGTTATCAAAAGCCACAATGGATGGCGTGGTCCTTTTCCCCTCCTCATTTTCAATGATGTGAGGCTCTTTATCAGAGCCTACATAAGCTACTGCGGAGTTTGTGGTACCCAAGTCTATACCCAAAACATGTTTGAATCTAGTAATGTTGAAATTAGGTTGAACTTTTCTAAAGCGCAATGCGGATCTCTTGACTGTGTTTAGCATGTTTGACAGGAGGAAATAATGCTCTTGCTAATGACGGGATTGAATACAGTTTCAGTAGAATTTAGGTCTAATTGAGAATATGTAAATCACCCCTTTTTTATAAAACAAACTTTGAATGCGATATACGATAACGTCATAACTCCTCCATCGCAAGCATTTAGAGCGCTACCGGAAATCGAAAAACGAAACCTCAGTATTTACAGTTTCAATTATAAAGTTTAATCTGCTACATACGCGATGTATCTGGTATATTTTGGCATGACACGAATGTTATAGACCCTGTTTCCAAGTCTATTTCAAGACTTCTAAACCCTGCACTGAACAACAAGTTAAACCCTATTAAGCGAACGAATGTGTTGATTTCTAGTACATTGTTAAACACCCACAGTGTTACAAAACCACTTTTTACCGTTTCTACGGTTCCACCAATCGTTAAAATTTTGCAAAATGATTCGTTAGTACCTAGAATCACTGCTGCTTGATTGTGTCTTGTTCTTATCACGAGGCCTCTCAAATGCAACTGTTGGGTGTTGACATGATCCTTGGCCTTAGAAACCTCGCTTTTATGCTCGAAAACAACTTGATGAAGTGGCGCATCCTCTTCTCCGAGATGTTCCATAAATTGACTAAACTTGAACGTGCTGCTAAAGCTCTGGCGTGAAAATTTCATTTTCGTGATAAAGTTCAGATCAGTGCAAGTGTCCTCAACACCTACAATTGACAAAATTTTTGTGGAATCAGCAGTTCTCCTCAAGCTCTTCAATCCACGAGAAAGATCAAACAACTGAAACAAATATGACATCAGTTGACGGATATTGTATACGCCGTGCAGATCAAATTCATGTTTGTGGAATGACAATTTCAGATTCACGTAGTCGAAATAAATATCTTGGTAAATCACACACCATGGAGTGCAAATAGGAGGTTCGACTGGATCCGGAACCTCGAGGCCAAAATGCTTCCATCCTTCGTACAAGATTTTAGTCGCAATGGCAAACAAAAGATACGGATGAGCCTTGCATTTCCCACTGTATAATTTCAAAATATCAAAATTTTCAATGATTCCTGAATGTTCTCGACACACTCGTGATTCCATTGACGCTAACAAGAGTTGCAAGCCTTGTCGCGTGTAATGCAGGTAAAGTCGACGCTTGGCAGCATCGTTGTTCAAGGTGCTGTATGTTTGGACAATGGAGGGTTTCAAAAACTTCTCGAGCAACTTTATCTTTTGTTTCAAAAAGCGCCGGCGGTAGTGAAAATGACAATAGCTTTTGCTTTCGAGTAAGCTTAAATTAAAAAGCATACTCTCGTAGGACAGGGGTGATTGTTCTTGCGAATTAATGCGCCTCGCGTTTTTAAGGCCTATGTTGTACAACTGGTTGGATAGCAAATGTTCAATGACAGAAGCCTTGAAAAAATCGAAGCCTTTTTCTTCAGCTTTCAATTTCTTTCGAAGAACGGCATCCTCAAGCTCGAACATTTTAAGTAATATCGGTAGGTAATTAACATCTAATGAGTACCGCTGATATTGTTCATTCGTCCACGGCAAGTTGGCAATAGCATCCCTAGTGATATGCTTGGGATGCGTAGATATACATTGTTCATCAAGAAGCTTTAGTGATGACTCCAACTCAAGCAGACACTTGTAAATGGCACAGGATGCTGTGTAGTAGCTTTCGGGATCAGTCTCTATTTCCAACTGTGAATATATCCTTCCAAACAGCCTCTTGTAAAGAACGTTCCAAAAATACGGATGCAGTAGCTTCTGTTTTAGCAACCTGTTGGCATTATAAAGACTAAATACATCTTTTATGCTCAAATCACCAACGTCAACGATATGAAGTACGAGATCTAAAGGTAAGGTCAGCATGATAATAGGCAATCAAGACAGTTGTGGTCATATAGGGAAGCGATGGGAATAAAAGGAGTTCTATTTGTAGCAAGGTGAAGTGGTATATTGATGTCTTTTCTTGATAATTGAGGTCAAATTACGTCCAAGTTGAAGGTGTGGTGGTCGCTATATGTTTGTCCATTGATAACCGCGTAATTCATAGAGATTTGTTGATTGTTTTTGTTTTCTGGTTTTTTTTTTTTCTGAAATTAAGATGATGCTTTCGATGATCAATTTTACAGACTATGAGCAAAAGAAAGCATGAACATTACGCCAAGGGAAATGGGAAGAGGTTCAAGGGTGGGGCAAAGCTACTAGACCCCAACACTGCGGGGATATATGCGACGTGCCCTCGAAGGAAGGAGCAACAGTGTCGCCTGGAACTTATGAACGTGCTTTCTGAAAAAATACACGAGTACTTTAATCTCCATGAAGGGATCAGCAAGGACAAAGAAGAAACTGGTGACTTATCAATAGAAGAAAAGATTCAACTAGAACTTTCAGAGATGGAAGAAGCGAAAACGAATCCGAAGGCGAATTATTTGCAACCAATCGATATTGATGTCGAGTGTGTGGTGTTTATAAAGACTCGGAAGCCCATAGATCCAGCTGTGCTTGTCCAGAAGTATGTAGAAGAGTGCTATGAGTCGGGCACCAAGACAACCAGGACCACTCAAAAACTCACTCCAATTAGTGATTCATGTAGCGCAACAGGTGATACAGAGGAACATTTGAAAGATTTGTCGAAACGTGTGTTGCAGAAGCATTTCCATGGCAAAGACCAAGAACCTGTCAAGTTTGCCATTCAAGTGTCGAGAAAGAACTTTGATACACTCACCTCCGAAGCAATTATTAAAGCGGTGGCTGAAACAGTAGGACGTGACCACGGACATACTGTGGATTTGAAAAACTATGACAAGTTAATCATTGTTGAATGCTACAAGAACAATATAGGCATGAGTGTTGTGGAAAACTACTTGAAGTATAGCAAGTTCAATTTGCAGCAGATTTATGATAAGACGTCAAAGTAGCTATTTAGAGACATGCATATCTCAACTATACAACGTGTTGAGTGAAGATTCTATCTCTAACCATGCTAGCCAGTCTGCTTCCAGATGAGGTATAAGACCCATTGTGTACAATTTGTAGATACCAATTGACATATTCATCAACTGAAAGAATATAAATCCCAACTTGGCAAACACAATAAGCTGCAGATTGTCGTCTGTTTTCAATTTCAGAAACGTCGGGTTGAGATCGTTAAAGATTGATTTAAGGGGATTCCATAGCAACATTATTGTCATCGTCACTGGAATGATTTGTAATGAATTTCCAGTCATGTAGCTCATAAACGCGTTCATCGGGATAGACTTGGCTGGCCCAATTGCAAGCTCCCATATTTTCTTTGATTTCAATTCATCCAAATCTCTCTTGTGGTCTCTTTGTGTGGTCTGTTTCGTGCGTTCGAGTGGTTTTGAATCGAACCCTGGTGGGGATGCCACAGTATTCTTTCTATCCTGCCCTTTGGACTTGGATCCTTTGGCGTCTTCATGCTTTGACTGAGCCATGTTTTCCAAGCGTTTGGTAGAATAATTGTGTAGTGTAAATGGGGGAATAAACTGTTGAGATAACTCGGCATAATACTTACAAGAAAAAAAAAGTCACCAAAAATAAAATAGATGGCACTGAGAATCCTGTTCAGTTTTGTTATCTAGCTAAACAATTGCACCCCACAATGGACTCAATAGACTTCAAAACAAATCCTCTAAATCGAATAATCGGACTTTCAGTTATATTATCTGTCGGATTCTTGCTAGTAATATTAGCAGGAATATATGGGAATTGGTTTCCCATTGTAATTGGAATCATATTTGCAGTGGCATACCTTCCTGTGGCTATTACAAGGAGAGTCACCAGTTTTGATCCATTTAGCACACCCAATACTAACGTATTGGCAGAACTGGCACAGTTCTTGTCAGCTTTCTTGTTAGTTAGTGGACTCTACTTGCCAATTGTTTTGCACCATTCGTTCATATTAACCACCACAGCGGCAACATTGACCATAATTGGTGGGGTCTTAATTTTCGGAACAGTCTACACATTCAGTCATTATTTCGATGAACCAGCTGATGAGGATGGGTTAGGAGATTTGTGATCTCTGATAACACAATCTAGTTTGTATAAGCTTTGGGTTTTCGTCTTTGATGCTTCAATGAAATACGACAGGAGGAAGGGAGAGATGACAAAAGTAGATTCTCGTTTGGCAGGGAGGGGTGACATTTATCAAACAGCAAAAGATAGATTCTAGAGGAATTCCACCCGGACCAAAAGTGGAATGCTAATTGACAGAAAGGTAGTCCTGTATAATGTCTATATAAGGTTTAAACTGCGTAATATATCACAATTTGGCATTGGCATGTTCTGTGCACGTTCTAGTTTCCGCATATCCGTGCTAAACCACCCCACAGCATCTTCAATCAAATTGTCCTTATAGATTTGCTCTCGCGAGCACTTGGCTCTCTTGTCTTGAATAAAAATGTTTTCAACTTTGGAACCAAAATTTTTGAGCTCCCTTCGCGATTTGTTTTCGTTTTTTTTGGCAAAATCATCGTTGACAAAGTAAGGAATGCCGTGTTTTGGGGTCTTCCGCTCTATATGGAACTCTGGAGTACGATTGAATGAGTATTGTGATGATGAATCATTTGAGAATAACGCAGACAATAAAGGAACAATCAATATAAGCAAAAGTGGCAATAAATTCTTCACAACCTCTGAAAATGATTGTGGACCTTGCGACTCATCTCCCGCTTGAGCACGAGCATTAGGCGAAGCCCTCGGTGCTCTCCTGGTGGTTCTCCTATGCCTCATGAATGGATCCTGACCACCTCCTCCGAAAGACTGGAAAGTAAACCCATTGCCTCCAAAAGTGAACGTAGGGCCAGATGCGAAAGGACTTCCGCCATTGCCGAAAAACATATTGAACAAATCATCATCAAAGGGGCCATGCGCTCCACTAGCAAAACCTCGCGTACCCGTAAATGTGCCAAACCCTTGCCCAGTAGCGCTTGCGTTCGATATTCTAGAGGTGGGGTCTGTCCCAGTTTGGTCGTATATGCGTCTCTTTTGTGGGTCGCTCAAAACCTCCCACGATTTATTAACCACTTTAAATGCCTCTGAAGATCTCGGATGGGGATTCTTATCTGGATGGCATTTAATGGCAAGTTTTCTGTACGACTTTTTAATCTCTAATTCGGTTGATGTCTTGGTGACTTCCAATATTTCGTAATACTGGTGGCCCTTGTACGAGAGTACTCGCAATACAACGGCTTCCTGTTCTTTGGTATATGACATGGACTCTGAATGATTCTTGTTGCTCAAGCTCACTGGGTGATGGGGGTGATGCCTCTCTTCTTTGATAAATTCCAACGTTTAACTTTTCGATTTTGCGAAAATCATATTTCGTAGGCATTTGCACTACTTTTTGCCAAAAAGAAATTGCATGGCGGTATATAGATTCAGCATCGTGTCTCTCAGCGTTGACCCCGCCATCAATTCTTTCATGTTAGCCCTTCCGTTAAAATCGCTAAAAGGTGACTCCTTTATACGTCGAGAGTTTTCCGGTCAAGAAAACGTACCTAGAGTTATATACAACTTTATCAACGAACGCGCAGGCCATGAGCTTACAAAAAACACTACTTAAAGGCATACATCATATGCAAATCGAAACTCTAGTTTCGCCAAATCTCCGACACTCTAAAATTCTCTTGGTTCAAAACTGAAGTCTCTTTTTTCGTATTTGAAGATCACGGATGATCCTTATCTTTTTGGTTGAATTGAAGGAGAAAAATCAAAACGAAAAAAGTAAAAATTCAAATATTAAAAATCGTGCTGGATCAATGCCATCATATCTTATCCTGGTGATCTGTGTTTGAAAGCATTGTTTAGTGCTATACGTGAATAATTATTTCCAAAATGAGTCCAGTTGGTAAAGACGAGTTTGCTATCTCGTCATTGTTGGATACGGATCTTTACAAGATTTTCATGCATGCCGCTGTCCACAAGAATTTTCCTCGAACTCCAGTAAAATACAAATACACAAATCGAACACCTGATTTGAAACTCAATGCTGCATCTATAGATTGGCTAAAAATGCAAATACTGCACTTGGGAGATATCAAGTTCTCGGATGAAGAGATACATTACTTGGGAAAAGCATTGCCACAATTGCCTCCTGCTTACTTGGACTATTTGAGGTCATTTCAACTCAACCCCAATTCCCAAATCAAATACCTTGAAACCAAGGGCAATTTTGGTTTAGAGATAGTGGGAAATTGGGACGATACTATATTGTACGAAATTCCTATCTTGGCTTTGATTTCTGAAGCGTATTTTAGATTCGTTGATACTGATTGGAACTATGACCATCAAGTTGAGCTTGCCACTCGCAAGGCCGAGGAACTCCATGCGGCTCAGTGTCATTTTAGTGAGTTTGGGACGAGAAGAAGACGTTCATTTCACGCACAGGAGATTGTTATTAAAGCGATCAAGGATACGGCAGAACAATTGGACTCGAAGTTCGTTAGTGGTACTTCCAACGTATTCTTTGCCAAAAAATATAATCTTCAACCAATTGGGACCGTTGCACACGAGTGGTATATGGGTATTGCTTCTATTACGCAGGACTACATACATGCAAATAAGTTAGCCATGGATTACTGGATTGCAACTTTTACTCCAAAGTATGCTGGTCTCGCACTAACTGACACTTTTGGCACTGATAACTATCTTGCGGCTTTCACCAAACCCTATATCGATGACTATGCTGGTGTAAGACAGGATTCTGGTGACCCAGAGTTATATACTGACAAAATCGCGGAGCATTATAAGAACCAAGGAATTGAGCCTCACACCAAAACAATTTGTTTTAGTGACTCTTTGAACGTGGAAAAATGCATAAAGTATAAGCATAGGGCAGATCAAGCTGGCTTATTAAGCACTTTTGGAATCGGAACTTTTTTCACGAATGATTTTGTCAATACTTCTACAGGAGAAAAGTCGCAACCGTTGAATATTGTAATTAAGTTGAGTGAAGCAAATGGCTTCCCGTCGATAAAAATTAGTGACAACATTGGAAAGAATATGGGAGATCCTGAAACTGTCAAGAGGGTAAAAAGAGAGTTAGGGTATAGTGAAAGACAGTGGGCGGAAGGTGATGAGTCTCGCAGGTGGTAGACAAAAGGATGGGTGTTTTTCTAATGCGATATATAGATTAATTGTTAATTAATAAAACGAGAAAATGTTCAAGTAAGGTGGTCTTTTATGCCTTGGTTTTAATAATTTCCACCAACAGTTTTGATTTTTTTATATGATTTTGCAGCAAAATGTCGTATAAGGTCAATACAGGGCTGTCGCGTATGACTAAAGTTGGTAAAATATGGCAAGTGAAGGTGTTTCTTCTAAGGTATTGGAAACCTTATTGAATTATTGTGACTTTTCTGGATCCTTTTCTCAATTATAATGGTCAATCATCCCTTGATAGATTGAATCCATTCCAATGTGTGTGTGTGTGTGTGTGTGTGTGTGTGTGTGTGTGTGTGTGTGTGTGTGTGTGCATCTTGGAATAATTTGTTACGACAATGATTGTTTGCGACTTTAGTTTTTGCTTTCAACAAAGATTAAAAGAGGGATAAATTTTGTTGCAAAAAATTATACAGAACAAAACAAAGTTCTTTTATTTGAAGTAGCTCTAGTCTAAACAACACTAGCACGTACCACAGAGTAGGTACTGATATATACAGAAGTGGCCATGTTGTATTTACCATTAAACAATGTATTATTTTCTGTGTTTAATTTTAGTCTATGTAAAGCTAACCTGGCATCCCTGTTTGTGTCTACGTGTTTAGTGTTTTAACTATACCAAATTACTGCAGATCATACAAGCAAACACTCACTCAATATAGACTACAGTAGCATATCACTAACATACTAATGCATGAGTGTATCTGTGTATATAAAAATTAAAAGTTATAGCATTGGTTTTATATTTACTGTATATAGTTGTATATATTTAGTTGCAAATTTATTTTGATATTCCAACACAAGAATCAGCACATTTGAAAACCACAAACTTTGTACAAAGAAATTACCACAATCACCCCCTTTCTTTTCTTTCTTTCTTCTCTCTCTTCTCTTTCTTCTTGCTTCTCCAGTAACATGTCACGCGATATCCCACCACAGTTGAGAGATAAGTTCAACTGCATCACTCCGGCTCAAATTCACCAAATTTATGCATTAAGAAATGCTGATGTTTCCAGAATTGTGCCCAGATTTGATTATGCAAAACAATGCATTATAACCACCCCAATCACCATCGCTCCTAATGTTATTCACCCCGAGATTAAAGCTAATTGCGAGAAAGTTGATTCAGATGAATCACCAATAGCTAAAGTTAAAACCACCACCAGTATAATAGGTGAGATAAGATCGTCATTTAGATGTGATCGAAAATAATTACATGGAAGTTGGAGCAAGTCAAGCTTGGATAGGTTGCGGTTGACAGAATAAGAGTTTTAATTGGTTTTGGCAGAATATGTTTTAGGC